ACCGAGTCGTAGAGGGTACGAAACGAAAAGATAAAAAGAGCTTTCGATCTTATTTTAAAAGTTTCTCCGCTGAAAAACATTTTTGTTTTCTTTCGAAAGAACCAGATAGCTGTAATACAACTACCCCAATTTCAAGTTTGATTGCTTACGCTGATCAAGCCCGACTTTATCAAACTGATGCATTTGATGTATTTTGAAAATGCCGACAATATATTTATAGCTTTGGTTGATATATGCATTACATTGCTTCTAGTGAGGGAGGTAATTGCATTTGACTCAAGATGGGTCTTTGGTGACGGGAGATGACGGTTACGATACTATTCAGACGAACCAAACACCCGTTTTGCTAAGTGGGCATTCAATGGGCCGGAAACTTGTATTGACCTTGAATTTAAAGCTAAATACTTTATCTTCAAATACGCACGTACAGCAAGGGGAGAAACGACGAGTAAGATCTGTCAGTGTCCCAGAACTCAACGGAAACTAAGCTATATGTACACTCTAGAATTGAACTTCATGGAATCCATCGAGCCTCTTTTAAACTTAAGGCATATGATGGATATCCAAATCATGAAGGCTGGAACAAGAGGCATTCAGGCATCTATCTGCTATTTCAAGAGAAGAGGACGAAAAATCTTTGCACTCTTTTTAGTACATTACCTTATTGTATTGTTTCGTGTCACTGAGATCGGGCATAACAAAGAGCATCGCGTATGAACGATTTGGTAGCGATGTCGAGTTACAATAAAATCAGGAACATCAAGAGAATATTGGTTATTCCAAAGGATATTAAAATAAACCTGGCAACTTAACGTTTTGAATCAAAGTAGTAGTGATGTTGCTAAAATGGTTAAAAACATTAGGTTTCTGGACGCTCGAGGTGCGAGACTGCAATCGACCCGGGAAGAGATGACGATTATCAGTTAGTTACAGTTATTAAAGCTTATACCCAAGATACCAAGCTTAGTAGCTTTAAAACTGTGATCGCGAAAAGTGAGTATGGCAACTGTAACGCATCAATTTCCTGGTATCTTGTAAATGAAGTGACTGTCATAATAGCACGACCAAAATGGCTGAAATCATTAAGGTACAGAAGGTAATTTAGTATTAACAACTTAGTTGAAAACGTAAACTGGCCACCGTAAAGAGTAAAAAAGGTGACGTTTCGAGCGTTAGCCCTTCATCAATCGCTCTGACGAAGGGCTAACGTTCGAAACGTTAGCTTTTTTACTCTTTACAGTGGCCAATTTACGTTTTCAGCTCAGCTGTTAATACTAAGTTACCTGCTATACTCTCCCACCGACGCTGCACCACATTTTCTTTAGAAACTTACCCCCTTTATTCATTAAGATACAGTCTTTGATTTTTCGACGGGGGTCTCGGCGTCTTTCGAGTCTTGGATTTTACCATTCACTACCCCTTGATGTTCCTTTCAATAAGAATTGTCAGAGGTATTAATTCTTCCTTCTCTCACGATGGATATTTACTTCGAAGAAAATAAACTACGCAAATGCTCTAAAAAGAAAACGTGACATTTAAAATTGGACTTGATTTCAAGTAGTCAGCAGCTCGGCAGTAAACCGATGAAAAGGGAGTGCTAGGGAAGGCAAAGATATCTTATACATCAAACTCAAGATCTGCTTATAACATAAAAAACTGAAAAGAAAGGTAAATATTTTATGACTCGACTTTATGAAAACTTGCGTGGTCCAATTTTTCCGGCGCGATTTCTATCTTTCTTTGCATCTTAATTTACGCGCTAATTTTATCTTTTCAATTTCTTTTCTAAACGTACCAGTGAGCCCATTTTTAACACCTTACCTGGGCTCTAGTTCGACAACTAAGCTGGGAGAGAAACTTTGAGTTTCATCTCCAGCTAAAGATCTTTCACTTCCTCATAAGTTTAGTGACAGCTGCAAAGATATCCGCCCATATTTAGATCAAGGGTAGTGATCTGTGTTGCCTTAGTCATTTTGGCAGGGTACATATTGACTATGATATATAAACACCGGAATTCTGTGCTGATTAGTACAACTGTCAAAGATTATTTGACCCTATAATAAACCCATCGCCACATAAAACTTGGATGAATTACCAGGCTCATTCATAGGGTGTAATACAACAGATTTAATAGCTGGACAGTTTTAAGAAGATAAATTCGGCGGCGAGGCTCGTGTTTCAGATTAATTTTCCTTTCTGCTAAAAAAAAATATTAGTTACTCACTACGAATCTTAGGGCCATTTAACCTTGTTGATTTTGTCACTTTTTTTTTTCTTTCGCATTCCGTTATTGAAAGGGAATCATCCCCGAAACTAACGAGGCCATCTACCTAAAAATGGACAGTACAAGAGAACATCTTCCCTTCCTTTTTCAAAACTGATGATAGTTTTTTTTTCTTTTAACCCAGTGTGACCTATGCTTTTTAAAACAGTTCCGATCATTTATTCCCATGTGGAAAACTTTTTCATTCGATATGACATATGCGACAAGACACAACTTTGATTTTAGCTCTGTAAACTGACCATGACTAACCTTTGAATCCAGATATAAAAAAACTGACTTTGGACGATCCACAGGCCTTAATTTTTCTTGTTTTAGACTTACTATCACAGCTTTGTCTTCATGCTTTTATACGCTTCGTTAAATGTTAGATATGAAAGGTACGGAAGACCGCTTGACGCCAATCTAAATTATTGATAAGTTGCTTTTGTCAATATAAGACGACTCATCTTCAAATTGATTTGTAATTGCACACACATTTGGAGGGTTTTAACATTATCACTTCGATTGATGTGGTACTAATTGACTAGGAAAGCTTAGATTTAGTCACGCAAATTTCTTTTTCTGTCGGAAAAAAAAAAACCAAGCCACTTGCTACTTTAACTGAGGATTAAACACCGCGAAACACCGGTTTTAATTCTTGTAATTCCGTAAAGAAAGGTTGCAGGCGGTACTCATAACACAGATCTTACCCCTTTGCCGCCAAAGATAAATACTCCTGATTTTATTGGTTAAGATTTTGTTATCTCTCTATAAAATTATTTTTTGGCTCTATGTTTTGAGTTTTTTTCGGATGTTTTTAAAACTGTTTTAATAACAAATCTCAATCATTACATTGCCGGGAAAACTTTTTTTTGTCAATTTCGACTTGTTATAGGTACTGAATGAAGAAAACAGATGCTGAAGAACCAAATTCTTTATAATGACAATGCGGACCACAAGAAGTGATCTCATCAGCGTTGTGCTGGAAACGATTAGTGGTTATCGTTGATAAAGCATCTCACTACTTCTTACGGAACTGAGCCCTCAAATCACCCAAACCAATTAACTTGAGAAAATTTCGCATGGGTTAATGCAGTTAACTAACGCTATTGGACTGAAGGAGAAAGAAAATGCGCTCAAGTCCAGTCGTTTGGAGGAGACTGCGAAAATAGGGTTAGGTCATCAAAAAACATTTAGCATATTGATTGTAAAATATAATTTATTATTAACAGCAAGATAATTTGGAGTTTTAACCTCTGTTTCAAGAAAATTCTTCAATCACGACTGACGGCCGTGGTATGAATTTATACGCGTGCGGCTGTGTGAAAAAAGACATTGGTTGTCAAAAGAGAGATCCTCGAGATCACATTCCTCAAATCGTAACCCCAGCGATGAAACTTATGATCGCTCGTTGCCTATAATCTAACAAGCTACTAACACACGGACTGAAGTCATATAATATTACTGCCTTTGCTTTTTTCAGCACGGCACTCGGTTGTGAAAATGTGTTCTCTGTTATTCCGAATCCTCTCCGGTTTTTGCGGACTGAGTAAAGGAAAAACCTGACGGAAGAATGCAGGAGGTGTTTTAAGGGACGCAAAGAGTGTTCCCGGATACGTCAAAAATTCTTAAAATGGGAGATATCTTTGAAAGAAAAGTCAGAATTGATGAAGCTTATTCCACTCTTATCCATAAAACATGCCCATTATGTCAGTTAGATTGCATTTGACATCAAAGCTTTAGATACTTATCATTTTGGCTAAGAATATATGAAAGTCATCTATTTGAACTGTGGATAAAGACGTGAATGAAAGTGATCCTCGCTACTGCTCAAGTAGTGCACATTACTGCGAGGATCACTGTCATTCACGACTTATCATTTCATTACCCTGTCACTGATTTTCTGAGTAAACTTCATTCTCTCTAAGCATTAGGACATTTACTGTTAGGTGTTCTTTGTTATCGTGCAAGTGATTGTGCAATGCCAACGTTGTCAGACTTGAGTGATTGTGAGAAGTTTACACTGCCCTCCAAATATGCTGGGAGAAGAGAAATCAAGGTATTGTATTGCAACCGTCCATTTAAGCCGAGCAATTTTTTATTTTCTCATAGTAATTTATTGTCATTATTACATTCGTATTTTAAATCAAAGAAATTTTAGCAATTTAACTGGCTCTCAGGAGTGCGATCTATAAACGAGTCACTAATTTTTGCCTTCATTCACATCTATTCCCAAGCCAGTGAGAGCGGAAGACAAAAGAAACCAACCGATTAGATTTCTGCGGCACAATTTATTTACAAATCGAAATATTTCATGTCTTAGTATTTCTATTGGATCAATAAAATCTTGACAAAGGGAACGTATTTAGGAGGCTATAATACGACATTGCAAGAGGGATTTAAAAAAGAAGCAACTGAAATACGTGTCGAGAAAATTTTGTGGTGAGATAAGAGTCTGGTTTTTTTTTTAGGGTCTGAATTAATGTTTATGACATCAGACCAAAAAGAACTCCACTCAAAGAAGCTGCCTGCTTGTTCAAATGTGAAAACACAGCTGTGATTTCTGACCACATTGGTCTTCATTCAATGGAGCTGCACGCTCGTTCAAATCTGAAATTACACGACTTCTGACCACATTGGTCTCCATTCAATGGGCCTGCATGGATGATCAATCAGTTTAAAATCACACAAATTATTTCAGACTACATTGAAGTATACTTAGATAAAAATTTCAATCTTAATAAGACGTAAACATATGTGAAGACACACCGCGGCATGGATCGTTATAATCCCGAACGACTTCTATGATAGCTGAATCATAATCAGGGCATTGGCACAGCGTCAGTAATGGCAGAAAGTGCCTTAAATTGTGAAACTCAGAAGACAATGAAGTTGTAAGTTTCTTGCCGTTGACAGTTCCTATATCCTCATCATTGCCTCTAGATCCTGGTTTAGCTGCTCCGAAAGTACAGATTTTTCCATTTAAATTTTCAGCCCTTTCCTGCGCAAATGTTTTTAGCAACGGCAAAGATCCACCTGCCTTTGTATTATCACTGTTTACTTTGCTCGCTATGTCCTTTGAATGTTGAATCATCACCTTATCGTTTAGAGTAGTTCTTGGTTTTGGTTTTTCCAAAGTCTTAAAGCCTTCCCTGTTGGAGCGGTAGGAATGTGTTCCTTTCTTATATCTTGGTAAAGCCGTTTCCATGTCCCTCGAGGAGTAAACCTGATAATCGTAATCTGCTTCTCCTAAACCAAAAAACTTTGAGACGTCATCTTCGCTGACGCTGCGCAGATGGTTGCAGCCTTCACAAAAGACTAATTCATTGGTGTTTAGAAGCGATGAAAATGCAATCGTTTCGAAAGGCAGTTCAGCCGGATTTTTACTTTCAAATTGGTTATCTTTTACGGAGTCCTTCTCTCTTGAATTCCGAACTTCATCGCCTCCTTTCTGTTTTGTATCGTCACTACTACAATTTAAGGTGTTAGATATGTTTAATGAAGATCTAGCTCGATAACTATCCCTAAAGTGGCTTGAATAACCTTCCAGTTTTTTCTTTCTGACACTACTTGATTTGCTTCTGCGCATTATTTAGCGCAAAAGCTGGTTTACCTCATTTGCCCCCCAAATATAATCCATAGATTCCATTCAGCGGGTAACTTTTCTCGAAAGTGTAAAAGTGTGATTATTATTAAACAACGTGTCTGAATTTAAGTTTTCAAATATTACTCGTCTAATAGTAAGCTGCATAGTCGAGAATGTTAACTAGTCTTGTACAAGTCAATAACCTGATTTCACCAAAGAGATAGTTTCCCATTTCATGACGCCAAAGGGTAAACAAGGACAGGAGACAAGATAGCTGACACCGATTTACAAAGTTACAAATAATTAATTTTGCCGAAAACGTATTCAAATTGAAGGAGATTTGAGTTATTAAAAATTCAAATGATTAACGGGCCTATTTTGGTAATGAAAAGAACGGTTTAACGAATGAAAAAAGCGAGATTACCCAAACAAAGAAAGAGTGCATCCTACGTGTCGCAGCAACAAAGCGGCTTCTCCTGAAAGGATGGTTATTTTACCAATAAAAACTGGAGGCTTTTAATGTGATAACAATTTACAAAAGACCTACCATATGATAAGTTAACTTCTGTAAAAATCTCACAAGAAACACAAAAAATCGGACTCGTAACATTGTGGTTCTACAATGCGACTAACCGGTCCAAGAGTATACCAGGACAGAAGACAACACAAAAGTGGTCGAGGAAATATTCAAACTTTGTCTGAAGGAAAAACTTCTTGAACTACCTAATAAAACTGAAAAGCATGTGGGAATGAATTTCTCAGCTCGGGATTAGAAGTACGTTCCCTTCAATATCTTACATGATTTGGGTTTCTGATAACAAAGCTGATCCGTCTCACCATTAAAAAAAATCAGATATGAGGTAAAATCAATATCTCGGTGGTCTCGTAAACAAGGGAGCGTTAAAGATAAAAATTATTCATATCATAAATCAAAGAGGTCGGAATTATAAAACAGAAAAAAATATTTTTAAAGGTAAAGAAATATTTATAAGATACAAATGTTTCGAATATAAGTCAATAAATATTAATTAAGAAGCAACATCTATCATCTACTGGCAGGTTTTTCTGAGTTATTTCTTTTTTTTGCTTTGTTTTGTTTTTGCGATTTAATCCACTGGAAGTTGTTTTATAGCTATTGATAATTGATTCAATACATTAGGGCTCGGTAACGTTCTTTGTACTCTTTATTACAGACTCGTTCCCTTTACTCGTCTCGTAACAACTTCCCTAATACGTCTCTATTACGAGACCTCTAATCAACTCTGATAAGACACTACACGCTCTTCACATTCAAGTCACATAAAGAGTACTAGCTACTTGAAGTATGCGAAAGGTAAAGAAAAGTGAAAAGGGACATTGTAAAATCACAGTTTAGGAAGGATAAGGTGAAAATACGATTAGGTCACCGCTCTGAGAAACAAAAGAATCCATAAAATACTCAACAATTTATTTCCAGAGATTGCCTTTCCCTATATTAAATGAGGCAGTTGTCGATATTCAGTGTCTGAAAGCTTTAAATGGAGCATCACTCTCTGCAAGTCCTATTCAGTTCCTTTTTTTGAATAACTCCACAACCAGATAGATTTACAACCCTTTAGATTTTCAGTATCATATACTCCAAATTTGCTTTTTAAATTAAAGGAACCAGACAGAAATGAATGACTTGAACGTTTTTGCTCACAAACCGAAACTCCTGTCAGTGCACAATGACGGGAAATGTAGTATTTCTTTTTGCTTTGAATCTGCTGTAGTTAGCTCTGGACCTCTCGGTAAATTCAGTGACAAAAGTGTCGTTCCTGCTGTTTCCTTGGAGACTTGGTAACCTGACGTGATCTGTAAGATAAGAATTTAATTTCGTCTGCGCAGGCTCCACATATAAAACCTCGCCCCTAGTGGGTAACAATCTTGAATGGAAAGGTTTAAATACGTCCTTTGTCGTAAAGAATGTCGCAGTTTGCCGTTTTTCTTTTTGATATTCTTGCTGTGGACAATCCCATGATCCTAAGCCGTCCAGGCAACCACATAGAGTGTGGTAGGAACTGATGCGAACCAAGGGTAGCTTTTTTTCCTTTCTGAACTTCCTCTGGTCTCGATAGTGGGCCAAATATTTTGATATTGGTAGTAGATCGAACTTTTTTCCGTCTCGAACTCCCTTTGTCGCCCTATCCGTTGACAACGTTTTCTCCATGAACGGTGTTAATGGAAGACCTCCAACCGGAGTACCTTTGCAGAGTATTGGACTCTTCCTATGCGGAAGAGATTCATGAATCTTCTGATTTTCTACCCAGGACGCTTTTGTTTTTGCCATGCGTGATAAGATATTTGTTCTGGAAACTCTATCCGGAGAAGCCTCTGAAATGGAATGGACAGACCGAGTGTCATCCAGAGCGCATGTGCTGGTTGGAGTGACATAATCGTGATAGTTGTTTACGTTTTGGCGAGAGTCACTTGGTGCTGTCATTGAAGCATAATAATCCGTCTTTGGTGCTTCTGTCTCTTTTGTCAAAGATTGTTCGATGGGCCTATTCTTGGTAGGACTGTGTGGCACTTCAAAGATTTTGTTCCTGTCAAAGGCTACTGTGACAGTTTTGAGGTTTACCCTGAAGAATTTAAGGTTAAATTATTAAAAAATTGAGACAAGAGTTGTGAATTTGTTTAAAGCGCCACATATAAAACCGGACATGTAGAGGAGGTCTTGATTAAGTGCGTTAGCATAAAGGTATGCCTTTCTTCACAAGTTTAAAATTTGATCCTAACCACAGAGCAAAATATTTCTTTCTGAAACAATATTTACATCTGCCCTCTAGGTGCTTACATTACACGTTTCTGTAAATTCTGAAATATTTTGCGACAGCCATTTTAGAAGGACACAAGTCGCACAAGATGTGTATTCGACTTTCAGACTTAACTTTATGAGTTGATAAATATAGTTTCACCTTCGAGCCAAATGATTACTAAATTGGTCATTTAAGTACTCTGTTCAAGAACCATTAATCATGCCCCACAGTAACAAATCCTGCGTATCTGTTCCATGTCGTTAGTCTCTGACTTTTCTGAAATACCGTTTTTATCAAATTCACCCTTATATAAACGCATCATGGGTCCTCAATTCCTTCGTTCAACTCTGAAAGTGGGAGAAACATTGTGGAACAAACGCGAGACCACATACAGTGAATCGCTTAACATTTTTCGTTGGCTGACCTTTTCTGTGTTCGAAATAAGTTGCAATCAGTACAGCCATACTTCAATTCTTATCAGTTAAACATCTCGACCGCAAATTTCACTCGAATTTCCAACCAACTGACTTCGAACTACCTAATAACTAGTGATCTCATTTCCTAGGACCGTGCTTTCTAGTGACTGCGAATACTCGCAAAAGGACCAAGCTTTATCTCGGATTGAAGGATTGACAGTGAACATTTTCATCGGCGTTTCGTTGTTATCCAATGGGGGATTTTAGTCAACACTAAACTTAACTCGATGGATTGCCACTTACTTGTGTTTACAATCCACTTGAGAGGTACCGGGCCTCCATATGCCTTGTGCATCTTGTAGTGTACGTAAATGGCTACCTTTGAAGGCCATGACGGGGAGGAATAGGTATGCGAATAAAATACTTCACTTTCACGGCTGTCGATGTGCGACTTCTAACTGCACTGAAGTGTTGCCGGGTAACAATACGAGTCATGCTTTGATTATGGAAAACAAATGACCAGTCGGTTGTGGCTGAAGAACAATTGACTTTGATTCTTTGAATTATTTGCATATATATTACTCAGCTTGACGTTAGCTTAATGGACATTTAATAACACTTCGAGAGAATGGTTCCCCTTCAAAAAGAGTCGCAGTAAAGACATGCCCTTTCCTTTGCATCTTCAGTAGCATAGTTTCAACCTACTAACCGCCTCATATACAAGAACTTTTAAAAATAACTAAAGAGGTGATAAAGTTAAGTTTATTCGAAGTTCATGCCAAGTGAATCAATCTATTATTCCAACCAGGCAAAATTGACTGATTATACGACACTTCAAGGATTAAACGAAATATGAAATTACAGGGCTGTCCAATAAAAGAGAGGTCACGCCAGTACATAATTTGCAAGGAATGTTTGATGCCTTCGTTAACCTTGTCAGTACAGCCATTTAACTTCGGCCGGTCCCTTAGATTGTTGAAAACTAAAATCCTGCAAATAATAGACAAACACTTTTTTCTTGCTTTGAATACCTGACTATTTCACATATTATACGGTTGTTCCCTGATCTGCGCGACTGTCAAAATTGTACGTATCCAGTATTTGACACGCTCACTAATTATTGGGAATGACAAAAAGGATTAAGAAGCACGACCTTTAATAAAAATCCAAAATTCAAACCTTATATACCACTTAGAAGACACACGAAAGGACTAAAATTTTCGTCGGACGATTCGTATTCCAAATTTAACACAAAGTTAGGTGATGTAAGGCTGTTTGCTTGATATTCTCAGGGTATTCTTTGTTCAATATGTACAAAATTATACAAGAAAAGTTAATTGAGGAGATGATAAATTTCGAGTCTCATCTTCAAATAAAAAAATCACATGGTTGATCCAGGTAATACGTAAGACTCATGAGGAATGTGAACCTTTTTTATAGCTTTAGTTGGTAAAATATCACACTGCGAAATTTGAAGTATGGAATTGAAAATCCTATGGACAACCTAGATTTCAGAATAGAATAATATCTTTAGAATGAACAATGGAATAAATAACGTATTTCTTTTCAATGGAATGAATAACATATTTCTTTGTAAAATAGTATCCGGAACAGTAAATTAGTGTCACCCTGCGGTAATTCTTACGTTTAGCCCGGCTCATAATGATCGGCACATATAAGTCATATAAATCTTGAGCAAGTTCAATAAATTTTCTGAAGACACCAAATTTGTTTAAAAAGTTAATTACTGATCCGCTCGTCACAACCGCGGGCTCCGGTTTCTCATTCTTCACAGTCCAGGACATGTACAATGAAACCATGACAACACCATAAGGTTGTCTCTTTCTCTTAAAACTTAGTACCTATAAAAACTAATACGTATACGGATAAAAAGAGACACATTTTATCTATAATTATATATTAACTAGGAAAGAAATGATTCTTCGATCCTAGAAACGAAGCAATTTCACAATAAATATTTATTCTATTGTCGTTTTCACTTTTCGAGCCTGAAGATTTTCCGTTCTCCTGGAATTGTGTATATTCATCTCGTGTACGGTCTAGCGTTAATACAAATTTTCATCGGTGGATCGTTATCACAATCATTTGGATCAAAACCAAGAACATTCCCGCTTGTTGCATTACGGTATCTTCCATATAAATTTAAGCTTTTTGGTCGTCGTTCAACTCTTGACGGCAAAGGCTCTGTAAGACGAATCGACCTTGGACAGTACCCGTAAGGTCTTTTATCCTTATCATATTGAAGACAAGGGTACAAGGAATCCATTTTGTGATTGAATCTTTGCCTCAATTTACCACCATTGCAGTCAATACACAGGTCTTTCCCAACAACCTCGCAAAATGCCTTTCTCGTAATATTATTCCTACACAACTGATTTGAGGGCTTGACATAAGTGTATGAGGGAACGCATCGGTCAAATCGCAAGGCGTCGTACTCCATTTCATCGGAGTTTTCTGGCAGTAGAAAATAATTTCCCGGCTTGAATTCAGGAGAAGGAAAAAACTTATAACTTGTCTTATTGGACGCTTCGGTTTTTAGATCTCTCAAAAAGTTACCAGTTTGTTGAAAGCGCCCAGTTTTAACCCTCTTTACTTTTCTGTATTCTTCGTTGATCCAAGCTTCCATTCTGCTGAATGATTTCGGTTCGCAATGTTTTTCACCGAAGATGAACAAGTCTCTGACACTTTTAACGTCTTCATCATAGCCGGAAAATTGTGTTCTATCTTGGATTTGTTTACTTTGAATCTTGGCCGAGATCTGATTACTCCCTGTTTGTATTTTAGCGTGCTTTGAATCCATCTTTGCTGTATTTCCCGAAAGTTCACGAGAAAAATGGAAAAACGCTTAAGGCTTGAAATGATTGGGATCGAAGTTTCTCACGATAGACATCTTCAGCCGTCGGTGGTGGTTGAAGTTTGATAATTTATTCATTTTTCGGCCAAATTTGCAAACACCTGCTCTCAAAATTTGTCCTTCTGTTTTAACATAAATAAAATCCCGCCGCAATGAGTAATTTTTCGAGTAGTAGCATCAGTCTAATCTGAAATTCTCGAGCCAGTTACAAATTACGGTTGAGAGAGCCTAGCCTAAGAAATTTTCAATTTATAAATCATTCTGATCTCAAATAATATAAATATATATATAACATATGTAGTAATTAAAGGAGAAAGGGCTTCGGCTATACCGTTGATTGGAATACAACGAATCAACGGTTCTCTTCAATTTTCATGCGCCTTTTTTATTAAAAAGGAGTATGTCAGATAAATCATTGGTCTATTCCTTGGAAAACAATAGAAAGAGATATAAAAAGCTATCCCTCGTATCAGTAAATTTTCTGAAAAATATGGACCCAAATAATACAGATAATTAAAGGAACCTTAAAGCTATAAACACTAGTGGTATAAGGCAACTGAGCTGTTCTTAGACAGTATGAAAGTTTCAAACAGCCTTTTCAAGCAGTTCGTGATGATAATCAGTGACTCAAAACGTACAGTTATTTAGATGAAATGAAGGGGAAAAAAAGAACAGAGATCCGGCATTACAAAAAGAGAAAATTGGCTCCTTCATGTAGTTGAGGATCTCCTGCCACCCCAACCATGTAATGGCCGAAAGCCAGCCCGAAGGACTAGCTTATTCTTAGGCTACTTTGAAACATTCGTTTTGGCTCCCATACACGTTAACATTCACAGAATTAAGATAAGAATCCTTTTTCTCAGTTCCGCAGGGTCTGCACCGATCATGTGCACTTCCAAGGAAGTGAGATGACATTTAGCATTTGAGTAACATTCAGACCTTCCTCTCTGGGTTTTTTCATCGTCGGCTTCCTTTCATTTGACCGGCAGACTGTTTTATGTCTGGTAAGACTTGGAGGCCTTTCACATTTATTTCTTTACTAAAACTTTTATTTGCCTGGTAAGCAGCGAAAGATTCCAAGGAGAAAACTGAATCAAGCGACATCGAGCGATTCTTCCTGAATTTTACCAATTCTGATTCGCTGACCAAATTTGTCTTTCTCTCTGCATTCTTGAAGCAACCTAGGAGGACACTTTCGTCAGGGTGAACAACGTTCATCGGTGCAGTTACGATGAGCTCCGAAGGCACCGAAGTTGATGACGACGTCAAATTCGGAAGGGAATCGCTCTTGGCAACAAGAGGAAGTAGCCTCACCCGAAACTTGCTCTTATAGCGTTCTGACGCTGCTGGGTAGGCTATGTTTGGAAGAATATCAGTCCTCTCTTTCTCACATTTATTTTCGTATCTTCCGGAGGTGTTACCTTCAACAGGTTCTTTCTTTAGGTTGACCTCTTTTGCCTTTTTTAATTCCAAGCGTTGTTCGCAATTCATGTCTTTGGGACTCCCGATACCTTGGTCGCGTCTCGCGTCTTTTAACACGGTATGAAATACAACAGCATCATCAAAAGAAGGCATTTTTTCTTTGTTTCCTTGGCTCGTCGGAAATGGTTTTCTTGTGTTATACAGCGGCGGTATTCTTTGAGGTTTGTTCTTCCTCGGCCCGCTGTACGGGTTAGTCCTTGTCGAAAATGGTGTTTCGATCACGTCTCGCCCAAATTCCATGTTCCTGGTCGAGAGGCAACTTGTCAAACTCCTGTCCTGTAAGACCGACCAGATTTCTTTCCAAGGGCTCGGGTTGAGACTCCTTGGTGCTTCTTTAGCTGATCCCGATAAATTCATTTCACTTGTATTCTCTTGATCGCGGCGGTCGGATGACACACATACGCGAAGCTCACATAAACTACTCTCGCCCTGAGCGGTGCGTGCGTCGGTTTTACCACCGTCTTTGCTAGTACAAACGTTCTGTCCTTGTGGACCGGACTTCATGCTAACATTTATTTCAGTGACATCTGAATCCTGAACAAAATTGTTATAGCTGAGCGCAGTTCCCTCTACAAGGATTTCAGATTTATTGTTGCTCGGCCCTCTTGGATAGTTCCTTATTAATTCCTTGGATGTCGCTACTTGAGGATCCTTTGTTATAAAATATCCTTCAGATATTCTTCTTTCTGACATTTCTTGGCCTGTTCTCTTGTGTTTTTCTCTCTTTGAGTCAATATTCCGTGACATCAAGCACCTCTGTAGATCATCTTCCATGTCATAGGCACTACTTGAAGCCACGAACACCTTCCTCTTCGAAATCTCTTTTCTTTCCGTCATAAATTTGCCAATCATTGCAACAACAAAAAATCCTACACAACCCCTTTCAAGCGATTGCGAAAATGTCTGTAACTCTATAAACACAGACTGGTTTTGACTAACAATTAACGGTATTTTCCAGAACAAAAAAGAACCACGACAATTGGCCCGACATTAAGACAAGTGGTGAACATGTGATAAAATAATTTCAGACCAGCAGCAGTATTGTTTAAGGGGTGTCGAGAATGCATCCCAAGAGAATGTCATTATTAAAATGCTCTGAACCCATCGAACGCTAATTACGGCTCTAAGAGGATTCTTGGACCGCGAAAAGTACCTTGACAAGAAATTTGACAGGTTTCTAGACTGGAAAAAACAACGGTAGGAGATTTGTAAGACAAGTTTGTATGACAAGAGTGGTTTATTGCACGAGCTAATGAGTTTCTGGTCAACGTTATCAATTAGATCAAGCAATCAACCTTCGAAGCTAAAAATAACAAACAAACTTTACAATGGACCGGTGCTAGTCGAAGTAAACAACAAATCAAAATGATAATTTATCTAAAATATCCATGAGAAATCCACGAGAACTTTTTCCTTATGAAAGTGTGACCCCAGTAAGACGGATATTTCACTAGATGATTTGTTACCGAGCCAATACGACCTTTTAACTAGGAATCTGGTTATGCTCAATCAGCCGTGAAATGAGTTTTAGAAGTAATTAAACGCTCCGCTTAACCCTTTACAACTGAACATCAGCAAACAGACTCTCCATACCGTTCTCCTACCATACATTAAGGTGCTGACAATGAGAGTTTGTTTACCAATCATGAGCTTATTTCTATCATTTCTTTTATTCTCGGGGGTGACATTGCATTGTAGGAAATTAAATGTAGGAAATTAATGTTTAGTCACTCCTAGGGATCAAACAGTTAATCATACATCCTGAAAGAGCAAAATAGTTGTAAGCTTTACAATATAAATTCTGTAAACCACTCAAAATTAATGGCAATAGATCTTCGTCAAGAAAACGGCTTTGCTAGTGATCAGAAAAACAGAAAATAATACATTAAGCCCTTTAGTGTCTCCTAAGCGGATTAGTTTAACATGAAACAGTTGCTGTCAGCTGTGTCATAGTACAAATTCCTCTTTGTATTACAAGGACACTTCATTGATTAAAACTTGTCACCCTAATGACCATGGATATATAATCATAACATCTTCATCAAACACCTTTAGACACTTTGATGCAGTGTTCAGCTATCCTGTGTGCAGTTGCCCCCACACCCTCCAAAAAACTGAGGGTTGGAGACTCTAGGATTAATGACAATTGAAGCCTGTTTCCTTTAAAAACATTTAATCTGTTAATTATAAAATAATTTTCTTGATTCACTTCAATGCCGTTTTTGTGAGCAAGAAAGATTTGTTTGTATATCTATGTCTTTCATCCTCTAATTGATATATCTTGCACCATCCACAGATTGGGGTAAGTCTTCAAAGTTACCCAAACATCAGTTCTGCTCACCACACTCAGTACATTTGACTTAATATTTAACATTTACAATTTAATCATAAAAATCCCCAGAGTTCGTGAGAATATTCAAACTAATCAGGTGCTTATAATATTCATATCTAATAATATGTCACGTATTTTGCAAACCAGTGCACTCTCCATTCTTGGTGTTACTTTCCAGGAAGATTGCAGATTTACTGCAAATGTAAGAAATAAGCTAATTAAAGCTAACAAATGTCTTTCTATACTTAGATCATGAAGGAAAGAGGATTATACTGCAGCAGAAGTAGACTATCTATCCCTTACTTAACTTTTGGTCTATCAGTCTTCAGTACTATTGATGCAGAGCTTACAACTGTACAGTGTTTCCTGGACCCATGTCACAAGCAGAGATACATATCTAAGGTGGTAAACAGCTATGATCTATTAGAAATACAGGAAAGGAAAATAACCGTCCAGGTAAAACATCAAGAGAAACATCCTCTGAGAAACCTTATACCTAAACTGAAGGTCACAGAGTACAATTTAAGACACAAATCTAATCACCAGCCAAAATTAAACACAGACAAAGTGAGGAACCCCTATTTTAATCACCTAATTTTTAAATATGACCCAGCTTTGTGACTGGTATTTTGTAAATTTTTAAAGATAATTAGCTTTGTAATTATTATATACAATGTAACTTTGTTCTAAATTGGAAGTTTTGTAAAATAGGATAAGTAGTTTTTATCTCATTAATTAATAAAGACTATTATTATTATTATTATTATTATTAATAACTTAATCAATGTATGTCTCACTTGCTTATCAAACTTCCAACATTTGGAATAAATCCCATAAAAATTCCCCTATTGTAGTAACTGATACTTTCCATCAAAAATAACTTTTGCATTTCAAGAAATAGGTGCATGTGCTTTGTAATGATTAATAAAGGGTTTCAAGTCCTTGTATTTTCCTAAACATTCCCATTAAAATTTTACAAGTGTTTGTATAGTGCTCATCCTTAGCACATAAATAGGCTATACTTAGTTATTTTAAAGTTTCTTTTCCTCAACACGGACCTTTTGAGTAAGATTTTCAAATATGCTCTTAACCCTTTAACTCCCAGAAGTGATTGAGAGGTAACTTCTCCCTATAATATCCACATACTATCTAGCAAAGAAGTAATGAGAATACTTAAACTTATCGCGTAGAAGTTGTTGTCCTTGATCTAACACCAAATTCTCTTGACTAATTTAGAAGCAAATGTGTAGCAGCTAGAGGGGAGAATTAACAATCAGATCTTGGCAGTGAAAGGGTTATGAAAAGTTTTAATTCCCTGAAATTCTGATGACTTAGCCTACCTTATGGATGACTTTGGTTGATCTTATTAACATACTCCCAAAAAGTTACCTCTAACACATTATAAAATCATTTTTCTAGTCACTTCACCCATTACATTTCACCTATGTACTCAGTCACGTGTGGGATAGATAAAAAATGAATGAATTAGCAATGAAGTCTGCATGAAATTGATTGGCTATCACTTGATATCACCTTAATGGTTTAATTACCTGGAGGAAAACTATCAGGGGAGGGATAAGAATCAGCATGTACATATATTGTATATACCAAGTTTAACCAACAAGTTACACCTGCTAAATCCCAAGGTGAGTGCATTAACAATGCCCCTTCCCAAAAGTAAATTTGGAGATTTTTGAAAAGAGAAAAACGACAGAGAAGTTTTAATTGCTCTTAAGTTAAAAATTTGCACTCAGAGATTATAGAATTTTTGTCGACATATTTTTTTCAATTTTGAATCACAAGTAAAATTTGGTGGATGGGGCATGGTGTAATACCCAATCAAACATTTTCAGAAGTCAGCTTTCCAAAATTAGGCATCTCTGCATGCAAGTTGAAAGAATGTATTCTCAGTACATAGTAATTCCAATAATGCCCTGTAGTAGTTGTACCACAATGCAGACTTGAGTTTTTCCCCTAATTATGTGGTGTAATTTTAAGTCCACTTTCAATTCCAACAATTAAAGATTAATATGTACACTAAAATTTAGCCATTAAAAAATTCAATAAATAAAAAATTCTTTGTAAAGATAAAACTATCGATAAAAATGTAGATTATCAAATTTTTGATTACATTTGTTTTCAAATGCATATATGCAAAATCAGATCATCCCTGTTGAAATCAAAATATAAAACATTTGAGGATTGTTTTTGCTTTAAAAGAAAAATTTACACCAAAGACTCCTGAGAACCAGCAGCACGTTGGGTTGTGCTTTCCTCCTCTGAATCTTGAAAACTTATCACAATATAATCTCCATCCTCAGCATGGACATTTATTGTATAAAACTCATTTGACCTTTCACCTCTTAACAGAGGTTCTTTCTCACTATCACTAGAACGGTGTTCATTTCCTAAATAGAACACATAATGTTGCCAAATGAGGATGATGTTGAATAAGAGAGTGGAGACAGCAAGTGCCATCTTAGGAATGTTCCCTGTTAGCTGATTGTTGCTGTGTTCAATGAAGCAGTAAAGATCCATCTGTAACAGACTGAGTACTCCTCCACCAAAATCCAGCAGCACTCCACCAATATGGAACCCCTCTGTGGATTTGCGTTTGAAGTTGAGCCACACTTGAGGTGAATACTATAATAGACATGCACAAAAAAAATTCACAAATTGATTAATTCCAATTCCAGCAAATTTCTTAATTATAATAGGGATTAAAATGCTTTACAGGAAAATTCCCGTTCTTTGCAAGATCAAATTAACAAATTTTAGCCAAGCCTCAAGAGAAAAGTCACATAAATCAAGCCACCATGGAAAGATAAATAAATAAAAATAGTGCGACCCTGCACAGATGAGGGGTTCATTTTTATACAGGCCGTATTACAATTAAATAACCAATGGTTTTGATACTAAATGAAAAAAATTGTTGCTTTCCGTCCAGTCCAGTACTCATTATCATGACGTGCAAGGCTGAACTCATAAACAGAAGGAAAATCAAACCAACACAGCACAGAACAAAACAAAGCAACTAAAATAAAGGAGTGAATGAGTAATTTAGCCAACCTCTAACAGTCTGATCCACGTGAATCGAAATCAGTAATAATGGCTCGAAGTGTATTCCACGACCTCCCCTTCCTGCTACGCCACTTCACTTGTGTTCAAACACAACATGCATCACTGATTACGCAAACATGAGATGTCGAGCCAAACCACATGGCGTCATTTGAAACAATAATAATGCCTAAGTCGTAAATATTATTTCTGAAATTTAGATGAACCACGTGTATTTTTCAAAGTAACACCATTTACTAAACGACGATCTGGACCTATTACGAAAAATGCAGCATGGTTCAAGCATAGACGTGTAGTTAGTCCTTAACAATCTAATAAGCTGATAATTTAAAAATTAGTTTAAATGAGATACGATGGATTCGTTTTTGGTACTCAATTTATTTGTACTCACCGTCCCAAATGAAACGATAAACTTAACATATCCACAATACTGAAGGACCACAAACCACGAGCCGAGGATGCCAAAAAGGCTGAGAACAGTTAGTACAACGAGGGCCAGTAAGCAACCAGCACAAATGGCAATTGTGCTACGATGAATTTGCTGCGATCCCCGATCGTACATCAAGCACTGTATGCCCTGAGTAGTAGTACAGGCAAACGCTACGATAGAGAATACCACGTCTGTCAGCTTGACCGGGTTATCCTGATCTAAATTAGACATGATCGCCTTCGGGTCGAAATAGACCGTCACATTGTAAATCATGTAGGTAATATAACTGAGAAAGAAGTAAGCCCACATGTCGAAAGAAAAGCCAACCACACATTTTCGCCTCCAGTTTTCATAAATTTGTGGGAAAAACGATACCGTCCAAGACAAAAAATAACCCCAACCAACTATATCGGCCACGGTAGTGAGCGCTGCTGTATTCGTCATGCTTTGGCGAGTTGCGGCAGTTAAAAGTAAATGGAGAATTCTGCAGTCCTTCAGGATGGTTGTGACGCAAAACTTTTTCACCAATCACTTAAAAATTCGATCGGTGTTTGTTTTAACCTGTAATTGTGACCGTCCTTTTGTGTGTCACTCTTTGTTTACGGCTGCGACGAGCCATTTATAGGAGTCTATGTCACGCAACGTATGAAGCGCTGTGTTGTGAGATGCGCGGCCTCGATCGGAAGAATGACGTGAAGCTTGCAAAGACCACACTCTTCGAGCTGGTTATAATGCTAAGGGATTCATAAAATTCATGAAACAGAATCAAATTAAATAAAACAAAAAGTACTTCAAAATTTGCCTCAGCTTTCACCCTTCCTCTTTATATTAAAATAATACTGATTAATGATATTATTTAATAATATCAATTAATTATTAGAATTTCAGCTGCAAAATTATCACTTTTTTTTGCTTATATCACCAGGGCTAATATGATTAAAAAATTACACAGACAAGATAGAAAAAGTGCAAGTGATTTCCTAATGACATACTGTAAGTTATTATGATTCGTTACTACAGTATTTGCAGACTTGCTGAATCTGGTTGTCCTCTTAAACTTAACTACAGAAACTCAACTGTTGACTTGACACTCATCTCACCTTTTACTAAGTTTGGCTTGCCATAAATAATTATAACTGCAATATCACTAGCAACACAGAAAGTGCTGCAAATTATTGATGTGATCTTCAGAAGATGATAATTTTTTTTTTAACTAGAATACCAATTCTATCCTGGGAACCAATCACTGGGCATAATTCCCAGTACTCGGTCATCTCATATATGAAAGCCCCATTTTGAAATTAAAGGCTTAATCTACCATAGAGGCTCTCAAGTGCATGCTTGGACCCAAATTTTTCTCAAAAAGGTGTCAAGAACTAACTGAAAAGTATGTGAAAACACTGCCTTATAAGGTTATGATTTTTTGCACATGTTTCACATACTTTTCAATTACTTTTGTAACACCTTGCAAAAAGAAAAATGGTGTTGATCATTTTCAACCTTCCAGTAAAACAATAAAACAAGTTGGGTAATGTGTGCATGTTTTCAATTTTAACACCTCAATTGCAATAAACCTATCACATAATTTCAGAAGAGCAGTTTCATTTGTAAACCATATTTAAATAGTCACATTTAAAGTTCTGATGAAAAATGGCCCTTTTCCATGAGTGTGTATAATATTTCTCAGTGCGTATGCATTTTGTCCAATTACATAATGTCAAAGACTAATTCAGTCCCTTTCCCTTTAAAAATATCCATTGTATTTTCTAACACTGTTAAGCCTAAATGTACTATTCCTCATGCCATAGGTATTTCATGTTGAGCAGCATATCTAAACAATGTAAAAGAAAAAAAAATGTCACTATAAGGAGTAATACTGGTACCTATTTTTAAATTAAAAGCCTCTACCCAAAAATTTTTTAGAGATCAACACAAGTTATTTGATTGCAAATACATGTACACTGCAGCTGTGGAATAAACAGTAAACAGTAAAATCAAATATTGTATACAAAAACCAATGAAAATGAGCTATGACTTAAATTACCATTTCATTCTCAAAAGAGTTTAAAAGGATGGAAGAAAATCATTGGCATTTAAAGCCCTCCAGTGGACACATTGTAAACAAACAGAATTGCAAAGAGCCCATGAAATTTGATTACAATCTGACTAATACTCTACATCTGGTGAGAAAAATACATGAAAGTGAAAACAGATATGTACAATGCTGTTACATGTTTATGACTTGCATCAAAATTCATTATGATTGTTGCTTTACTTGATAAGAAATAATATATTTTTACCTTCGACTAAAATGCTACTGGTCCAAGTAACAATAAATCCTATATCATTTTATTAATAATATATGACAACATATTAAACATGCCATTTCCCCTTCTCCTGCATTAAATTAGTAGTCTGCCCTGTTAATTTCAAATTAAAGTACAAAATTACAAACTGTAACAAACCTTCCAGTTACAAAGTGGAAAAGTTGCCTCTCTATGTCTCCCAGCAGTGAACTGGCACCAATCCTAAACAGATCAGGGTGTGTCCAATCATCCCCAAGTTCTTCTTTCATCAAAGAGAGCCATGTTAGGGCATCTTTAGCACTGCGGATTCCACCGGCCGGCTTAAAGCCTACCTTGTGACCTGTTTGCTATGTTGAAAAAAAAAAAATTAAAAGGGGCATAGACTGCAATGTCCTTGAACAGTAACAAATAATTTATCATACAATATATTAAAAATGTTACACCCTTGTTGAAAATTTTGGGAGGTCCTCAGGGCAAAATTCAAATTGTTCACTTTTAATCCAAAAGTGTTGGTTTCTTCTATTTACAAGTTAATTAAAATCTAGAGTGACATCAATTATACCAGCCCTTCACTTCCCAGTGCTCATTCTTATAAAACTGGTCCTCATCATTTATATATACATGTACAGTATTATATCCAGCAAATAGTTGAAGAGCAAAAACAAAATTACCACAGAGGAATGGGGCAGCAAGATTTACTTAATAGGTTTTAGATCAAAGCAGAATGTTTCCATAATCAACTGTAGCATCATACAAAAACAAAAAGACTTGACAACAAACTTTACCTTTCAAGGGTTTATTCTGACTAACTTCTCGATAGAGTCGCACAGTAAATCACAAAGCAGTCTATCAATCACCTCCAACAATGTGATTATAACATTGGCTCTAAATTTTTAAATAGCTGTCTTGCTTTTTTCAAATTACAGAGGAAGTAATAACATGATCGAAGAAAATTCAACAGCAAAGTGCCAAAAATATGTTACTCAATGTGGCAAGACACTTTTCAAAAGTAAGATATGAAGTTTTGCTGTTTTAAATATGGAAACTGGTTGCCTATCTCAATACCAGTAATCAAAATAATACTTGCGACAAAATATTCCATGCACTGCTTTCTTCATTTACAGAATGGTTGTAACAACAAAAATTTTACTATAGAACTTGAAAGAATCAGGGCAATTACAGAACAGCCCCAGACTCAGTGAATATTGTAGAATAATCCCCTTGACTTTGTCTCAGATATTAGTATTCAACAATATTCAAGTCTCCTTTGGCAAATGACTGTTTTAAAAACACAATAGTCACAGAATATCAGCGCGCACATGCAAAGATGTCAACAAATTATCACATCACAACAGTTACTACCCACACCTTGAAGGCTCCATAGCTATTTTAAGGGTCAAATGGAGGTAAATTCTTAAAGCCCAGTAGCCCATGACTTTTACTGCTTGATCTCAGCAGACTGGTAAGACTGTTACTCCTTAGTGGAATGCTCATCCACCGCAAGTTACCCTAAGCATTTTTATCAAGTTTCTTTCACAGTTTCCCAGACTAGCCACAAATAATGCACCTCTAGATGCAAAGAGATACTTAAAAAACAAGTATTCAAGCTAAGAACAGAACCCAATGATCAAGTCAGAGCTAAAACCAGCTCCTTGATCAAGAGTCTAACAAGCTAGTCACTAAACACTGTCTTCTCATGCTTGTGTTGAGAGACATTGAATTGAACATTTCTGTGTACTTTTGGCTCTCAAGAGCCAAAAACATTTGGGCATGCAAGGACATATCAAATATAAACAAACATATATAGCATACCTGATAGTAATCCCTGACTGCCCGCACCATAACCAGTGCGACAGGAAATGTAGCATTAACTGACTCTTTACCAGTTGATGTTTTAATGAAGTCAGAACCAGCCATCATGCTAACCAGACTAGCTTTATAAACATTTGTTAGAGAGCCAAGTTCACCTAAGAAAAGAGATATATCATTACTGAATGCTTACCATAAGTATACAGTATATAAACAGAGGTCCCAAGAGATCAAAAATGGCCCACAATCTAGGAGCTTTTACAGATGTGAAGCAACTATGTGTAGGAGTGTTGCTACCCATTATAACCTGCTCCACGCCTCAGTTGGTAGAAGCAAGCAAGAAAGCAGGCAAACAACAAACTGACCCACAACCTGGCAGCTTTCATGGGCATGAAGCAACTTAGAGTGTTGCTACCCATCATAACCTGCCCAAGGCCTCAGTTGGTCGAAGCAAACAAAAGGGCAGGCAAACAAAAAACTGGCTCAAAATCTGGGAGCTTTCACAGGCATGAAGCGACTAAGTGTTAATACCCATTATAACCTGCTCCAGACCTTCATTTGGTGGTGTCAAGTGCGAGACCAAGCAAATAAGAAACTGGCCCACAATCAGGGAACTTTCATAGGCATGAAGCAACTACGAGTGTTGCTACCCATTATAACCTGCCCCAGGCCCTCAGTTGGCAGGAGCAAGTTAAAGAGCAGGCTGTTGAAATGGTTATGGTTGCTAGCATAAAATATTTTACAGCTGTTTCAGGAAAGGTTGTTGGAAAAAGGACAAAAATGTATGCAAAAATCTCAAAAGGTAGCCTGGGTTTCCAAATAATCAACAAATTTCAATAAGTCAAATAAATAAATTTACCAAACCCATGATGCCTCATCCTTTTAATGATGTTTTTAACAGTTAAAGACTTTTAAACAACCCATAATTCCTTTAGGCACTGCCTCATGCACTTAACACTTATTTTTCTGACAATCTTTCTGGAAACAGCTGTATACAATGTATATTCACCACAAATATGATCAATGTCATTAATGATAGACATGGCTATTAAATTATCCCTAATTGTACCTGTGGCAATGATTGTCTTAAGATGAGCTTCTCCACAAGCTTTGCGCATTGCCTGTACTTCATTGTAAAGTGCTTCCCAGTTACCCTCCAGAACAAATGCTCTGCTGATCACAATGTCAATCTCTGTGGCACCTGAAGCTACTGCAGTTTCTATCTCTTCTAGTCTTTGCTTGACGGGTGTCTGACCTGAAAACAAAAACATTTTATCTATCTTAAACCATTTGACTACTGAAAGTGACAAACATTTAATTTTTCCTTACAATATCACCCCTGAATCACAGATTAAGGTAACAAGAACTAAAGGAAGGATCACCAACTAAGGAAGCTCTTATGAGATAATTTTGGTTTTATCATCTGAATTGATTATGTAAACTGGCTAACTTACATCATCAAATCAGTTACAAAATAAAACCAAAATTAATAAAGGGGTAAGTTTCTAAAGAAACTGGCGCTGCATCAGTGAGAGAGTATAGCAGGTAATTTAGTGTTAATAACTGAGTTGAAAACATAAACTAGCCACTGTAAAGGGTAAAAAAGCTGACATTTCAAGCGTTAGCCCTTCATCAATTGCTCTGACAAAGGGCTAACGCTCGAAACATCAGCTTTTTTACCCTTTACGGTGGCTAGTTTACGTTTTCAACTCAGTTGTTAACACTAAATTACCTGCTAAAACCAAAATTATCCTGTAACACTTCCCTACTGAGGCAGCACCAAAGTTTCTTTAGAAACTTACCCTATTTATTCATTGACCCTTGTCAGAACCTTAGGAAATGTATAGAGAATAATGTGAAGAATACACATAGTGATGTTTAGGTGTAAAGGATTAAACAAGACTAGTAAGACAAGACTAAGCACAATTGTGAAATACTCATTTAGGGAAATAACGAATGCACATTGTACTATTAATTCTGAAAAGGCCTTGAGCATGTTTACATTGGAATACCAAATTTCACCAACAGGCTTCACTTCCATGGGGTGGACTAGTGAATTTTAATGAGTCAATATTCACCAAATACTGAAATAATAGCAATACCCACATTAAAACAACAAGAAAGAGGCAAAGATTCAAGAAAAATGTCAGAGCAAACAAGGCTTGGAAGTAAAATTTCTGCAAGTAAATGTCATCTGGTTTAAGAGCTATTGAAAATACTATTACCAGCTAGAATTGCCATCTCTCTCCTCAACAATTGCCACTTGGGTTTGTTGTGCAATAAGATGGGGGGTGTGGCAGGGCGTGTGGCATTACAATCCAAAATTATGGTTGTAATCAAGACCATGAAAAGCCTTTCTTCTTCAAAAGCTCATTGAAAGTGATTCTTTCTCTATCTCTGAGCTGTACTGTACAATCCCAAATATCACAAATATCACTCCACATCTCTTCTCCTATGTCCCCCTTGAGTTTGGGAGAAGACAGGAGAAGACATGAAAACAAAAAAAGCTGATTGGAAATATTACAAAATATTAAGGTTATAACAGAAAAATTTGGATAATAATATCTAAATGCTGGATCTTTCAATGATAAGCAAAGGCTCCAACCAGAAATAAAAGTTTCAACTTAGTCACTCTTCAACAAACACTGTAAACGCAATTTTTTAAAAGATGGAGGGGGGAGGGGGGAAGGGGGAACGGGTTATACTTGGATGAAAAGCACATTTAATTCACAGGAGTATTTTCAATAACTTTATAAATTCATGGTCAACGTCGAGGTATAAACCAATTTCTTAATTTTAAGAAGCAGTTTCGATAATTTCATTTTGTTGATCACCTGCTGGGAATCCTGCAGCCACTGAAGCAATTGGAACCTTGGAGTTAAGATTCTCGAGAGTCTTTACGGCGTCTGGGACACGAGACGGGTACACACAAATAGCACCTGTAGTTATTCCCTTGTCTGCCATACCCATGCTTTCCAGTAAGTCTTTCCTTACAGGATTTTGCGCTTTGAAGCAGAGTCGGGACACATTCGTCGCGGTGTCATCCCCAGACAGGGTGGTAAGGTCGATACAAGTCACTGCTCTCAAAAGCCATGCCGCTTGCCATTGCTTCTTTACTGACCGGCGAGTCTTGAGCGTATCAGCCCGTCGTTTTACAGCAGGAAGGTTAACTCTTGTCCTACCTACCCACTCTAAATCTAGCGGAATGCCTGGATTACGCACTAAGTGTGAAGACATGTTAGACAACGTGACGCGCAGTTAGAGTACACGAAAGAGAGGAAGCTGGGTAAGAGGACTCTTACAGACTGGGGAAAAGCTAAAATTCGCTTGATCATGGCCTATATTGAATTTTTTCAGAAAATTAAGGAAAATTTCAGCTCTGCAAAACTTAGAATACAGCACCATTAGACCCTTTTCTATCAGTAAAAGAAGCTGCCATGGAATACTAGTTAAGAAAAACCAACGCCAAAACCAAATGATTTGATTCCCAAATGATCATGAGCCCACATATAGCAAGACAGTTACTAGCGGTTGTCACCCATTATAACATTACAAAATATGGCGGTTTTTGCCGTGGTGAGCAGTTTGCAAAATCATTGCCTCAGAGCAGTCGCCGGCCAGTTACCAAATCATGAAACCTCGTTAGCCCAGCTTCCTGTCGAGATTAAGACAAAGCTGGTTAATCTGCTATCAAAACGAGGTCTTTTAACGGACGCAAATCTTGGAAATGTAAGTAACACATTGTCCTTGGATCTAGAAGAAGAAAACGGGGACTGGGATTTTGCCCAGACTCTTGCTGAGAAAGTGGGATTTGAGGATTGAAAATGTAGTAGATGAAATGGAGGCAGATTTTATTTTCTTTTATCGCCGTTTTAATTTATAATTACTTATTTGCAATCAGCACGACTGGACTGATACCTTTGCAGGTTGTTTAAGGTTCTGATTCATTTGAAATTACCTACAAGTTAAGATGGTTATGAGCTGTCTATTTGGTAGACTCATCGCCATTAAAATATTATGGCACTGATACTCTCCTTAACCCTTTAACTCCCGTGATTGACCAAGACAGAATTTCTCCTTGCTATATCTTTACAATATCATGCAGACAAGTGATGAGAGTAAAGAAAATACCACTTAATATGCCACTCAGTACAGGTTTGACTGTAGTGTTTTTGATCTAATTAGTATTTGATTGTCATTCTTATTTAAGGTATTACACCCAACACTTAGGGAGCTGGAGTTGTGTGAATGTGCAATTTCAGACAGAGGACTTTCTTTTATCTGTGTTTGTAAAAACCTAAGAAAATTAGACTTAAATGCCGCCAAGAATTCCAGAGCAGATGTTACATCTGAAGGTATGTTGCACCAGACTTTGGTTCCTTCACACAGGGTCTTTTTTATAATTTTTATCAATTTAAAATGCAGGCCCTTTGGAACATGTGATAAAATGATATTTATTCCATCAAGGATAACTACTATGCACCAAATTTTACATTTTTCAGGGTATTGCAGTATGTAATTTTTATATTTTCTGATATTACTTTTCAACAGGTATGAGCAGAGTGTTTTTATCTTGTTGTTGCCTTCAGACTGTGTACCTCCGCAGATGTGTTAATCTTACAGATGATGCTGTTGCTGCTTTGACACAAAACTGTTTGCGGTTAGAACATCTCAATTTATGTGGATGCAATAAAATAACAGATACATCTCTCCAGCTCATAGCCCACAACTGTAAATTCCTTCAAAGTCTTAATCTCTCAAATACTAAGGTTAGCAAACAAGTTTATATTTCCTAAGATGTAATCTCTTATACTAAGTTAAGTATAGTGAGTGCATGAATGTAAAATTACCTGGTAAATAAGAAATAGAACTGGGTATAGGATCAATGTATTAGAATATTTCAAAACTTTTTCTCCTTCTTTATGGCAATGTTGCTGTGTTAACTAGAGTATCAAAATCACTTTGTAGTAATTGGAAGCTTTGATATATCATCCAAAAAAAGACATGCATCTATCTTACCTTTCCTTTGATCACTGTGTGTTCTGTTTCCAGATTTTTAAGGCTAAATTTTTATAATTGTGCATTTTTACCACCTTTTGAAACTAGATTTCCTCAATTTCAACCATTAGAAAAAGTCTTAGATCTCAAAAATGATTGCATCTTGACCTGCCATGTATAAAAATTTTGAAAACAGCCCTGAATTGTTTCAAAATTTTGCCTATACAAAGCAGTTTTCTTTTGTGAACTTTCAGGTTACTGATAATGGTATACTGTGCTTGACAAGTGGAAAATGTCAACATTCTATCAAAGTAAGCATAGATCTAAGAGGGCCACTAATCTATCATCAACCACAAGATCACAAAAAAGTTTTATATACAAAGAAATATCTCTTTGACCAACTTCTACCATTGTGTGTGGCATTGAGAGTCTTCCATCCTGAGGATTAACATCCCATTTGTTTGGTCTTTTAGTGTGTTCCTTTAGTTTGATCACTTTGAAGTAAAGAGCAGAGTATCTTTTACTCTTGAAAACAGTTTCAAAGTTTATAGAATGTCTCAAAGAAAGTGAGCAAGAGCAGATTTAAAAGATTTTGTTTTACACTAGGTCAATGGGTCAAAGTTTCAATTACATCACCCTTGCTTGTGCCTGATACATCCTTCCTTACCCTCTCTTATAAACAAAAGTCTCAAACTAAAATTAAAGTAGCTAAGTCAGAATATTATGGCCCTGCAATATAAAATGAAAAATTTATGTTGTTGACAACTGTGCCAAGAAGAGGGCACAGGACTGTACACTTAAATTCCAAAGAGTAATTTTTCATTAACCCTTTAACTCCCGTGAGTGACCAAGACAGAATTTCTCTTTACAATATCAATACAATGTCAAGCAGACAAGGGATAAGAATAAAGAAAAATACAAGGTAGGGGATTATAAGTTGATCCAATACCAATTTCTCCAACTAACATCACAAGAACTGTATGGCAGACAGTTAGGAGAATTACTAATGAGATCTTGGGAGTTAAAAGGTTAAGTGTCCAAAATTATTCTGGATTGCATTGGGTTTGCTTCATTGCACTCGGTGATTGTCAAAGGGAACTAACCAATCAGATGCAACCTGGTAGCACCTGTTTCCCCTTCACTTTAGAAAATTTACATTTTTCACTTCAATTTTCATTGACTACTTTTGACATTTTCCTTTGCTCTGATCGGTCATTTTGACTACTTTGGATTTGTTCTTTAAATACCTAATCAAAGCCGGATTATTTCTCAGCTAAAGAGTTCGTATGTCAAACCAGATCCAGATAAAAATGCCCCTATAATTTAGGTCAAGATCATTGCTCTATCTCTTCAGAACCAAGGTCAGAATTCAACCATGAACTTACCATAAGATAATGAAATATGCCGAGAAATTTAAGCTTGAAATTTAGGGATTTTTTTTATGATTTTTTAATATCACAGGAAGTCCAATTGTCGCATTGCGTGAACATCTCAGATGACAGCATTGAGGCGTTACTCACTTGCTGTCCAAGAATAAACATTCTTATCTTTGATGGCTGCCCTAATGTCACTGACCGATCCCGTCAAGCTCTTGAGGAGGTTATGCTCCGCGGCGGCAAAATGAAACAGTTATCATGGACGGTATATTAACTGTAGTGGCTGAATTTGTGACCTGTAACATATCAATATTACTAAGCTTCTGACAGCTTGTTCAACCTCAACGGTATCGTCAAAAAAGCAAAGGCATTACTCGGCATCCAGTGACGTTTTTCCTCTGTCGCTTTACCTTTTAGCTTAATTTATCCCTTCTTTGTCACTTTTGTCGTTCTTAACTCATGTTTCTCTTCGTTGCCAACTTTTCTCCTTTCTGTGTGTGCTAATAGGTGCCACTTAACTTGAAAGCTTTGCCTACAACGGATTTTGCGCTCATTCCCTGAACATATCATTGTCTTACTTTTTTAATTTCTTTTTTTGTGCACGGCATAGTGTGGAGTGTAATAATTCGAGAGTATGAATTTAAAAATGGTCTCTGCGGATCAATTATAGAACTCTTTCGTGCTTCACCATTTCCTCAACGAAATGCATTTGAATGATCATCGTGTTGACCTGTTTCTTAATTCCAGTGAGTATAGGTGCTAAATGAAAAAAAAATTGAATCAGATACAACAAAAATTTGGCAAATTTTTGGGAATAAATGAACCAAAAATTGAGATTTCCCTAAAGTCGTGTTGTGTAGTACATTATTGTCTTATCTTGGACACTTGTGTACAATTTCAGTCGCTAGGGTCTGATTTTAGGGACTAGTGTCAAATTTTTTATGTCAGTATCCGATTGCAGATGCCAGTGTCCAATTTTGGACACTAGCCTGATTTTAGACACAATTGTCTTTAATTTAAGAAGAAAGCGACAAAACTTTTGAGTCTGTGAAACATGTTTCGACAGAAACTTCTGTCATCTTCAGTTAATCATTGTAAAAAGCGTTGGAAGTTGAATTATATAGTAGGCAGAACAGCGCTAATTATGATAAATAGTGACAACAAGAAAAGAGGTAAAGCATGAAAGTGTGAGAATTAAAAGGATAGTTTTCGATTTACATGGTGTAATTGTTGATTCAAGGATGGTTGTTCTCTTTGAATGTGAATAGCCTCTTTTATCTTAAGTTGAAAGCCGGTAGAGGCGTGATCTAAAATATGAAAGTTATCTGCTGAACACAAAGCGCGACAATGCGGGAGAATCTTTTTTAGTCAGTAATTAAAATGGCTGCTCGAATTGCTTAATCGTGGGTATCCAGGCCTTGGGAATGTCGATTCCGCTATCCCTATTGATGTTGTTGGGATGAAGTCTTCTATGGATCGCCGCCTGATTTTAGACTCAAGTGTCTGATGTTAGACATTGGTGTTCAATTTTAGACATTAGTGTCCGCTTTGGACATTAGTCCAAAAAAACGGTTTGCCCACTGAAACAGTGAACATTGCTCGCATTGTATATGGTTGAACATTTATTGAAAATGATATCTTTGCATCATACCGTCAAAGTCAAACAAACATTTAAAGAAGTGTTTAATAAGTGGGAAAGACAAAAGTGCGCAAATGTAAGTTTTCAATTTTAAAGCTAGAAATTATGTTCACAATATTTTTTTCATGTTCCCTTAATGATAAACGCCCACGCAACGCGGTGTAATAATAGGTCGCGTGGGGCTAAACATCTTTAGCAGTTGACTCAGTTATTAGCCGTAATGATCATGATCATTACAATAAATCTGAATTGCATTTTCCCATTCTATAGAAACAACCCAGGAACTGGACTCTACGCACAGTATTGTGCAGGGTCAAAAATCGCGACGATGATGGTATGACGTATCATTTCTCGAGCTAAGCGCTAGCCGTTGTTAGAGTGCACTCTGATTACCGTAAAGCTTCCACATCACTGCAAGAAATATCGATGAAACACTGATACCGCCAGATGTTGCATGTACACGCACGATTTACGCACTCAAAGGAACACGTCACAAAGCCGTATATACAAGACACTTGCATGTGTTGTGGACCGTTTTAAAACTATACAAGGCACACCGCAATACCGCAATGTAGAATTTCAATTACCGCAATGCCTCCCAAAAAATTGCGCAACACCGAAAATCCTAATGTTCTCTTTTTGCCCTCATTCGGATGTTTAGTCCAATCTAATCTGACACGACAATAGCTAGCATCTGGGGTGCCATAATTGCCAAATAATGATATATTTATACCTCAGTAAAGAACATCTTGTTTTACATAAGCAATATTTGTTTTCGGGTCACCACCTCTGAACTAACCACATAAAGTTTGTTCTGAAGATATTGTAATCCCTAATCCCTTTCGCATGTACGATGACTCCCCATTGGACCCCTTTTTGGATCATTTTTGGACTATTTTATGAGGGGGAGAGGCAGATCAGTAGTGCTTAGAGAGAGGTGGGATGCAGTCTATCAACACTCAGGGAGGGGTAGGAGGCACGCTGTTGTTAATGAGTCCATTGGTCCAAGGGTCCAGTGGTCCAGTCCATTTTTTAACCCTATACCGGTTCATTTGGATCTTCTAACCTTTCCCACGGTCAGCGCTGAATCTTTATCGGTTTAATAATTAAGATGGGGAATCTGATAACACAGTAAACGGCGAAGATAAAGAGATGGGGGCAGCGTATGTTAATTCTTAGTCCGAAAAAACTATAGTTATTAAGGATTATTTTCCACCCAAACGTGGCATGATGAACTATATGTTATTTTTCACCCAAACGTTTCGTTAATCAGTGGTTTCGCTGAGGAGTTAATTTCAAGTGGGTGCCGAAAGAAATCCCTTTATGTCCTTGTTTGCGTGTCTACGCCCTGCACTCGGTTTAACAACACGCGCCACCTTGTCGACCAATCAAATAAAAGGTAAAACTAATCGATGGGATTTTTCTGGTTTTGCAAATCTGACTTTACGACTTTTAAAGTCTTTGTTCAGTTTAAAAACAAAGATAACCACCGAATAAATTGGAAAAAAAACTTTTTAAGTTTTTGATTGAGATCAGAGAGCAAAATTTCGCTTTGTGAAGCATCCTCTTTCTCCTTTCTCTCGCTTCCTCCCTTTCTTCGAGGGAGCGGGGAAGATTGACGGGGAGCTAGCGCGAAGTCTCGCATGATCCGTCAACATTTGAGGATAAGAGTTATTTGGCCTTGCACATATTTACGGTTGCTTTTCCGTGATTCAGTAATGCATGTCTATATCTCCGATGTTTTGAATTTTTTGCAAGGAACAGTTTTTCAAATTTTCTGCTTGGAAAGAGGAAATGGAATGGATACAATTTCAAGAATTATGTTTAGTGTTGCAACACGAGAGACAATGCGCGTTCTCGTATGTCTTTAAACTGTTTGGCACTCCTTGTGCCTTTTTCATCATCCTCTCCCTGTCCCTTGGTCTACTTGGTCAAACTATACTGACGATGTGAAACAAAAAGGCAAAACTCTTAAATTCTTCCTGTGGTCGGTCTAATCTACTCAGCATTATCAAGGAATTGTCACTGATAAGTGATAACTTGAGATCCGAGCAGATGGTCAAAGACGCGATGACAGACTTCAACGCGCGGAAACATGTGACCCTAGTAATGTCCAAACCAGACCGCCTATTATCGTTAATTGAAGATATTTAGAAGTCACAATGCTTCTTTTATACCAAATTAAGTTATAGCCAAGGATTTTGTTTCTTTTTCGAAAAATTTCTCCTTTTAGAGCCGCATCATGTTTAAATTTTCTTGTTTACATCAAAGGTTAATTCGGTTACATTGGGTCTTAGCGCAATGTCATCTGATTTGAATTCATTGCATTATATGAGAGCAAGATGTTCACAGCATCCGCAAGATACATCCTAAAACCATTTTAAAATATTCAAAAAGGAAAACCGATGTTTTTTTTTGCTAGGTTTTAAAGGCGTCCATTCACTCGCTGCCAAACGCGCGAGCATTTCGTGATATAGCACCACTTTCATTTTTCTTTTAAAAAACAGGCAGCAAAATTAAAGCAGACAAAATGAGGTTTTAATTATCGCAAACCACGCAATTTTTTCAATAAATTTTTGGTTCTTAATAAGCTGCCTAATATGTTGGTTTTTTATTTAAAAGAAACCGAATGTAACAAAAAACGATAAGATAAGAGAAATTAAGCATTAGATTACGCGTCAAGTGGATGAGAGAACAGATCTTGCTATGATCGCGGTGGCCATGATCGACTGAGCGATCAAACTTTTGCTCGCATATTTCACCAAACTTTGCATCTCTGATTCTTTATTGAAGCTTTCTATACACTTCCTAAAATTAAATCTTTAATGCTTCTACCAATTAAGAATCAATTTTGAGATATCTTTGGAGATAACCATCGCGTGTTCAGTCCAGTTTGATTAGACCAAATTCAGCATTCCAGCTGACTACATTAATTACGCAATCTCGTAAGCAACGCTTGCTTAGGTCTTACACGGTGGTGTAATAAACCCACTTTTCACTCAATTTGACTTCAAAAGGGTCAAGATTTTCTCGTCAATTTGAAAAAGATTAAATAAGTGAAATTGTCCAGAAGAAGGGGATCAAAACAAACATCAGTGCGACAATCGCTTACCGATGTTGAAATTTTCATTTCCTGTTGACGGTGGCAAACAGGAAAAAGATGCAGGCCCCTTTCCCGAGTTTGAGGTCACGCGAAAAAATGTTTCGCCAATAAGAAACACATGGTAGATCTTTAAGCACCCGATAATTGTTAAATAAACTAAGTCACCAATTGTTTGTACTTATTGTTTTTCAATAGCCCCGGTTCGAGGCAAGATTTGTTAAAGAAGTTGGTACAGTCGAGGAAAAAAGATATTGAACATCGCCGTTCGACAACGCTAAATTCTCTCTATGTGAGATAATGGTAAAGTGTCAAGAAAACAGTAAGACCTCTTCAAAGCTCGTGCCTTAGTTACCCCCTGCCAAATACCGCGCCACGAAACCCTACCCCTGCCCTTTATATGATCGGCTTTTATACCAAGAGCATCCCACTTGAATTAAGAGCTTTGTGTTTGCAGCTGCAGCGACACGTTGAAAGTTTATCGAAAATGTGGCATAGTGAGTTTACAACAAATTGGCCCGGTATGGTTCAGCAACAGATGCTTCCATCCAGTTACCTTGAAGACGACGACGACTCACACGTGAAAAGGCCAATGAATTCGTTCATGATCTGGGCAAAAATTATGAGAAGGAAGTTTGCTGAGGAGAACCCTAAACTACACAATGCAGAGATCAGCAAGCTGCTGGGCAAGGCGTGGAATGAGCTGACCACGAAGGAAAAGCGGCCGTTTGTCGAGAAAGCAGAAAGGCTTCGAATTCGTCACATGAAAGAGCATCCTAATTACAGGTACACGCCAAAGAGGCGATCGCAAGACAGACGGCCTGGTCAGCGAACAAACTCCACTTACATGAACCCGAGCTTCATCAGCAACATTTCAAACGTTGTAATGAACAGTCAGATATTTGGACTGCCTCCTACTCCAGAACTTAGTCCTAAAGACAGACATTGTGCTTCCACTCCATACATGGACCATGCAGGACAATACTATCCGACGGGATATGAAGATTGGAACTACAATACGTACAGGGAATCGTTCGGCAATCATCGTGATTACAATGGTTATCCTCCGACAAGATTAGAAAGAGACCAAGGCAGACCTCAATTTAACGGCCCTTCAACCTCTGACTATCCTAATCCACGATTTAAAGGAGCCATATGTTTCACACAAGATAGAGACACTTTTAGTTATAATGATGAGACTAGGCCTGGCACAAGCTCAGAACAGATGTTTCACCCAGAAAACGCAAGGAAAGACGTAACATTTCCACCTTGCGCATATCAGTCCGGAAAGATAAAATCACCAGAGAATTATCATTTTAATGAACCTCGTTCATCGATTGTCAAAACTGTGGTACATTCCGCAGGAAACGTTGGATCTACGTTGGCCACAGGCGAACAGCAACAATCTCAAAAAATCGTCAGAAGAACACGCTTAAGTTCTTGTAGATTTGCACAGCCTCAAACAGTAGAAAATGACGACGAAGAAGAAGGTCAAGATTATTCTGGACGGATGAGAGAAAACTCGGGGACAATTCTAGAAAATTTCACCGAACTTTTAAGCGATGATTTAGACAGAGAGGAATTTAGTATGTATCTCGCCGAGGCGTACTGACTGAAGTAAATTCTTCCATTGTAAACACTTTTAAGGATCAGTGTTCCCCATCGAAATCATCGCATAATGGTAAAACTGTGAAAGACGAAGTACAGTTTTTATCCACGAAAGGCCGACATTAAATTGCTATTTGTTAAATATATCAGAAGGTGGCACGAGTGGTTAACGAGTTTAGAATGATATTACATCATACTAATCGAGAGTGCTTTTGCTGTAAACAAACTGCTGTATCCTGTGTTTTTGGGAACTGTTTTCTTTCACCTACAGAGTGTCTCGAGGACTTGTGAACAGCGCATTTGCAGGCCGTTGATAGAGGCCTGCTATTATCCGTATGTAGCGTTTGTGACGAAAACCTTTCGTTGTTCCACGGCGCTGAAGCTGCAGTGATAAGGCGTTGAAAAAAGTCGAAGGTTATCTCCTACGATTGATAGCTTACTTACTTTATTATGTTAATACTATGCTAGAAACATTAGGAATTTAAGTGCAATTTTGGTTAAATCCGTAGCAAATGTCTCCTTTTAAATTTGCAAAATAGCTTCAGCGTTGTAGCAATTAAACATGATAGCTTGGTCCAGACGCCGACGTGTTCATAAATCAAGTTCTCAGTGGTTCTTTTGCATCATACCGGCAAATTTAAACTGGGCTTCACTTTGCACGGGATCATTTTCAAAAATTCGTAATTGTCATACAGTCGGGACCTTGTTGCGAGGAACAGAATTAGAAATGTCTTATGTCACTGATAAATGTTTGATGCTTTTTTTTTCAAACTATTCTCGTTCTTTACGTTCTTGAGGTTTCTGATGTCCCCTGCTGTGGCAAACTATCATAGCGACAGTTGTCGACAAAACCGCCTACTATGTGTGCTGCAGTTTGTAGATAACTTTACGAGGCGGTGAAATTTCTCAAATTATTATAGGAGCTGCTGACTGATTACGGCTTAAACATCTCGGTCGTTCCTGCGTTAAATACATAAACATCTTCTTTGAAGCAGGCTTTTTTTTTTGGCATGGAAGCTGTTCAGAGACGTATCAGAATTTATAGGCAAACTCACTGGGCATTAATAATTATAATAATTATTGACTCATACTCCGCAGTTATCAATATAAACTTTTCAATTGCGCATTACAATATTAAAAATTCAACTATATCTAGATACTAAATGAGCATTGCACCAAAGGATTAAGTCTGACCTACTATTGCAGAGGAATTTAACCAAAACGATTCCCAAATTAATCGACAAAACCATTACCGTGAATTTCTGGTTCATTTTAGCCTATGTAAAAAGTTGGTGACAAAGAATGATCTGATGAGAGCCCAACATAGGTTTTCAGTTAAAACTTCCAACAGATTTTTAAGAGAAACGAGGCATTTCATTGTCCCACGGCTTAACTTTTTCTGACTCGAGGAACAAAAAAACAGTGAAAGAAAATTGTACATGTACCTTTCAAAGTTTTTCATGTCAGCCTGCTAAAAATACTGAAAATTTATTCAGTATTAATTTATCGGCACAGTATGCCGAGTGCAAGGTGATTCACAAACATAACATAATTTATCGGTACACTGAAACCGATTCTATATTTTGTCCCTGTCCCGTTCGTCAAACAAGGATTCGGTTTGTTTTCCTTACGTCGAAGCAGCAGTTGAACTCAGGTTTTTTTCCCCCAACTCTTAAATTCATTTGAAAGCCTTATTCGTTGTCCTGAATCTAGATCTCTTCATAAAAAAGAACATTTTATCAAACCTAACCCATCATGATCATAGCATTCTTTTTTTTAAGTATTTCAAAAACTGTTTAGTGAAGTTGATATAGGTTGTACAGTTTTTTCTATCACCCCGCTTAATATACTTTGTTCTCCTAATAGAGGGGTTATTTACAGTAATTATGTTGAATCGAATGAGGGAATTTAAACCACTGTCTTCTTAATGAGGGTTTCCGCTGAGTATAGCACCACTTAAGGCATTTTACACTTGAGCATTTCATAATTTTGATAGGAGCCTATCAAGTCCATTCAAGAACTTAGCTGAAATTAAAAGTGGCAAAGCACTGACCTATGAGCAGCGTAACCCCTCCGGCAAAATTCTTCGTTTTTTACCACAGGAAATATTTGTCTGGGTTAAGAAATTTTCAGTCTACGACGACAGACGATCTGTTTTAACAGAGATATTTGTTGGGCATGGAAGGTAACATTATAACAGTGTCCTTTATTCGTTTTACATAACTCTCCAATTATCACCTTGGGTAAGTATGACAGATTTTCAGCTTAAGTCGAGGAAGAACCTTTTCTTCTCTGTGATATTTTTTAGCACTTTCCGCTCCAGTTCATAAAGTTTTTTTTTCTACCTTTTTCCTTCAAATAGTTTCAGGGTATTTTGATGTTACCTTTTGGCTGCCTGTAGGCCGTTTTGGAGCTATCAAATTGTTGCATGCAGAACTGTTTGAGTTTGATAGACGGCATAAAGCCTCATGCTGGCTAGAAATACATCTTTATAATTTTTCCAATGTCACTAAGGGAAACACGATACAGCAAAGGGAATTTGGGCCAGCCATTCTGGAGATTTTTGGTGCCAAACCCAGCTGAAAGGCCCTGAGAATTATGAGTGGATGTAAGAGAAGCTGTTGGAACTCATAACTAGCTAAGAAGGTTAGGTGATGATGATTAAAGGTGCTGCTTTAAAAAACACTGCCACCTTGTTTTGAGCAAAACCGCTGTTTGGGGCTGTATCGTGGATACGAGAAAGATTTTTTCTTCAGCGGGATTTTCTTTCCTTCCGGCCAATGCTGGTAAATCCATTGGATTGATTCCAGTCTATCTCATCTCTTTTACACAGATTGATCCAATTCTCTCAATAATCTACACTTCCGGTGAACAGTTACCGCTCTTATCCTCGATCAAGCAAACCACTGATTCTTTCTACGAATCCCATACATTTCTCTTTGGATCAGTTTTGAGAATTGAGTAGTTCATTACCACAATTTCGTGCACTGTCTGACTATGCAAAGTCTTAACAATAAACTCAGCTATTGAAACAACTCCCTCAGCTAGGCGCGCCCATTTTGGGTTCAAATGCTCCAAGCAAGGAATTTGAGTGAGAGTGTTTTTTTGTGCTGCTCAAAGTCGTCGCTTCAGCTGAAACTAACGTTGGTTTCCGTGAGCGAGACTTGTATGCTTTTGGTTGCAAAGTTACCAATGGGCTCAAATCAACTCTCTTCAGCAAAGTGCAAGACACCTTTCCTTTGCCTCCAAATACATAAAGGTAATTATCGATTTAACCCTAATAATCTTATCGCTATAGTGTTCGATAATTCATATGGAACAATTCATAGTTCAAGGCATGTATTTGATTCATCTATTTGGGCTTAAATTGTACCCATGAAACATAATCCTTACGAGGAAAGGTACTTCTAAAGAACGATAAATTTATAAATATCTTGAAAAGACTATTTGAAGACACTTTATATCCTTTAAGTTTGTTTGTTTATAGTAACCTCAACCGTGGACCTCCTGCTGAGCTCTATCCAATTAAAAGCGGGACCGTTTTGGAATCGCAATTTTTGAGTCTCAGTTGCGAAATATTCAGCGATAACTGCAGAAGCAGTGCTCGTTTTGAGAAAAGCTTGCGACTTTCCTTCAAGGAGAGCATCGACAAGCGTCTAAAATAGCCAATAATCATGCCAGAAAAGTGAAGGAAAAAGCTCAGGAGCAACAGAGTACGCCGCAGGATACCCTTCGAACTATAAAGGCGCACTTACACATATCTCTCTCGCATGTTTCTTAAACACCAACAGATTCCCTTAGCCGTCATTCAAAGTATTGACATATAACCATTTTAGACTGTTGTTAATGAAAAACAGATTTACAACCATGGTGAGTAAAGAGTACTTCTACATTCCGTTAAACTGTAAATTCTTTGGTTTCTCAAAAACATGTCATGACCATAAACTGAGGGGACCCTTGCTTTCCAATATGTTAAGAGTTTTTGCCGTGGTTCAAATTATTATTTTCTTGGTAACCATTATTAATGCTTTGCCATTCACAAGGCACTTTGTCAAAGCCGTAAATATGGTATACGATTAGTATAAATGATCTTCTTGGTAGTCCCGCCTATTCATTAAGACGCAATATGTTAACTTGGACGGCGAACAGATGAGTTTAAGTCGGTATGCCAGACCTTTCGAAAAAAACACCAGCTTAGTGACGGAGCATCGAAGCGGGATATCCGAAGGTCTGGGTTCCGATTCCCGGCAAGGAACTCCGAATAATTCTTAGTACCACATTCGTGACACGAAAGATGACATATTTTCTTTGTATGCTGTTCTTAGTTTCTCGGCTGAGTCATGGGCCTCAAGTTTGAAGATTCAATACGTCCATTTTGAAGTGACTGGTGATCCTTGTCATCTGATTGGCTCTCACTGCAGCGATTTATTCACGAATCGCACAAGTTTTTACTCTAAATCGCATCTCTTTTCCAACCAATAAGGAGCTTAACTAAAATACAACAACCAAAAGTAACCAGTCAAATTTCAGGAAAATGAAAAACAACTTTTGCAACTTTCTTCAAACCAGTACACTTATAGATCAACAAAACATTTGTACAGACCGGCTAAAAAAATCCCGTATCTGAGCGACTAAATTTGGCGATTTCAAAATTAATGTTATGAAATTTGGTCTGAAACCATACTCGTGATTTCAAATCAAACTCGTACTTCACACTTATTTGTTTTTGAAATCAATCTAATGATTTCAGACCAAATTGCACTCCACTCAGTTCACTTACCATTATAAACCGTCATTTCTCTTTTACGTACCTACCTAACTTTAAAACGATTTTTAGTGTAAAACGTCATTGCGTTATTCCATATAAGGAGGGGTATGAGCAGAGTAGCCGTAAGGTTTTTCCCGAGGGGGACTTAGGGACTCTCCACCGTTTAAAGGCCAAACCCAAAACGTATGGAAACTTCATATCTTAAATGCAATGGCATTCATTCAAAATTCACCTGATTGCGGTAACTTGGTCATAGAAATAGCAAATTTAAACAGTTGTTGGATCAATATCAGTATCTGGGCAACTGCCCACCTACCCCTCCCCTAACCCAACACTAACCCTAACTTGTTATCAATCGATTGTTGTTGAGTTAGGGGAGGGGTAGGTGGGCAGTTGCCCAGATACTAATATTGATCCCAGTTGTTGAAAAAAATCCAAACAAAACGTTGACGCCCTTCATCATCAATGACAGTCAAGCATTGCACATCATTATGTTTACCCTTTACACAAAGCAGGGACGAGCTCTAGCTCATATAAACAAGCACCTGACGTTTAGCTAAGTCCGTTTCTCACTGGCGCATGTTTCATTCCCGCAAAAGTCGTTTGCGTAGTATAAGAGGTATTCTTGTCGTTGCAAGAACTTGTGGCAATAAAAGAACCTCACAGGTATGATATAAAGAACAAGGGGGAGGGGGACTGGGAGGTTCCTGACCCTCTTGAACCTTCCCCTGTACACCTTCCTCTGCACAGCGACAGCGGGATATTTTAAAGAACCTTACGGAGATTTTTTAAGCGACAGCGATCAACTTAGGTAATTTTGATGAGTCTTTGTGTTCGCGTCTGTACTAATAACAAGGTTAGACAAGACACTAATGGATTCTATTAAATGGTGGCCATTTGAACGGTACAAAAGCGTGATTTAGCCGGTGTTGTCCGACATCTGAACCATCTTTGGTCAGGCCGATAGAATGAGCGGGTTACTTTCTTTTGATTAAGGTCGGCGGTAGTTTTGCAGCCATACCATAATGGCCATACTTATAGTATACCACCCACAGTCAATATTTTTGCACGCAAATAAGATGATAGTCACACTATATTTTCATTCAAATAAATAGACTTCTATCAATTATAACGATCTATTAGATCTAATTTTTAAAGGGCTGAAAGTAAATTAGAATTTTAAATGGTGAGAAATTGTTTAGCTGATCACATCTTGTACGTATATAGTACAGAGTTAGTAAAGACATTAAGAACCACTCGTTATTTATCGCGTAAGAAGAGGGAAAGGGTTTTTTTTTTCCCGGGGGGGGGGGAATAACATGGTTTTCAGGGGGAGCGGAGGGGGTATAAGTCGTCGCCAGCAGAGTATAAATGGGGGTGTTAGGGTTTTTATTTGCTATATCCTCCGATAATTAGATTTATAAGATTCCAAGATTTTAACTCGTCAAAAAGAAACTATCCGTTCTCGAGGAAAACAACTTCTCTCGAAGGCTTAAACTCAATTCTGGTACATGAAAGCTATGCGTGTGTCAATAAACACGCCCTTTGATAAGATAAGCAGTATTCGGTTTTATGCTCGGTTCTAATTAAAAAGTAACATAAATGTTCGCAGTGTTGAGTTCTGAAGGTTCGCAAGGTTCAGTTCTGAGATTCGTGTTCCGCTTCTTCACAAGGGGAATATAGAAAATTGAGTGCTAATTAACTGCCAATGAAGGGTGATCATTAAAATATCACGGAGTTTCATGTGATGATATTGGTAATAAATCATGATCGGTCCCTTAATAAGGTTATCATTGTCAATTTAAGAGAAAAACTGAGTAGTTCTATACATAGGTTATGCACCTATAATTTTCAAGCTGTTCCACAAGGTTTCCATTGGCTGCATCATCGATATCGTCTCTAGTATACGAAGTGTTCTTGTACCTTATTGATGACGTAAACTCCTCTGTCAGCGTTTCATTTCTGCTACTCCGATTGCTCGATAGTGTTGGTGTAAGAGGCGTTGAAGGTATGTCACTTTGAGGTGCACTTGACCTACCACAAACGATAGCAGCTACTGCCTTTCGAAAGTTGGGCATCCTCCAAGCATAAAGAAACTGATTCATCGAGCAGTTGACCAATGTCAGAAGGAACTGTAAATCCCGTAGCCAGTGGATAAGTATACAGTCACAATCATTGCAAAGGTTTATCATGTATATCATGACACACGATGGTATTAAACACAAAATGAAACACATTAAAATCAAGCTAAATGACCGCGTAAGTTGTTTTTCCATGGCCATGGCTTTCGACACGATGCGGTCTTGACAAAATGAACGCCAACGAGACACCTGAACTCTTAGCTTGTAATGAATCTGACAGTAAGAAAATGTGACAATCACAAATGTGGTGATAACTGCGGTATTTGCGAATATAAACGCAAACAAGTAAAACCCAGTAGCGAAATAAACGAGAGGTATCGTCAGAGATAAAAACCATATTAACGCACAGATAAGAACCACTGAACGAGTGGAAAATTTCCTTCTGATAGTCACGATTGTTAAATGTCTGTCAAGAGTTAGAGCTGTCAGACTAAGAAGTGAAGCTGTACAAGAGATGAAAAATGTTAAGTGAACAATCCATATCGTTCCTGAGACACCGTGGCCAAGGGCTTCCCGAATATGCCAAACGACGAATGCTGGTTCGGTGAAAATCCCGACAATGACGTCACTAAATGCCAGTTGGAGGACAAAATAGTTGAATGAGGTAGATAATTCCTGATAAGGATCTTTCAAAATGGCAATGCAGATCAGAATGTTTCCTGGAACTGTAATACAACAAAGCAGTAAGGAGAGACATGCAGTCGTCACTGATGTAGCAAATGGTGCGTGCACGTCGTCACATAAATTCATCATGAAAACCATCATGAAATGTCTCTTGTTCTTCTACCTTCAATAAAAATACAGCATTAGTTTGACATTTTACATGAAAATAGGGTATCATAAATAAATCATATTGTTGACCATATTATTCTCAAGCACTTGATCCCAACGACAAATTAATAAAAAAACAGTGGCTGAATGAAGGTCATCATTCTTAATTTTCTGAAACCTCTTGGGCTTGCATCTTTCGTTTTCCCAATTAAGGTCTTTCATGAATCATACATACATAAGAAGGTGAATAGTACGAAATTTGAAAGAAACTGCTCTCTTGAGTATTATCACATGACCTAACTCACAGCACATTGGAAAAACAAAATATGCAAGCTTATTCAAGAGACCTATTCAGGAGTATCTATATTGTGAGCTTCAAGAGGTCAAAGCCAGCAAATAAGTTCAAGTAATTACATTTGTTGATTTTATGATTTCTAAATACTAAACAAAATTGATCACCAACGAATCTATTTTCAAAGACCCAAGGAGAACCAGTACAGGGTTTGCTAAGAAAATATTCCTTCGCGTGGGAAAAAGGTTGGCTGTATACTGTCTTCCATTTTTTTTCCTTTTAATGTAAACACTGGCTCAAAGAAGGCACTAATTTGGTTTTATCAACTGAATTGATAAAGTGAATTGGCTACTGCAGGCGGGTTATAGAGCAAATATTTCGAGCATTAGTCCTTCGTCAGAGCGAATCAGACTCGCCGTGATGGAGGGCTAATCTCTTGAAAGGTAAGCCTTAGATCCTCTCTAAGGTAGCCAACTCACCCTATAAACTCAGTTGATATAAAACCAAGTTATCTTGTAGAAACCCTAAAAGACGCAGCACCACAGTTTTTTTAGAAACTTACCCCCTTTAATCATATTTTAATCATTTTCCCATCATTTGGCAGGTGTCGCACAGATAGTTCATAGATAAGCGACCAACCGATAAGTTTTGTCAGTGTTCTAATCTGTTTAAGCATACTAAATATTTGTTTGTGTTCCCGACACATAGGCAAATTCATGGCATATATTTTTCAACTGAACTGAAACTTTGGTAGAGAATAGACCAAACAGAAATAACTGACTGGCGAGCCTTAAAGAATTTCATACCATATGTCGCCTTTGCTGGATAACAATAATTAAAATTGCAAAACAGCAATTTTGGGAACGCAAAGTAGGTAAGGAATAGAGTCACGTACGCTTATAAACATAGTAACCGTCACAGCTCCCCCATTGTGTTCATCAGTAATCTAATTGGAAATCGTGTTGTAAACAAGCCTTCTAGATCAAAATTACAAGTTCTAACAAAGAAAAGGCAGCTACTGGGCAATCTTAGCTCTTACCTTTACGTATAGTTCAAACCAGCTTTTTCTACTGAATTTATTCAACAATGCAACTGAAAATCTTTGAAGATGGACTTGCTTCATGTGAATGTGAAGTTGTCCACATCTGGTCCTATTCCAGTGGGATATGAAGTGTTTGTTTTCTGTGACAATAAGATCATATTTTGACTTGTTAGTTAAAACAAAACATCGTCTAAACAGGATCAAGATAAGATCATGCATGAAATGATAATGACGACGCTGAGCTAAGTGATCGACCAGTCATGCATACAGTGAAATAATAATAATAGAAAATCCGTTCTTCATCAGTGATAACCAAATTGAAATCATTTTCCAGTATTATCACATCTATGGGCTAGGTTCACAAATTGTTCTTCTCCGTGATACTTTCATTTCCTTTTTCTGAAGATTGGATTTTCATTTTACGTCTACAAACTCTGTGGCTCAAAAAGAAAAAACAAAGCATCAACAACAAAACAAGACTGTATTTTCCACACTTGGACGTTTCCTGACTTTCTTCCTTGCAAATGCTATCAGACAACGCCCAATTATTTTTCAATAATCACACCTCTTACAGAGAAAGTAAACACGCCAGCATTAGAGCCTGTTAGAAACGCTTTTAAGTTAACTTTCATATGTCGAAAACAAGTTCATTGATTGCGGTGTTTTCACTATATTTTAGTTTCTTATTTATTTATTTATTTTCCATACTACAATAGAAATTAACAAAGAAAATCGACAAGCTAAGCTAAATATAGCAATGTATATGGCGAGAAAACCTGAATGAAAACACGAGCCTTACATAAGGTTAGGATTCCTCCTAAAAGGCGCAGAGGTGTGAAGCCAGATTCGTATCAAGGAGAGAACCCACGAAAAAACAAAGGAGTAAGTTGATAATTGTGTGATTAATAAGCGATTCCTCACTCCTCGTAGTTAAAAAAGAATTGGATTTTTGGTCAGAGTCATCTTTAACTATCGAAAAGTTCATGAGACTCTGCTGTAAGAGCTTTTTCCTGTTTTTAAATTTTGACTGAATTTGCTATGAGGATCACAGAACATATAAACGTATCTTTTTCGCAGTTGTGTAAATTTAGACACTTATAACTACAGCAACACTTAGGACACTTAAGTGTTCCTGTAGTCGGTCGGACTTGTTGCGTCATAGAAAAATGTGTCTAATAATGATTGGGAAATCTAAAAATTTCATTATCGAAGAGTCATGAATGATGAGTTGACAAATGTTGAAAACACTTTTCATAAGGCTAATTATCCTCAGCAAATTTATCTATCACAATTCATTTTTTGTTGAGGAGGTTGTACCAACTCAACATTAACTTCAGTCTGCGGAGACGTAAAGTGGTTTAAAGAACTTTCGCTTAAAATCTACTAGAAATCTTTGGCTTAGGCTTTTTTCTTCTTTGCTTTGTTTTTCTCTAAAGTAGACCGTTCGAAAAAAAATTGACCTTTCTCAGACCTTTCCTCAGGGTTGCCCTTAGGATCAACAGTGCTGAAAATCACGCGCCAAAGAATGATTAATAATCACTTTTCCAAAAACAAAAATCAAGTGAATGTAAGCATTTTCGAATCGCATCTTGCGTTAAAGCCGTGATAAGAAACTTCTGTAAAGAAATGAAGCGCGACGCAAACGCTAAGCGCATTGCACACCAACACCGCTAGACAATGTTTACCTCACAGGCGCTTCCACGTTTGTTCTCTCGCTGGAATAAACAGCGGTTTGACTGAGCTATGTAACAAACAATTACTTGCCCAGTCAAATTTGTATTCCCTCCCCTCAGTGGTCCGTCAGCAGCGCTTTTAGACACCATATATAGCAACTCTAGTTTGTTTAGTTTTCTGTCTGTCTGGCAGGTACCTGACAGAGATCTCAGATGGAATCTTTTGTCAAGCCGAGCCTCTTGGAAGTTTAGAAATTACCCAGATTTTTCCGTGACACCTAATATCCTAAAGAGGGATGATCAAATTCTAAACCACTTAGGAAAACACTTTGAGACGGCGGCTATGAATCTCAAACCGATGAAATGACAAGAAAAAGTAACTGTTCAAAGCCACTTAGCCGATACAGCCTTGTAGAGGTAATTCCTAATGGGAGAATAACCAGGGTAACCCTGTACTAGCTCTAATGGTGAGTAAAATTTACGATGATTTTTATTACGTAAGTCGTTTCAGCTTTGAGCAGTCGGTCTGTGTGCATGGATATCCTTGCAAGTAGGGAAATTTGCAGGAATTTTGCCAAAAGATAGTATCGTTCGGCTTGATCTCACGTTGAGAAATCTTTCGTTCGCGAATTAGATGCCATCTTGATAAATTTACGAAAAACTAACTCTTGCCCCGCAGTATCGACAACCCGGGCGCATATCATCATCCCTGCCTTCCAGAAGTGCTCCGTCACGCCAACGTTTGTTAGAAGTGATGTATGCGTGACAGTTTAAGGATTTATAGCCAGTGTAGTTTGTTATTACTACACTCTTAAGTTCAGAAAGACGAATAAAAGACGAATTAGTTGTAACTTTATAGAGATGTTCTTGCTTTCGGAATTTAGAGCTACGGAAAAAAAAAACCTTTGAAAAATAATTAGTACAGAATTCCTTTAAATCAACGCTTCTTAGAAGTGTAAACCTATCTGGTAAGATTTAAAAAATTGACAGTGAATGTCTATCGTCGCTCACTATGAAAATGTCAAAAACAATGATAGAAGAGATAAATCTACAAAATACAAGTCAACTCAAGGCACAAGTTTCCTCCCTCACTGTTCTCCTTACAACATTTTTCTGTTCTAACCTTAACGACAGTGGGCAGATAAGTTAAATTACCAGGTGCGTTGCTCGAAATATGTAATCATGTTATCAAAAGAGCTGGATCATACCATTCTAGACCAAAAAGGTTTCCAAGACACAACAAACAATACTTATAACAACTGGAGCGTTTTGGTTTGCTGTAAGTTGGCGGCCCAAACTGATTTTTTCGGGGGGTACTTCCGAGTTCTTTATGCCTCGGATTTCGCTTGTTCTATCCCCTCGCATGCACTTCTCGAAGTTTATTTGTTATTCTGCAACTTTTTCCTATCCAATCACATCCTATTTTTCATGGTCATTGAAAATTGTTTCAACAGTTAAACAACTTTATGTTACTTAACCCTAAACTTAGGAGAGGAATACCTATTATAAGATTTTGCTTACAACAGGGCAAGTTATCAGCAAGACAACAGGATTGTTGATTCTTCAAGATTCTCAATAGGAAGTGAGCGCAATCGAATAGTGTGGACAAGACCAAAAGTGTCACGTGCCTAACGTGTCGGTCTTGTGATACCTGTTTACCCAATGACATAATAAAACGATTTCGCAAAAAAATCGAGATTGAGTAATCAAATGCTTTTATTATGAACCAACTAGTCGTTCAAAACTTGATAACAAGATAGGTTCATGTTTTAATTTCAATTTGTTTACCATCTCACACCGTTGGCTACTTTCTTTACCCGCAATACATAACAGAATAGCAAGTAGTGTAACCAATGAGATTGCAACATTTGCGATGGAGCGCTAGAGAATTTATACCACTGAAAGATAAAGGTAACTTCACTTTTGTTACAGGTTGAATCGGAATGATGCCTTTTATCAAGAATTTATGCGAGGATACTCGGCCACCATACTCCTTGTCGATGTTCACGGCCTCTGTATCACTGTTGCTATGTTTAATCACGGTGCCGGGAAATGTGTTGGTTTGCTTAGCAATCTTCAAGGATCCTTACAAAGAACTGAGGACTTCGTTTAACTTTTTTGTATTTCAATTGGCCATTAGTGACCTTGTAGTGGGAGTTTTGACCGAACCAATGTTTATTTGCTTCCACATCAGAGAGGCCATGAAGTATCCGGTCATGGAGAATATTTGGGTTATTCACCTGACGTTTTTTATATCATACGCTGCGTCGCTGTTAAGCCTGGCAGCGCTAACTCTGGACAGATATCTCACAGTGATGTCACACCACAGAAGGCTGTTATCCACCACTCAAATCACCCTGATATCTGTGCTGATATGGGTGATATCTTTTTCGCTGCCATGTTTGTATTTCGTCACCGGATTCTACCTGTTTGCGTTCATGTTTACAAACGCTTCTCTCATCATAATAATCAGCATATTAACATTTTCATATATCCGTATCCATCAGAGACTGAAGGATCAGATCTCTCGCTGGCATTGGTTCAAACAAACACAGATCAAACTGACTGCGATGTCGTTAGAGAAAAAACTGACGAGAGCCTTTTACATCATTCTCGGTATATTCCTCATGTGTCTACTGCCATCATTTGTAATGATTTACATCATCATCTTCTGTGATGAATGTAACTGCACGCTCGTTCATTGGATGAGAGACTTGCAATTCATATTCCTGCTGCTGAACTGTTCGTTAAATCAGTTCTTATACGCCTGGAGAGCACGGAACTTCCGCAAAGCCATCTCTGCCGTGTTTTGCAAAACAGTTTCATACCAGGTGAACGCTGAGCTTGCCGGTAACAACAATGGCATAATTGCCGCTGATTCTAATTCAGCTGATGTAATAGAACTGATTCCTCTGGACCCCACGAAACTTTCCCCGATGCCTATAGAAGAAATGGGTCAGACAAACCAATTCTCCTTTCAGTCTTCAGAAAAAAGAAATTAAAGACAATGCGAAGTAGGCAAGGCTATCTTAGAAGGTAACTGATTGCAAGTTTATGATGAAGTGCTGAAGAAATAGAGTACATCTTCCTTCGTTGGTATAGCAACCTTTTAGGCCTATCCAGAATATTTTCTCTGGCGCGCGACTGGTTTAAACGCAGAAAAAGAGACAATTCTTTTTTTCTTTTCATGGAGTCGCTCTAAGAAGTGACGGTGAACTGTTCGTAATAGTTTCGCACCGCGCGCTGGGAAAAAAAATCGAAGGATAATAAGAACCCGCAACTTCTATTTGGCTTCAAAATATGCTCGTATTTTTATCCCTGGACATTGTCTTTCCTTGAAGCTTTTCCTTGAAAAAACGGTCCGCCTCTCAGAGAAGGCAATGTCTGCGGGCTGATACCTGAGCATGCTTTTACGCCAAATGAAGCTATCGCGTAGTAACTGTCTCATCGTTGCTAGTTCAACCATTCCATCATAGTGATCAAATATTGACCTTCATAACAAGATGTCTGGTGAAGAAAAAAACATTGCACACAATTCCATAGTTCCATCTGCACCTTTGTGTCTCTGTAAACATGGCTGTTTCATGAGTTTTGCATCACAATGAAATTAACGTTTGGGTTCATGAGCTTGTTGTAAAATGTTATGTGATAAAATCTCATTTCAGCTGACATTTTTACCGCTCAAGAGATTGGGGCGAGGAAACACTTGTCAGCTTAGGCTCCTTACAACTAATCAAGATAATGTTGATTGTTGAAGCTCGTTTTATTTTAAAATTCCTCATCATATTTTCGTAAGGCTTTTCTAGGGGTTTTCTGCTTGTGTATGGATCATTTTCATGATTGCTGACAAACCTTCGGGCTTCGGGGAATATTTCGTGCTGATTTGTGCGCTGCAACTGTAATATTTAATTTATAATTTACCCTATTTTTCCTTTGTGATTCCCCCTTTGAAATAATATTAAAGGAGTGCTACCCGGCGAAATCGGATGAGTATGAATCTAGCGCATCCAACAAATTATACTTTTCAGCAAGATAGGGAAAAGTCAAAATTTGAAAAAGAAACCGAAATTGTTTGCGGAAATTGAGGAGAATTTTCGAAGAATTTTCAATCCCTTGGTTATCGAGTTCGCAGTTGTGGAAATAAGATTTAACGAATCACGGTTACAAAACAAAACTATAATCTCCCTGCATGAGATAAATTTTGATGAAAGCTTAAAATCTATTTCTAGGACTCTATCTTTTATTTGGCTTAACCTTTCCATTTAATCTTTTTCTCACTTATAGCGGAATTTCATTTGCAAGGCAAAATGAAACTAACACCCTCTTTTATAGTGTAAACGAGGTTCATTCTATTGGCACAAGGAATGAATAATAAAAATATATAACAGGCAATTTTGGTAGCTCGAAACGTGTGCTTTTAAGATGTTTATCCGTATTAACTATCAAATATTAATGAGTGAAACTACATAAGTGAATCGCCGTAATTTCTCGGGTTACCCACAAATAGTTCGGCAATATTTACCTTAAACGTAATGAAGCCGATTTGTTACATCGATTTCCCGATATCACAATTCATCACGTACTTATAAAATTTTTCAGGCTTATAACAGCCCACTTATTTCACAACGGGCAACACCACACTTTTTGATGTACTAAAACTTTATGGCGATCGATCCAAAACATTATCATTCGCCAATTTCAGTTCAGGCTGATTTAAATGCAGTCGGAAATTGTTGGAATTAATTCAAATTCAACCGGAAAATGTCAGTTTACTTATTAACAGAAAGCATAAAAGAAATATTGCCGAGGCGACTTAAAACATCTGCCGCGAGGTATCCTACAGCGCCAAGTGGAATTTTGTCACAATTCAGTCACGTATAAAACGAACATGAAAGGATGACAGGAAAGGAAAAAACTACTCAAGTGAAGCTCAAATACCATAAGAAAATTTGGTTTTAAGGTATGGGTTTATTTCATCGCAAAATTAAGTTGGTAAATGTCAACAATGACAGAGGGTTTCTAAATTACTTTCCTACAGAGAGATGTCAATGCTTTCAATAAATATCGTTTCATCTATAGTTTCACCTTTTAATTTCTTTTCTTTTTTTTGAGAAATCACAATTGTCACTGCCGTGAACCAACCAATAAAAGGAACTTCATTTGCAGTAGCAGATTGAATGGGTAAGAAGATTTAATAAAGAAACTCATTCTTACATTTCCAACGAGTGTCAAGTTCCATACTCACAGGTGAGAGAAGACGCTCTCGTATGGATTTTGGTGACACATTTCTTGTTATTTTGCGATGAACTTTGGTACTAATCTCTGCGATGATGAATGGGCCCCGTTTGCAACGTCAGTCACTACAGCTTGCGTGTCGGCCATATTATGTGTAATCACGGCTCCAGGTAACTTCCTTATCTGTTGGGCGATCATCAAGGATCCGAACAACGAGCTGAAATCTTCGTTCAATTATCTGATTCTGAACCTGGCCATTGCGGATTCTTTTATTGGAGTTGTGACAGAGCCTGTATTCGTTTGGTATCACATCTCTGAAGCAATGAAATACGAAGTTCTTGGCCTTCGTTGGTTGGTTTATATGTCATATTTTATGACTTCTACCGCCTCAGTGTTAAGCATAGCTGCGTTAGCAACAGATCGTTACCTCGCCTTGACTTCTACTACCATTAGAAAACTGTCCTCTTCGAGCGCTATTACAGTTTCCATCGCAATATGGATTTTCTCATGCGGTTTACCTTTTCTTTATTTCGGGACTGGGTTTTATACGCTGGCGTTCATTTTTGCCAATACCACAATAATTCTAACTCTGATTCTTTTAGTTTTTTATTTTGCACGTATTGTAAAGAGTCTAAACGCTCACGAGAAAAAAATGCGATCGGTTCTTGGAATGGAGGCGCGCCGTCAAGGGCTCCACAGAGAAAAGAAAGCAACAAGAAGTTTCCTTTTTATTTTGGTTGGTTTTTTCGTATGCAGCTTTCCGTCTTGTGTCATGATATACGTCATTAATTTATGCAGCACGTGCAGCTGTGACGTTATACACTGGTTTAGAGACCTACAGTACTTGTCAGTTCTTATCAACTCCTCGTGTAACCAGTTTTTGTATGCGTGGAGGATGAAAAGTTTCCGCCGAGCTTTTAGAAGAATTCATCCCCTCTTCGTTTGTTGGGAAGAACAAGAGAGAAGATCGACCGTGCCACAACTACCTTCCAATGCCACCTGGTCGCAGTCGCACGAACAAATGAAAAAGTGAGCGTTGCTGAAAGCTACTTTTGTGCTAACCAGCCGGTTTCGTTGACTCGTAACCATTATTCTATATACAACTTATGTAACTTTCATAAAATTGCTTAATGCTTATGGGAGATAAAAAAAGGGCTCACCTTCACTCCCACGCCCCTCCCCCCACTCCCCCCCTTTCAAGAAAATCGTCCCAAATTCTGATTTAGTCGTGATAGCTCGTCAGGCTACCGGATTTTTGGAGCTCGCGCCATTTTTTAGTCATATGATATAAATCAGATACGTTCTCTGAATCCCCAAGAGAGTATTTCTGTGCTAAGAGTTCTAGTTTAATTGAGCCATTTTTGGATTGAGTTTAATACTCGCAAAAGAGACAATGAAACATTTAAACTGTAAATGAAAAACATATACTAAAAGTTTGACCGGTGAACTACTTCCACTACTATAGGTGCGATCAGTAAAGTTTTTTAGTCGTTAGTCCTTTGTAGTTTCTGCTACGTCTGACTGTTGGTTGGCCTGTCTTCTAAACCTGATCCTCCTGTTTTGGAACCAAACTTTGACGTGAGTCTCTGTCAGCTGAAGCGCAGTAGCAAGATTACGGCGTTCTTCTCCTGCCACGTACTGCTGCCTAGAGAAAGTGTTCTCCAATCGCTCCAGCTGCGCAGGCGTGAAAATCGTTCGGGATCTCTTGTTGGGTTTTCGCTTATCTTTCTTATCATCACCTCGTTTGATGGTTGATTCTACAAGACAGCAACTGTTTGGTCAAGTTTCAATCACAATAACTGCGGCTTCGCTTGATTATTTTCGTTTTCTGCCCATTGAAACTTAGGCTACTTTTTCTGCAGTGAAGTTATTTAGACCTTTATCGCAGTGCTTCCGTTGTCGAGAGTAAATGTCTTGGCAAATAAAACTAAGTTTGCTTTTTTTTTTCAGTTACCCGTGAGACACAATGATACGACTGAAGAATTCGGTTAAAGTTAATATGGAAAATTTCCAAGAAGTTTGGGTAAAATAGAAATTGAAAAAGCAACAAACTTTTCAACCCCAAAAGCACACTACCCTTAATTTCCTTCAATAACTAGGTAGGCAGGAGGCAGAATGGCAAAAGGTGTAAATAGGTATAAAAAGAGTGTAGATAGAAACTGAAGAATCTGGTCACACCTACCCATGTCTGATTGCCAATTGACAGCGCATGCTCCGTTATGACAGCAATGATAGTGAGGAAATTGAGCCGAATAATCAAAAGGGCCAGAATCCCCCGCGAGCAGCAACTGGCGATAAGAAATGGAAGAAGGAAGTGACTGCATTGATGGAGAGGTGGGCGAAGAAGACAAAATGGCGCGGATGGAAAACGAGCTGGAGAACTGGCAACTTCTTTCCTGATCGTTGAAGTGGAAGTAATCGGCAGCGGGGGCTTGTGTTGAAGAAGGATTCGAAATAGCCGAAGTTGAATTCAATGCCGCTGGAAAAGAGGAGAGCATCTTTGCCGTACTTTTTAATGTTTTGAAGACGGGAAACGAAATGAAAATGAATTACTTTCCACTGCATTGGCCTTTAATTGCTTTCTAGACGACATTTGTTGCCTCTCATAGGAAAATGATATATACTATCACGCCATGGTTTCAGCGGAACAAGTATTAACTTTTGAAAGCAAGGAAGGATTTCGTAAATAACGTGACTATCCCATACGCTTTATTTCACGTAATATAAAATTGCTTCATGGAGGATCTATTGTTTAGTGTACGAACAGCTGTAAACATCCCAGGACTTTTGTAACCGATTAGTTGTTCAAATGGTGAATATTATTGCCTATCCTGCCAGGTAGGTAATTAGAACGGAATATGGATAATAATAGCCTAAAATTACCGATAATAGACGCTCTCTTAAACGCCCTTAGTTAGTGGGGCTCTGTTGGTCTCAATAAGCTTTATATTATGAAACCGACTCTGTCACTGAGGTTTTGCTACCGCGAAACAAATAGTGTTGAAGAACGGGTTTATAAATTGTGAGTATTCGAACCTACGTGCTTGTTTATCAGTTATTTCGTATTTTGGTGTCTCTTCTTGTGAAATTACGCGAGTTGCACGAAAGCAATTGATTGAATAACAATTTGCATTCTGTCGAAACTTAAGCTTCTTTTGTCTTTACGACGATGGCAGGGGGCTTATACAGGTCACATTCAAGTGCTTTCTCTGCCTGTCATTTAGATTTATAATGTTGAAGTTACCAATGATGCATAATTTTTTTTGTTTGTTTTCGTTGTTTTATTTTTGGCTTTTTGGTGGTGAACTGACTTAAACCATAGTTATCTCTTCTATCATGATTTTTCATTTAATCGCGCAAACTATGAGTATTATGATGCCAGATGCGGTGATTCCTTTTATATCTCAACCCCCTCATGAGGTTTTTGAAATAAATTTTGAATTGATTACTCGGCTACTTTAGTGACCGCAGGCGTCAATTCGAAAATAACTGACTTGTGCTTTTTTACATAAGTGGGCCGTTATTGGAGGTGTCTTATCGATCGATCAAAAGAAAGGTGTTTCTTGCCCAAACATGAAATATTAAGACTTGTTAAAGGAGATATCGACGAAATGGAAAGTTCAAAAGTCGTTATTGGTTTGTATTGATATCGTGATATCAATGTTGCTGTTGGTTTTTCCCTTTTTCATAACCTTTTTGTTTCTTCAGTTAAAGTATCTCATTTCATCTCATTAAAATGCTACCTTTTTTTCGGTAGATAGTTAATTTTTATGACATTGTCTTATCTTGAGATATCTTTTGCTAGCTTTTCACATCTGTTCTAAAATAATCGAGTGTTGTCTGGACTTATATAAAAACTTCTAGTCCCCAACAAGTATTGGCTGTAACTTAGAAGCTTCAGGTTTTCCCGCCAAAGCTATCCGTTGCGATTTAGAGTTACGTACTTATGGCAAATGCAAGCCTTGAGATCTTGAAAATAATATCAAAGTATTCTCTTTCATGTTATTTCTCTCCTCACACGATGGACCTGTGTATTTATTCATGAAGAATTCTTTAGATCGTATGCCGGAATCTACAATTTGATACAACAATGCCCGGTAAATTAAATGTCGCGCAAAATAGTAAATGATACTGAATTTATCACAAGCATTACATGAGACATCTTTAACTTTTTAAAAGTCTTTGAGTAAACGCACCCTTCTCCCCCCTTTCCCAGCCCGTTTACGGCGAACTTCGAGTGACAAAGCTGTCTGGATATAATACACGATATGCACTGCCTTCGCAGCTTTAAACGAGGCTTTTTTAATTCTAATCCCCAATTGCTTTGCTAAGAAAATGTAGGGGTTGTTCTATTACTGGTGCATTTTATCTTGCTCACATCAACGCACGATCTATTAGAGCATAACCACTCAAAGACGGCTGACATTGCAGACTTTATCCATTGAAGCAAAACATCAAGATGTTTACCAGTCGCTGTTACTGACTCCTTTCGAGCGTTAGCCCTTCGTCGTTCGTTCTGACGAAGGGCTAACGCACGAAACGTCAGCTTTTAAACTTTTACAGAGGCCGATTTACGTTATCAACTCATTTGACAATACTAAATTACCCTGTAGCACTACTGACCAATTTACTTTGTGTTCTAGGTTTGCGATTGTGTCGTGTCAGTCCTCAAGGACAGCTCATTACACTCGACACGCCTTTCCTTGAATCTCAAAAGCACTTTAAAAGCTCTTTTGAAAGTGGGCATGCGCCATGCATACAAGAACTGGTTAGCTGAACAGTTAACAAGGGCCATTAGAAACTGAAAGTCGCGTAACCAATGAATGACGTCACAACTGCACACGTCGCAAAGTAGAATGATGTAGATGATGACACAAGAAGATACATTACAGCAAACGAACACGAAGAGGACTAACAGGAATGATCTTGTGGCTTTCTTCTCATATTTGACTCTCTGTTCCATCATTCGATCACTGCGGGTGGCTTCAACATTATCAACATGGGCGTGAAGACTTTTGTAGATTCTAATGTATGCAAAAGTGATAATCAGCAAAGTGGCCACTAAAGTAGTGTTAGCAAACACAAAGACAAAAGTGTAAAAACCTGTTGCGAAATAAATGAATGAAACAGAAACAGAGAAAATCCAGATGCCGATGGAGATTGCTACCGTTCTTGATCGAGAACAACTTCGCCTATAGGTGGAAGTAACTGTGAGGTAGCGCTCAGTGGCCAGAGCTGCTATGCTAAGCATAGAGGCAGTGCAACTGATGAAGTAGGCTACATGAACGACCTCCACGCGGCTCATTACGTCGTATTTTAAAGCTTCTCTGACATGAAACACGACAAATACTGGTTCTGTGCATATACCAGTGATCAGATCGGCCAAAGCAAGATTGAGAACCAGGTAGTTGAATGCGGATCGCAGTTCTTTGTTCGGATCTTTGACAATCGCCAGGCAAATCAGAACATTTCCTGGTACAGTTATAACACACAGGATTGTTGATATAGTTGCAGTTGTCACAGACAACTCAAATGGCGCTCTCTTATCTTCGCAAAGATCGCTTCCAAACAACATGATGCTTCTTTTGATTTGTATCTGTCTTAGAAAGACTATCAATATCTGTCGACCAAAATGGCAATGATTATACCAATATGATACAAACTACGTTGTTCTCACAAACAGTGCGCAGACGTTCATGACATTTCTACGTCAGGTGTAGGTGACGAAAAGAATGGAAGCTTCCAGAGCCGAGAATTTTCTGCAAATTTTTAGGCACCATGGGTTAACAAAGTCTGGTTGTGCATATTCACTGAATAAGCCTTTGAACTGAATTTACATGAATTTTCATGTCGAGGAAAATGTCACAATAAAGCAAACATTTGACAAAGGCTTAAAAACAAACAATATTCCTCCCGCCGATAGAAGTAATAAAAACTAGAATTATTATTGAATTTTTGAAGGAATAACCCCATGGCATCAGAAAAGCTAATTTTTAAGTCCTTTTTTTCTAAGAGGGAGGGCGAAATTTGAAGGTTTAGAATTGAATTAAAAGATATTTTACAAAATCAAACTAAAAAATTTACTTGCTAGATTTGAAAAAATAATTTCTGTCACTTCTAGGTGGCATGTGACCTTAGAATCATATTGACATTTCGGAACCAAAGGGAAATTGGACGGCTACTGGTGAATTTAAATGTGTTTCATTAAATTGTCAACAATATACGAATTCTAATTTTGAACCAAAGAGTTATTTGCAAAAATAGATTCTCAGTGTATTGTGAACGATTTGACTGTTGCCATAACAAATATTTCTGGCAGCGTTGAATGTATTTCATTAGGCACCAATGAATTTGATTACTGGTGAGTAAAAATGTTGATCAAGCTGAGACGATAATAAATTTTCTTTTGTTCTGTGTCTGACCTGCGATCAAATTGTTTGAAGTTTAAATATGGACTTTATCTCATTTGAATAGCTGAAGTTCGAACTAGTTACGAATATCAAGCCTTTTACAATCCAAAGAAACCGAAAAACGATTTCTTTTTTAAAAGCCAGTAAACACAATTTTTCAATCAGGATTTGCTATGGTGGCGATACTGGGGACATGTCTTGTTTAATGATATGCACTTTAGAATAGTTACTCGCCTTACACCAAGAAGACCCCTAAGAAGCTCTAATTTGCAATTCTTAACACCGCCAAAGTGTATTTCCTGGGTGCCAAAGGAGTTTTGGATCAATATCAGTATCTGGGCAACTGCCCACCTACCCCTCCCCTAACCCGATAACAAGTTAGGGTTAATGTTGGGTTAGGGGAGGGGTAGGTGGGCAGTTGCCCAGATACTGATATTGATCCAGAGTTTCTATACTCAAACTATTATCCGGCCCAAAGTTCAGAGAATATTTCAAATCATTCTACGTGCGATCATTAGTCTCCCTTATTTTTCGTCTTTATTACATTGACATATCGTTCTTTTATTCTATAAACTCTAGTTTTTATAGTTGCGTAACTGTACCATATTCATAATTTGAAATTTTAACATCCCTGTTATGCTACTGGCTTCATCAACATTATCTCATTGATCAGTCTCCTTATTTCCTCTTGCAATTTTGTCCATCCTGTAACATTCCTTTCGTGACCAGATCTTTTGGCTGAATACGGTATGTTGAAACAAGTACACGTACGCTCTGCGGAAATTCCGCATCCTCATCGAGTAAAGTAACTGATTCGTGGCTGCAATAATCATGGGCAGGAGGAAATAAACGTCACGCAATGTGTTCGTGATGTCACAGGAGCACGTGGTGCAGAAACTGATGATGTTTGCAGCAATGCATGACGGGAACACCGTGGAACAGAAAACAGTCAAAATCGTCATAAAAGATCTAGTGACCTTCCTCTCTCTCGCTAAGGCTCTCCGCTTGAAGTTGCTGTGTTTTATTGTATCCCAGTTTTTTACATGGCTCTGCATTGTTTTTGAAGTAGACTTGAGCGAGGCAAGCAAAATAGCGAACACTACTATGGCTGACGTGTTACTAAATACAAACATAAATAAATATACTTCTATCAAAAGATAAATAAGCGGGAGAATCAACGACAGGCACCATATTAGGGCAGAAGTTAGATATCCATGCATTGGCTTGAGCCTTCTACATGAGGTTGACGTAACTGTGCGGCAGCGGTCCACAGCCAACGCCGACAAGCTCAGAAGCGAGGCTGTAAGTGACATGAAATACGTCAAGTGAAATACCCAGATCCAGCTCAACTTTTTTCCCTCAATGGCCTCCCGGGAGTGATAGATGATGAAGCTAGGTAAGGTTACAAATCCGATAACCAAATCAGCAACAGCTAAGTTAATTATAAAATAATTAAATGGCGTCCGCAAGTCTTTGAAAGGATCCTTAATGATAGCAATGCATGTTAGCATGTTCACTGGTACAGTAAGGACGCATAGTAAGCTGCTAATGACAACAGTTGTCCATGAGACGAAACGCGGAATGTCATCCTCTGCGCAATTGTCTGAAAATGCCATCTTTGTATGTCAAGTCGTGGGTGTAACAATTGAGAAATCTTTCTTCAAATATATGCAAGCAATTGTGAATCTTTCTTTCATTTACCGTTTTTCCGGCCAACGACGAGTAGAACACATCCAGTTTTTCCTCTATACTCACTTTTTCTCCTCAACTAATCAATTGTCATTGTCTTTGAACTGTCTTTCTTTTGAAGGTTCCTCATCAGGCCCCATGCACAACTTAGCTCATCATCTGAAACAAAAGATTTATTGTCTTTAACAGTTCTTCAGACTCAGACTGACACGTTCAACAAACTGCTAACGTAGCGCGTTTTACCTCGTCAATGTACTAAGAATCCTATCAGGTGCAGGAAAGGAGTTCCTTTTCGAGATCTATCGCCGTTTATTCCTCTATTCGAAGAACACCGTCATAACAAGAAACTGCTAAGTTTGCAAACGGTTCATTTCATGTCATGTGTAACTTTATATCTCGCAGTAAGTGGAAAAGAGGCTTGAAAATAATCCGTTGCGGAAACCGAGAATTTAAAATAAACAAAAGTGAAAATGTCCAAATTTCCTACCCTTTCAGGAAATTAGTTAAAAGCTTAGAGATATTTCCAGAAGCGTTACTATTTACTTATTCTTGACAGAACGCCTGTCAAAGGCACCTACAATTTTATTGCACAATGCTTTGACGCCAACAGACAACTTTCCATGTTATTTTAGGTTGAAATCCAATAAAGAGTTTTACTGAATTAATTGTATATGAAGGTACCTAAAAATGGCTCATCAGAAACATGATTTAAAGAATCAGACTTTTAATATGCGGCCCATTCTAAAGATCGTCCACTCTGAAGATCACATGACAATGCTTGCGTTTCCCTCGTGACGTCCTATTAATTAACCCTTTAACTCCCAGAGTGACCAAGACAGAATTTCTCCTCACAATATCAATACAGTATCAAGCAGACAAGTGATGAGAATAAAGAAAAATATTAATTAGAGGATTATTAGTTGATCCAATACCAAATTCTCCAAACTTACATCACAAGAGGTATATGGCAGACAGTAAGGAGAATTACTAATGAGATCTTGGGTGTTGAAGAGTTAAATGTGCACGACTAAAGTCATCCCTGATTCAATCAACCCTCTTGTTCCCATAGTCGTCCTAACTTCTTTTTTTTATATGTGGTCGGTAAAACAAGGGACTTAAAGCAAAAACCAAGAGATCTGGGACAGCAATCCTTCGAAAGTCGTCGCAAAATCGATCTTTGATACTTAACGGGAAAAACTCTCATTAGTGCTAACGATTTGGGAAAAATTGATAACGTGCATGAAGCTGCATGATTCCTGCACCCAAACATAAATTAAATTGCATAACCTCGGTTTCTCCTTTCAGTTACTTTGGACTCCATTCTTTATAGCAAACTAAAGCTCTTTTTCACTGAACTCCTCTGAGTTGAAGCCATCGTGCATAAGTATATTTGTGTAGAGGTTCGATTTACATCCAACACCCAACTTCCAATTGGCCAATTTGTTTTGGTTACTTATTTCAAATGCGATCCAGATAGCAAGCGGTTAATTGACATATTTTATGCATTTAACTCCTTTCGAATCCAGAAATATCGATGGACAGGTTCTGTCGTTAAATGTAGTGTTTATATGTGGTGTTTACAAAACTCCTTTGAGAACAAGCACTCTATGGCGTGAAAAGTAATTGGTTTACACCTTCACCTGTTTATTCAGCTTGAGTCTCGTGTTATTTTTCCGACAGTTTTTCCCAAAAGTTCTCAAATAAGCCGCCCCCCCCCCCTGCAATGCAGAATGCAGAATGAGAAAACAAATCTGTGCGTAGTATAGCACGTTTCGTTCCAAATTATTGCAGCAGATTTGAAGAGAAACGATTTATTCAAGTTTATTCCCAACGCGAGCTTAGACTAATAATCATACCTATCAGGAAGTAACGACAGCGCGAATCTCTCTTTCTACATGTTTTATGTTGACGATTATATTTAGAGTTTTACCAATCGGATCGGAAAACAATGCTGAAGTTGTTCTCTACCAATCACTTAATTTCCGCAGCTGGACACGTGACGACAATTTTAAATTGAATGACAGCTTGGAGGTCATTTTTTTCTTTGTCAGGGATGGGATAGAAAGACCACCTGCTGGGGAAATGGCTAAAGGGACGATCCCATGGAACCTTGGGAAGAGTACGTCACAGTATTTTCACCCTTTAACGAAGTGATCGTAAAGGAAAAATTTACACATTGGACTTTTTGGATATTACTCACGAAGGGGGTGGGAAGCGTTTCATTTGTTTCCAACCTATCTGGGTCCTGTCATACGATTCTGAAGACCAACTCCACCTTAGGAGTCCTGCAGTTAGCGGGAAATTAGAAATTATGTGAGGATAAAGCTAATACCTTTAAGAACGCCCATTATGACCAACATACCTGAACCAATCTTCACGCCCTTGGATTTAGTGAGCCCAGCAGTTAGCGGGAAACTAGAGATTAAGTGAGGATAAGGCTGATACCTTTACTTACGCCCACCACGACTAAGACACCTTAAGCAACCTTCACACCCTTGGATTTAGGAAGCGAGCAATTTCATCAAATTATAAAATCCTGGCATATTAACAAAGCATATTATTTCAAGTTTAGATTGATCCCTCATTTAATGAAATGGTAAAAGTATTTCTGTTCTCTGTTATTCTCACAAAACCTCACAATTTTACCCGAACCCGTTTTAGCTGTTCATTCCCGCCAGTTATAAAATTGTTTCTAACGAAGCGTCTTCATGCAGTTTCAATTTTGAAAGCGATATCAGTGCCGTTTTTTGTTTGTTTTATCATTTCCATTAAAGCTTTTTCCTCGTTTTTTTCTCGAGCCCGTCGTTAACGTCATGCTCCTTGAATCGCCAATATTGACAGCGGAAAGAATTTAAAAATACATGATTGCCTCTACCTGTTTTCTGGTTGAGTTTTAGTGGGCTACGAGTAAAATATTAGGCGAAATAATGTAATCGTAGGAGGGTACGAAGCTTTTTATACATAAGACTTGGTTTTGGTGCGAATTCGAACTTGTTTTTCAGCAGAGAAACTGAGGCTTAAGTATCTTATTTTTAACAAAGAAAACCACTTTAACCGCCAGAGTTTGACAGATGAGTTGTTTATTCAGGAATACAATGTTTTTGTTTGATAAAAAGTTGTATAGGAGACCTTGACACCTGGATTTAGGTGTAATTTATATTTCATTTTTGCGGTATAAACCATTTAAGCCTGTCTTAAAGCTTCGCTTTATTGCCTAGTGGAGCTGATTATCAAGCTGAGAAACCGGAAACCCCCATGTTCGCGTGACAAAGACCACCAACGACGCGAACTACGAAGCTCTCAGACTTTGGGAGATTGAATGTATGTATGCTTATGTTTTTAGGAGTAAAGTTTCCTTTCTAAGCTTTTTATTGCATTGCAATGGTTAAGTATATTGGCACTGAGAGATTTACTTCACCAACTCGTCTTGAAATTAATTCAAGCACAATTATTTCATCTAGCACGAGATGACAGTCGCAGAAGGACCTAAAAACTGGCTCGGTATAAATTTCTTAATTTAAAACATAGAATATACATATTTGTACGAGTCTAAGCTTAATCCTTGCATGTTATGGTCGGTTTATTAAAAGCCAAGGTAGAAAATTTAGTTTATTTTTGTTTTTCGTACTCCGCTGTCAGAAGCATCGCAATCAGCTGCTTCACACTGGCCTGGTTACCAAGGTTCATAATAAATATGGCGGATGGCGGGAGTTCAGAAAGGTTTGAATGCAAGTGGCTTTATCTAGCCGTCGATTCCCCACGGAATGTAGATTAAGATGTGGAAGTGGTGGTATACAGCAGCAACTTCCTCTATAGCTGGGCTTTTATGTTATTGGAATTCTTTGTCGGCAGATTTCGTGTACGATGACAGGTAAGTGCGTGTAAGACTAATTTGTGATTAATCTGGAACGATTTTGAGGGTGACTGGTGGAATTTTGAGGTTCACAGAATTCAATTGCTTTTTATTAAAGCATTAACATTTAAGTGACCGACAATACTGCCGATCGAATCTTTACAATTTCTAGGCAAATTTGCCAATGATACCGATTCTTTTGGGTCTTTTTATCGCCCTTTGAAGAATGTTTCGTGCCATAAAAATTCAGAATTTGCATTATCTGCATCTCTTTGATCGTTTGCGGGTGCTTCGGTTTATTTTTAACTCTCGCGGACGACCTAAGGATCAAGTAGTTGAGCTTAAATCCAAACTCCTGATTTAACAAATAACCACGAATTTAGAAAAATTCATTGGGTTTTTTCTTCGCGATGAAACACTCTTCTGATCGATTTCGGTAAATTTAGCAGGAAAACATCTCAAACTGGCGAACCTCCAGAGTTTTTGACAGCCACCTGCATTACTTACGTTTATTGTTTTTCTCCTGTTTACAGTGGTGAATTTTCTTAACAAAGGCAATCGATAAAACGATTGTATGCAATATTTTAGCAAAGTTCAGTGTACAAAAACTCAAATCTCCAACGATCGGAATAACATTATCCTAGAGAAAGCCATTAACATCTTGATAACTTGAAATTCGAGGTTTTCAATCGTAGTTTGGCATTCTTTTGGCTATGAAATATTCTCAGTTGGAGCTTCTCATATCTTATTTATAAATTTTCATTGTCATCGTTGGTTGGAAATACTGAACCTTTTAAAATCTTTAATTGCGAAAACCATTTCAGTTATTATTGCTTTTACTGTATCCGCTCGTTTTGGCTTTCACTTTGACCTACTAGTAAATATGACCATGCTGAACAAGAGAATTTTAAACCAATATATGTAGTTAATATATTTTCGTTTTAAAAATCTCTTACAAGGAATTCACTAAGCCAAGACTTCTCAATCATTTATAAAGCAACACCAAAAGCAATGAAAACACTTCTTCAAAGACAGACTCCTCAAAATTTCCACCTAAATAGGTTTTTTTTTTTTTTTTTTTTTTTTTTGGGGGGGGGGGGAATGGTTTAAAAGTTTCCCAGGAAGCATCAGTATCAAGTTTTTTTGAGCTTTGGTGTGGAGTGGGAGATTCAAACTTTGGCGACTTCAGTTTTAGGTCAAAAAGAGAAGTTATCATTAAAGTGGAAGAAACATTTTAAATTCTCAAGTGCCAAAGTACTACAATAACTACTGTAGAATCCAGGGAAACCCAAAAATAAGGGAAATGAAAAATGGTTTGAGCTTGTAGGAGTTCAGGCTCTCAGGATTGATGCTGAATTTCAATTATCCTGTTAAAAATTAATAAGATGTTGATATTTTTATCATTCTTGCATTATCGACAGTCGTTTATGTGCATTTAGTTTGTTTTTTAACAGGTTTTTGAGGAGCAAGTTTAGTTTAGGAAGTTTACCTAAATGTATTGCATTTTCATAAATGTTATCACTCTTGTTCCCATGGTGAGTAAAGATTGGCACTTGTCATTCAGCTGTGTTGTGACACTTATTGGCCAACACTTTTAGTTACAGTTCTAGTTATCAAAATAAATTTGTGTGGAGGGAAAGTAAAATGAGCTAGAGTTAACAGGGAGTTTGAGTTAACCAAGTTCAAGGTAGCTGATAGAAATTGACAAAAAATGGCATCAAATCCAAGGGAAATCGGATCTTGTTCTAATTTGTAGGGAGTTCAAGTTAATTGAGTTCCAGACAGTAAGGCTCTGCTGTCTAGTTACTACCGACAGTTGGTGAGCACTGTGTTTTAATATTAATAGAGAACAAAATGAATTCTGTTGTCAATTAATCACTGTCATTGTTCTGTTCTTTTTTTTTTTTTTTTTTTTTTTTTTTTCAATGCTAGCCGAGCCATTTTAAAGAATTCTGATCTGCTACCTTCAACTCCATGGAGTAATGTCTTGTTCAATGATTTTTGGGGGACCCCTCTCATGCATAGTGGAAGCCACAAGTCTTACAGACCTTTGTGTGTTGCAACATTCAGGATCAACTACTTCTTCGGTGAATTGAATCCATTTGGATACCATCTTGTGAATGTCTTTCTGCACAGTGCAGTGTGTTGGCTAGTTGTGACTTTGTCATATGTTTTTCTCCCTGCTCACTTTCCATGTTTAGTGGCCGGGCTTCTTTTTGCCATACATCCTATCCATACCGGTAAGCCTGAAATAACATCTGGTTTGTAAATTTTATTTCATGGGAGGGTTACCTATTTACTTTAACCATCTCACTCTCAAATTTGCTAATTTACTTCCCACTAAGAATAATAATTATATTTATATGCAGTTATGTCTGGCCCAACAGAATATGCAAATAATGATAAAGAAAGTTTGTTTATTGATTGCTGTTGGCTGCAAAAGTGATAAAAATAGTTTTTATGAGGCTTGAGGTTATGGAATAATTTATTCTAAAATTTATGTTGGATTAACGATGTTCTAGACATTATTTAGTAACCAGTAGTCTAAAGTAAATGTGAAACACATTCTTGTTGTTGCTCTGGAATGTTAAGCAAAAGTATTCAATTGGGTTTACAAATAATGCGCTATAAATTTAATTGATGAAATGTTAAGTTCTCAAATTTGTTATAAATATTGTTAGCCTATTTGAATACATAAATATTCTTTCAGTATTTTGAGCAAATATCTTTTTTCTGTTCTTGTCAGAGGCTGTCACTGGAATTGTAGGACGAGCTGATGTTGAAGCATGCTTGTTTTTCATTGCATCATTTTTGGCGTATATCAAGTCTTACAAGTTAACTATGAACAGTTCTCAGTTCAGGGAGGTTCGTACCCAATGGCTGTGGTTGATATTCTGTCTTCTGCTGTGTACAGCAAGCATGTTAAGCAAGGAACAAGGCATCACTGTGTTAGGAGTTTGTGCTGTGTATGAGGTTATGGTGCTGTTAAGCTGTGTCAAGAATCAGACTATTTTTGCAACCATATCAATGGTATGTACTCTGTAGTAAAGATTCTGTTGTACAAGCCTGCTTGGTTTCCTGCTGCAAGATATTTACAAGGTTTTATTTGCACAATGCACTTTGAAGAAATGCTTCACCACCTCAGGAGGATGCTACATAAATTTATATTGCTGGTAACCTCCTCTTCAAATCTGGGAGGAAGAGACATTATTCTTAGTGCAAAGTTTCTTTTCTCTTAACACAACACAATGATGCCATCAAGACTCAACGACTTGTGATTGGGACTCCTTGTAATTGCCTTTAGGCCTCTTCTTGGTCTCTGGTATATAATAAAATGAGCCTTTCCAGTTTTCAAGTTTTCATGCAGTATAGAATGCTCACCCTTTCTAGAGTCATTGGTAATTTCATTACCCATTTCATACTCTAGGGCTGGAGTGTAACTGTTGTAAGAGAAAAGTGCCAAACAGAGGCAATGTAGGCAGTTCTGGCTAATAAACCTAAACCATTATAAATTCATAGTCCACCAGACTATAGCTAACTGCAATAATTGCAGCACAGCTTATCTTACTAGACAGAGATAAAGTTGTAACATACTGCACTTGTAGCTTGGACTAGGAGTTAATGTAAAATTTTGGTTCCTTGATCAGTACTGTTAACAAGGAACTCTGTCTTCTATGGTGTAATTTATTGCTATTTTGAGCCCTGACATATCTTTTCATTGTGTTTCCAGGCTGTTAAAAATGGTCATGCCTTCCGCTTATTTTTGGTTGTCACCACAGGACTTGGGCTGTTGCTTCTGAGAATCTACATAATGGGGAGTCAACCACCGGATTTTTCACCATCTGATAATCCTGCAGCAAACTGTGATCACAGGCAGACCAGGCTGTTAACTTTCTTGTTTTTGCCTGCATTTAATTTCTGGCTTCTGTTGTCTCCTAAAACATTGAGTTTTGATTGGTCAATGGATTCTATACCTCTGATAGAATCTTTGCTGGACCCACGTTGTGGAGTGATAGTGGTGTTTTATGGAACTCTGGCCTTCTTGGGATTCTACTGTTTAACAAGCTTGGTATTTCACCTAAATCTAGAGGAACCTGTCAAAGACATAACTTCACAAGTGGACCATAATGTAAAGCGAAGAAAAGATGTAGCTGAAAAAAATGGGAAAAAACCTGTGAAGAAGTCTACAGACTATGCCAAGCATTCAAATGGTACTTATTCTAATCCAAGGCACAGCAACAATAACTTACCAGTCAGCGAATTTAACATCACCAACAAGACTTGTTGGATTGAAACAACACTCATTTCACTTGCAATCTTAGCACTTTCTTTCCTTCCAGCTAGTAACCTATTTTTCTATGTCGGTTTTGTGGTGGCAGAAAGAATACTCTACATTCCAAGTGTTGGATTTTGTTTGCTGATTGCGGTGGGAGCAGACATAATTTGTAGAGCTTGCAATGAGCAGCAGATGAGACTGTTTTGTGGGTCCTTGGTGTGTGTATTGATTTTATCTGTGGCGAGAACTGTGGAGAGGAATTGGGATTGGCAAAATGAAGAAGCACTGTACAGGTAATTGACATTTGCACATGTTAGGTCATGTCCTTGTAAGTTTAGTAAACTACCAGACAGAATCAACCTCAGGATGTGTCACTGCCACTTTTCATCAACTTGGTTGTAAAGGGTGAATGACAACATCCTAATTCGACTACTGTGCAACCTGCATTCCATATGTACCATGCCAAAAAAGATTTGTCACCTGTTTCCTGCAAAGTGCTTCTTCCATCTCTACTAAAGATAAGTGTTGAGGAGAATTAAGAATATTCACTAGTTCTGCTTCATTGACCAATCACAACATATTACTAGCGATAAAATTTAAAATTGTTATTTAATTTAATGCTCAACAGATCAGGAATCACTGTCAACCCTGCAAAAGGTAAACAATTATTTTGCTTGAGTATGATCCTTTAATTTTATATCAGTGGATAACAAAGAAGGAGAACAAATTTGAGTGTTAATTTCCAGCAAAGGCTCATCCTGTGATCTTTTTATTGCTGGCTAGAGATGTTTTCTTTTTTCACTTCAATCCCCAGACTTAAGATACTTTATCTTTATCTTTATTTCCATGTTGTTTGTATGGTCTCTTCTTACAGTTAACTCTCTCTTAGTAGAAGGACAAAGAAATTTCGTCTTTCTTTTCCTTTTGGAAAGGGCTAAAACCTGAGGCAAAGAAGGGTATAAATGTCCCCATCTCTCGTCTGTCCTCTCATCCTACCCCCATCCCGAATAAATAGACTTATGCACACATGTTTCAGTTTGTGCATGTTATTGTAAGTTGTAGTTGTTTTCATTTTCTTTTTTATGTGGCCAACCCATCCTGTCTTTCATTTCCACATGCTCTTTTATTTTAACACTTTTTGATACTTTTGATAACCAGCTTGGTCAAACCTGGGGAATGTGCTGAGCTCACAAGGAAGAACTAGAGAAGCTGAAGATGCTTACAAAAAAGCTCTGACATACCGTACCAACATGGCTGACACTCACTACAATTTGTAAGTATCTGGATGTCTGACTAACCTTAAGGTGATTTCCTGTACATTTGAATCAGATGGGACTGAAGCACGGATTAGGAAATGAAGTTTTCCCATCATTTATTGTTAAGTACTATAATTGTACATATACAAGAAAAAAAATTCTGTGCTTGATTTTAAATTTAAGACCACCCAACCTTATCATGTTCACTCTTTCTCAGTTAAGGAATCTTTGGTTTGTTTTGTTTTGTTTTGTTTGTTTTCTTTTTATTATAGGGGTATCCTTTTAGCTGAACGACAGCAGTACAATGAAGCACTCAAAAGCTATGAAAATGCCATCCACTACAGGCCAAGACTAGCTGGTAAGATACTCTAGACATGGTTGCCTTTCACAGTCATTGGTTATGAAATTATTATTATTTATTCCCTGACTTTCCCTGAATTTATTAGTATTAATTATTCTTTATTCCCTAACTTTTCCCTGACTTTTCCCTGGCAAACACAAATTAAATTTTCCTGACCAACTGTCAGTTAAACATTTTACAAACAAGTCCAAACAATGGCTTCCAACCTCTTCTTACAGCCATACTCTCCCCCCTTAGATAATATGCTTTAGGCAAGTCATATACACTGGCAAGTCATATACATTCAGTATACATGGTAATTTAGTATTATCAACTGAGTTGATAAATGTAAAATGGCCACCATTAAGAGTTTAAAAGCTCTGACAAGGGGCTAACACTTAAAGTGTCAGCTTTTAAACTCTTTACAGTGGCCAACTTTGTTATCAACTCAGTTGATAATACTGAATTACCTTGTTAAACTCTACCCCCTTCATACAGTATACATGAATTGATATTTCAGTTAACATCAATTCATGAGCATTTGAGAGTTTTTTAAAAGTCTTCAATAAATTTTCTAACTCAATGAGGTCCTTTTAAGTTATTAAATCTTTACTTAAAATTATTGAAGATCTTTGAAGCAATCACCATTACTGCTAGGTTTTTTAAGGAAAATACTTTAATTAATTGTTCATGTTGTTTCCTCAAAGCTGCCCATCTGAATTTGGGTATTTTGCTGGCTGACTTGGGACATAAGGAGGAAGCTGTTAAGGTGGGAAAGGTTTTCAGTAGTGTGTAACTCAGTAAAAATTAATTATGTGTCGGCAAACTTTCTTCTCATGCATGTTTCTGGTATCAGCAAACCCTCTAACTATCTTTTTATCAAGTAAAGATACCTAACTTAATCTTTCCTACTTAGATTCTGAAGAATGCTTCAACCATAAGTGGTCATGGGTTAAAGGATCCCAAACAGCACAGTCATTCAAGTAAGTACTAAACATTGAAGCAACTGTGATCCATTGAGTGTATCATATGAATATGGTGCAACTGGCTCATTTGCTTTTTACCCAACACAGTTACATCAATAAAGTATAATCTTGGGCGCATCTTGGCTCAACTTGGAAAACCAAAGGTTTGTAGCACTTTCTTGGCTCATAGTGATTTTGATTTAAAGAGGTCTTCAGAATGGTTATCATAATTTGAGATTTTTTTAACAATTTTTGACAGGAAGCCCTTAAAGTTTACCTTGAGGCAATGAAAACCATGCCAGCTCATTATGAGCCTCACAGTTTGTTCAACTTGATAGGTAAGTGGCTTAAGAGTGCAATGATGAATAGCCATTAGAAGAAAACTTGGTTGAAACAATTTATGATGACAGTTTTTAAGGTGTTTTATGCCATATTATGTGAATAAAAGGTTTTTTTTAATGAATGATGGGTATTTAAATTTGTTCTTGTTTCAAATTATTCTTCAAATTAAGGTAAGATGGTCAATACAAAGAAACAGAGGGGGGTGGGGTGGGGTATTTGCTAAAAAAAAATTTGATAAGTATGGGAAGCTAATAATATACACTGTCAGTTGAATCATGATCAGAGAGTTTAAAATTTGACTTCTGTTACAGTGTATTCAATTTGGGGAACCTCCAACACAGTCATCAAGTGTGAACCAAACTTTAGTCAAATTGAATTTTTTATTCTAGGGGAAGCATACTCTGCAACTGGGAAAAATGCAGAAGCTGAGAAATGGTACAAGGAATCACTAAAGAGTAAACCAGATCACTTGTCTGTTCATCTTACCTATGCTAAACATCTTGCTAAAATGGTAAGTGCAATGTTGAATGTCCAATCAACTAAACCATGTCCACTTGAGGCAGTTTAGATTTACTGGTAAAAATAAAATTGGTCACATACATTTTGCTTTTCTTACTGGTTGTTTTCAGGGAAACTTTCATGAAGCTGAACATTGGTTCAAGAAAGCACAAGTTTTGAATAAATCAGATCACGCTTCTTGGACACATTATGGTATGTTTAGCAGCTTACAGGAAAGATCTTTTATTTTTTAAATTTTAAATCATTCTTTATAAATTTGGGTGAAGACTCAGGGACAGGTTAGCCCAGCAAAAAACGCTGTTTGTGAGAACTGAAAGGATAAGATAATTATGCTTCTGATTTAATTTTTCTCTCAGGGCAGTTTTTGTTTGATCAAAGGCGAGTGACTGAGGCAGCTACAATGTTCACTAAAGCCATGGAATTAGCCCCCAATGACTTTGATATTGCATTTACTGCTGCAGGCTATCTCAGGTACTTTACAAAGTGATATTACTTTGATTCTACTGAATTCCTTTCTGCAAGAAAGCATAATCATTTCAATGTGCAGGTGCTCATCATCTTCAAATATTGTTTTGTTTGTAGGGAAATTGGAGACTATGAAAGGGCAGAGAGTTGCTACAAGAAGGCAGTCAAGTTGAAACCACAGGTGGGACACATCTAGTAAATATTTTAGTCTATTTGGATTACAAATCTGCAATTTTCCCTTGCAATTTTTGCAAGTCAGTTCCCAATCAATCATCAAATAAATTGTGTTTAAGAGATTCACAACAGCAGAATACTACAATACTATAGTCTAATGCTCAGTTATTTTTTCTGAATAAAAAAGATACCTTACTTTTTACCATATTCTTCCCTCAGAATCCAGTGGCACATATGAATCTTGGAGCTATGTTGCACCTCCAAGGTAAACTCAAGGAAGCTGAGATGAGTTACACTAGAGCTCTGAAGCTGAGACCAGGAGACCAGCTTACAGAAGAAAATCTGAAAAAACTAAGAACTTTGCAGGCCAAAAAGAAAGTTTGAGTGATAAAAAAAGAAACAAAACAGAAAAAAACATGCATGCGTCATAGATTAAACAAATTAAAGTATCTTAGATAGGTATTTGATTGGTAGTTTTGTGAGAAACTTCAAAAGTTTCTTCATTTTTTTATACTTTTGATGGTTTTACCTTTTGGAGTGATTTGATTTATAATAAAGTTTTAGCTTAATCTAAAAATTTAAAATTCTAATTTAATTAGTGTCAGAGAATAAATTAAACAAAATTTTAACCAGATTGATATTAGTAGCATATAAGTATATTCAAAATTTATGGTAGATATTGAGTTTTGTAGTAGAATTGTGTTGAGATAATTTTTTAGACAAAGATATTTTTGTTTTCTTTGGATCTAGTTTAATAAAAAATAATTTTAGTTCTTCCAGATGTGTCTGATGGTGTTGATTCCATAATCATTCCATAAAGTCAAAAACATTCCGGTGCGTTCAAAGTGCGTTTAGAGTGTGGCAAAATTGCAGCAATGGTGTAAGATCAGTGCGAGAAAACTGCGGGGAATGTGCGAGCAAAGTATGGGTAAAGTGCAGGGAAAGTGCGGGAAAAGTAGGTGCAAATTGGGCGAATAGTAATGATAATGTAATGATGGAATTATTCAAAATAGAATGAACGGCATTGTTAGAGGAATAATAGGAAAAGACAACTGTTCTCAACCTTATGCCCTGAGCGTAACAGAAGACTCATCTGAATTTCAAATAATTTTTTTAATTAATATTCATATTTGCGCTCAGTCTTGCACGTGGAAGAGCTTACGAATTACAAGAAATTTCAACGTCTCTTTCCAAGCTTTTGGGGAATTCAAGAAGCACATTATTTCTCTCCAAAAACCCTGAATATCATCAGGTCTGCCAAAGTCGCGTAGTGTTTCTTCTGCTGAAACGAGTGGTTAAGATACGACGTCGACTGGATTCTTGGTTAAGTTTGTCACGCCTTTTCTTCAGGTAAATAACCTGCGTAAAGATACCTTTTGGGTAGAAATATATTGCTCGTGATTTTGTGATTTCCCTTATAAAAACAATATTCAGAGTCGAATGTATGAAGGGAAAGCATATTGCAAATTACGCAATGTAAGACGAGTGCTAAATGGCAGCCGCCATGACATTTCTTTAACATTATTTTCACAGCATCGCGAGAAATTCGTTCTTTGTTGTTATGGCTTCTTTCCTTATTTCGCTTTTCATTTGTTTTTTCGTTTCCCATACCATGTACACTTATTAAGTTCATAGTGTTAAGACATAAACTAAAGTTTTGTTTAAGAAGCTCTTAATGGGGTTGTCCGCTAGCCGTAAAACGGCGAAAGCGTTAGGCGTAAAAATTGACAAATTTTAACCGTTAATCGTAAGAAAAAACAGTATTTTTTCCTATCCTAGCATGTTTAATCTTCTAAAGTGTCAAACTACAATTTTAAGACCCTCTTGTAATTTTCCCAATCCTCCGAACACGTCAAAGAAAGAAAGAGTAATCGCCAATAGTGTTGTAAAGTAGAATCGTTATCTGATGGTGGTAGAACACTGATTTCAAATAATTACCATTTCTTTGTTGATAGTGTTCTATCTGACTAAATTACCTTAACAATGTTTATCTCGTCCAATACCCATATAATTTTCGGTTAAGCCAAAGTTAGCTCAATGCCTCCCCCCCCGTTTTTTTGCCTTTCTTGCCTTTGCTCAATAACCAGCATTCAAATTGTCAATATTCACTGTAATATGTAGTGGCTCTGAACTACTTTTTCGACTCGGATATTCACATTTATCTAATCTCATCTTATTTATCTCACGATAGGTGCACATGTATTCAAATCTATTTTGTCGTTTTTTCTAAACAGCACCAAGGGTTAGGATAAAACATTTGGATATCAAGAAATACAAGGGAGCAGAAAAAAAGGACAACATACAATAAGGTTAGTTGTTTAGTTCTGATACAAACAAACTAATCTAAGCTTATAATAAATAAAGTTCATTAACATGCAGATGAAAATGAGTTACAGGGATAGCTATTTAGTATGAAGACCTCTCTAATCTCCAATAGTTGATACGATCCCTTGAAATAATTTATCTGCCCTTCTGGTGATACATGCAATAGAATAGAAATTTCCAATCTTGGTTGATTCAAAGTTATCATTGGTTAACTTTAAAGTAGCTTCAAAACGATTTCACTTCGCGAAGCGTTTCAGAAAAAAAAAGTGGAGTTGCTCCAAGTTAGGAATTGCGCAAGGGATATTTTGCCATCCCAAGCAGTCGCAACATCGCAATCGATGGTAGAAGGTTTTGAAACTAGGGCTATCAAATCTCCAAGATTAAAACGTATGTCAACATACGTTTGGAGACCTCAATTAAACTTGGATCAAAAGTTGGGGGAAATGAGACCATACTTCGGGGCGGCAGAACTTCACTGGGGGGCGAAGGAACATGGGCCAACCATGCAAAGGGCGACGTGACCTGATACCAAGTAAAGCAATGATCCTTACAGGTAGGCTCAAATTTAAGCCATTGTAGAACAGAAGCCTGAAACAAGAAAAAGAAAAAAAAAAATTTAGTCGGGACTCAAATCCAAGCCTTCCAGATACTAATTGAGCGATGCTTCTAGAGCTGGTTTGCGATGACATTCAACCAAAATCGAGAACGATGGAAACTAGCTACACAGTAAAATCACGTGTTCACTTTCTTCCATTGCTGATCTTTTTGATACTAATCTAATTAAGCTGCTGTTGTTCAATAAGACGAAAGAACTGTTCATGATTATATATCGCCTGGGGCAGTTAATTGGCATACAGTCAATTTTTCATTTTTTCCGCCATTATACTCTGTCCGCGACGGCTAATCGTCCCTCACTCACCCCTGAAAACTATGTGATCCTCCAAGATCCTCCACACCCACCCCCCTCCACTATTCCCCCGGCAGTAAAAGATGACGAGTCCCTAGGTGATGCTAAATTTTTCAGCGGAATACGAGGTGGCTCTCAAATGTCTAAAGTAGTTTTTCATTGCGGAGGTTGAACTTTATTATATATGCAATGAAAAGCAATCAGGTATGTATTCGTACTCACAACTGAAATGTTTCCCTTTATTATGTCCTTAGGAAATGGCGAAGGAAATGAGAACACTTTAAAATCAAGAAATTCAAGAAAGGAAAGAGATACAACTTCTTACAAGGTTAGTTCTTTGGGTTTTTCCGGTAAATTAGCCATATGAGCCTGTAAGCTTAAGTCTGAACTTGTATTCATCGGATGTTTGCAAATCAAAACTAGGTTAAGTTAATGATCAAGAAAAACTTTAAGTAAAGAAATTAATTTGCTTTTCTTTTCACTGTCTGATCTTTCGGATCCGTCACTTTTTAAGGTGGCTTTCAGTGTTTACAGCGCTTCGCTTTAGATGAATAAATACTCGCCATGAAAGTTTTTATATACTTTTGTGAAAGCAGATGTCGAAGAAATTCCGATTCAGTATTTTGCATCAAATTACTGTCCATCATTTCTTACATCTTATCATAGCAACGGTTTAGTCAGTTAAATGATCTTTGAATCTTAAGATTAAGGAATGATATAAGGAATGAGCTCGGTAATCCCAATTTTACAGACTTTTGTGGACAATAATTTCTGGCCGACCAAAAACATTTTGCAAGGTTTATTTGAAAACTTAAGGCTACCGCGTTTGAACTTTTGGTTGCATCAAAATCATTGAGCCAATCTAGGAATTTCATATTGCACAACGTACAAATAGATAAGTGCTCCCTCAGGGCTATGGTCAGGAGATTTTAAAGACGTTTTTCGGGAGGTCTTCAATAGTACACTGGTAAGGAAAAAGGGAGGGAATCACTGAGCTTTCTTCTGTAAGTGAACACTCAAAACAAACATTAAGGCGGGGGATTTTCTGAAAAGGTATTCTGTTGCTTTAGTCATAGCAAGTTTAAAAAGCGGTTCATTTATGTCTATAAGCCTAGGGCCTAAATTTCTAGGCTCTTAAGGGATGTAAACACGATTCATCACGATCCGAAGATTTATATTGCTCATTTAAATTTTATAGTCCTGGATATTCGAATTTTGTTTCAAATCTCTGACAACTTTAGAGTCTGATAATTTCTTTCAAATTTAACATTTTTGTCATTTCATTCGATAAAAACTTTGGAGCCCAATTGTCGAATGTCTCATCTCACGGGACAAAAGAATTCAAAACCAGTTTAAGTCGATAATCAAGAAAAAACTTTCAGTAAAGAAGTTTGCTTTCCTTTCCACTATCGGATCTTCAAAGAAAATGTTGTTATCTTTGAAACATTTGCCTATCAACACCAAATTGCACGAGAAATCGCGTTAATATTTGTATTAAATATGCTCGAACTATTTTTTTAAGGTCTAAAATAAGGTAGATTTTTTAAGTTTAGTTAGGAACATGGAGCTCCTTTGGTTAAAGAAAAGATGAAACCGTGCATTTACTTATCAAAATCAAAGTTCTTTTTCCGTTTACAAATTGGTTGGGAGTACAGTACAGTTTAAATGTTATTTTAAAATATCCCGTGCTTTTCCAGTCTATTTCTTGTGTTGAGCATAGGTACAGATGGCGAGTATTAAGATATTTCTCTTGAATAAGCGATTTAAAAAAGTAATTATCTAACTAAACTTATCTTGGTATGAGTATCAACGTTAATGAAAAAAATGCTCCGAAATCACAAAAATTTAACTGCCACCTCCATCCAAATTTCGGGAACTTGACATCCAATGGCGTTAACAATGGTATCACACTAAAGAAATCTAGTTTTAAGTTCAGTAATTCAAAGATATTCATCAGAAACGAATGTGTGAAAGAAATATATTGCTTGATTTCGCACACTTTTACCAAAGGTGTTTATTTATTACAGAAGGATTTTAAAAAATACCTATTGTCATAGGAGTGAGTTTCCGCTTTTCCATTCTTGTAAAAACCCCGCTAGGGCATATTCATTTCTTATTGTTATTTAGGTGCTAGTATTCACCGACTTCCACGAATTTACACGAATTTTCACGAATTTCAGATTTTGTTTACACGCTTCAGGGTGCTAGTTACATGCTTTCATTTCTTGTTTCATCAGGCTTCGGTGCAAACAAAAACGTGCGAGTATTCTGATTGTGTGTTGCTTTTTTTTGGCTTTCCCGTCGAATTTTTAAACAAGTGCACAGAATTTCGTCTGAGCTTGAACTTGAAATGATTAGAAATATCATTTAGACAATCAGAAACTTAAATTTATTCAATTACTCGTAAGTTCGTTCGTCGTCTCAGAGGAATGGCTGGCGACTACTAAGATTTACTGCTTGACTTCATCAACAAAATGGAATAGTTCAATCCCTGAAAATATAGTAACTTTGACGACAACAACAAAATTCCTCGAATCAGTTAGAATATTCATCAGTGATCGTGATTGGTATCGAATTTATTGCTAAATCTGGGTTGCTTTCACGTTTATTTGTATCTTCACACAATACTTAAAAATATTTGAATACCGATTAATACTTAATTTGTAACATGACGAAATACATGTTACTTGTCATCGCTTGGGAAAGAAATGTATTCTGAAAAATCTATTGTATTTGTTGATTTATGGTTTATTTTCACTTTCTTGCAGACTACAGGTGAATATTACCGATGCTTCAAGCATAAATCAAACAAGAGATCGTGATCCAGGAGAGATTCAAGTTTTATTAAGAGGTACAAAACAGATGTAGCGCATTTTTTTCAACAACATTCCGTGTCGGAGCTAAATGATCAAATCCCCAAAAACGAGGACTATGAAGTTGCTATTTCGTGATTTCTGTCGATTCAATTCATATTAAAGGCTGTTTAAGAATTAAAAATTTTCCCGCCAAAAGACTTGGAGAAAAATTACGGGCTTCTTAGTATTCATGCATCAGTTTTTCTGTAAGTAAAATCCGTTCAAATGTGGCGAAACTTCCCGCCAAAAGACTTGGAAAAAATACGGCGCTCAAAATACGCATGCGCCATTTTTAAAAAAATCCAAGTTATATTTATTTCCTTCTTGTTGTCTTGTACTATTATTATCTACTATTGGTGAACAAGTCAATAAAGTAAAGTGATCAGTTTTCATGACTCATCTTTTATTGTTGTCTTTCAATATATACTCAATAAACCACAAGTTTTATTTATTTTAAATTCTCTCTAATTAATTAAGTAATTTTCAGTTAGATCATTAAAGAAGAAATTTTTCGTGTATATACTAAGACTTTTGGCGGGAAAATTTGGACCAGTTTGCACAGAGTTTCCCCTGACAACTTTTTTGGCAAAATTTTTAACAAGGCTTCCTTCCAAAATTTCCGCCGAAAAAATTGTTAAACAGCATCTCGTGCAAAAAAATTAAATTGTAAATGCCAATTTCTCTTTCACTTTAAAAAATTCTAACAGTCTGAAAAGCTGCGTTTTTTTTTTTTTTAAAGTGAATTCTGACTAGGTCTTTCTCTAAACCTATTTTTTTACTTCAATTTCTTGCACGAGATGAAGCGTGGAAGTTCTTAACGAAAGAACATCGCGGCAAGCTATAGAGAGTCTCATCAGAAACATTCAATTTATCCCCAAAAGTTTGATGAATTTCTTGATTTTAAATCTGATCTATCCCTTTTTTGAAACCAGGAGCTTGCCATGATGTTTTCACTGAGTAAAAGACCTTTGAGGGCGCCAGTTTTCGAATGTAACACAGGAATCAGGTTAAAGAAGCTGTTAAGTTTCCTACTTTTGACTGAATCAGTGATGATTTTAATGATAGTCGCAATATCCAAGACATAAGGCTCTAAGTTTCTTGATTAAAGTAACTTCGAGAAGCTTTTTGAGAAATAAAAGTTTATCAATTGTTGGAACAAACTCAAGTGAATTTGACTCGAGACATTTCAGAATAACGCTTCTAAATTAAATTTTCGAAGCTGTATGACAAAATTTGATCAACTGTTGAAGCGAGCTCCTTCAATTTGACTTTAGCCACGAAAGGGCTGAGACATTTCACAATTAGGCTCCACTGTTCTTGACAGAACTAATTTCAAGTACCAATTTGAGAAATAAGAGTAAATGTCAATAACAATCACAGATTATCGAAAAAGTCGCGGACACAGTCAAAAATCGATTTGGTTCATTTTTTGCCTGTGGGTAGCCTTATCTAGTAAACAAACGGAAATGGGGTTAGATTTTTGAAATATGCACTTTAACGGGAATAATTTGTTTTAACATTTCCGGGGGTAAAAAGCTCAAATTTCACCAAGCGCGATCCTGAAATTATGCACTTTTCGGGCACTTGTCATGCTAAGAAAAACGTAACGGAAGGACTTTTCTAGTCATAGAAATATTGAGTTGGAACTGCATTATCGAGACAAAGTGATAGTTTTTGTCTCATGTTATTCTTGGAGGAGCTACGTCCCTATTAAGAGACATCTTCGGCATTTCGAAATTAAGGCAAAGGTGGCCAAGAATAGCTTGGCAAAAATACATGTGGTAGTGTCTCAAAGTTTACAATAACACTACCAAGAAGCCTTGAAAGATAGTTCTTAACGATGTGGGTTTTATTTCTTTGGGACCTTTGACTATGAAAAGATGACCACCAGCCGAATTTCGGTTAAATTAGTATGACGCCATAATGAGATGCATAATAACAAAATTAAACGCGTCGGACACAAATAACTGTTTTGGTCAGTTATATCTTCACTGGCCGTTAAAACGACTAGAAACATATTAAAATGTCTATAACTACACTTGATTTTTTATATACGGAGACTGGAGAAACAATTTTCGACTTTTGCTACCCTTTGAGAATCACGCCATAATTCTGCATAATTCTACACACAACCGGTTAAACAGTTGAATTGCACTCAAAGGTTAAATTTGGCACAAAGCCATTAGTTTCCGTTTATTTCTCATCCGGTGAACATGGATTCGAGCATTTGCATCCCTTTTGCGCCTTCTGCACTCGCCAGTTTCGAATTTACTGAAAATCGTTCAACACAAAGATAAGGAGGTTTCACAAGCAATGGTGAGCTCGAGTGACTAAAATCCAATATGTAGGACTCTGCTGTCACGCAACGCCTCCAGGTAAATAATACACGCACCGCTTTTATAATCAGCAGATCAGTTATTCGTAAAACGTTCAGTACTCAGTTACTTGGAAGAGCAGGTACACTCCTGGACTAATTGTGTGAGTCGTGCGATAAATGGCTTTTTCCTCTTCTGAGGCGAAATGTCAGAAATATCCAGCCCAAGATCGATGCACATGTCTCTTAGACTATCCACTCTTAAAGTTGTGAGTGTACGTTTTTGTACAAGTTCGCAGAGTTTAGATCGAAAGATACAATCGGACGTTGAATAGCCACATCTCTCATCACATTTGCACACACTGCAGATAGATGACTCTCAGCTGCGGCGGAAATTTCGTCCTTGTCGACGCTCTCCATGTCCACTTCTGAGATTTCACTAGCTTTTGCTCGGTTACCGGCGGCTGTAACTTCTAATCGCTTCTTTGCTGAAGACGGCTGAAGGAGCCACTAATCTGCTGCGACGTAAGGACTTCATCAGGTTGAAATCGACGTCCCCCCGCTTGGCCTCTTGCTAGGCTCATGGTTTTCGAAACTTCCTGTGGATCGCTTTTCCGTCCACTATACTTCCCTTTTTGAAATTGGTCAGTTAAGAATTCAGTCTGTTTCCATGTAAAACGCACCTTTTTCTTAATTGTCTTCAGGGCCCAACCCATTGGAGGCGGCAAGGCGGCAAGCCGTCACTCTTTGATTGTGCGGCAACTTGAACGCTTGGTATTCGACTGCGTCCCTCCGTCAGCTTGGAAGAATATTCTCTTTTAGCTTTATCGTAGAGAGTTTCCTGTTCGAGCATCATTTGGTGTTTTCCAGTATCTAGGTGTGTCTGGAGGTTTGCAAAGCTTTCAGTTAAGAAATTTGCTTTGACAGAGCTTTCCTTAATATGTCGGTGTCTCATAATCTTGAACGTCGGTGCGCCACTTGGACTCTGCGATGGCGAGTCTAGGATTTCCAATTTTTCGGGCAACTTCATGACTCCTTCGAACTTGGCCAATGGCACTACTTTACCGGAACCCACATTGAATGCTCTCCACACTCGTGTGTCACTTTTATCGTACTCAAAATTGTTGAGTAAGCTTATGCCATCCCATTTGATATTAAAGGTGCTTGACGGTTTGGCAGCAACATAACTTGCTTTCTCTCCTGTGGTTTCTTGGCCAGATTCAATGGCTGTTTTGAACTGTAGAGCGTTGATAACATCATTGCCTTCGTTTACGTACCTTCCAACGTACCTTCCAACGTACCTTCCCTTGATTGTTGCCGCTTTGCCATCACATACCCCATTTCCACCTTGAGGGTCCGAAAAGTCGTTTATTACAACAGCCACTCCCATGGCATCACCGGCCAGCTTAGCTGGGATGATTGAATTTCCGCTGTGATAACAGCCAGCGTTATCTTGTTTGTAAATAAGCCATTTCCAGCTCTGGAATTTCCTTTTTCAGGGTAGTGAGGCAGTCAAGCATTATCGAAGCCACAGTCACACTGTCTTGGGCACAGCTTTGAAATACGTGAACAGGTGTCTGCGATTCAAAGTGCTCAGAACCCTCTGACCGTCTTATGGCAACGCTAATGTGCCATGGCAATCCTCGCTTCGCAAACCAATCTGACTGTGCCTCTCGATATTTTCGGGGCATATATTTCATTGCCCAGTCCTGGACTAACAACACCGATCGGCTGTCGAGTTTGGCTAAAACTGAATGCTTCGCCTCAGCTTGGTGGACTGAACGTAGCTGATGCGCTTTCCAGCAAATGATATCATCCCTTGCCTGTTTGATGGTAAATTGCATGTCAGCTTGATCTTCTGCTGACGAGAGCGCACTTGAACACTCATCTTCTATGGTACACAATACTTCCTGTAACTCATAACACTGCTCATGTGACTCATTGTGGAGATGGTCGAAGGAGCCCCGAAATTCAGCATTGCTCGGGTCACTTAGCGCGTAAATTCGACAATGATCGGGAACCTTTGAGGCCTCCACTAAATGTACCTAAAATAAAAAGTAAAATGACAAGCGCGTGATTTAGTGTATATTTACAAAGCATTGCATGCGCATATGATCGACATTTCAAAAAGATTACTTAATTGATTCTCAGCGTTGTATACATGTGTGTAAGCGTATTACAGTGAATTATAAACTGTTGTTTCATCAATTAAGCATAAAGAAGACTTGGAGAGAAAGAAAGAAGTAGCCGTGAATCATAGTAAGAAGTTTACTACATCACCTCTGCAAAGGCAACGCATAATTATAAAATATGCACCCACCTTGTAGTCGCCCTTTAGGTACTGCTTCGAAAAACGAAGTTGCTGCTTAATTTCCCTCGCTCATTGCTGAGTCTTGCCACAGTCAACATACTTGTCTACGAGTTTTTCCATGGCATCAATTGCTTCCATTCCTGATGCTGAAAAGTTATCAAGTCCTTGTAGAGACTTGCGAACAGATGAAGAACACACGGCCCAAACTCTCTGTAGAGTTCTCTTACTCATAGGCTCAAAGTTGGTTTCACAGCAGTATTGTTGATACTATTGGACAATACGCTCTGCTATCATTGTTCTGATAACATTGGGTGTTTTTATGATCTCGCTCAGTCGACAATTTTTAGAAGTTTTTCCCCGAAAGGAACATCTTGAGTAACGTATGGACTCGTTATGAAAGAAACAAAATGTTCTAATCTTACAGGTTCAATACTCATTCTTCTTTTCTCCTGGTTTGGAAGAGGAGCAGCTCTTCCGTGTATCAGGCTTCACGAAAATCCCGCTTCTTGCTACGATAAATTCAATCTCTGTCTCGACACCTGAAAATTGTAAAAAACGCTTGTGGCTTCCTCTCCGCCACAAACACCACCTACAATATCAAGTTAAGATTAAGACATTCTTTTTCTGCTGGAGTTAAAGCAACCGTTGTCTTTATTCCCCTCACCGACGATTATTACGCTTTTGTTTTTTGTTTACTTTCGTTGACTGATCACATTTGTTTTCCGTGGGAAAATTGTATCGTTATTTTCGTTCCATAAGGTTTTCGCTGTACGGTTTATATTTGTGAAATTTTTTTAGTCTATTTCTTTGTTGTATCGTTCTCGTTCATGATGGCAATATATTTGTTTAGATCTTATATGTGAGGCAGAATGAATTGTTTGTTGATCTCGTTACGTGACAGATTATTATATGTCACGCAGACTGACAGGAACCTGTGAAAAATTAAAATGCGGCAAATCGCTAGCGTTACCTGCCGTTTTGTATGGGACCCTTTTTGTGTGAGACGTCAAAAAAACCAAAACTAGGATCAAAGTAGACTAAACGTAACTGGGTTGTGACACGCTGTAGAAAATGACAACAACAGGTAACTTTATTTTACTCATCCTGGCTCAGTGGCTTCAATGAGTTAGCCGGTCGGCCCCCTTCACACCAAATTGCAAAGGACAGTATTTCGAAAATATCTTCCAAGCAGAATAACAAGGGCCTATAAAAGATTTCTAAGGTGAGGAACTATTGATGTCAAAGCAAAAATAAAAAGCTAAGTGCGGCTGCGACTCAAACAATGCTTTGCTTGTACCATTGCAATGTTGATTTTGTTCATTACAATATGGCGCCATTTACAATTTTAGCGAAGTTTGGTTGGTTGGTACATCAAAACAGCAGAAGATACCAGAAGAATGAAACGATGAATTTGAAGACCCACCTTATAAGCCCTCGTGATAGTATTGCTGGAGATTTTGAGAAACTACCACATGCATTTTTGCCACACTACATTAGGCCGGGTTTGGCATGAATTAAATATGGCGAACACGTCCACCGGTAATTAACCCGTGGTTTCGTCAGGAAGGACACGATGCAAAAAATATCACTACAACTTGGTAATGGAAGGCCACATGTATATATTTATAGCTAGAGAAGTCCTGCTGTTTCATTTTAGTTCATGCAAGGACGGCCTGAAAACTGCATAATTTAGAGCTCGCAGGCACTCATTTTCGATCATGCAATTAATATCGGTTTATTTCCGTTAAAATGAATATTTACAGAAACTAACCTCACTTCACTTTAAGTAGTACCTATAGCTACCTGCAGACAAAAAATGAGACGAAACGATTTTTTTTACCATGTCCGCGATTTTGTTATTTTTCTTTGATTTTTAGAGACATTCACTCTTAACTAGTCCCATTTGTTGGAACAGACCATTTTATTTTAGCCACTAAGTCAGGGGCTAATAGATTTTCCAGTTATTTACGCTAAATTCCTGCCGCGAATTGCTCTAAAACATGTAGTCGTTAGAAGCGTCCAATCTCTGTTTTATTGCAATAGTATACTCAATTTGATATTAAAACTTGAAATTTTTTCAATCATTTTTTTTTCTGTATTCCTGTGTTACACCGAGTGGCTGTACAAAAGATCTTACTTCCACTTGAAATAACGAGTAAATAATTTAACTATAAAATATATTTTAAAACCAAATGCCTGGTCCAAAGAGCAGCAAGTGATTGCTTTTATGGAATGCAACCTAATTTAAAGTTTTTTTCGATTATCTAAGAAGTCCGTATTGATGAATATAAGTCAGCAAAAAGACAACCATCGCAGTATTAAATTAAAAAAAAGTGCTTTACTTAATGTAAATCCATTTTCTTTCAACTACTCTTTTGGTTCGCTTCGAAGGTTTTCGAAAAATCAACGAACTTTCTATACAAATTCAATTCTGTAATAGGGAAAAACCGTAAACTGCCGCTTATAAGTCGTGGGGTTCTACAACTTCGTATGGGGTTTTGGGGGGCTTTTAACCAAAATCGAAAAAGGCGCCTCGAAGTAAGCTATAGAAGTGATGATCAAAATAGGTCTGCATTTACATTTTTTCAATTCAGTCTGAAAACGTCATAGTAAATCAAATTTATTTCGTTAAGTTTGGAACAAAAAAAAACACTGGAACTTAACAAAACGGAAGTTAATTCAGATTTTTCCATGAAGTTCATCTTTGATAAGAACAAGAGATTATAAACTGTTCATACTTTCTTGACAAGAAGTATTGAAATTCCAAGCTTTTTTTGTTAGAAGTAGGGCATAGTAGCTATCTAGTGGGGGGGGGTACATCCCGAGGAGCCGGTATTTTGATGTTTCCAGGTAGATTGGCCTAAAAGCGGCAGTATACGGTATGTTCAGAATTCTTTAAATTCCCTTCTTCTAATGAGAAATATTCGAAAGTATTCCACAACAAAACAAAAATAACTGATTTGATTTGGTAAAAAATCAACCGATTTACTTCTGTTTAATTTACATTTCTGATTCACACGTTTTTCTAGAGAAATTTACTGGCCTTGCCAAAATTTCGAATGTCATTTCTAACAAAGAAAAGAATGTAATTTCCTAAATGTTCTTGTTCGTGTGAAACACTCGAGCCATTTCATAACGACTTGTCTCTGCCGATAGTCTTATGTTCTATTTATTTGGCAAGAATTGAATTGACTCTTATGTTCACGTTAATTTTCGTCGATCCAATCTGTTAACGATTGTTCAAAGATTAAAAAAATATATTTACCATCTTTATTTCTATCGAATAAACTCTTATCGAAATATGAAATTTACATTTCTTCGTCGGAAACGGGTTTATATAGAGGCAAATGTCAACGTAATCAGTTTCTCGAAAGAGCTCGTGACCAGGCATTAGAGTTTTAAAACACAAAACCTCCAAACTGAAACCGAATTCAGTTGATGGCGCAAAGCAGTAGATATAAAGCTAAGGTGGCAGCTAAGTAATTTTTTGATTCATGTATGAAAAACAATGATTCCTTTTTGAACAAAAGTTATAAAATTTCATATTCAATTCAAAACACGGGAGAATGAATTCACAATCGAATCGATATGCTTTTAGTCACATTTCTCTCTTAATTGGAGGCAGTTTGTAGTCAATCGTGTAGTACGAACGTCTGGTTGTGAGAAGTCGAAGTTAGTGACTGGTCTGAACAGAATTCACCACCAGAGTCAAGTGAAAGGCTATTTGTAAGCAAACAGTTATAATTTTTGGTTCGTAAAACTGATTGATCAGTTTTGGAAAGAGGTAGCTGTCAGACTAGAATAGCGTTCGTCACCATCGCTGAGGTCAGTTTAATTTGTTCTGTTTGTTCTGTTTAGTCTGTTAATGGCTCCATTGGTTAGAAGTTTTTGTCATCGCCTTTGTGAGGAATCTTGTCCTGATTTTTTAACCTGGCTTTTCAAATTCAGTCATTCAAGATATTTTGTGCAATATAAACTTGATAAAAAGCAGCATAGCTGTAGAGTGGTTTGTAAGTTGATGTAATTTATCAGGTAAGATTTATTACCTCATCAAAAAATTCAAATTCTGAATTTCATTTGGTCTTCGATCAAGATCTTTTATCGAAGTGCCACCTCATCAAATATCACCTTTGTGTAACATCAACGAATATATAGCTGCGGTACCAGCTGACTGTTAATCAATACTGAGCGATCAGTACTTGCAAATTAGCAATTTTAGTTCCAAATTTATCTGGTTCGATTGACATAGAATTCAAATTATACCTTTGGTTAATTCGATGTAACGATATCATCGAAAGTAAATTGCACCAAATCATAACGAGCTGTTCAGATCAATCAAACGATCGCTCAAAGTCCGCAAAACAATCCGTACCACAACAAACTATATAAAAAATGGTGGCTAATTAAATTTATTCACTTACCAGGTAAGTCCATTATCCATTCCATGACATTTGATGAATAAATTGAAGACCTCGCACAATAATGAGACATATAAAAAGCCACCATGTTTTGCTTCTGTTACTCAAAACTTTCAAAGTTCTTATCTTCGCTGTATCCAATAAAACTTGAGTGATTCCACTGATTTTCTCCTCTTGATCAGAATCTTTCTTCATCCATCCATTTGACACTGTTCCTCCTGAAAAAGAGATTATGAATGTGATCAGGGAATGCTTAATTTCTACAAAGTCGGACAATCTTATACAAACTTAAATTTATGTATAATTTCATTGCGTAACTTTTCACATTTTTATTTGCAATGAAGCAAATACTACTACTGAGCAGAAGAGTCATCACGTCTCCACGTGGCTGCATTTAAAACAAAATGAAGTCCCCAATAGATTTTACAAGCTAAAAGTCTTTTATCACAGCGTTTCGGTAAGAATATCCTGGAACCAGACGTGTTTCTTTGCCCCTAAGCCAACACCCTAATTCCGTCGAACGTCGATTTCAGAACCGCTTACATCAAGCAACCAACTCGTTTAGCTCTCTGAAAGGTTCCAAGGCAATATTTTTGTAAGGAAATTCTCACCTGCTGCTGTAATAACAAAGACTGAATTTTCTTTGCTCGTCTTTGCATGCCACTTGCCTCCTTCCATCGATATTGCTCCTTAATCTTCAGCACTTCGGAAGCACGTCTTCGTGCTTCGACAGGCAGCATGGTTTGCTGAAAATTCTACAACTGCTGATGAATATGGATTAGCAGCTGCAGCCAATTATCAGCTCCTACGTCACAGATTTTTCGCGGAGTTTTGTTTGCACGCTAATTCAGCTATTTAAGAATTAACAGTGAATGAAAGGCATTCTGACTGGCGAATTTGCATGCCGGACGGGGAAAAAATGGACCTTAATTTCATTTTAGATGGTATTATGTGAGAACTGTGTGATCAGTCGGACGAAACTGATTTAAACTATTCGTGAATTTGAAATTGTGTGAATGTATAAAGAATTATTCGTAATTCTCTTCTGATGGGGGTGAACTTAAAGGAATTGCTTAGGTTTTTACGAAAGATCTATTCTCTCAGGGTCCTTGTCCAAGACTAATTAGGAGAAAATTCTATTCATTTTAGCACTTAAGCTCGTGGAAAGGGTTTCATTTTTTGCGCGATAAGACGAAAGTGCGAATCAAGTGCGAAAAAAATGCGAGGAATGATATACGATTAAAGGGAGGCGCGCGAATAAAGACATCCACTTGTGTGTGTCTTGCCCCTCGCGCCTTTCTCGCACTCGCCTCGTGCTTCCCTCCACTCGCCTCGCGCCTTTCTCGCAGTCGCCTCGTGCTTCCCTCCACTCGCCTCCCGCCTTTCTCGTACTCGCCTCGTGCTTCCCTCCACTCGCCTGAAGAGCGCAAAAAAGGGAAATAAAAGGAAATAAAAGGAACTGAGGCACATCGACCTCAGGGAGCCACGCCCAGCATAGTACGCCTTTATTCACATTTAGATTTTGAAAACAATGGTGATAACCACACGTGCTTCCGGTCCAGTAACTCAGCCTACACGAGATACTTAATATCAAAATCGCAGGACCCCGAATATCAAACCATGTTAAGTTGTACTTAATCTTTAGGAGCAAATAAAAATGTGCCTTCTGAGGGAAGGGGGAGGCCTTTCCAGAGTTCACGTTATAGAAGTGTTCCCTTAATGACAGTCAGGCAAGAAAAAGTGAAGCAAAAGGAATGAGGACACAAAGAAATGAAGACAGAATAATGGAGAACCTTTATTCGATCTGTAGTCTTATGTAAAAATAGTTGTACGAGAAAATTTCTAGAAATTAGCCGGTTTATTTAAGACTGCCTCATTAGTAAATCATTTACTGTTTTGAAATAGATCCTTTCATTCACTGTCATCAAACAAGGCCTAGGTTTCTTGGAAAATGAAATTGAAGTTATCTAATAAAAAATATTACATTCTTGGTTTGATTAATAACTTTTAAATGATAATCTTATTAAAGTTTGATTTTGACAAACTTTTAATGTTTCAACCAATCAGTTGAATGACCTGTATTTAAAATTAAAGGGCACTGTCAAAATTTCACTCTTTTTCTGTTTCTGTCCATAGTTAGGAGGCTTGTGCAATTTTACTAACCTAAAAAACTTAATCATTTTAACTTATACCAAATTGCACTAGTATTTGTGTGATTACTAACCCAAACATGTATCTAGAAATGAGTTTGGTAAACGTGAGAGGCAATGTCACCACTTAACATTTTCCTGTGCAGATTATAGATAAGTGAACATCACTCAAGCTTTTTTTTAAAATAAGAATCTAGATTTTTGTAGTGTAGCTGATACAGCATAAGCTTAAGTTGGGGCTCTTGGATCCCACAGAAATGTGTTCCACAATCAAAATGATTGGAATTGATCCCCTATCTCATACCATGTTACACTTATTTTTGTTAACAATCAACAGACTTTACCAGTCCCCTCTGGTTTTTACACAAACCCTTTATGCCCTATAAACAGTGAGCTTATTCTTTTTAATGTTCTCTTTACATTTCATACAGTAGCGAAAATGAAGAGCATCTTAAGTAAGTGACCATTTCCTTCATTCTCATTACCTGTCCACAGGGCAACATTTATATAATGTGAGGTTAGAACAATTTCATTTACAATCTGATTTACAGAACACTCTTCTATGTACCATGTTAGTGGATTTCCCCCTCAGGAATTCAAACTTTTTTATGTATCAGAAAATAAATTAAACAAAATTGAAATTAGATTAATATTATTTCCAATTTGTAAATCTGAAATTTCAGGTATTAGGAGGGTTTAGTTGTTGAATTATGCTGAGATATTTTCTTGTAAACAAAGAAAATTTTCTCTGCTTTACATCTAGTTTAACTAAAAAAAAACACTATTAGTTCTTCTATACAACCATTCCAATAAGTCAAGCAATCTGGTGATAAACAGTTGCTGTAGTTATTGTGCCACCAAAAATATCATCTTTGATAGGTTTTCAGTCTTATACCCACTTTATTTACTTTATATTTAATTCCCATCTACAGATCCATTTACAGCAGGGGAATGTAAAGCAGAATTGAAGTAAAAACTGAGTTGTTCAAGAAATCCATAATTTCAGCTTGTCTGATCACTGGAGTACAATAATGATTGAAGGCAGCATTAACTGTGAGGATAAGGTGGGCAGAGTTTGAATTTCAAAGGTTTTGAAAAAAATACTCATCAAACTTTGTGGGGTAAAATTTGAATGCACTTTTTTTCATGAAAAGTTGCCACCAAACTGTCAAATCCTTTGGACATTGCAATAGAATTGAGACTACCACCTATAGGAGTCTTGGACACAATACTGCCATCAGTTTTCACAGCAAGGATTGTGTTCTGGTTGTTCTGCTTAGAAACACAGACAAGGCAGTCATGTGCATCATCCACAGCCACTGAGTAGAGCTTAGAGGGACTTTTGGAACTATCACCGAGATTCTTTGTTTCTTGAAGAAATTTACCTTTCTTGTCAAAGATCTTGATTGTGCTGCTGCAGTCAGTGACATAATACTTATCTTTGTGATGCACTGCAGCCAATGTGTTGCCTTGAAAGTGACTTGATGTGAATGCTAACTTGTGGCATCTTTCGGAATCATACACAACAACACCAGGTCCATCATCAGTCAGGGTTGTAAGCACATAACACCCATCCCCACCTGTTGTTACTTTCTGAAACCTCACTGATCTATTGGGAGACTGGACAAACTTGTGTATGAAAGCACCATCCTTGTCAAAGTGTAAAAGGCGATTCTTCTCTTGGTTCAGAACCACAATGTCATCATTCTTGGAATACGCAATTTCCTTAAGATCACCATACTTGATCTCAAATTGCTTTTGGTGATCTCCAGTGGCAGTGAAAATATGAACACAGTTGTTTTCTGCATCAAGAACTGCAATCTCACCTGTATGTGGAGAAACAGATAATGCTGTTGGAACAAAGTCTGTGTCAATAACACGAATGACTTCATCATCACCCAATGCAATTGCTGGTCCGGAAGCAGCTTTTTTACATGGATCACAAGAAATTAACCCCAGGATTTTGCTAGATTTGTCCAAGTTTCCTGCATTAAATTTGGCAGTAGCTGTCCACTGCATACTGCTCAAGTTTTCAATCGAGGCCTCCAAAGTCTTAAGACTATCTTGAAACTGTTTTTCAAAGATCTCTCTTGATTTCTGAAATTTCTTCCAGTCGCGTTCCTCTTTAACTTTGTCAGCACCTTCCAGGGAGGTTAAAACTTTAGCATTGAGCTGTCTGACCTCTTCTAGTTTCTTTCCAAACTGACTTTGGTCAGACTTTTCATCGTAGATCTCGTCTGCTTGAGACAATAGCTTTCTCTCTTCTTTGTCAATTAGTTTCCTTACACGTTTAGCTTCCAATTTTATTTGATCTTTCATTTCCTTCTTGCTCTCTTCAAAAAGAATCCTTCGAAAGGTTGTGAGAGTTTGGAACTCTTCCTTAATCTTTTCCCTTTGTTCTCTGTAACATTCAAGAGCTTTGTCAAATGCACGCCTTCCCCTATGTTCAGGGGAGTTCTCTACGAGCCGTTTAAGCAAGTGGTTTGTGGGGAAACCGGTAACTCCAGACAATGGAACCGTCGACTTGGTGCGACATTCAGGACACTCCACCGTACTCTTCTTGCGGGTTTGTCTGGCTAAGTTTCCGAGGCATGTAACGCAGACATTGTGCGCACAGTTGGGAAGGCACTTGGGATCGTCAAATATTTCCAAACAAACAGGGCAATTAATTTCAGTACCGACAAAATCAGCCAAATGGTCTGAAACTCCGGAAGCGGTTCCCTCCTTAGCCTTCGCCATCTTGCATTTAGCTTCTCTGCAAAGAATCGTGGGACAGTTTTCTGAGCTTCCTCGTTCCCAGGGTTTTGCGGTTTCGGTAGATAGCAGCGACAGGATACCGAGTAACCCTAAAGGCGAGGTTATTGCTTCCGCCGATCAATAATAATTATTGACTGAAAACCACCTAGTACGTAGCCAGTAATCACATTAATACCTTAAAGTAATGAATCATACGAAAATTAAACCTAAGTGTTCGAAAAGAAGAAAATGACGGAAACCAGAAGAAACTGGAGGGAACCGTTCGAAATCAGGCGAAATAATTGGACGAAACCATCACAGGGCAATTAGAGAATGGACAATTCTGTCCGAAAGATAGAAAACTATTCAGAACTCTAGATGCATCCGATACACGAATGGACTGTCCGAAATAAGACGCAAAGGGCTAACGCTCGAAATGTCAGATTTAGAAACTGTTCACAGTAGCCAATTTGCTCAAGTATACACTAATACAGTGAATAGTTGTTAAAATATAAATGTTAAATATTAATGTATCAAAAACTACCATATTACCCCTCACAATTTTTCAGTTGTATACGCACTTCATACCCTGCATTCTTAATTATTTTTCACGCAATGCAAATTTAAGTTCCCAACTGGAGATATCCAAGCAGAGGGTGGAAGTGTTAAAAGCGCACTTGAAGTAAAAACCGAGTACAACAATGATTAAATGCAGCATGAACTGTAAGGATAATGCAGGCGGAGTTTGAATTTCAAAGTTTATCTCTTAAATCACTTTGTCGAGGCAATTAACAAAGTCAATGAAAAACACCCTCTGTCTAGGCCAATCAGCAGTTAGTAATTTTGACCTCTTTGTTATAATAGGTAATAAGAAACAGTCCCTCTCAGTCGCTCTCAGCGAAGATATTTTTTCGACCCAATACAAAGTTAAGGAACCGAAAAAGATACACAAATTAAGATGAAACACAAGCTAAACATGTTTTAACCCTGAAGCTTGACTGCAAGTAGTAAAAATCGAAAGTATACGCTACTTAACATAGCTCCTCATGCAGTAATTTTGAAATTAGATACATTTCCCTGCAGAGCATCATCTTTGAGAGATTACACACAGGCAAGTACCAATTTTTTGAAAGAGTAGATTTTAATGTAGACCCTTAACATAACTTCAATCCAAGAACTATGTACAAAATACTAACGAAAATAGTCCCTCATACTGTAACATGATGTCATGGTTAGAATGATACAAAGATGTAACAAAGCGATGTTCTCCTGGTAATAAATACTACATTTTCTTTTCTATTCGACTCACGGACATTTCTTTTGAAGGATACCTCATCCAAGACCGAATACAAAAACTGAATTTTCAAAAGTTTTTTAATTGATCATGTCTTAGAAAAAACAGATCGATTAGAAAGGTAGACTGAATATTCCTGAGTTTCTTTTCCTAGTAAAGCGTGAAACCTCTTTCTAATGCAGAGTGCGTTGCCAAGATAAAGAAGGCAAAAGGCTTTGCATGAGATTGTATCACCACTTTCACCCTTAGCGACGTTGAGGGTTCAATTAAATGCTACCACTGCGTCGTTCCATTGCTAATGAACATTTAATAACCGCTTACTACTGATGGTCCTCACGGGACATTGCGATATTTATCCTTCCCCCATCCCCCCCATAATACATGAAGAAAACTGTTCTAAGTGATCATTTCATACGAAATGTTTACTATTTCTTCTTTGCTCTCCCGTCCGACAGGTCAGGTAAGGATGTTGGCTTAGCTAAGTAGCTCTGCCCGTTTTGCAGCTGATCCAAAGAAACTGCCGAACGTAAATGAGCTGGAACGATGGGAACATCCGCCAGATTATCAACTGAGGCTGAGAGTAATGACGAGGAAGACTTGATTGCAGTCTTTGATTCCGAGGATCCACTAAGGGCACCGGATTCTAGTAAATGAAAAAAAAAAACCCGAGGAGGAAAAGTTAAACCAACAATTTATTTCTCTTGGGAACAGCTATTTTTTATTCGGCCGTCTCAACAAAACACATGGTATCGTAGCGAAATTAAAGTCGGAGGTTCTAAATAGAAAAAAAATGGTCAGACTAGCTGGGTTTACCTTGGGCAACGTATTTCTCTAATTGCGCCGTGTAATATCCATTGTGATCCAGCCGGGCGATGATATTCAGCATTTGATGTTCACAGTCTGTTGTAGAGTAATGGCTAAGCTTCTCCAACAAGTCCATCAAATGACGAGAAAAATTATTGTCGAAGTTCTGAATGGTGCGTTCAAAATCCTCGCCACTGATCATTTGGTCAACATGATCAAACACAACCTACGTGGAACAAGAACCAACAATTGTCCGTGATGAAGTACAATGTGGGATGGGGAGGGGAAGGGGACTGGCAAACGCTCGAAGAAAACTATCCGGCCCAATGAATTCGATTGATTTTGTCAGTCTATTTTAAGAAAAGACTTCACTCCTGAGGGCGACGAGATTGAAAGGTTCGGAGAACTTGAAAGTCATAGGTAACACGACCATGTTTCGGCTTTGCTTTCACATTCTTTAATTTGTTTATCGTTGAAATTGTTCGTAAAAAAACCATTTAGATAACCAGGAAGTCTGGAAGCACAGGGTTTCACCATCTGAGTCGTGTTATTTGATTCTAAAAACGTGCTTGATCCATTGCAAACCCATTAAAAATGACTCCTGTACCTTTGCGGTAGTTTTACGCTTCTCTTGTTCTCCCAGTGGTGGACCTTTCTTACTCATTGGACTCACTCCTGTAGCATCGGTCTCCTGTGATTCCACGCTTGCGCTCTGGGTGAACCGCTTACAATGAAACATATAAGGAATTGTTAATTTGACCCTTTCTAAAGCTTTGGAAGGAATTGCCGGACGTATCTGAATAAAACGTTGCACACTCTACCGAAAAGCCAAACACATAAACCGCCAAAATTTTGAAGAGGGTCGTGTGTGTAGAGAACATATTAATACCTCACCTGCATACAATTCGTGAATGTCACACAAACCAGCATTAACTTGCTAACAACCTGCCACAGAACGATAAAGCTTTGTAAATGTAACCTGTGGGTAAACATGCATTCCAAACCTCTTCAGATCATACTGTGAACACTTTCCACGTTACTTATCATATTACATCAGCATTACCAAAAAAACTACATGGTTAGCATCGTGTAGTTGAGACTCAGCGAACTTTCAAACTAGTCTAGGCGGGGTTTTTTGAAAGCTACTTCGGATCCCCTCGCAACTATTTCCTCTAAAATCAAACCGTTTGCATGACGTTGCTGCCCTCACCTTCAGCAGCTCTATATTTGTCAGCATACAGTCTTTCAAACAGCGGTCCAAAAAGTCGTTGTGCTTTTCTAGTACACCATCGATATTTGTAACCTGTGTAAACAAAAAGACAACAAACCGCAGTTGACTTCCAGTTATGAAAACTCGCTGCATTCTTAGCTAGCCTTATCCCAGTAAGTAAAAAAAGGAAGGCGAATTCTATTAACATCTTGTACATTTTGCACTTCGATTTCATTTTTGCTGAGTTTGATAACTATTTGGTGATAGGTTCTAGCTAGGCTATCACTATAAAAACTAAACCAATCACGGCATTCCTAGTCTGAGATACTTTGCAATTCCATTTCACAATGAGGACAAATTCAGTCTTCTGTAGGCAAATTACCGAGGCGAATTTTTTCGAGGACAGTTCAATTGACTAGACGTCGCTTTAAGAATATCTTTGTAAACAAGGAAAAACCAAGTGAAACTCGAGAAGATGGTTTTTTTTATCCACAGCAAGATAAAGAAAAGTTAGAAAAGAAACCCGCTTAAGAATTTTACAGCATTTCACTTGGAGTTCCTATTGATTACGGAAGAATGCGAGTCCACTGGCACTGAAGAGTAGATCGAAATTTACTGTGGCCTAAAAACCGTAAACTTACGGCCTCCCCAAACACAAATAAACTTCTAACCCTTACTCTTGAGCCAAAGCGTTTTCATAGCTAATAAACTTGTTAATCCATTAAAGAGCGCTCTCCCTGTGTATCATACCGTTTTAAGACTTTTCTCCATAACATGCCAGCTGGGCTCCAGAACCTCAAACATCATATAGTGCTCGTATGTCTGTACAAAGTGCAGCATCCGCTGACGAAGAGCAAACGCAGCTGCATACCTGACGTAACAAGATATTGGCGTCAGCGTGATAACCAGATGAGCAAAACGACAACTATTTCCTCATTGTTTTCAAACAGAAGAAGCTGAAGGAACCAAGTGTTCTTTCATTGTAAAAAAAAAACTCAAGATATGTTATCCACCCAATGGCGATTGAGAACATGCATCACGTTGCATTAAACATTTGCCTGCAAAGATAGAGTCTAAAAACAAGATAACTGATAGGAAAAACCTACAGAAGCTAATTCTAGTTTCTATGTTTGGGTGACATAAAATACCCACCCTCCCGCCTCCACCCAGCCCTTGCTATTTTTCAGGGTTTCCTAAACAGTTTGCAAGTGCCCATTTATATTCCTTTATTAACACCTGTGGGTGGGGAGTTTGTGTAACAGTAGAGTAGTTCGCCCTATCGGTCTGGCGTTCAATGCACCAACTATGATGCGCAGCGTACTCCACATTTCAAACATGAAAGAGACCGGACGTTTAGTTAATAAGCGTCATAACTCACCATGGGGAAGAATTCAGAGTAAACTGCTTTGCTCGCTTATTGCTCACCCAAACACTGAAAAATAAGGAATAAATCAGTCCAAAATCACACTTTATAAGGGCAATTTTCAGCTGAGTGTTAAAAGTAATCCAGCATTGCTTTGGTTTTGCTTTACATTCTGTGATTGGCCCAGAAAACTTGCGCCATCCTCTCAACCAATCGAAGGAAATTAAAACCAATCGCGACTTGGTCACTCCTGGTTTCTCGCATTTAAGGCAGTCTGCTTGTTCTTACTTTGAGTTCGCTCGGCTTCTTGGTTATATCATCCTTTGATCTGCTTAGCCTTTGGTTTTGCGACACTCGATCGAAATGCACTCTATGCGCGACGGAACGTAATTATTTCCAAAAACGTTATCACTGAACGAAACACCCACAAAATTAATACTATAAACAGAAAAATGCTTGTTGCAATTTCGGAAGGAAAAAAAATATGCAAAGCAGGTGAAGTGGTTCTTACTTGCATAGCTGTCTTTCAACATGACGGGCATAAAATAAATGTCTAAACAGCATCTGGTATTTCGTGAGAGCCTTCATAACAAATAAACAAACAAACAAAAAAACAAAATGAAATAATTGATCAGTGAGCAAAAACGACAAAAAACAAGGAACTTTTATTGGAATACAGCGCATTAGCAATGTTTGAATATGTGACTTATTGGTTTCTCCAGAGAGAGGAGGTGAAGTAAAACGAAGAAAAGAGGAGAGTAATGCGGGCCAAATGTTCCTCGCAGTTTAACATTTTAGTATCCCAGTTCCATTTTTCGACTCATGAAGCGAAATATGTTACCATGGAGTTTGAATTTTATGTCCTTGTAAAACGTTACTTTTCATGGAGACTCTGAAATACTTTTTTAACACGAGAGAAGTTTCATTCTTACTTTTTTGCTAAGGATTAACGAAACGGGCCATTTCACCACGTAATCAAACGAGAAGGCTTCAAGTCCTGAAAAAGAAAAAACATCCGTTGAGGAATTACTAATGTGTGACCCTCCGTCCGGCCCCGTGACTTGCACAGTGTAGCAAGAAAGCAAGGAAGAGAAACTTCAAAGAGCAGCGGACATATGATAAAATTCTTTCATTCAATTGTCGTTAGGTCAGACCAGACGGGTAAACATTTGGCTCTCGGTTATGACGTAGCTAAGTGCATGCGTCATGTCCGAAAACCAGAGATTTTCCTGTCCGGCCCATCCTCAACTCATGATCAGTCAATAAGTACATATTACTGACAAAAATAATAGCTTACTAACCTGATATCTGGAGCTCAGTGGGATCCTGATTATACGTCGTTGTGCCTGAAGCGGAAGGGTGGAGAGAGAGGGAAAAATCCTCAACAAATGTATAACATTACAAACTTAACTTTTGATGAGGTAAACAAATGGTTTCACATACCGTACCAGTTGAAATGCTACAAATATTCTGGTAAGGCAGACTTCACAATAATTACCACTTAGAGTATGTTTACCTTTACTGTCATAAGCCACAGACAAGATACGAAAGAGCTGAGTGATGAGGTCATAGGGAAGCAAATCGACTCTGCAAATGAAAGGTGAAGAATGTAACAAAATGACGCACAAGTATCGTACAATGAGACAGGGTTGAAGGTTTGATCTGATTTTATGTGGCTGAGGGCGAATAACAGGGTTTATGATGGTTTCGCCCCATTGCAAGTTTACTCCCTGATTCCTTTGAGAGTTCGCCCCCTAACGTAGAACCAAAAATACAAAATGGACCTTGCCGGTCTGACAAAGGGCTAACGCTCGAAACGTTAGCTTTTAAACTCTTTACGGTGGCCAATTTATGTTCTCAACTCAGTTGATAATACTTAATTACCCTGTTACACTCTCCCACCGACGCAGCACCACAGTTTCTTTAGAAACTTACCCCCTTTATTCACTTGTCGGGCTTGATTCACTTAAGCGCAGCGAGGTGCGGGAGCGACCGTGAAGCGCAAGCTAAAAGAATGAAATGTCTATTTTTCCTCATTTAACGTCACTACCTGGCGTTCGCATTCTTTAAACCTTCTGCGGCCATTATTTCGATCGCGACAGAAGACGTTTTACCAGGGTAAAAAAAACGGCAACAAAGGCAGAGGAACGCGAGCAAACCCAGTGAAATGTTTGTTCACTGATCACTGCACAAACAGAGCAATTTTCAAGTATCAAAAACTGATCCTGGAATGCTTTGGGTTTCCTTATCTCTGCTCTGTGATACAGAAAACTCGCCCCATCCTCTCAACAAAGTAGATGCAAAAATACAAACACTGGGTCAATAGCGTCGTCCCGTGCCTCAAGCAGTTCGCATGCTTTCACTTTGAGTTCGCGTTAGCTGATGATAGAGTAAACCTTCGTTCTGATTGGTCTTTGGGATTACTTTGGTTTGGTTTTACAACATTCAATTGAAAACTGCTTCTAATAAAGTACCTCAAGTCATCTTTGTACGGATCATTGTTTGCTGTACTTGTCCTTAAAGCTAACTCTAACAATGTTTCCAGTCTGGAAGGCATTATATCTAAATAACACTGAATCAAAGAACTACAACTGTAACGTTTAGGTACGAGTGCATGGTCATATAATGCTTTATGACTACTCCATCAAAAATTTTAAAAAATATGGACAGTAGATGTACACGTGCCTAGTCCAAATCACAAATTAACAAATCAACAAGAGTAGTAGCAAAGGAAAGACCAAATTCCGTGCACCAAAGTAGTATCTAGTCAACAGATAACTCTTCACATAAAATGTACAAAAGCACCATTTAAAACCCACATGGCATTCACCAAGTAATTCTGAACTAAGCAATGTTATTCAATCCGACATTTTTATTACTGATGCAATAAAAGTTTCCCCTTGTAAGTAACTCTTTCCAAAGGATACCATCCATGTTTTTTTTCATCTCATCTTCAGCTAGATCCATGAATTGAACAAAGAAATCTCCCAAGTCCATGAGAAAGTAATGTTTGATAGACCTGAAAATAATATGCAGTTCATCCTGGGAGTGAAAGGAAACGCAGCTAAAACTATGTGCCGCATTTCTTTTAAACAAAAAAACAAAACAAAACAAAACAAAACAAAAAATAAACAGAAAAAAAATATCACTGAGGCCTCCACCAAACTGCAATATCGCCTGAAACCACATCGTCAGCGTGTTTCGTTAGTGAATTGTACAGGCATGGCCGCGTTTTGCCCATGCGGTGAACAAACGAAGCACTAAACGGGGGCAAATTACTTAAGCCGCAGTGGTCAGTGGAAAGCGCCCTTACCTCAATCGAGCCATCAGTGCCCTTTCATCCATCAGCAGATCCAACAGTGTCTTACTAGCGTAGCTGTAAGCCTTTTCAATCTTTTCAACATATTCTCTCTCATTAAGTGTGTAAATAATCTCATCAGCGTTTGGGCATTGGACATTCTGACCTAAAGTAAAAAATATATATATATTTTAACCTCAAGAGGACCTGCATGTGCTGAAGTTTATCACATTTATACCTAACCCTTATGTTTGTTTGAATTGACTGATTTCCTTTTTTTTATATTTAACATTTTCCTTTCCATGCTGCCGCACATATGAAACAAAACCAACAAAACTCTTGCTGCGCTCTATATACACTTGTTGTCATCCTAACGCTGAACTTATCGCTACGCGCTCGTGACAAGACAAAAAACATCTTTTTTATTTTATCAACGGACTCAAATTTTACCACCTGTCTTATTCTATTTATTCCTATGAACATATTGCAAAACGTTTACATATTGTCTGCTTACACTAAGAATATTCATTTGCAGTACTAGAAACACTTACCGCACTGTCGAAAAACATTCAAGTATTTCCCGGTACTGAGAATGTTTTGTGCTACCTATAGAATTGAACAAAGGTGAAAAAAATGTTAACCTATACCTTCCCAAAAATTCTACTGCTTCACCGGTAAAGAAGATAAAGCTTTTAAATTGCAATTTATTCGAAAGCAAATGACCATGAAAATTATTGGATGAGTGTAGATTGGGTGTAACCAAGGAAATATTTCACTCATCATCCCACACCTAATCATGCCTAATCTGTCTGAATCTAGGTACTATATTCCTCTTCGACAATTTGTGAATCAAAAAGCCAAACAACAAGAAAAAGAAAGGAAAAATTCAAAGAAAAGTAGTATAAAAAGTCCACATGAAAGGATCTACCGAGAGAAACATCTTATGCCCAACCTTCACTGGCGCATACATTTTAGAAAACCAGGTACATAGGAATCGTTTACAGCGATACATGTGTTTATTAAAAATATTCTATAGTTACCTTTTCCAGAAATACAGGAATGTTCTCTCTTACAACGGTGTATCGTTGCTCCCAGTAAGTAGCAAAAGTCAAGAGAAATTCACCAATAAATTATCTGTAATTGATGGACATGCTCAGAAATGTTCAAATGCTAACCTCCCTTTTCTGATTCACAGCTGAAACTTCTTTTCAAACGAGACTCAGTTCACATAGTTCTGTTAGCTTTATCATGGTAGTATATCTGGCTTAAAACTGTTTACAGACCTGCCATTTTCTCTTCCCAAACTACAAGCCAAGTTAGTGCCACTGAGAGGGGAAGAAACAGTAGATGTACCCATTTATAAACTCTCACCCCTCGTGCTTCCTTACTTACTGAACCCTTTACACCCCAACATCACCATGCATATTCTCCATACTGTTCCCTACACATCTTCTAGGGTGTTGACAAGGAGAATTTGTTTGAGCTTATTTGGTTTGTGATCATTTCCTTAATTCTTGTAACCTAAATGTGTGACTCAGGGGTGTTATTGTAAGGAGAAATTAGGTGCTAGTCACTCTTAAGGGTCAAGGGGTACTCGGTAACTATGGAAAATGGCTGTGGAAAGACTAGCGTGGCTTGTTCTTCATTAATTTATTGAAAATCTTAAACATCTTCAAAGGATATGCATCATTGTAATCTTCAGTGACCTTCTCTTTCTGAATGGAACCATGTTCTGCCACAAGGAACTAATTAAAAATGATTAAAAATACATTTATTTATTAAAACACGACATTTTAACCCTAGATAACGTAAAAAAGAAACTACACAGAGGTTGCATGGCCAAAAAAAAAACCACACACACACACAAAAATAACAATCAACTAGATAAAATCAATCTATTCATTAATAATCTAAATACAAAGTACCTCAGAATAAGGATCACTGATAATCCCTTTGTAAATCCACTGCTCAAGGATATCAAAATATGGAACACAAGCCTGCATAAAAAAGGAACAATTATTAATAATATCCAAAATAACCAGGAGTTTATTCCAAATATGTCACAGGGGCAAAAACATAAATAAGCAATACAACTGTAACTGGATAAATATATTTTTAGAGTTGTCAAATCAACTGTTAAAAGTGTCACCATGAGAGCTGACTCCCATCGAACAGAACACCATAGGAAGGGAGGTGCCTTGATGGGTTGCATACCCAACTTTCCTTTCTCTTTCATTTTGCCTTAACCCTTTAAATCCTAGAAGTGATTAGCATGTAACTTCTCCCTATGATATTCATACATCATCCAGCAAACAGGTGATGAGAATACTCAAACTTACAGATGTATCAAGCATAAGTTGTTATCTTGATCCAACACCAAATTCTCACAAATATTTTACAAGGGAATGTGTAGCAACCAGAGGGGAGAATTAACAATCACATCTTGGGAGTTAAAGGGGTAATATTCTAAAATGAAGTGGTCTGTATAATTAATTAAAAGTGTTGGTTAGGTTGGTACATATTTTGTACTGCCTTTTTTTCAGTGTTTTTTTTTTCCTATTATCAGTGTTCACCTTTTAGATGGTAACTGGTAAAATTTCCCCAGTAGTAACTCTTATTACAGCCTAATTTGCTAGAAGATCTTGTAAACTCAACACACTAAAAGGATTGCTCTACCAGTTTGAAAATTTCTTTTACCTGTTGTACTTAAGTAAGGGAGAACACTGATTACAATTAAAACATAATTTTGAACTCCATCATTATTCCATCTAAAGGGTTCATGTCAAAGTCAACTCTGTGCTCTCCTGAGGTATCCATAGGAGTACCAGGCCAAAAAAACAGTTAATTAATCTCCGCTTGCTTCCAAACTTTGCACTCTTTTGTCACAAAGAGGGATTTTCTGGATTGAAAAATTTTGCCGCATAATTGTGGTACAGAGTAAAGTAACATGCATGATACATGCCTTCCTTAACTGCTGGGGTAGTGATTACACATAAAATTTTACATACTACTAAATTTTCAAAATGACAATACACAACAATATGCAAAGTATAATTACACTTACTGCCTGAGTGAGAAACAAGCAGAGATCTTGGGATTTCCTGTCCCTGTGTAAATAACATCAAGTTGACACTGATGTATGAAAAACATTTAGGAAAACAAAAGCTGGAAAAATCAATTTTTTTTGTAGACCACTATTGATGGCCTTAAAACAAAACACATACCCTGTATATCCTACAGTCTTTTCATGTAACAGTGTCAACACAGCTCCTCCCTTACAACTTCCCTAAGGGAGAGAGAATTTTAAACCACATTTAATTTAATAAAAGTAAAATGAAAAAGAAAAAAAAAAAGTAATTTGAAGAAGTGGAAAAATAGCAAAGAGACTTACAAAAGCCACCTGACAGCTGACATATAACACAAACTTACTTTATTGGTAATTAAATGAGTTAATGAGAGGTGGTTGTATACTGTAGATGGTTTACATCCCTTGTATGACTTAAGTTAACTCCTGTCCTCTACTTTTTTCCATGCAAATTACTATGAATTTTTATTTGATAAGTTATGCTTGTGAATGCCTTAGTTATTGCTAACCATTTACTGCTTAAATACTACTTATCCTACTAACCTTATCAATAGCCACTGATATAGATGACAGTATCTCCATAGTTCTCATACAAGGCTGAATATAAAACCACAGTTTCTGCAATGACAGCTGACCCTAAAGCAAATACAGTATAAGCATACAAGAGAGACATGTAAGTCACAAAACTTATATATACAACCTCACCAACAAAAGGAATATATTAAGAGTTTGAGAGCTGATAGTTCTTAGGTCTCGTTAGATAAAAGTATATCTAGCTTGCTATGTACGTCTTTTCCGGGTTTGAGCATTGAATATGTTCTCCAGACAATGTAGCTAGCAATTGCCACCAACAGCAGAGAAGAGGAAACCATTCAAGACCTCCTTCTTTCGTTCACCTCCTCGGTGCAATTTTTACTTTCGGCTCAAGCTTCCCTCCATCTTACTCATTCAATACCAGGGTGTCAAGAGACTGGAGAATTCTCCAGCTATTACTGGCTTTCAGGAGGTATTCTTAACCACATGAAAGAATATTCTCTTGTTTAATTGTACACAATTCTCTAGGGCTTCTTCTGGCAGTTCACTTCTTACTAAAATCCCCACTGTAGATCTAGGATTGCTGTATTGGTACTTCCTCCAACACATAAATTACAGAGAGCTTATAAACTTAAAGCTATAAATCTTAAAATCACCCATGCCAACCAACAATATTCCAATAACTTCAGAAGACATAAACTACATGGCAGCCAACTTCAAGCATGAACAGTTAGAAGCTATGAATTAATTAAAATCAGTTTTGTCTTAAAGGTTACAGTTGATACTGACCAGTCTAAACTGATGTTCCAGTTGTGCTACAAGAATGAGATATTCCTTTGGAAGAAAAAAACAGCATATAAATCAAGAACTTACAATACCTGACTACATCACTAAAAATTAACATTATTAATAGTATTTAATGTGTGCATTTCTGGTGGTTGTGAGGGTGTGAATTCTACACAACACATACTCAGTCTTAACCTTCTGTGTTCATAGTTTCCTCATTTACCTGTGAGAAGATTTTTTTATATATCAAATTTTTATTATTAACTTCTTCAAGGGGTTTCTTAAGTTGACACACAATAAATTAGCAACTGAGAACAACTTAAATTTCAATAATGTAGATCAAAAAGTTTAAAATGGCATCATTCATTAGTCAGTCTGATAATATAAATAACTTCATATCACCTTCAATAATGTCCTCATTGCAGCACATAAAGCATGATTTACAAGACCATGTTCAAAGGAAGATTTTGCTGAAAGAAGAAAAAACAGCCAATAAAAGTAATTATGATTAAACAATGAGATGAATATCCCTAAACCTTCCTAAAGTTTCTTTCTCTTCCAGTTACAGCATCAATGAAATAATAGTCAGACTAGGAGACCAAAAGAAATCTCTTTTTTGTAACTAAACCAAAAATCTCTTAATAATGCTTTCAATGGCTTTATGAGTATGATTATCCCTTTAATTCCCATAAGTGATCAAGCCAGAATTTCTCCTTGCAATATCGATACAGTATCAACCAGATAAGTGATGAGAATAAAGAAAAATATCAATTAGGGGATAATTAGTTGATCCAATACTAAATTCTCTGGACTAATATTAATAGAATTGCATGGTTGACAGTAAGGAAATTACAAATTTGATCTGAGAGTTAAAGGGTTATCTTGAATATACCTTCCATGAATCTGCAGATAGTTGAGTAGTTCGAGCAGACTGGCAGTATCCTTTGCACCAGCTCCAAAAGTGTTATCTCTGTGAGAAAAGATCTTCATCAGTAGCACAAACACATACACTCATCTGTAACAAAGAACCATTCAAGTTAAACTCAGCCCATCCTACCAATTACATATAGATGTCAAAATCAATAGCAAATATGACAGACTGTAATATTCAAGGATAGACTGAAGTTAAACTTAACTTAAGTATAGGAGACACATGGTTTAATGGTAAGTGTCATTGACTATGGATCAAAAGGTCACTTTTTAGATTTCAAGGTCATTGTGTCATGTGTTGCAGTGTACAAAGAGCCCCTTGCCAGAAAGCTGAGAATAAACCAGAAGCCATCAAAGCCTGATGCAGGGTTCTTCTTAGAAGGAGGAAACTGGGCACAGTGGTAGCTGAGCACCAGGATACATAAGAGACTAAGCACCTGCATACAATCACATGGAATATAGGAGTTCACTTCTGATCTAAATTTTTTGGTTAGGTTCCTTCATAAGGATGCCCATTAGCACCTTAATATGTAATGAAACACCTGCTGATGAAATGAAACACCATCTCATCCAGGCAAGGACACAATACTCCCAGTGGCTTGAAATGCAACAGGAATGAGTCAAAGGATAACCTCTCTCAATTTGGACTATTTTAAGCTTTTGGACAAGAAATTTTCATCTCACATTCAATTGAAGTCTTCCTAGTAAGCAAGTTACATTACCTAGAGTCTTGTCAATGGTAAAACTCCTTGCACTGTACTTGTCTTTCAGGGGTTTTACAAGCAAATATTTTCCCTCCACTCCCTAAAATAAATTCAAACAAATTGGTTTGTCAAAAGCAACTGCCCACAGTAAATGAGAAAGAATTGGTTCGACATACCGTTTAAATACTAAAAATGCCATAGAATAAAATTTTTGTAAGTTGAGACCTAACAGTACACCTTCAAGTAAGTTGAGACTTTAAACATTTCATCTTTTTTATTTTGAGTAAAGCCCTCACCATCATAAGGAATAAAAGATCTTCCACAATAGCTAACTCCTGCATTGGTAGAGGTAACGTACCAACTGACACAGGCTGCAAAGTATCCACAACCAAGGCAAGTTATTAGTAAAATACATAAACAGTGAGAACACAGTAATGGGGAGGGTCTTGTTTTTTCTTCCAGTTTCATTTGTATTTGTCCCAAGCATTTATTTGTGATTATTAATAATGATATACCCTGGTATCATAATGATAAACTGGAGAAAAAAAAAAGAAAATGCTTTAAGCAGTCTTTAAGCCAACTGAGGGAAAACCATGACTTATTGTTATCATGAAATTTTCACTTACTGGAGTGGCATGACTTGAGCCTGCTCCAGAAACATAATCTCTGCTTAAGTAAGGCCGTTCAGTGACCCAAGAAGGAGTGGGTGGTAAATTCCCTATGAAAATAAAAAAAAATTTAGATTAAAAAATAACCTGCATAGAGATACATGTAGCCCTGCACTGTTTTAACTTGTTTTGACTTGGAAAAACCTGCTTGTATCATGCAAATTTGATCTTCTTGCCCTTTCCTTACCTGCCAAGCACAACATACAGACAGCATAGTGTTGTATCTCTAAGTATGCATTTCTCATAAGAATAGAATGACGTGACTGCATGACTGTATGTTAACTATGAATATTAATGTTGTGAAATGTATTTAAGTGATGTGAATATTGATTAAAAGTGTGTTGTAAGTTGTGACCATATACATGTAACTGGAATATTGATAGACTTTACAGACAGATTACAAATTCAAAGACAGATCAGAAAAACATTCATCATTATATGTAGCACTGAATCTTGACCATAACATTTAACAAATGAATCTAGAATCTGTAAGCTGTTTTGACATACCAGTCCTCCTTGCTTGTTTCTCTCGCAAGGCTTTAAGTACAGCCTCTGGAGATGATCCTGATTGGCTATTACTACTTGTGACTGAGGCAAGCTTAGTACGAAGCTGTGATAGACACAACGATTAACAAAAGAATTTATTACTGAGGTAATCTTAGTCAATTTAATTCTTTTTCTCAACATATAGATGGCACATACCCCTTGTTCAATACCAAAGTTAGTTTATCATGTATTTTGAGTGCTGGGATGTGAATAGTTCTGAAAAGAACAATTATTAGTAAGAGAAAAATACTTTGACTCTGACAAAGACTTTTTGCAGGTTGTGGAAACCTCAGTTTCTGTTTCATATAATAGTTCAGTTATCAGTATTATCATCATAAGATGAACAGACTACAGGATAACATTAAGTCAATCTTCATCAGCAGTAATCATGAACAAGTCTACCATCTGAACATTTCCTCCTAATATAATCGTATGTATATAATCATTCTGTTTTATTCTTAGGCTATTTCCATGGTTACCTCATTAAGTTCATGTTGCGACATGGGGCCTGATGGAGGTATGATATCCTGTACAGCATCAGCTTTTGCTATTACACTACTTTTGGCTCCACTTGAAATAGCCACAAGATGTGCCTTAGAGCGATCCTTTGAGTTCTTTTCGAGGAAAGTTAGCATCTAGAAAAAAGATGTTTTACTGCAAATATTAACTACAGTGATCTTGCTCCATCCATGGTAAGATCTTAAAGCTGCAGTAACGGTAATCATACAGGAATAAGAACTATTAGACAGTGAATCATAAACACAACCCTAAAAAAAATCCTGAAAGATCCTGCAAGACTATTCACTATCCATGGCAACTATTTCTCTATTGTCTCTAAAGTAGGAACATCAAATTTTCAAACCTGTTTATCCTCTGCCAGTCTTGAGAGCAGGTAAACCAATGGATCAAGTTCTCTGACACTGAATTTAAACATCAGTTATTAAACAAATGATAACAATGATATAAAAAGATAAAGCCAAAACCAAAGTGATCACAAATTACACCAAATCAAAGGAAAAGAGAATACTGCAAGGATCAAATGAGAACCCAAAGTATAACTATGTAAACTGCTTAATTCCTGGGAAAAAGGGTGGGTGACTAGATCAAAGATGAAGTTTTAGTTCTGAATCTGATTTTTTGAGAGAATGGCAGGAGTTTTCTGGACCAATTATTAAAGTAATAAAAGCAAAACAAAGTTTTAATAGCATTCATTGATCGCCTTTGACATTTACTGGTAATTCCTCTCAAATGTTCCAAGCTGATAGTATATAAAACTAACAAACTAAGACTATTATCATAAGCTGAGCATGAAATCTTGTTGGAATATGCTTATGTCAGAGTGCAATGAATGCTAGAACCTCATGCTTCCTGGGTCGCCATGTCGATTGATCATGCTATGTTGTAATGATTTGTTGTGAGTTTCTCTGTTGATACTACAAATCTCACCTGCATTCAGTGAATCTAAAAACAACTACTACCACAACACAGCAATAAATGACAAAAGAATCATGCCACTCAACTTTTTAGATTTCAATTCATCATATTTCTTTAAAAAGTCCCTTGGAGTTGAACTTGTTTCAGCTATCTTCTTTTTAGCTGCGTGAGCTGATACCTGATTATACAATGAGAAAACTGTAAGCTACTTAAGTTTAATCTTGCGACTTAAACATTCAAGTTACAGCCTAATATTAGTATTCACTTTCTTCATACTATTCCCTCTACATTTCCTATAGCAATAATGAGGGCAATTTGTTTGACAATCGGGAACTTAAATTGTTGATCATTTCTTTTATTCTTATAACCTTTACATTTGATTCAAGGAGTATAGTGTTTAGAGAAATTAGAAGCCAGTCACTCCAAAGGGTAAAAGGGATAAGTCCAATGTAGCTGGTAAAAACCATGTAACATAACCAGCGAGGTTTTCTAGCAGCAGGCTCTTATCTTATATGGTACATAAACCTGTTGAATGGAGTATTTGTTACATACCCACTCCAACATAGATCAGAATCATTCAATTAAATTTAGCCTTACCATATTAATTGGTATTTGTAGTGCCATTGTTTTTAATGATTCGACAAGTATAGTAACTGTAGTAAAAATACTCTAAATATCAGTTTAAATATCAATATTTTAGTTGGCCTATACAGTAAAATAATCTTTAATAGAAATGTGCTGCTAATTTCTTACCTGTGTTGTCACATAAGGGGTCAAGTTCTTTGTCAACATTTCAGCATACACTTCAGGGCCATCTCCTGTGCTGGCTCTGAGTAAAGCAAAAGTTAGAGTAATCACGTAGCATTATTTCAACTGTGTGATGCTTATCAGCTTATCAGATTTTCATTTCATATATATTTATTTTTCTTCTTTTCAAAGTTAGCGTGATTTAGAGACAAGAAAAGTATCCTTCAAGTATACCAATTGAAATTGCAAGTCTGTGGTTTTAAAAATTCATGCGAAATCATACATAGTTCCAAGGCTGATCGAGAGGAGTTCAGTTAAATTCAACCCTTTGCTGAATAAGCTAACCTCTTGCGGCGGCGAAAACAAAAATACCCTCCTATCTCCCTAAAAAATTAAGTAACATTTTATATAGATGCCTGCAATACGCAATAAATGTAAAAATAAGCCAATTTGTTTACCTCGATCTAGCAGCAACCGAAAGTCTGCAAAGCAAGGACACTTCATGACATGATTTGTTTAAGTGACTCACCCTAATAAGCCCAAGAGCTGCGAAACATGGTGATGTATCCTGAATTCGCTCATTTTAACTCTATTTGCAACAAGAAACTAAACAATTTGACCCAATATCCAATAAAGCCTGTATATTGCCGCCATTTTCAATTTTTATTAATTTAAAGATTGGTTGTTGCCGCTGACAAAAACATCTGCTATCATTCTCTCGGCTAGACCCTGGGATGGAAACTTGTTTCCAGGAGCTGCGCGGAAATGAAAATGGTGGATTGTTGATGTTCTGGTTGTTTTCTTGGAATTCTTTGGAAAAATACTCTAGGGGAGATCGTGGATAGCATGTATGTTTCATCAGGTATTCCAGAGTGGAGGAAATTGGTAACTCAACGGAAGAGTGGGAAAACGAAAGGAAAAATGGATGTCTGTATTATCAGTCCAGAGGGAAGAAAATTTCGTTCGCGCGCTGAGCTGCAGAGGTACCTTTCACGTACAACTGAGGAAAGTCACCCCTCGATCGAAGATTTTGATTTCCGAGTTCCTAATTCTCTTGCAGTTTCAGATATCGATCGTATTTCAAGCGGGTTCAATGATCTAGCAGAGGCGATGAAGCGGGAAACACCACAAGATGAAGTAGGAAACAAACACGTATTCACCCTACAGAGGACTTTGAATCCTCAAAAGACTTCTCCGTATTTTCTAAAAGCTAACAGTTTGCGAAAAGAACTAGAACAACATCGCAATTTAAAACGACGGTTACGAAGCGAGTCTGTCCCTGAAAATCGTTTTAGAGTCACACATAATAAAAGAGTTAGAAAGTCGAAGACAGACGAAAGTAGAAAGTTCATATTCAATAAACGGAAAGAGGCGCGAAAACAAGCAGCTGATGGTTTCAAATATCGTAAGATCTCAAGTAAAAGAAAAGTGAGAAACTCGAACACTTTGAAGTTAACCAAGATGATTGGTACTGATGAAAATACAAATTGTGACAATCAAACAGGAAGTGAAATTACAGCTACTACTGTTTCGAGTCACTACTTCAAATCAAGTGATCCAGTCTTCAAAAATTCAAAATTTGTATCCAAGTGGATCCCTCCTAAATCTCCGTTCAATTTGATTCAAGAGAGCCTTTTCCATGACCCATGGAAACTGCTTGTTGCAACTATATTTCTAAACAGAACATCAGGAAGGAAAGCTATTCCAGTCATGTGGGATTTTTTTAAGAAATATCCTGATCCCGAAGTTACAAAAATAGCGGATTGGAAAAGAATTGCGGGTAAGTTTTAGATATACTTTGGCTCAAATGGGATGATTTCTAGGAGCAAACACGATGGGCATTCCAATGGAAGCATTTCAGAAGCAGGCTCATAATTTGGAGGTTTCAAATCAATAAAAGAGCACCATCGGTCAGTTACCCTCTTGGGTGTGCTTTTACAGCCCCAGGGAAAATTTGTGCTTTTCCTTGATGTTGTGTTGTCTTATTTTTCTGCTCGAAAATAATTCCTAAGAGTCAAATACGGTATCATTTCACATCCAGTCCACCCTTTCTAATTTCTAATTTAGGAATCAACTCTCAATTTGTCCATGTTGACCAAACCCTGGAAAATCATTGTTTACCCTCTCTTTTGTACTAAATTATTATTGATCTACCTTTCCAGATATGCAATATTCCTTTCTAAAACTTACTGAAAGCTCTGTAGAGAGTGTGCCCTGTTTTTGAAAAGAACCTCTCTGATCAATGAAAATTATTGTCTATGACATGGTGGCTGAAATAGTTAGCATGCCAAATTACAGGTCAAACTATCAGGGTTCAAGTCATAGATAGTTATGTGCTGTTCTTGGGTGAGATAGTTCATTACCATGGTGCCTCTCTCCACCCAGAAATATGTAAGGCAGAATATGTTTGTTTCAAAGGTGATAATGAAGAAATGTAAAATGGTTTCCGTGTTTACATAGCCTGATGTAAACACGCGGGAGGTTGGGAGAACACTCGATAAGCGTAGGAAACCACGACACGAAGTGGAGCGGTTTCCAGCTTATCAAGTGTTCTCCCAACCTCCCAAGTGTTTACATCAGGCTATGTAAACACGGAAACCATTTTACATTTCTTTTATAAAATAACTAATGAAAGAGGGACAAAAACCGTGTTTGCATACGCTCATGTAAAATGGTTTTATGGCCAATCAGAGCGCACATACTATTCTAATTATTTTATAATGCACAAGTAAAACATTAAGACACAATAATTTCACTTCAAGTCATGGAATTTTCCTTACTTTACCAGAGCTCCTCCAGCCATTGGGTCTACATGAAAAAAGAGCCAAAATCATCATAAGATTTTCAGAGGAATTCCTTACTAAAGACTGGACTTACCCAATTGAGTTGTATGGCATTGGAAAATATGGAGATGATTCATATAGAATATTTTGCCTTGGTGACTGGAAGAGTGTTACCCCTAATGACCGTAAACTCAACTTTTATCACAAATGGCTTTTGGAGCAAGATAAAGAAGGATTTTGAATATCAAAAACTTCATCAACATGTTATGTACTAAGGTAGTACTTTTATTGAAACTAAATAACAGTTGCAAACCTTGCAAAGATTATCTGTCAATTTTTCGGGTATTTCTTTTCTGGAAAATGATGCAAAGTATTTATAAAATATGCCAGATAAAGGCTCTACGTCTGAATTATTAATAAAAATATTTTCTGTGTTGTGGACCCAGAATTCACCAATCTCACATGTCTACTAAATACCCTGAAAACTCTTTTAATGCAAAGAGAGAATTCTTTAAGTAAATGCAGACCCTTGCATAAATGCAGTGTTATTGTTGTTTTGGTTCCAGATTGGATTTTCACACTTCCACTCTGTCCACCCTGAAGGATCATTACCTGTGATTGTAAATTGCACACAATTTTTTTTGCTTTCAACAGATAATGGCTAGTGGGAGCTTTGACTGGACAAGTGAAACATGCTGAAAGGGGTCCACTGAATTTCTTTGTAGTTCAAGCCTTGGCAAAGAAATAAACTCAAGTTTTCTAAAAACAAATATAACACAGCCATAAGCCAATTATTGGAAGTGTAACTTATCAATTATTACAGCATGCATTCCAATATCATTTATAATTTGTTATTTCCAAATATTTTTACACTGATGAAATAATTAACTCGACCATTAAATATTTTTAGAAAACATGCTGCAGCAAGAGTAGGCTTATCTTTCAAAGAGTCAAACTTTCATTTAAATTCTTGATGTTCATACTTTCAGACTTCACTAACTACAGCTAAATGAATTATAAGTAAGGTAAAATTCAAAATTCTTCCCATTTAGAGACCAATCATTGATATAAGATATAAGAATCTAAGCGTTATCAATACAAATCTAGGTGCAATCTTCAGTTGTTCAAAACCTTCCACAGAACATATTCAATTATTGACATTCAATGGTGTACTGTTCAATCCTGCTGAGTAAAACAGCAGTCCATGCTTTGGTCTGAAACCTTTATTTCTAACACTCTTTGGTGCACAGATGCCTCTGTCAGAATCACTGCAATTGATTTTCCCACAGAGCTTTCCTTAAGACCACTGAGGTTGGGGTCTTCATCACAGCATTCTCTGACATCCTCAGCATTGAGAGATTTCTCACTAGTTTTCATCTCAAAGGTAACACAATCCTGTGAAAAGAACCATTTAAAGTCAGGTGACAGCCTTTGTAGCATGTGCTTGAACACAGCTTTGCATTCCCCTTTAATTGGTGTGTATCATAGTAGAATGTGTACACCTGCAACAAGGAAGTGGCTTGAGGGAGGCAGATACTAATACATGTTTCACCCCTTTCTTTAACAAAAAAAAAGATAACTTATGCCTCCATATGCCAGTGAGAAGCTTGAGTAGGACCCAACCCCTCGAAAATCAGTCCATCACTGGCTACCCTCACGCATTTTCATGGGTTTCCATGACAGTCCACCAATACTCATCAAAAATACTTCTATGTGGAGAGAGGCACTATATGCAAGTAGTGTTTGGCCTACAAAAACAATGCAATCTCAGAATGACATGGCAAGGTCTTGCACTCTGACCACTCCACCCCAAGTTCCCTGAGCTAACCATAAATAATTAAGCCACTGTTTTAACTGCACAAAATGTTAAGAGCTCTAGAGGAAATTTTCAGGCATATCAAAAGTCACTGTAGCAATAATATTGAAAGAAGAACAAACCTGTTGTTCATTTCTTGACAACTGAAGAGAGTTCAAAAGAGTCAGAACCTGATTCTTGTAAGTTTGGATCTCAACAACCACTGGACCTCTTACAATACTATAACATGGCCTTAACTGACATCTGACATCATACCCCTGTCTAAGGTAATCTTTGAGGTCTACATAAGATGTGCTCCCAATTTCCTCATCATCACAGAGAATCTGAAGGTGCTTTACCTCGGCACAAGTGGGGAGGTGATCTGCACAATAAGAATGGTATTTATGAGAAAAATATTAAATTGGCAAACATTTTAGTATTTAACGATAAAAAATTATAATAAAACATTTCGCAAAAGTATATTAAAAAAATGTTGACGACATTTTGATGTTTGGCTAACGTCATTATAGTGAAAGATAAAAAATGTTTGAATACTAAAGAGACAATAGGTGATGGAATGTTCTTTTAAACAAAGAGTTTTGCGCAAATGGAATCAACCTGTGTGTTGAGACTAGGATTGTGCTGCTTGATGAAAAGCATCTCATAGACAAGACAGTCAGCCAAATGACGAAACATCGTCAACATATTTTTAATATGCTTTTACAAAAATTTTATTATTAAATGTTTAAAAAACCACTTCTTTTTTGTAAACATTTTAGTCTGAGAAAAAAATGTTCTACCTGTAATTGTTGCAACTTAAAACTACCAATGGTGATTGTCCCCAACACTTCCTTTCTTTATTCAGTCACTCACTTTTATTACCTTTCATTGTTGATCTGTTTCTAATTTTTTTAACGTGTAGAGTGAAATTCGTGACTGTATGATTATAATCCAAAACATTCCAGTTTAATTGCTGTAAACTAAACAAAATGACATGCAGAATCGTTAGCTTGTTAATCAACTAATGATTTTAAATATATTTACCTTTAACCTTGTCAAACACCATACATTGAAAATCAAAAAGGTGAAGAGGGAACTCCTTAACTACAATTCGCTCTGTATACCCAGAAGCTGATTTGAACACCATCTCATCACACAATGGTTCTTCATTGTAAAAAGCCAGTATTGTCTCCTTTGAGTGAAGTGTTCGTATGCGTGGACGCTGCCTTTGTCCACCAGCTTTAGCGGCAGCTTCCTCCACATGCTTTGAGAAGAAATCCTCCAGGTTTGAAGCAGTAATATAACCCAATGATTTGGCTTGAGCTTTGAATGCACCACAAAATTTACAGTTTGTAACTTTACAATCATGTGCACCACGCAACCCACAAGTTATGAAGCGTGTCAGAAAGCTTCCTGTTCTGGCCAAAGCATAAGAAGATTGTTGAGATAGTGAAGAAGACCACTGACGTATGGTAAAAGGTGGTGTAACTGGAGCTTTGTGGATCACATTCCCATCCACAGCACTAAAATCAGTTGCTGCTATGTCTAAATCTGTATTTGAAATAGGACTCTTGTCAGTAGCACAACAGTTCTCATCCCCACTTGCCTTTCGTAGTTTACTGCACAGTGACTCAAGAGGATGTGGTGGGGCCTCCACATTCACTGGGTTAGGTGATTTGTGAACTAAATAGCTTTCATCCTTAAGATGTTTTGAAGCAATATTGCCATCAGCAAAGCAGCAATCCAAAATAATCAAGAATTCACGGACATGGGGACTGAGAAGGGTTAGGTGCTTTTCCAAATCATCCACCGTTAGGCAATCATCGTCAGAAGAACATAGCAAGTTGCCATTATGATCACTGTGACCAGAGAAATAAAAATAAACAAACACATTCGTCTTTCCTTGAAGCTTCTGTTTAAGGTCTTGTAGAGCTTTTTTAACTAGGTTGGATTGTGATGCACCTCTTGATGTATTCGGTGTAATGGTAAATATGTGATCTTTTCTAAAAGCAAGAAAAAAAGAAGAACGGTCATGTGGCACTAAAAGAGTAAGAAACTTACCGTTTTTATAAGGAGAAATACCTCACTCAAATATTTATAACTTAGAATAGTAATGGTTAGGTATTTCATGGCCGCTTTCTTAGATTGAGGCATTATTATGAATTATAAGAAAGAGAAAATGAGGTCACAGTGACACAGAATAATTTTAAGCTTTGGATCAGCCAAGATTTATTCATGAAAAACAAAAGGACCATGCTTAAGATTTGTCTCATTTTGGCAGTAATTTAAATTTATATCTTCTTTGAATGTTTCCATTTGTGATGGTTAGCCTCTTTTAACCATACTCAATCTTCAGGTAATTGAGCCTCATGCACAAGCAGTGACTTCTCCCAGCACAACTTTGGCCACCTAGTATCATTGGAAACCCTTGGATCTGGATGATAATTTAACTCCCACTTACATCCACAATTGTCTATAACTTTGTTGATCATAGAAATGACATCAACAATTTCCAAAACTGAACTGTAACCATTAAGGTGCAGCCTGGTATCCAATTTTTTTTCCAACATAGCAGGGATTTTGGAGCATTGCATTACATGTGGTGTTAATTTAATTTATGATCCATAACCTTTTTGACCATGGCTCTAAACCAAATTAGCAATGAGGACAGGAAAACTGTTACAGTCATTGTAAGTAAAAATAATTCAAAATAATCTACCCTATACATGCGAGTAAACTCCAGGGCTCAGTAGTTCAAAGAGCAGACAACACCATCCAACAGATAAATTGCTAGCCAGCGGATAAGAGTTGACAAAACATACTGTGCTATCCACAGTATAGAGATTTATCTAGTGGATAGCGTTATCCACCCTTCAATCAACCAGGGCCAGGACAATAATCCCATCTGAAGCCCCTATCTTACACTTTCAATCTAGATCAAGTCAAATAAGTGCCCAAAATTGGCTAAATATGAGTAAGTAACCAGTATTTAAGCCTATGATCCTAGAGCCCTACCTAACTCCAACAATGCGGCAATCAGTTAAAACATTTTTAAAGCCTATTAAGTCATGTTGAAAGATTGTAGCTGCCTTTGGTGAGTCTGGGTCATTTCCACAAACTAGAACTGCATAGGTATCCGATCCTCCTACAATTAAACAAATCACCTATATTAAAAAAAGTGTAAATTATTGTATCCATCATTCTTAATTATTAAAAAGTCCAAGATGCACTGCAAACCAATCAAACCACACTACTACAAAAATAAATAAATTAGCCTTAACAGTTAACTGCCCATAAAAAGTTTTTCAGTTTTTACAGCCTTCATTTGACTGTATATAATTATTATAACATTACAGGGTGGTTCATTAGATAAACAACTGTATGGAATACCTTACTAAAGGACAAGAGCAAAAAATATTTTAAGAGCAAACCAAAAGCCTGGGTCTTGATGATAGTGACAAAACTTTGACTACATGTTAACACTTCTAAATGATAAGCTATACCAATTGGAGGTTCAGCAGGCCCATGGTATGGACATTCCAGAGGGTTTCGGCGTGCTTGCATCAAACATGTAGCACAAAAATAGTCACACTCCTGAACAGTGTTGCAGCCATGTGACCTCACTCCCAAATACTTTGCTATTGGCAAGAAAAAAATGAATTTTAATAGATAAGTTAAGAGATCCAGATATGGAAAATGGGGATCTGAGTTGCGAAAAGGCTAATAAAGATGCATTTAACTACTAACAATATAAGAATATAATTAAATTTTTACATACACTGTAATTAGTCAAATAATAACTATCATGTACTTTATAATTTTGTAGTTAAAAGCAATTTAACAGAGTTAATAACACAGAACATCAGAATTCTCTAGTAGTCAGTGGTTTTGCACATGCATCAGAATTCCATGTGCTCCTCATTTGATGCGTCTTTGCATGTACTTTGAGCGCAAACTTTCAGCGTTGTTCGGAGAGGCAGTTCATTGTCCAGGCAGTTTTCTCCACCCCTTCCTTCCCTCTTTCCACTGTTCATTTAGCATGATGGGTGCCTGTTTCTTTTTCTTGTGTCGGGGCTCGTGGTTGGGTACCAGGATTTGCTAGCTATAGGAGCAGTCTCCATCTGGAAGCTGGCTGCCAACAGCAAAAGCTTCTGGATGTTTCAGGCACCCAACCTCCACTTAGCGATGCAGTTTTTAATGTATTAAAAAAATGGTACCAGCCTACCCTTACTGCCAAGAACACTGGTCAGAATTGGCCAACTCTAGTTAATTATTATCATACAATAAGTAAATCAAACTGCTGGATTTTCAAGAGATACATACATGAATGATTTAGTAGACAAGAAACACAATGGGCTCCTTCTTTGGAATATTTACTGACTCCTTTCTTGTCCAGTAAGTCCTTTTTGCAAGACATCAAAACATTTTATGTTTAGTTTACAGTTCTACCTTACACAAATACATGTACCTTTACGGTACAATTTGCATGGGATTTGAGGGTAAATGGATGGAAAAGTGCCCATACTGATTTGAAACAATTATTAATAATAGTACATTCAAACATTACACATTTTCACTTTTCTATTCAAGCCTTGTAATCAAAGCCATATTTTCTCCCTTAAAATGTTAATATCTGGTTTCTGAGCAGCTGTTTCAGTCACTTAGCTTGCGTTATGCAGGTTATATGTCACTGTTGTCCTGTTGCATCCTAAACTCTACCTGAATCTTTAAATCTAGCTGCTTGGAGATTCTCAATGAAATGTTTAAGCATTTTGCTGACTTTCTTTTCTTTTAAAGAGGGTAAAATCTGCTTTTTAGGGTCCCACCACTCTATCATGACAGGCCTTCGATAGGTGGGAGTGAGGTGGGTGGCTGAGTTGCTAACTAAAGATGTTATACAATCATTATGATAAGTTAAGTCTCTTAACTTCAAGGCACCTAACATCTAAATACAGCCTAGCAGACAAAAGTAACTTCAAAATGTTCCTTACCTCTAGTCTCTTGCACACATTTGGCAGTTTTTCTCTTTCCTCTGGTGGTTTTACACAGTCTATTGCAAGATTAGCAAATTCTTCAGTGAAACCTTTTTCATCTCCACCTTCAGGCCACACATCCTAGCAGCAATACACAAAACATTTTAATATCATGATGATACTTCAAGTTCTAACTTAAAATAGACATATTGCCATGACGCACAAAATATTTTTATTGTTACCTTCCGTGCTGAACCAATTAAGTTTTTTACATCTGAAAACACTCCTTGTTTATAAAGTTTGTCATACAAGGTCACATCTTTTTCAACAGCTCTCTTTTGAGTAAGAAGTTCCAGGAGCACTGAAAAATTAAACATAGTAAACAGTTTACAGGGTAAGGTTTCAATTCACTTTAGTTTGTCAATCAAACAGACGGAGGTGAATAACAGTTTAAAAAGCCTGTAATCTAAAACAATAATAGTCAAAAGCATAAATTCAAAATATAATTGGGAATTTTAAAGAAATTTTAGGGTAAAAAAACAACACCCTTATTGCTGGTCCTTAACAAGGATGAGGACCACCTGTTTTCAAGTTCCTTTAAGATAGCCTTCCAGGAGGCCCTTGGTATAACTAGTATGATATGGAAAGTGTTTCTTTGTGAGCAAAAGAGTTTGAGCCTTAGAGCAACACTAACAGGCAAAGTTTGCAAAAACTTCATCACAAGTAATAAAGAGCTAACCTCACATAAATGACAGGAAATTGAATCAACAAATGTTCATTTATATCAAAAAGAGTTTTTTAGACCATGTCCAATCCCTTTTAGATAGATCCCATTATAACAAACCCACAATATTTTCTTACAATTCTCATAAATAACACAATTTGAGCAACTGCATACCTATTCCAAATGAGAAAATGTCATTAACAGGTTTAAAGTGTCTTTCTTTAAGAAATGCATCAAGGTATCCAGTTGTTCCACGAATCTGACTGAGAGATGCATAAGAGTAATCCATAAGTAACTCCTGAGCCATTCCAGCATCTCCAAGACGTGCATTAAACTGTTCATCAAGAAATATATTCCCTGGCTTTACATCCATGTGTACAATTTCCTGCCTACAAAATAAAATCAATATCAACAGAAAAGAATGCAAAACTGCATTGTGCTTTTATGATGACCCACTGCATTTTAAGTACTATAAATTATATTTTTTTAACTATAGACATGTTAAAAGAAAACTTTCATGAGAATTTAGAAAATAAAGTTAAATATTAATGTTGTAGTATTTTCACTGTCATTATCAATATAAGTAAATACATATTATTATAATTGTTGTTGTTTTTATTGTTTATAAAATCATAACAATTTTCAATGAACATCAATAGCCTGGTAAAAATAAATGTGATAAAACAACATCACAGCACAAACCTTACACATCTCTCGTTTTCCACTTCTGTATGCAAATAATGCAGTCCCCTGGCAGTATGAAGGGCAATCTTAAGTCTAATGCCAAAAGGTAATTTTGGATGGCCTTTTGAGTGCTTTCGTAGAGCCTTGTGTAAATCAGTGTGCATTTTAGGATACATAAGACAGCGTGGTTTGCTGCAGAGAGGACACAGAGATTGATAAATAATGGTAATAGTACCAAGTGGAGTCCAATTGTCTGTAATCATGCAAGTGATTAACACAATCAGACAACCACAAAGCATGAGTCCGATTTGTCATTTATGAGTATGGTTACAGACACAATTGAATGAAACAAAGTCCTGCTACCAATTAATCATTACAATTTCTGAAAAAACCAAATACATTTACTGTAATTTCCATCCATTTACCAGCACAGCAGATTACCCGTAATGGTCAATTTTTGCAATAATAAGAAAAAATTTTCAACAGATTACCCACACTGGCAGATAACCCACACTCAAAAAAAAAAAAGAAAATCATCCACTCGCACAAAGTTCCTTCATTGTTTTTGTTGACATGATATCCTTTAGTGTGCAATTAATAATTTTCAAAATTTTTTGTCTTCACTGTTTCATTGAGAATGATACCACTTGTAAAAATCTGTTCTAAAAAAATCAATATCTCAAGATCTCTGAGTTGAAGAAATTGCTTGAAACAGGAAATTACTCTTTAACTCAAAGCAATGCTAGCTAAGAAAATTTCATTGATGCATCGAAAATTCTGTTGCGTCATTAATTATGCGGCGCCACGAAATGAACATGTCAGCATCATTTTCCGTGTGAATTGTTTTTTGAAATTAAAAAAGAAAAAAGCTGTGAAATTAACAAGGTAAGAAAGTAAGAGTACAAACAAGATAAAAGCTTTGTTATCGAGTTTTGTATGTTTTTGATTTGCATTGGCTTTCATCAAGAGCATTAAACTCTCTTATTATAATGAGCAATCTGCATGAAATAAATGAGTTATTACAGTTTTTTAAAGAGTATCTTTAGTGGATCTTATCATCACTAGTTTTTTCCTGCTTATAGTTTTAAAACTATACCAGAAGCTTTAAAGATTATTGTAATACCCGCACCTTCCTATAACCTGCACTAATGACTGTTTGTGGAAAAATTAACAGATTACCCGCAGGTAATTGGCTGGAAATTATGGTAGGACAAACATCTCCAGTAGAGACAATGTCTAAGTAAAATATTCCTCCATTTTGGAAATTCCCTATTCTTTTTTTTCAGGACAAGTGGTTGTTGCTATGGTTATTGTGTTATAGCAAATTGTCCCATAACAAACTGTCCCACAACAACTGGGCAAAAAAATTAGTGGAAAAGAGAAGATATTTTAACTAATCATAATTGAGGAAATTGTAATTTTTATGATTACACAAAATTATCTTCTGCATTCTGATGTACACGTAAGGTAATTATTATAAAATACATTTATAACAAGTAAAAACATTCAACTTTGTTGACTCACCCTTCCTCCTCACAAAAAGCATAAAGGGGCATCAAATTGGGATGTTTAATATAACCAACTTTTTTTTCCTGAAGCAAAATCAAAATCATGTTGAGTTCTATTGAGTACAAGAGTACCCAAGGTGACTTTTCACTCAAAATCAAATTGTCCCTTACACTGGTATACATGTATTTCAAGTGCCTAATACTTTCTCAATAAATCCATGGGTTGGGTTCTAAAATTTCCCTGTGTTGTACATTGATTTGCAATGGTACCTGAGCTGGGATAAGTACAATTTAGCCTGAAATTATCATAGTATGATTTCACAATAGGATGAGCAGATTCCTGATTAAATCACACTGCAAAATGTCACTCAGATTGCCAGGATTGCCAGTGATTTAAATATGGGTGAAATGACACAAGATAACTATTTTCTTATTCAACAAATAAAACACAAATCAATCCTGTTACAAATCTGAAGCTTTTCATCTTGAGAGTTTTTGCATCTTTGTCTCAATAAGTTTTGATTTAATACACAATTATATGTGGTATACAGAAGACTGAAAATTGAAATCAAGCATTCCTTTTCAAGACCAGCCATTACTGTGTTGTATTCTTTACTCTCAGCATGTCCCTCTCCATGCACCCAAGAAAAAAAAGGTGTATGGGTACCAGAAAAATGTCCAGGGACCCTCTTCAAAATTACCCCAGGGGGATTTCCCTGTGAGTTAAAATAAGTCTGTTGAGGTGGAGTAGCAAAACTCTAGTCATTTGAAGTTCATTCTGGACAATGATGAGATCTGACTAGTATGTGCCATTAGACTCAAACAGCTTTGCCTGTTTATCAATAACAGAACACATTATTTTATACGTCATTACCCTCTTTAATTGTGCTCCACCTTGGGGAAGTCCAGAGTAAGTCTGGTGCTCTTCTTTGATGACAACAGTCTGACCATGAAATTTCTTGTTACCTAAAAGACAGGAAGACAAATACAATCAATTAGTACCACACTTCTACCTTAATAGTTAATCAGCCTTATTGTGCTTTTTATTGGGATATGAAATATTTTCTGTAACTTTACAATAAAATACCCCTACAGTGTATGATCTGCACTCTATCCCTAATATTCATCCCTCCCTTCCATCTCCATCTGAGACCATGACACATTTACTAAGTAAGCTAACAGTAACTGTACCTTCATAAACCTTCCCGAAGCCTCCTTGACCCAGTATTTTACTGTTTTTACTACTGAAATATTTTGTAAAACAGTTATAGCTCATCTCAACTGGGCATTTCTGATGTAAATGTGCTGCAACTTCGGTATCATAATTGACTGACACAGCTCTTTCAACTGGAACTTTCTCTGAAGATGATCTTCTTGTGACTTGACTGGAGCCTGTAGTGCTTGTTCCAACATCATGAGCTTCACTGCTAACAGTTAAGTCATCAGAGACTGAGCCCATAGAAGATTCTGGATCAATTTCAACCAAATTCATACTTGAAAGTCCTTGATTTGGATTGCCTTTGTCATCCTTTCCTCCAAGTTGGGCTTGATTGCTGCCTGGCCTCAGTCTAGCTTGTCCCAAACTATTTTCAGCTACATATGCTGTGGAACTTCCTTGTTCTATGTGATCCTGTAGATTAGTTTCACAAAAATGAATATCAGAAGCTCCTTGATTTGGACTGTCTAGTTCATCTCTTCTTCTGAGTTGGACATGATTGCTGCCTGGCAAACTACCTGACCCTAAGGTACTGGAAGCTCCTACATTGATATCATTTGGATGTACTGTTAAGCTACAGTGTTCTGGATGATCTTTGTCATTTGCTCCTACAGGTTGTACTTCGCTGCTGATAGTTGAATTTGTCAAATGTAAAGTCATAGGAGATCCTGGATCCACAGTTGTTCTCTGATTGTTTGGAGGAAATTCAACAGGATCTTGAGAGTTTTCACAATGTGTTATCTTATCAGAAGATTGCTCTTGTTGACCAAATGGGACACTGCGTTGGGTTTGGTACACAAGGGGGTTTGGCTGCACTTCAGGTGGTGGTTTCAGCTGTTCCACAACAATATTACCTCCAGAATCTGGCTGAGAAGTAGGCTGTTGCTGACCTGACGGATTCCCTCCAAGAGTTTGGCTATAAGGGGGAAACTCTCGCTCTTCTCTAGAGGAAGGTCTTTGTTGTTCCCCTGGACCACGAGTTTGTACAAAACTGGAATAATTTTGGACTGGATAATTTTGGAATGGATAATTTTGGAATGGATAATTTTGGACTGGAAAACGTTGGGCTGGATAGCTTTGGACTGGATAACTTTGGACTGGATTAATTCTAAATGGTGCCATATTTTCCATAGGATACTGAGTATACTGATGAGCATGTTGATCTACACCTGTAACAACATTACCAATGTCTGACTGCAAACGAGTGCCAGCCTGTTGAGTGGCATCTTCCACTGGCAAAGATACATAGGGTGAACCACAGACAGAGCCTCCTATTTGACCTGGCGTCTCATTTCCATAGTACATACTAGATACTGAACTTTGAACTGTACCAGAATAAACAGCTGATGAGGCTCTTCCATTCATTGTGTTGTTGAAATTGTTCTGTAGAGCATATTGTCCATCAGTCCTGGTTTCATTTGCTACAAAAAAATCAGAGAAAGGAAAATATCAGTTTAAATGATTGGCTGACAGGTTAAAGATCAAAATTAATTAATTCATCTGAATACACTTAGCTGATACTCACAATAATTCAAGGTAAATTAAAATATATTTATTAACATATACCCCATTTCAAATGGGTATCCTTCTTATGACCTTAAAAAAAGAAGAGTTTATCTTTGAATAGTTGTGGTACATATTTCAATAAATATTTGAGACCCAAAAACATGGATGCTGTAAGGTGTACAAGGTTCTCTGACTTCCAATTTCTTATAAGAAAAAGTTAGTTCATACATCCCCTCATTGTGTTCTATTGGTTGGGGCACTCTCAAACCTGAAATCCTTGGAGTAACCCTGTGAAGGACTGAAATCCCATCCTGATGGAGAGAGGAGGAGGGGGGGAAAGGGTAAGGAAGAAGGGGGAGGAAATGCCAAACTCATGGTTGCTTTATGCCATAGAAACTGGGATAGGGTCCCATGTAATATATGCTATCACATATCAGGGTACAGATTGTTTCCAAGTTACGTTATAAGGTTTATAGAGGATTTACCTATACCAGCTTAAATATTGCAAATTCATCCCCTGAGATAAAGCAAGCAGAAAACATTCATTTTCTTTCAAACTGTAATATATATATATATAGATCTGCAATTTTTCTTTCAAGGGAAAATATTTGAGACTAAAGGCATAATGGGATGCTATTAAACGCTGGGGCCAATGATATGAGTTTGACTATCAGACTTCGAAAATTGGTCATTGCATCAGAATACGTGTTGGCTCCCAAGTAAATTATAGCCATTTCGAAAAACTAGATTTCTTTGATTTGATTTCTGCTAACATAGGCATAATTAAGTTAATGTCAAACCAGGTAATTTAAAGACGAGGGAAATGTAGCAACTTTACATTACCCATGAAGGAAATATATTTTGATTTAGACAGAACACTGTATAGCGTAAAGAAACAGGTTGAAAAATTTTAGGGCAAACTTGTTTTTATGCTGCAGGCAAACGTGTAAAGATGGTGTGGGGCGAACTTGCATTGAGGCTTCCAAATACCATGTTAGAACACTCATATTAGCGATGCAAACAACATAATGTTGCCGATACCAATCCTGTGGGGATGAATTCTTCAGTCGTATCAAAAATTCAAAACTTAAATATTTTTTAACATCTTCACTTCTAGCATTCTCTGACCATTATATCCACACAATGTTAACCTTCCATTGATTCCCTAAATTAAAGGGTGCAAAGGAAGCCAGCAACGCAAACACCAGGCCCCGGTTGTTCGAATATCGGATAACGCTATCCACTGGATAGATCTCTATCGTTTTGCTATTACTTATCCGCTGGGCAGAGATTTATCCGTTGGATAGCGTTATCCGCTCTTTTTACAACTGGGCACTGCAGATTGGCAAACACTATATTGACGAACCTTCTTTACTCAAATGAACCTTTACGCAGCAAAACTCACCTTTTCTGGAGTCAAGAAAACGTTGAACTTTAGCCTTTAAATCCAATCTCCTAACGTTATGAAAGAGTTGTCTTAAAAAAGCGAGCTGCTGCTCTTCGCCTTCGGTAATCTCACCAATGGCTACAAACAGTTCCCTCGGTGTGGATATATTTTCTAACCTTCTTTTGGCCAATTTGTCACCACAAAGGTACTTTAAACCAGCTAGATCTTCAGATCCTATGTCGTCGGCTATTTTGTTGAGGAATCCACGTAAATTTGAAATCGCCATCTTCCGTACCCTTCCCGAAAGAAGGAAATCATAAGGAAGTCAAAGACCACGTGACGTTTAGGGACTTCCTCCTCCTCGGGAAATTGCGTAAGGATAAAAATTGTAACTGTAGAAAGCAGAGTAGCTCAGTGAAATAGGCCAGTCGTTGAATTTTCAATCTATTCTCCAAGTGATAGAAAATTCGAGTGCGATGATTCACCAGAAAAAAATATTCTGCAGGCGAATCTGAACTAAAGAAAATTCGGTAGTGGTACGTAAAAATTTAGCATACGTGACGTACCTATTGTGTCAGACTTCCTGTTGGATTGGACTGGCTTCTTTCTCGAAACTGAAAGTTTTGCGCAACAACATTAATGGAAAAGTACCTGGTTCCTCGGTTAGTGACATGTTACATGACTTCAGCTAAATGACGTCTCTATTTATCAGAGCATGGTCTGAACTAGTTGATCGATTGAAAATTAAACCAAAAACTTAAATTGAAAACATTTTTTATATTTACATGTACGTACCTAGGTAAAGATATCACTGTTTCACAACTTTTAATCAGTTGAAATTCGTTCAGCTATACCTTTATTTTTGGATTTTTTTATTTACTCATTTGCTTGTCAGCGAATTTATCAAATACTGTAGATTCCAGGTCCTAGTGCGCCTGTTCAGTAATAGATCATGTCACAGATGACGTCAAAATGTGGTAAATACAAAAAAAAGTTACACAGGAGACGCAGCCGTGTGTTACTGATGTTCTTACCAAATTTTGATGTCCTCTGTGATCTATTACTATAAAGACCTTCGGCATAGAATCTATTTGTTTTAGATGATAAAAATGTTGTTAATGGTGATGTCATCTGTGTCTAGGAACCAATCAAAATGCATTTAAAATTCAGCTTACCATATATTAACCTATTGATACATGATAGAGTAAGTTATCTATTTGATTCATTGATTGATTGATTTTCCATCTTTCTGCATATGCATACGTGTAACAAGTTAGTGAACTGTGTCTATTGCTGCGTTATTTCTGTCATTCCTGCAGAAAACATAAGATGGAATCGGAAGGTGAAGCCAGCAACAGCAAACAAACTCCTAAGAAAAGAAAACATCACAAACACAAGTTTGGTTATCAGTCTCAGCAGGTTAAGTCCCAGTGGAAAGTTCATTTAATCAGGAAATTTGACTGCATGCAGTTTTAAATTTGCATGACTTTGATGAGACCTTAATTTACACCTTGCAGGCTGATACCCAATCAGGAAATTCCAGATCACTGTCTAAACTGAATGAGGTGCAAGGTGACTTATTTTCATGTCCTGTCAGTGATTCCCTTGCTCACTGCATAAGTGCTGATGCCAGGATGGGCAAAGGGATAGCAGTCCTCTTTAAAAATAAATTTGGAGGAGTGGAGGAGATCAAAAGTCAAGGTATATTTTTTAAGTATGCTGTATGGTCTTTAAAGGAATCCTCAATTAAAAAAAGGTTGATTGAACCTTCAATAAAGTAATTGTAATTGTGATTCTGAATATCTTGTGTTTAACACAGTTTCAAATTATATAAAGTTCTACAGGATTTGCTGTTAGGCAGAAATGGTATTTCTCAGGAGTGCATTTGAACTTGAGTCATATGCATTACAGCTGAATGCTTGATCATACCTAAACACTTACTACTTGAATTTCATTTAAGATGTGTGATGGCGGTAATAACATAAGCCGCCAGTTTTCACTTTAAATTTCTAGCTCAGAAGTTCTACGTCTCTCCCCCACCCCTCAATTAAAGGTGAAGCGTGAAGCTGCAAGAAAACAATGTTCAGAAATGAAGGTAATTGTTGAAAGTGACTCAGTGGGATTTCACATCAGGTGACAGCTTCCACTGACCTTTTGAATGGAATTGTTATTAAGTATTGTTACAACAACCATAAAGAACATAAGTGTCTAAAAACTTTTTTTAGTTACACTACTTATTATAAGCTACATGTACATAAGACATTTGTTTGCATAATTTCAGCATAATTATTTGGATAAATAATTTTTCTTTTATCTTTAACTTAGGGCAGAAGCCAGGAGGTGTAGCTATTTTGAAAAAAGGAGAAAGATTTGTCTATTACTTGGTAAAGGTTTTGAACTCAGGCTGTGACAATTAAATGATTCAGAAAGTGTCATCATGATGTGTTAAAACAATAACTCAAAAAAAGTCTGTGTAATTTTATTACAAGCTTTTGGTGCATGATATCTGTAAAACACGTCTCAGATGAAGTTTCTGTACTTAATTTCGACTTTCTGGATGCACTGTTCAAAACAAACATAAGCTTGCTAAACTTTTGTCTCTTCATTTATTATTAATAAATGATGAAACAGATAAAAATGATTTGTAAGGGTTCCTTTGCAGTATATTCCATTTCAAATGAAAGGGCTCTTCATATGTGAAGAGGTTTAAAAAATAGTTTTTTTCAAGTTTCCAGTGTCAAACACTAATAATAATGCACTTTTGTGTCATATATGCAATGATAAAAGAAAAATGGCAACAATTCCTAATTACAGCTATAGACTTAAATAATGGTTTGCTGATCAAAAATTAATCTTTATTTGTGCAAGGGGACTTTTGATGGTTTGTATTCTGTTTTCCTATTAGGTCACCAAGGAGAAGTCTTTTCATAAACCAACATACAAAACTTTGCAGTCATCACTAGAAGCCATGAGAGACCATTGTCTTACCCACAATGTGATTAGCCTATCAATGCCGAAGATTGGTTGTGGCTTAGATGGTCTGCAATGGTACAGAGTTAGTGGTATCATACATCAAGTATTTCAAGATACAAATATTAATGTGACTGTTTATAGCTTGTAGGAATTAAAGGATTTCATTTTCATCCAGAAATCCTTAAAGAGTTACACGTTCAAAACACATGAATAAAATGTGCAGCTTTATTCAATGTTCTTCTCACAAATTGTTTAAATTAGAAAGTTAAAAAAAAAAGTATATTTAATTTGTTGCTGTTTCTCCATTCAGAATTTTGCATGTGTTTAATGTCTATAGTGGATCAGTGTATCAGTTACAAAATGCTCCTAAGAGGGTTGTAGCACAAGTGTCAAAGCTGCAGGAGATTGGACATGCTAGAGAAAATTTTAGAGACAGGCCCTTGCTGTTTTGTCTCTTGATGTACTTCTAGTGCTCTCTTACAGGCTAGTTGATGTAGGATAGTAAACTTAAGACTTTAGGAAGGTAAATGTAGAAAATACAGTTACCACTGATGTTGTGAACATAGAAAATTCACAAAGTTTAAGGTCAAGATATAAAAGTTTACTTTTCTTAATTACTAAACATACAAGATGGATTTGCTTCTAAATAGTAAGGCATGATATTCTCTGTCCAAGATGCATTGTTTTAGGGTTGTATAAATGTTTTTGTTGTTGTTGCTTTTTTTTAGTGATGTTTTTTCCTTATTGTTATATGAATAAGAAAGTATTAATAAACAGTCGACCTTGCTTTATTAAGGTTTATTTGCAGTAGTTTAATTCAAGAAACCCTAACACAAAATCTCAGCACCCACACTTCACTGTTAAGAAATATCACATGGTAGTCTTATGTTCTTGGTGTGCATGCATATGGGTGCATAAAAATATCAAATTGGTAAATAATGCAAAGTGGAGCACTGTCTGGAGACTGGTTGTAAAGGACCAGTTGCTTTTTTCGAAGACAAGCATAGATTGTCCAAATACGCATTTGAAGCACAAAAATTCTTAACACTTGCTCAAGCACAACAACACATTCACGTTGCTTCACTCAAACCAGTCACCACCAAGGCATTGTTTTTTATTGATAGCCAGTCATAGTAAAGTACTACCAGTACAGCTGATCACCTTGCATTTGATGGTCTTTTGCAAGAGTTACTTTCCAGATTTTCAGTATTGTTGCAAATCATTGTGACATTTAAGTGAGCGCAATCTTTGTATGTTAGGATGTCTTAAAAGCAGCAGCTTTAATTTTCCTCAAGGGTCTGTGAGAAAGCCATAAGGGTCCTGCTGCCTCTATTATTACCCACTCCCCTTCCTCGGGGCTTTTCTCCACCAAAATAAAGAACAGAGATCAACTAGTAAAGATAGAAGATGCCTAATAAGGTCTCTCCAACTTCACCTCTCTGGCCTATTTATGAAATTTTTCTGCAATACTACCCAGCTCCATTATGAGGCTCTACAGACACTGAATTCACAATTCAAAAAAACAAATGAAATTCCATGGTGAAAGTAACCTTCACTTAAACCTAGGTTAATGTATGTTCACCAGACATGAATTAGAAAATTCCAATTTAATATGCACCAGCACAAACTTGTCATGTCACATAAAAAAACACAAAGATATATTTTAGTTTAATGTGAAAGGTTTGCAATTTTCTCCAATTTATGCATGTGTGCAAACATGTCACCTATTTTTTAAAACTTTATAAAATAATTCAAATAGTACACGTGCTCTGATTGGCCATTAAACCATTTTACATGAGCGTATGTAAACACGGTTTTCATCCTGAATCTTCTCGCGGAGTTCTCCCTGCTATTTATTTAGCAGTAACTCAGTTTCTTTAAGAAGATTTTCCTAATTTTTCTTTGGAGTTTAATTTTCCCAGTATTCAAGAAACGGCCGAAAAGCCAAATGAACAACAACAACAAGCACGTCGCTTTCCTTCGTTGCAAGAAGAGGCTCTTTCATTAGTTATTTTATAAAAGAAATGTAAATGGTTTCTGTGTTTACATAGCCAGATGTAAACACTTGGGAGGTTGGGAGAACACTCAATAAGCTCCACTCCGCTTCGCGTCGTGGTTTCCTACGCTTATCTCGTGTTCTCCCAACCTCCCGCGTGTTTACATCAGGCTATGTAAACACGGAAACCATTTTACATTTGTTCAGTGTAAAATAGCCAAAATGGACCATTTTGTCATTCTCATCAAGTGATAAACGATCACACAATATCTATGTTGCCAAGAAACACTGATTTCAGTTTTTAATACTCTTAACCCTTTAACTCCCAATATCTCATTAGTAATTCTCCTTACAGTCTGTTATATAGTTCTTGAGATAACTGTCTAATTTGATGAATTTGGTATGAGATCAACTCCTTACCCAGTGCAAAACAAGACAAGACCATAACATGGAGAATAACTTCATTCAATTGTAAAGTTGGTCTCAATTTCATCATAATGTACAGTATGCGAGATCAAGACACACAAGAGTAAGAATATATTACAAAATTATCAGTGATAAAGCAAACACTTTCCAGAGACACAGCTCTTTGAATTTTCATAAGTTGTGATATTCATTCTTTATTCGTCAAATACAAACTTGATGTCAAAAGGTCAATCATTTATATTAAGAATAAAAAGTTAACATTAAATGCTAGAATTTCCAGTTCCTCTACACATTTCTTGTCATGAGAATTAATTCTGTAGATGGTAGAATAGGTTTGTTACGTACATAATGAGTGAGATATAAGCCAGAAAATTGATGATCAACATCACCCACATTCTACATGAAAGTAATACTAACATTACACAAAGAGGAAACTTAAAGGCATATTTTCAATTTTGATGAAAATGTCATTTCTTATCTCTGGGAAATGTCTGGCCTGTTTTAACAGTAAAAAATTTAATTAAGTCTACTCTCTTCCTGCTCAATTAACCAAAATGTTTATATACTAATTAAGAATTAAGAATCATGCAATTGTTTAATGTTACACTGAAAGTTACACATATCTTGACTACATAAAATTTATGAAGTGTACAAGGTACATATAATATTTGTTAATAAATAAATTCAAGTTGCTTGCAACTACAATTCCTTTACAACATGATGACTTTCTGATTTACAGAACAAAGTCAATTCAATAAAATGCAATAATGGTCAGCCTCAGTGTAAATTTTGAAATTTAACAATCCCAATGCAACTTCCTTTCAACTGATCTAAAAAAAAAATTTCTCATTTCAGACATGTAACTTTAAGGAAACAGGGTAAGGTTTGTTTCCTTTGTTGTCTGTACATAATTACAGACCTGTACCTCTGCTCAAATAAAAATTAAAAAAAAAACTACAGCTAAAGCTAAGAAGCTAAGAGGTTCTTTTAAAAGTAAGAATGCACCAACATAGGATTTTTAGTAACAGGTGCTCGATACCTAATTATAAACAATGGCCCGCTTGAAAAACAAACAAGCCTCACAGCAGATATAACTTTCAATTGGTCAATTGTTAGGGGGTAAATTTACAAGACATGCACATTTCAGTTTTTCCAACTAAAAATCTAAAAGAATAACATGAACCTACAATGCCCTCCTTTCTTTCTCACTTACAAATTATAACATTAATTAATTAGCTTTATGAATTCCCTATAATTGCCAATTAACCCTGAGTCATTTTTGTTTGAAACTATTCACAAGCCAGCTTGCCATCAAAACTGCTTAGGGCCACTGCAAATGCTTGTAGAGCACACATTGGGTAACTGTAGTCCATAGTAAACACATCTTCTGCTACCCGGCCAAACTGCATAATTATGTAATCAACTGGAACAGCAAAAAAAGAATTGACATCAACTCCAAGTACACTGAGGGGTAAAAGCTATAAACGGATGTCATTGCAAGTTTATGATACACAAATTGATCAATTTATCATTCTTGTATTATCCTTTTACAATCATAACTGTGTAACATTATAGCAGAAGAAAGCCCAAAATGTGCAACAGTATTAGACTGTAGATCAGGGCAAGATTTCGATAGGTAAGCAGAGTAAGATGGCTACAATAAATTACTTTTGGGCTTAATTTAACACAGCAATGTACATAAAAAGTGTCAAAAAAGCAAAAGATAACTCAAGAAAAGTCAAATATGAAAATTGAACAATCTTGAATTTAATACCTAGAAATGTAAGAATTAATTAAAGATAATTACATGAAAATTGGCTTACCATTAGCATCCATTACAATTTGAAAGTTCTTAACAGATGCTTGAGTCACTCTTCCATGAAAATTAAGGACATAAGATTGTGTATCTGGAACCAAAGAAAAACATACTCACCACCATTTCTCTTCAAAAGCCTTTTTTTAGATCATTTCCAGTATTCTTTTTAGAGCTTCCAAACATCAAATTGTAGACCAAAAAGAATTTAACTGAATTTTCTTTAAATGCTTTCAGATCTGAGGTCAGATTTCACACTAGCCCTGAGTTTACTCAACCCAGCTTTGTACAACCTAGTCCAGGTCTCCAGGTTTAAGACTTAATGCAATATCACCTTAGCAACTAGTTAGATGTTTATACTGAACATCTTGTTCCAGATTGATCAGTGAAGAACAGACAGTTAGGCTATAGAGTGCAGAATAAAATTTTAAAATAGCACTTCCTCAAAATTAAAGTTTTTAAAGATCAATAATCAATCATGATAAATTATAAAATATTTCAAAAACCTAAAATATGGTTTGTCTGTCACATGCAATTACTTCAAGCATTTTCCAACCTACTGAAAGGTTTTTTTGAGTAATTTGTGCACCAAGGAAGTGTAAAGACAAATGTTGGTTTAGTGATTTTGTTTTCAATATTAAAAATAAAAATTACACATAGTCACTCATAATGTTTTTTCAATTGAAAAAGGTGGTTTAGTGATTTTGTTTTTAATATTAAAAAAACATTACATGTGGTCACTCATAATGTTTGTGAAAGGTTTTCATACTGAAATTGCCCACAGTTCATTCCTCACAAAAAGTTTCAAAACATTAATGATTTCCATAGATCAAAAGACACTAAGTACATTCATGCTATTTCCAAACCCTTAAGCTTTCTTACTGTACTGTAAACAATGTAGTGAAAAAGATCGTGTTTACCATCATTCCAAACAGGGGTTTTGTTATGTAGCTCCAACAGATTCTCGGTTTTCCTGTTCTTGTATCTTTCCAATAAACCATCATTGTCCTGACCAAGAGTATATACCATTAGAAGTTACTTCAAACACGTTAAACTGATAAACAATTTGATACATAACTGTACATAACTGTCTCCATTCTGCTAATGGTGATGAATATTGTGAATCAGACATACAAATGTTTCCCAATCATTTTAATAGAGCTGTACTTCAAAATCAGTGTTTACCTTACTTGGAAATGCAAGAATATTACATTTATTTAAATGGAATGATAAATATAAATGAATCGCAAAAAACAATTATCTGCTAATTATGTATTTTACAATACTTCAAAGAAAGTAAGAAAACATAATTAGCAACAGCAGATTTACAGAACAAAATATAAGTCATACCGAAATGGGTCGTACTGGTATTCTCTCATGATCAATCCCCATTTTTGGAAGAATAACTGTCATTTTGCGAGGACCTTTAAAGCCGAGAACATTTGTATCCTACAAGATAAAAGAAATGTTTTTAGTAAAACTACATGTGCCTTGTATTGATTAGCTTGACTCTCTCACAGGATAAGTACAGCAGCCAGGAATGAGCAGGAACACTATGCAACCTTATGAAGCTTTTTTTTTTTTTTTTTTTTTTTAAATAGGTACTATCCACATAGTGGTTTCAAAGGAATTTTCATGGACAGATGACGATAACATGAGAACATGAAGGTCTTGTAAGGGATACCAGCACAGTAACAGAAGACAAAAGAACTTCTTTAGGACTGTCATCTAGATGGGCCAAGTAACAGACCTAGTTCCATTTTTTCAGGTTTCCATCCTGACCCCTCATGCATACAGAGATCTCTGCTACCATTTACATATTTCTTCACACTGCCACATTGAATATATGGCATGTAAACCTACAATTGTACAGTGTTCCTGACATTTAACAATTTTCCTAGAAAAGATAATGCCAAACCCCTTGCTCAATTAAAGAAATGAAGGGTTTTATGCATGGAAAAATGCTATGACAGTGTTAAATGCAATTTTCATGTCCGAAAATGGGTAAGTAATAAATTGAAAAAATAACCAAAAAATTAAACATGTTTTTTTACTACAGTTGATGTACTGGTTGGATGGCCAAGAGGTTTCAGAACTCATTGGGCTGGTTATCCATTGTCTAACCCAAACTGCAGTTTTAGGCAAGCAGTGATTCTCTTTAAGATGGTTGATTTTAAATTAAATAAATGTCCTTCTATTATTAGCTTTGGCCCTCTTGACACTGTTCACAACAATGTATACTCAGATGAAAGGTTTGGCTAAATTGAAGATGGCTTACAAAGCAGTTTTGTTAAAACAACAGCTAACCCTTGTTTAAGTGACTGGCCCATTTTGGCTATGCTCTACTACTTACATAAATAATAGCTGCCACTTCTTCCCTAATATTTGAACCATCAGACATGACACCTCCTTTTTTGGGATTCACGCCACTGTTGAACACTGTAAATCTTGTCCCTACTAAATTGGATCTGTAATAATAAAAAAAACAAACAAAAATAAATGTTAAGAATCTTGAATTTTCCTCTTCTGAAAAGTAATGAAAGCAAGTGAATCATAACATGACACAATTAGTGATATATCATAAGTAATGTTACTCAACAAGTTGTGTTGTTAGTAGTGATGTTAGTAACACAATGGGATCAGTTATGTTGTCAATTTATGTATAGTTGTAATTAATAGTCACTGTGTTGAAAGTGAAGTAAAGTAATAAGCTGGCAATGCTGTAGGTATTGCATTTTAGATTGTAATAGTATTGTATTGTCTTCTTTGTAAATATTGTTGCAGCTGTAATAAGAATAGAAAATTGAAAAAGAACAAATGATGGCATTCACATTAGAAGAATGTTTGATTGAAGGCCAGCCTAATATACACATACTAAGCAATAGTATATACTTTGAGTTAAAACTAAAATGTACCTTAATTTTCCAATAAAACTCTCTCCACCTCTTGACAAGTCAGTTGCATCTGTGCTTATTAGATAGTTAGAGGTTGTGCTCTTTTTTCTCTTGCGACCAGCCAGAAGGAATATCTGATTTCAATTCAAATAACAAATTTGTTTAAAACAAGTCAACTTAGTAACTGTCATAAATTTGTATGAAAAATTCATTATGTTTTACAAGATCAATTACACAAGGAATCAAGTGTAAGTTTCAGGTTTGCTTTCAGTTGTAAAACAATTATTTCTTAACTCAATGTTGTCATGATCAAGCCAATTAAATACTAGATGCAGTACCTTCTTCCCATCATCTTTCTCCATGTGTAGGAAATAAGTTGGATACATCCCTCTATCCATTCCTTTCTTGTCTCTTGTTATTCTACATTTAATTGGAGGTTCATCTGGCTGGGCAGGTCTATTGAACAAAAATAACTTATTGACTGAAAAGAACAGAAAATGAAATGTTGGGTTGCTACTGGTAACATTGATCTTTGAATGGTTTTACTGTGCACTAGCATGATTGACTTCCTACATGTAGCTGAGGAATTTCCTCATATTCTTCACATGAACTCCAAATTAATAAATAACAATTACTCTGTCTTTATTGGTTGAGTTTGAAATTTAACCAAGATAATGCAAAGAAGTTCAATCCTACTATTAATATTCAAACTTACCGAAACACAAACTTATCAAGATCATCAATCATTTCAAAATTTGCGCTAGGTGTTGTTGTAGTTGTATTTGGTGGTGATTCTCCATTGCTGGGTGGTACCTTTGAATTCAGGCAAAATGTACACAATCATGTAACTTGCAGACTTAGAGGTTTTTTACATGTGTGTACATATTTTTAAACATGTAATAACTTTAAAGTGCTTTCAAGAAATAGCTAGCCAAACAGAACTTCACAAAAAAGACAAAGACTAGTAGTTTCAAAAACTTCAGTTCATCACATGACTCCAAGTGTATCTTTTAACTAAATGCTTTGGGCACTGAAACAGTGTAAGTAGGAAGATGTCCCTCTGGCAGGAGTGTTTTTAAACAGAGTTCACTAAGATAACTAAAACATTAAGTGGTAAGACTAAATCAACACAGGCCTCATTTCGCAATACAAAGTCCTGCTTATCACAAGTAGTACAGATGAACCTGAAATTTGTCTCAAAAGAGTCTATATTGCATAGTACATAGTAGAAAAAATAAACAAACCCAAAAGGGAAACATGTATATCCTAAGAAATCCCCTTGGAACATCACTGGCATATTAAATGCACTAATCCTACTGGGAGAGAAATCTTTATTAAAAGTTTACTACAGCTGTACCTTTTTTTGTTTTGTCACAGAGTCATATGAGGGTGGAAGTGCATTAGACTGGAAGCTTGGAGATGGGGTTCTTGCCCTTGCAGGTGCTATCACTTGAGAGGAATACTCTGGTTCATCAAAATCGTCCTTGATTCCAGCATAATCAGCACTAGATGATATGCCCATTGCTGCTAATTTCCGTTCTGTATCGGTTGTTTGCTGTTAAAAAAATATATATATATTGGAAATAGTCAAAATTAATTTTTTCATGGTGCTTGGGTAAATGTGCATTGTAATAAGGTAACCATACTCTTCTAAAAATGCAAAACTTTGTCACCTCATTTATAAGTAAATTACATGTAAAACAAATGATTAAGTCTTGAATTTACTTTTCTGAAGTTACATGTAGTAGGTCTTCTTTAACAGGCTTAAAATTCAAGGTGTTAAATAACAACCAGTAGATGGCAAGATTTGCTGGTTTCAGGTATACCAAAAGTGCTACTATGGTCAAATTTAAAAAAAACACTTTGGAAATAGTCAAAATTAATTTTTTCATGGTGCTTGGGTAAATGTACATTGTCATTAGGTTACCATACTCTTCTAAAAATGCTTAAGTTTGTCCTTTCATTTAAAAGTAAACTACATGTAAAACAGAAGATTAAGTCTTGAGTTAACTTTTCTGAAGCTACATGTAGTGGGTCTTCTCTAAGAGGCTTAAAATTCAAGGTATCAAATAACCACCATTAAATAGCAAGATTTGCTGGTTTCAGGTATACCAAAAGTGCTACTATGATCAAATTCCACTCTGTCAAAATTAAGGGGAATCATGAAGAATTCCATGAAAAATTTAAAATCATAAAATTCAGAAAACAACTATACAGCCTGGAATCCCTATGTTCAAACATTGGATGGCTTCATTTTTTCTTAGTGTAACTGATTCTCAAATTTTAATTAATCAAAATATTCCAGCAATTCACCCTACTTGCTTCTCACACACTTGTCTTATTGATATGCAAAATGGACAAATGTGAAACTTCATGAACTTTGCATTTTAAGGGCATCTAAAGTTTCACCCCTCCAACTGTAACAGAGAAGAAAAGCACACAGCACACCTAACACATGTGGGCAAGAGATAATTAAATGTATTTTTTTGGCACATTTGTTATAAACCATGATAACGATCCAAAAAAGATGTATTTAAATAAATCAATTAAAAAATACTGAAAGCAGTGTTGCAACTCACTTTCGCACGTGGAAGTGGTTCTTCTTCTTCCTCTGATCCAACATTAACAAGTAAACCACCCACAACAGGTTCTGGTGGAGCAGTGTAGTTATTTACTGGACCATCTATACCTAATAATAATAATAAAACACATACACCAACAAATAATTAGGACAGTTGTATATAATGTGGCACTCACAAGGACTTCAAACTGCAAAGTTATGAGAAATTATCTTGAATTTTTTATGTATAGTTACATCAAACTGCTATGTACAACAAACTTAATGATTTTTTTTAAGTTAAATCATAATAAATGTATTATTATGATTAAAATTATCTCTAGGATTATAATAATGATAATGATCCTGCTCACACCAAGGTTATCCTCCTGGAGTAGTGTATTTACAACTGCATAGTTTTTTTATGCAGATAAAAGACAGAGTCCCACATATACTGGTGTGCCACCAAAATATAAACCACTGATCAATGTCTCACCATGTAGTTGTGTTCCACCCAGAACAAGGGGCATTCTTTCAGAATGGCGGGACTTTGGACGTGCAACATCATTGGCTTGGACCATTCCTTTAACCAAATAAAAATGTCAATGAAACTATAACTGCATATGAAACAGTGATAAATGCAAGTACTGTATGCAGCAAATACTTGTTCACATTTTCTCTTTAAACTAAGGTTTAATTCACCAAACAATCAAGAATCAAAAATCAAGAGGGATCAAGCCATGTTTAACAGTCAAACAAACATTTCCAGTAACAAGTTATCTGTTGGAAATGTGTAATCATAAATAAAAATGAATAATGTTACCACCTGACTGAAAAGTTTTATCTTCCCCATCAATTTGCTTTTAAGTCTAGTGATTCTTTTTCATTCCAAAAAATACATGTAAACAAAGGTAGCTGCTGCCTACAAAAACTAAACACGTAGATACATGTACATTTAACTCATTAATTTTTACCTTTTTATTCTAAAGAACAAGTACAACACAATAATGCATGGTAAAAAATGGCTGTGACATGATCAATCCACAACCTTGAAAGAATCGACATAGTTGTAAATAGTAAGATCTGGTTAAAGTTAATTATGTATCTTAATACTGATGATAAAATTATTTACATTTATCTTAAAAGTGAGTTTTCATCGCCTAAAGCACCAATAGATACATATACAAAATGTTCTGCTCTGTTTCACCTCACATTACCATACTTTTTTTCCACAAAGAGTGAGAAATTAAAAATTATGTATTTTCTGTCAAAAAAACTGACATCCTCACTCTTTGTTCCTTCACCTTGTGCACCTGTTTTACCTAATATCAGATTGTTCAATCTTTAGGTGGATCACTGGTAAACATGTAATTGATTTTTTTGTATATCTTCAAAAATCATATTTTGTCCAAGCCAATAGTCTGAAACAGTACACAATTTGTATCATTTATGTGTCAATTACTTGTGTTTTTAATAATCCATTTGAAAGAAAAATCTCCACGCAGATCTTTTGTTTGTTGGTATAGTAGGTACACTAAGTCTTGCAAAAATGAAGGGATAGTAACTATAATCCTTGTATACATCTTAAATCATGAGATACACTTCATTTGCAGGAAAATTATTTTAATGAGTAATTAATGCCTTTAGTTAGGGATATATTTGTAAGAAATATAGGGAAATTTCCTCTATGGTGAATTGTTAAATTCATTTCAAAGTACACACGATCCTTATTCTAATTACTTTCCTAATTTGAAGCACAAAATATACAGTAAAAGAATTGTGCAGTTTGAAATAGGTGTACACACTGTACCTTCTACAGTTGACACTGTAAATTTTTCATATTAGATAAACTGAAGAAGTGCGCAATAGAATAATTACAATTTACCATCCACTTTGTACTTTTCCACCCATTTATTGTAAACATTGTGTGCCTTTTGAGGAATTTTAAAATAACAGTGCCTTACTTCAATTTAGCAAACCACCTGACACTGCATATTATTTTACATTTTTCATCAAGTTAAATTAATTGTAACAGAAAATGTCTAGAATTGAATATTTCAAAGCTAATTAAAGTGTTCAATTACAAAAGAAATTTGGTCTTGTGATAGCAATTCAGTTCATGTGCTACTAGACAAATTCATCTATTTTTAGTGCATAAACTATAAGACAGTATACATGCACTCCAATTTATCCAGTGCATTGGTTCCATGTTATATACACACATTCATTGCAGTGCATTTCCAAATTTCACTTCCATACATATACACAGTAAGTAAGTGTGTACATCTGCAGCTGCTTCTGCAAAAGGGTAGGTTGAAATATACTCACATACAATGTACACTAATGAACAAGATAGCTGGCCAGAGTGCTCTTTATGAAAATGAAATAAAAGAGCCAGTTTTAGCAGTATGTTTACTGTGAAAAACCCTGAACAATTCAAGTCTTCTGGAAAGGAACACCTTCATATGTAATGCATGCACTAGGTAAAACGTAAATTCAAAAATGAAAAGAGCACAATAATTAAATAACAAAGTAAATAAATAAAAGTCTTAACAGGCTCAAACAAGAAGGCAATTATCGCTAGAAAATTATTATTGGTTCCTACATGTATATTCTAAATTAACCATGTTTTCAAGTTGCACTCATCTGATTGGTTCTACAAGTAACACTTTCAGCTCACAATTACTGTCATTTGTGCACAAATTATGCAATGTTGTTAACTACATACATCTGGTTATCAAGAAAAGTCTAAAGCAGTAAAAAATGGGAAGATCTACAGAGTACATGTAACTTACAAGAAGGCAATTCAGACCACTTATTAAGAGAAAAATTTAACTGAGAAAATACAAATCAGCAAGTTTCATCTTACAAGTTTCCCAATGTGAACAGTTTCAAAACAAAAACTAACCTTGAAAATTCTGTAATTTTTTGGTTGTTCTTATTTTTCCAAACATTGCATAATAATTTCAACAATTATTATAATACTGTAGAGCACTGTGCTGACCTGAGAACGTTTCCCACTGGTGAGCACTATGTAATACATGTGTTAATTTTTATAGTATGCTACATACATGTATACACTCCTGAATGTAAAAAAAAACAGTTTTCAGGTTTAAAAGCATTCATGCTGGTCTAATGAGCAATTTTCTTACAAACAATAATTATGGAAATATGTTGGGATGAAACAAAATTAAGGTAACTGATGCAAGTTCGATGCAATTTGACCTGAAACTCACTTCAAACTTCATTATACATGTATGTTATGCCACAACATTAACTATATGCAATTCAGTAGCATACAGATACATCTACCATGGTCAAACTTACCAGGTTGAGCTCGCTTCATTTCATTTTTTTTCCGCATAATTTCTCTCTGAGAAGTAACATAGACAACAACATTTCATATTGTTTGGGCAGGTAGTCATACAGTTTCAAGGCCAAGTTATACTAAATAAGCACACTTGTAGGATGAGAGCCATTTCTGTTCTTTGAGATGATTTTCAATCAAAGAAAGATGATTTGGGACTAATGCACCAAGCATGGGACAAAGAAAAAATTCCAAGTCCCAAATAAGGAATTGAACCTCAGACCTTCAGATTCTGCACTCTGTTGCTCTACCACTGAGCCACTCTCTGTGGTGAGCGAGGCTATTTCTACATGTATGTTCATATGTGACACGCATTCTACAGACTGCCATGATAAGCAATGTCAAATGCATCAAATGTGTAAATAGAATTTAATAGGAAAAGTGATAAAATTATCAAGCTTTCAACAAACTAGATAAAGATGTTCTTTGTCATATTATGAGCGTGGTGCAAAGAAAAATTTGTAAGTCTTATGAGGAATTCAGCATAAGATCTACTGATTCCGTACTCTGATGTTATACCACATGTAATTCACTGAAACTGTCCTGTAAACCTACAAACTTAGTTTTCACAATTTTACCAACAAATTGGTGTAGGCCTAATTCCAATACCAGAAAACACTCAAATGTTCAGTACATACCTGCTGTTGTAACTTCCTTTCACGGACACTGTTCGGATTGACCTGAGGTACATCATCTTCATAGACACTGTAAAGTATTGCACCAAAGACTTATTGAATATAAAAAAATAAACACTTATCTTTCAGAGAGACAATTAAGATATCTTACACCTTGTGGTTCAAAGCTTTCTCTAAATTAAATAAAACAAGGTTAATTTCATTTTGTTCTGCAATTGTGATTTGCGTTTCCCTTTATCTCAGACTATTGTTGAAGATTGGAGAACAATTACATTAACCTGATCAAATGTTTATATCTACTCTAAGTTCACTCAATCAAGGGGAAAAAATCCTCTGTATAGCCTTTACTTCAAATGAGGTCTCTGTAACTGAATAGTAAAGCATGTAGCTGGTAATCACACTGCACCTTTGACCAATATCAAATTTTTATTTACCCCATGTTAGAGGACCATTTAGATAAACATTCAGGCTCACATTTCAACCAATATTCATGACAATGTAATTAAAAATAAATTTAGAATTCCAGGAGTTATAGCAATTATTCCTCAGAAAGTAAGATTTACCTTCCAATTAAATTGGACAAGACAATGTTCATGTTTCTGTTCAACAAAAAATTGCCCTCTTTTCACACAATCATGCATAGTGCATGACTAAGAGCTTGAGGAAAAATCTACTGCATTCTGACAAAAACACTATAAACTGTGAATATACAGTAATGTACATAATAATTCTTATCTTAATTAAAAAACACTGTGATGACTAATCTGCTTGAAATGCAGAAAAAATAGTACCTAATAGTAATATTGAGTCCAAGTCAAAGCAGCTTCTGTTTTAAGCAACACTACATGTAATTTTGTATATCATCCTGGTAAAAGCACTTTCTAGTAACAACATCTTGATGCAAAGAACAGAACACTAAAATGTTCTCACAAAGAGTAAATTGAAAGTGTCTGTTCAGAGTCTTACACAAATTATAAGCAGTTCACAAGTTGATAGCAAATGCAACTGGAAAGGAATATAAGTTTTAAAAAGGATTTGATCAACAAGTACACATACGTGTAGCAATCATTATTCACTATTAGCAAGTAATCTTAGTTGCCCTAAGCCTACTGATGACCATGTCATCCCAAGGTATGGTCATTAGTTAATTCATGGTTTACTAAAAACTGATTCTTAAGCTCAAAACAGCTGTGCAAAATGCAAGGCAGTTGATCAGTTGATAATACCATAACTATCTTACCAGAGCTTCAGCCCCAGGACTTTTTTGGCTGTAATTAAAAAGACTGCAGAGCAAAATGTAACCATGTATAACAAGACTGCACGTAATTATTTCATGAAAGCACCATAAACAGTAGTCAAGCTGTATGAAAAAATATCTGCTCTATAGATCAGAAGACACAATGGAAATCAGCTCCAGTAGGTGTGTGTTTAAGCCACTTTATTATTTCATACCTTTTGGTTGACGAAGAATGCGCTGAAAACTGACGAAACTCAAACACAATTAGAAATGGTTTCATAAGCTTGGTTTTCCTAACAGACTTCAGGCAATTGTTATACTAATTTCTTGGATTGCTTGGGTCAGGTCTTTGTGTATGACTTGTGTATAAGTTGAAGGTGATTTTTTGGGCTGATTTTTCAGTCATAAAAGGTAGACTACTGAACAAGTAAAGAGAGTAAATATGGAATAGTTCCTGTTATTTCTCTTGCAGACAAAATATGTTGTGATTTTCTCTTTAATTGGTTTTATATAAGCAGTTGATGTCCATTTTCCCTTAGTTGAGAATAAGATTTATTTTGATTCTGAATACTTCACAGAAAAAGATGGTTTTTAAGAAATTTACAAAGGAAAACAGACACCCTTAAAAGTGATTCTTTCTTCCTTCTTCTAGTCATAATTTTTTAAAGGTTGTCTCACTTTTACTTAGAGATATAAATCTGAAGAAATAACATCTTATGGAACAACAACCATTTAATTAATGAAGATGAACAAAAAACATTCTGAACATGAGGAAACAGGAACTTCTCTCTTAACAGGAAGCACCTGGATGCTTGCAAGTCCAATTGGAAATAAATTTAGTTCTTTAGGAGTCATTGAGGCAAATGAATATTTCAAATTTTCTCTTCCACAGAGCTGTGTATAAATTTGCTGAAAATAAATTTTAAACATCATAGTAATATCATTAAAAATTCACTAAATGAAAAATAAACACCTTTTGAACATTTTGTTAATTCAATTTTGAGGTTTCAATGGGGTCACTCTACCCTTTAAATACCAGTTTTTTGTTTTGTCTGGGAGGAAAAAAACATGCAAAGCTATATAAACATCATAAATTCTTTTTTGCCAACAATTACCAAAACTCTAGTTAATACCCTAAATGGTAAATACTCTAAAACAAATTCTAAACCACTCTGAAATTCTTGAAAACTAGAACAATTACAGAGCTGATAACAAGTTTGAAAGCACACTGTAGATATGAAAGAGTGAGGAGCCGGATTTTCATGGATACCACTTTATTTCCTCAAACTACCGGTACATGAAAGACTAGGAAATACTAATAAGCTTAAGTTTCCCATTGCTCCACAATGTTCACATCAACCTTCAAGCAAATTCTGATTGTAGCAATGATTCACACATCTATAACTGTTACTGATACACATACATCATGCTTTCAATGCCACTGAGAAAATTAGCAAATGGCTGGTATACAAATTTCTTTGATGATGACTCAAGAATTGTTGATTTTTCACAAGCATGTATATGGTAAAATGAATTTTAGGTAGCCAGCTTAAGATGGCAGACTAACCAGTGATTTTAGACACTACTCTGGGAATATTAATCCTTTAAATAACTGATAGCTTACATAATGAAAACTCAAGATAATAGAGATGCAATCTAAATTTTCATTTACACATGGGCAGAAATCAATCAAATTTGTGAATCTCTAGCTGAGCAGTGAGGGATTACATCAAGCATATATATGACGTACATGTTACAAATATACCAGCAAGGCAAGGAAAATCAAGAAGTAAATGGAGAAGACTCTCTGGGGATATGATCTGAAAGAGGGGTGAGTGAACAATGAAGATCGTTTCTGTCTCTTTAATCCTGTCAAGAATCCATGCTGTCCTAAGGAACAGTTCTATGAGCATCCTTACCAAGAGAGGGAGAATTTGCACTGTCCAAAATAATAGACTAATGAGTTAAGTTATGTGACAAATAAGGCACTTTAAAACAGTTACTTATATCAGTGGCAGATCTCAAATGAAACTCAAATACTCCAAGGCTAAAACAGAACAAGAATTCTGGAGTAGGGGAAACTCAGAACTATTTAAAAATGTTTCAATTACGTGCAATGAAGCATTGCAATTGAAGTCACATGGGCCATGGTGCCCTTCACTTGGAAAATTGTTCTGTACTGAATCTGGTTGTACAGTTAGTTCAGTTACAGTCTGCAGTTTGAGAAGCAGAAGCCTACTGACAGATTTCCCTCTTCTCTATTAAAAATTATATATTAAAACCAAGAGTTGTAGCAATGGCTTGCAGTAGAGAAATTATAAACACTTACTCTTCATGCGTTGAAAGAGTAGAAAGGTAAAGATACAGGATAGGATTCATGATGCTTACTGTATATATAAAGAAGCAGTAGGCTGACTGAGATTCAAATGTGTAATAATTACTTTAACCATAACAAAATACATTACGTACTTATCCACAGAGTGAATATTTCAGGACGTATTTAAAATTGTAAGAGATTTAATGCATGATTAAACGAAGATTTTCACTCCTCTACTCCTTAAACGGTAAACCCTTTCAACGATATCACCTTTCGCCCCCTAGTTCGCCTATGGCCAAAACAAATCGCATCGACCCACGATACTAAATTAAGGTTTCAGTCAAAGGAATCGTCTAAGGCTACTAAAAATTAGCGCTATAAACCAATTTTTCAAACTTTTCAACCCAAATTATAACGTAAAAAGCCAAAACAACACTTTATTAAATTCAAGAATTAACGGCTGTTGGTACACAAATGAATACTCGAAATCAAACTGTATCAAACAATTTGATAAATATTGGTCAGCAACCATTTGAAGGCTTAGCAAGAGTGAATGTAAGGTAAGTCACCGAAAACTTGCACGACATTTACCTGCGCTAGGTTACCTGCAACTCTCTAGGCTAATGCTAAAGCGGAAAAGAGTAATCGGAGCTCAAGACACAACTTGAGTTGGGGATTTTCTGTGGTAGCAAAAAAAACGGCCTACTTTGAAACAGTAAGTGAATGAACAATCCAAGAGAAGATAGTCTTAATACAAGAGCTTCGCTGTACAATCAATGAAAACACCTGACACTTCATAACCTGTTTTGCTCGCAGATTATCATGGCTGAATCGAGGAAATGTTTGGCACTTCTAAGAAACATATGCTGTGCACTCAAAGTATAACCGTAAATAGTTTTCAGCATTTTAAACATATTCCTCAAAATTGTGGAAAATTCGATCAACGACAGATCAACGCTCCAACATGTATTTCAAAAACACAAATCGGCAGACTTCACTTCTTTTCCGGCGATTGAATGAGAGAGCTAACTTAGGACATAAATTCATTTGCCATTTCATTTTCGCAATGCCACATCGCGAACAAAATCGGTATTTAACACTGGTAAATGTACATTACGAGTAGAAGTAAGTAACATCTACCTTCCAGGCGGTCCACCCATGGTCCAAGCGCTGTGGATGACAAGTAATTGCAAAAACTTCTTAGTCATCGTCACCGACATAAAACGCCATAGCGTTGCCAGGGAGTGTATGATTGTTCTGAACCGCAATATCACATCAAAATCGCATGAAAAACGAACCGCATGTCAAACTCACCTGTTCTGGCCAAAGCTTGAAGACATAGTGAGAGATAAACAAGCTTTGAAATAATAGAAAATTCGATAATATTTTAAATATTCTGCTCAGGGAAATGGCTAAACATAGACGGAACTCTTATAACTATGTTCAAACAAGAGGATCGCGGTTGTTCAAGCGTTTCTTTGTCACCCCTTTTCATTGGTCAGAAAGGATCACGTGACTAAGGTGCCCTCATGAGCAATACAGAAAGAGAGCAGTCTGAGAACGACTGCTGTTAGGTAGCATATTGATGTAAGATCAATCTTACTCAACCAGCTTGACCGCACTTTCATACGTTTACATTTTTCAGTGAAGTTTAGCGCGATCGATGTCATTGATAGAAGCCTCGTTTTGTATTAAGCTTAAACTGTAACACGCATTAGGTCAAGAAAATATATTTAAAATTTAAAGCTTTCGTATCCTTTGGTACATTATATCATAAAGAATTGAGATCAAAACACCGTCTCATACGAGATTAACCATACTGAGAACTTAGACAGAGGAAGTTCTCCCACCTAAATGAAGGGCGTAAAGAGTGTCATGGGGAGGTTGGTACTGTCAGTGGGAGTATGCTGAAAATATTTGCAGAATTTAAATATTCCTTGCCATCGCTTAATCTGCACATAGCTTATTTACTACAAACCGACAGAGGAACTCAGCACGCTATTAAGACTACTAAGGTAAGGTAATTGTTGGCGCAAAGCCAATTTTTTCAGTAGTCCATGCTGGGAATAGAGGTGATGGCCTTCATGGTAAACGGTTAAAATTTTGTCCATTTTACGGCTTCGGTTGACCGGCTAAGATGGCAAAAAAATGACATATTGTGGAAAGGAAAAACTAACCAACCAACTTTTCTTACGACTAACGGTTAAAATTTTCCAATTTCTACGCCTAACGGCTAATTTTCTTGTATCTGTTTTGTTTTGCCGTTGTACGGCTCCCCATTAACCCCATTGAGACCATCGGAATACGGAGCGCGACAATAAGTCTCCATTGTAGTTAGCAGCAAATGGACAGCTGAAGCACGATTGTCTTAGTATTAAGCTAGATAAAGGGGCCCCCCCCCCCATGTGGAAAGAGCATATTTTCGATGTTAGAAGCAGTATGGAAAGTCCCTGGTGCTAGAAGAAGACATGCGCCATTTTCTCATGAACAGTTTCCAATAACTTTCTACTTATAAATAGTCAATCTTACGACGCTGTCGTCGTTACAGTCGATGATACGGGCAAATTGTGACCAAGTACTCATAATCGGTCTTGAGAATTTACCATAGAGAACTTCTCGTGTTACAATCAGATCTAGCATGGTAATAAAGAGCTATCTGATATAGATAAGAAATGCCCTTTTTAAGAAATGAAGATCGGCTCAGTTGTCACCCAAAAACTTAGCTGCGGAATACTTCACCTCCGAAAAACTTTCCACGGATCAATCTTGTCAAAAGGGAAAATTTAAGAACTTTGAAATCATGATATTTTTCATATACATCTTAAGATTGGCAGATGCTGTCCTCTGTCCCCCCTTTAGTGTCTAAGGCGACACTCAAATACATCGTTTCTACTATTATTATAATAGGTGAAGTCATCTATTTTCGAAAATGTTGTTAACTATTGTATATTCATAAATGATAACATTCGGTCTCTGAGAGAGGGAGCAGTTCAGTGTGACCTTGGGGAACTTAGTAAATATAATTTGTTACCATGGCCATTATCATGATCATCATCATTTATTATTATTATCGTTATTATCAATATTATTACTATCATTTTTATTATAATCGTCATTATCATCGTCACCATCATTGTCATAGTTATCATAGTCATCATGCCCATCATTATAATTTTTTTTTAGAATTTATATTTGAACAAAAATTATTACCTGCGTATTTTGATACAAATAACGCTTTTTCACGAGCTCAGGGACCAGTCATGAAGGGGAGGGGGGTCACACGATTTTTTTTTTTTTGAGGGGGGGGGGGAAACAGTACAGAGAGGGATCAGTTGTGGCCAATATAGTATAAAGGAGGACTATAGAAAGTTGATTGCCAATTAACTGCATATAGGGTAGGGAAGGGCGGGGAATCAAAATATCGTTTTAGAGCCTTATGGGGTGAGCAGGAGTTGTATCGTGACATGGCCAAAATCCTCCACCCCCTCTCCTACGATCGATAAATAATGGCTGATCCCTGAGCAGGCAACGCGTTTATTTGCGTGTCTTTTATAACTGCTATATGAAAACAGGAAAGTTTCGATTTCTCAACTAATGGCCTTTCTATTAACCAATCTGGATTTTTTAAAGTTGCTGTACAAGAAGGAGGGCTTTGAAAATGTTACAAAAAGAAACTAAGATAGTTGCCGACAAAATTTCCCCTTTCCATAATGTTTTCCAAACTACCTAATCAGTTTTAGGAAGATTTTCTGAAAAGTCGTTAGAAAGTTTTATGGGAATCTCGAGATGGTACCCGAAAGGTCTGTTCGGGCCAAACCCACCAACAATTAATAACTCACTTTTGGTGTTGAGGCAATAATAATATTTTCTTGAGAGGTAATGCAACTATTGATACTTTCATGAAGTGGTAATTAAACTAACAGACCGTCGGAAAATGTTTTCAAAGGAATACTGAGCTGTCCGAATATCATGAAAATTTCTTGCTCACAACAAACGTAACCTCATCTGTTTCTTTCTTTTACAGTGAGATCGTGCATCCTACCGAAACACGATAAGATTTTGAGCCTCAAAGCTCATAATACTCTAAATAATTGCTGGCATAAATGTGTTTAGAATGTACCAGCATTCAATACATAGCTGGAGACGAATAAAGGAGTGGCCTCGATGAATCGACAGGGAAATGCCAGGCCCTGTTCAACCTCTGCGGTTGCCTCTGGTCCCACATGACGACGTGAAAGAATAAACGAAAAAGCTGCGACAGGACCACCAAAGACACCAACATAAAGAGACATGCAGGTACAACTCCGAGTAAAGCGAGCTCAATCCACTGAAGCACTTTGAACACGTTTTCTCTTGGACCACCAATTTCTGTTCCTTCGGACACTAGAGACGCCTCAGCCAAGCTAAAGGTGGAGATGATGACCAAGGCGATTAGAGAAAATGTTTCACAAGCGTTGGCTATTGGGTCTCTGAAAGGCCTCTTGTACAGATGATGCAGCAAAATGGCCAAGCATGCAAAGGTAAGACATAAGAGACGCAACATAGGATCAGCTAAGAAGGAATGCAGACACAAGAGAACCAAACGCCGCGCTATTAAAACGCTTTCCCAGTACAATGTCCCTTCATCGTCTTCATCAGGTGGTCGAAATGGTTCGTGAAGGACCTCTTTGATTTCTTCAGCTCCCTCAAGGTGTACTTGTGTAGGTTCCTTTTTGATGCAGAGTTGAACGACCCAGTAATGTAGGAACGGTAAAGGCAGTATACATGCCATGGTCAGTTCTCTGGTTGATATTATGCGTTCGTTCAATTTCTTTGAGCCCCAGAATAGGACGAATATAAAAGGAACGACAAACACCATGATAAAGGAAAGCAGAGCATGCTGCCACCACTGCCAGCAAAGGATGTTCCCGTCCAGGAAAAGACGCCATTCTGATTTCACCTGGATACAGTTCATCAGATTCAAGGACACATCTGTAAGCTTTTCATAACCAAGAAGTAACGTTTCTACTATAGCTGCCAGATACAGGTTGACACGTGGATGGTCGACGCAACCATTATAACTCATTGCTTTATGACTGATGCAAATCAACGAAATACAAGCAATTGTTCCAAAAACTGTCAAAGTGGAGAACAGTCGTTTGGTAACTGCCGTGAGCCCAGGAAAAGGACAACCAAAGTTTTCCTTCCATATCTCAAAATTAAACAGAGATATGAACGGGCGTACAAATGTTACTTTGTTCATCAGATCTTCTGGCGAGGTGGAAATTAGAAGTAATTCTACGGTTTGATAGAAATAAAATATCGTCTTCACAAGTGCATGATCGAAGTGCTTGCTGCTACAGTGCTGCTGATCTGATGAGTGCAAAGACTGTAAAGGTTGACGTCCGTGATTTTTGGGTCGAAACCACGCAGCATTTCGCCATAAAATTTGAAATATACAAGGTCGTGTGATGAGAAGGAATGACAAGCAAGTAATGTATACGAGACTTAAGAACCAAAACCAGTTGTTGTGACAGTTTTCCTCTTCATGACATTCAGAGGAAAACATGGCTTCCGTATAGCCTTCTCTGCACTGACCACAGAGGAAGCCAGTCCTGTAACCATGGCAACTATTAAAGCTTCTTGGGCTTGGTTCGCAATATCCCAGAGGACAAATCTCAAATTTCACGGTTGGTCGACGATCTTTTGGCTCAAGATATCCCCAGAAGTTTGGTTTTGCTTCGATCTCACGAGTGCAGTTGCCCCCGTATGGACAGGGGATACATTGCTCGTCCACTGAAGTATCAGAAATATCAAGAATTGCATACACTTGCTGAAGGTTATACAATCCGACGGAGCATCTCTTGCAAGTAAGTTTGTAGGTATCATTTATGCGTGATCCTGAAAGGCTAACGTTGAACGCGTTTTCAAGGAAATAACCCAGTGGACACGTTATGTCGGATTTTTTATCAATACTGAGACTTATTACAGATCTCAGAAATAATATCACGCTTGCGTCAACCTCAAAGTGTGATTTGAAACGACAGTTGGTGATATTCAGAGAAGAGTATGAGTTCACATCAGAATAGACAAAAGCTGATGCAAAATAATGAGGCGGATAACGCTCAAATCGACTGTTGTTAAGTATTACTAAACTTTGGTCCTTGATGTGAATGTCCCCACCGAGCCCCTCAACAGTGTTATTACTGAAAGTAACATTTGACAACGCTGCTGACGTTTTTTCGAGTGTTATCATCGACGTTAGTACTTTGTTGCGAGAGAATTTTGTGCCTTGAAGATTAAAAAAGATGCTGCCAGCTACGCTATCTTGTTCCCCTTTCGTAGTTTTGGGTGGGTTGTTTCGCTCCTTGTAAGGTGAAATTGAAAGTAAATGAGAATCAGCTGGCATGGAGTTATTTGCGAAGTATGAATTGTTGATGATCAAACTTCCATTGTTCGCAGAAAAGGAGATCAAAGATCGTTTGTTTGAATGAAACTGCATGTAATTCATCGACATTTTCATCTCACGTGCTTCAATATCAATTACAGGAGAATTGGCCGACTGATTTACAGTTGTGCCATGTACTGAACAGTTGTTCATTTGGACAGTGACTCTTCTGAGCCGACAAGTAGAACTCGTTTTTTCACTGACTTTGAGTATGAATGACTCCACGTTAATTATTGATAGATTCTCTAGTGAAATCGACTTAAAACAGCCGCACAGGTTGATGCCATGTCCAAAGATGGTATTTCTCTGGAAAACCACTCTACCAACTGACAGCGAACTGGAATTGACGTCTATCAAATAATCGGGAAAAGGAAGCGAGTGATTATCTCGAAAAGTGCAGTTATCAATTTCTAACACGAAGTCAGCCCGAGAACGAAATTTGATAAGTGGCTGTGATCTTTTCCGGATGAAATGCGAATGGGTGATTGATATCACCTTCGAATCTTGCCCGGTGTTGACATCTGTAATAACTGTTGAGTTGGTAAAGTAGCCATTTGATACGTTCATGGAGCATGCTCCGTTACAGATAAGACTGGCTTGCACGAATACAGTATCCACAACTTCCAAACGGCAACCGTCGTAACAGGCGACACCAGACTGAACGGGCACCATCGTAGGGTTTGCAAAGGTGCTGTTCAATACTTTCACAGAGCATGAGTAGTTACAGGTAACGCCGCTTTGATCGAATGACGAGTTCTCAACTTTTAAGTTACACATTCCATTACAGGTAATACTAGATTGAACAAATGATAGATTCTTCATGGTAATCGTGGGTACCGAGTCTGTCTTGAATCCGTCACCAGTAGCAGGAAAGGAATAAGATCCTTTGGTTGGGGAAGTGTGCATGCCCGTTCGTCCAGGTTGAATCGATGTGAACCGAATCTCGCATGAGATATACGCAGGCGCAAACAAGCTGGAGATAATTAAATTCTTTATAATCAAAGCACTAGTGCTGTTTTCTGGACCACACTTGTAGCGATTTTCTCTGGAGTCTGTTCCATTCAGGATAAGAAATCCACCGTACATGACCCTCTTTTTCAAAGAATAATCTAGTGTCTTACAAGGGTCGTACGGTGAGCCACAGCGAGGACTGTTTGCACCTGTAGTGTGAGAAACGTAGATAGGAGAACTCGAAGCACCTACAAAATAGAATAATTGATGTAGTTAGTTCTCTTAGACAACCGGCGCAAGTATGGATTTTTTTGCATTGCACAACTAGATTAAGGATTAAATGAGATGCCTAAACCGAAACACGCTGGGAAGCATTCCCAAAGCTTTGTGACAGCCTCGGTTGATGTCGAAAGCTATTGGCGGCTTTTTAGCCTTTCGTTTACAAAATCAAATATTAAAATAGGCTGATAGTATTTAGTTTTCAAGCTATAATAAAAAACAGCTATGCGGTGTTCACATTCCGCTCGGCATTAATTTCAAGACCCGAACAATTACTTTTCGGTTTCAGCAATAAAAAGAACTTCGTTTTACAAGAGTGATCCAATAAGGAATTCAGTCATTTCTCTATTCTGGATAAAATGATTTTTTTGTCAGATAATACGATAAAGTTCATCGCTAACATGAGTAAGTCGAGTGAGGGTTAATCGCGACACCGAATGAATCCTCAAACAGCGGGACTTGATAAGAATACGAATTCTTGTCAACATATAACAACCGCCACGGTGACTTCTTGTTATAGAGAGATTTGGTACGTAATTGGAGAGAATAACTCTTAAACTTATAATCACACAGAGCCAAATAGAAGAGTAAAGAATGCAGCAAACTGGATCAGGAGATAAACAAATCATGCATGAATGCAAATAGTCCAAATAAAATACAGTTTTGAGTTCTCAGAGGCTGAATTGGCGATAGCTTATAAAAATTGTGCTACCCTGAGTTACTCACTTAAAACTCTTTGTCGCTAAAGAAAAGTAATGTACCTGATGAGATAATCAAGACACAAACCAGAAGGTAAATGAGATATCTAGGGAAAATGGCGGAGGCTTGTTTTTCCATCTTGTCACCGTCTCTGTACAGTATTCAGCTTGGTAGCTGAAAATTTCTCCCTTAAGCTTTCTCTCTTCACAATAAGCTGAACGATAGGTTAGAAATACTAGCCTTATATGGAAAAGATGGCACAAAATTTATGAATTAATATCGATTTTAATTTCTTTCGCTTCAGGAAAAACTAACCATCAAATTTGAATTGAATTACAATTGAAATTAATTTCGTGCTTTCCGCGGTGTCCCTAAGAAATCTGTATTTCCGTCTCCTTTCCGCATATAAAGTGGAAAATACGCCTTTCCATAATCATATTGAAATAGCATAAAGCTGAAATAGCATAAAGCTGATTTTTGTTGTACATATGCTAACAAAAACCATTTTTTCCTATCGAAACTTCTACATGAAACTCTCATCAGTCGTATTGTAAATAAATGAAATACCTCAGGAATTGAAGAAAATTTGTGCAATAAGAAGAAGACTTTAGGAAAAAAAGTTCAGAAACATCCAGAGGGAGCTAATTTTCAAGCCATTTTTGAATGATTGTCTAGAAGGAAACAGACAAGATACGTTTCAGCTTTCTTTCTTTTTCATTTGGCAGCTTTAAGGGAAAGGATGATTCCGTCTCATAATCGGTTAACTTCAGTATTTGTTTATTTAATTTTATCATGTTTATGCGGAGGTCTACCAAGCGGATTCATTTAATCTTGTATTTGACTTTCAACAGTTCGCTTCTTAGTTATGGACTTTTGAGCTAAAAAATTCATTCCATCACCGCAAACTCGACTCTAGAGCTAAATTTCTTTCATCTAAAATGAATTCAATGTCGCCAGAAATCATTAAAAAAAACCACATGTTCCCATAGACTGGTACAAGGTAAAAAGTGAGAAGATCAACAAGTATGGGTTAGAGTTGAATGGTACCAGGAATGTTAATAGAAATTACGACAGTTTTTTTGAGAAGCAAGTCTCTTCATCAAGCCACTCAATTTATTGAGGTATGGTGACTGAATCTTTTTTAATATTGACGGTTAAATCAACCAGCCTTCCCTAGGATTTACGAATAGTTATTTTTGTTGTTGTTTTTTTAATTTATTTGATAGATTATAAATATCTTTCCGTCGAAAGATTATTTTTACCGAAGAAAGCTCATCAAGAGTGGAATTTAGTTTCATTAGATTGTCCGTGATAGTCGATGTTACTCAGTTTTTTGAGTAAAAATCACATGGTTACAGAAACTTGGTTTCAAATACGTAAAAATTATGTAAATTTACAAATGTTGACAGAATAATAAAAGTTTTTTACCACACTCGAAATACTTGGGTGGTATTGGCCGCTCGGCTTGCTAAAAATGATTATGTTTACTGGGATTCAGTATCTCCTTATCCTACCTACGAAAGATTCAGAGAAAATAGCCCCTTTTAACATTTTGTCGAACTTGATTTTATTTTCATTTTCAGATGGCGATGAAGAACGCGTTTTTAGTTGGTGTTTCACTTCTAGCGCTCCTTGTTGAAGTTTACTGTCAGTCACAGGTAAAAATAAATTCGTGGATGGGAGAAAAGTGGGCGGCTCTTGGCTTCATTACAAAACTTAGGGCGTGGGTAACATTACTTTTCGTTACTACACGGAATAAAACTTTGGAAATAAAATAAATAGTCTGGGTAAAAGCAACGCTTTTCACCCTACCCTTGTAACTTTATGGTAAGCACCTCTTGAAGGACAAAAAGCTCTAATGTCCAGTTTTACTCTGTAAAATCGAAGAATTTCTCAGTCTTCTAAAGCCATCTTCTATTTCATTTTAGTTTCTTCGATGGTGCGTGGCAGAGAACGGTATCTGCCATCGCGACAGGGAATGCTGCGACAAAATGACCTGCAGCGACCATTTTGGGGTCGGTAAGTGTATACCGCTAACATCATCAGTCCCAGTTCCTTCGACATGGCCTCAGACAGGTTCTCAGACTTGGCCTCAGACATGGCCCTGCACGCAAACCTGGCCGCCCCTGTACCCTCCTTGGTGTGTACCTCTTCAGAAGAAGAAGAAGAAAAAGAAGAAGAAGAAAACCAAGATTCTCATCAGAGTTTGTGGAGATCTAATGGGAATGAATGTTAAGGCCAAGAAAAAGGACAGCTTATTTAAACGATTAACGTGCAAACAGATGAGAGAATTGTATGGAAATAAGGAGAAAACGAAGCAAAAGTAATCTCCCATCAAATTCGATGAAAACCAAACACAGCCAATCGTGTCACCTTTTATAATAATGTCAGACTCTCATCCAGGCAGTGCAAACGCCATTGTTTGAATTTGCTCCCAAACAAAATGCAGACGAGGTGCGACAATAGTGCAGTGTTTCGTAGTTCCACAGGGACCGCTCAACAAAAATGCATCAGTTTGCAAAGGTTTTGCACCTTCTACCCTAAATTAACCAGGTTACAGTTCATTGTCTAAATTGTAAATTACTCTTTTGTTTGATGAAAAGTAACCTAACGCAATAAAACTGTAACAATAAAAGAGGCTGCTTAAAGTCTATGCCAAAACCTTCTCGTTGTTAGGAACCCTGTTATCGCGTATTTCGAGTAATTCAAGAACTGAAACTAGAAAATTTAACGACATTTAAACATCTTCTTACTTAAATGATTTGAAACAAAATATGTGAAAGCAATTTTAAATGACGTTTCGATGACTTTATGTCCACATCTTCAAATTCGCGTCGTTCAGCTTATGCGGGTTCGATGTGTAATCAAAAGCCTCTGAACGTTTAGCTTTCCAGCTTTCCTCGGCATTTCTTAAGAATGAGGAATTCATTCGTGTTGATCCTTGATTGCAACATTGGTGGCACCAATCCATGCGAACAACTTACCATTCTAAAGATATGCCTCGGAAAGCTGGATTGTCTAATTAGAACAAAACGCTCTTCATCAGGGACAAGAAACTCACACATATTTATCTGGTCGTTAATACCGTCTGCACAGTACATTGTATCTTAACTACATGCACTTCGACTTCCGCCCGCTTTTCATCTTGAACAGCCCGCATAATTTGACTTACATGAGGTTGAAGTCATCGAGTCACCATAACGTCACTCAAAATTTTTATTTCTGATTTTTAGCATCAACTGATTTTTACTCGAATATCCATCGAGACACTGCCGTCCTCCTTGAAATGAAAGAAACGAGAACATCCGCATCTGTGTCGTTTTGATACATTCATTAATTTCCCTGAGGCTTTAAGGTCTTTGCTTGACAAATGTGAGGTCAATATAAGCGACCGTCTAGGATAAGCTCCCAGCTCGAAGGAAAATACACAAGCTTTCCTTTTCCATATAAAACTCTTCCAATTACCACTTCCTTGCCCTGTCATCGTTGCAAAGAGTCCTCCATTCAACCGTGCAACCAATGTGTCCGTATCTTTAACAATGCAAAATGAGGAAGGTAATAAAAAATCTTTTCGTAGCGCCAGTTCCTTTGCATTTTATAGAACAGACATGGATTTTATTTTTCACTCATTTATTTCTGGTTAGATTGATTGCCTTTTCCTTTCTTATCTCTAAAGAAAGTATACAGAAATCATATGTTAAAACTAGGGGCAAAGCGGAAACTTCTGCAACAAGGCCGTTATTGAGACAACGGTAACTTTAAAAAAAATTCACCAAAAATTTGAAACATCCAATTCACTTCTCGATTACTTTGTTACACAACCAAAATACGCCTGAAGCTTTATCCGAAGTTGCGACGATCCTGATCGGTTTAAAGTGGTTCAATATAATATCGCCTGTTCCAACTGGTGATGCAAAGCACGGGCTTTTTCTGAATCGTGAACTCTTTCCACGGACATTAAAAGTCAAACACATACACGGCAAAAGTCTTTAGGCCGCAATATCTACGATGTAAATTACTGTGGTAGGCAAGGGAATCCTGAGGCGTATAAACGGTTAGGCAATAGCTACAATGTGATGGGGAGATGCATCTAAAAGCTTTCAAAAGGGCGCATACCACGAGGTAGGGCTCTTAGAGACTACTGCGTGGCTTAATCTTTAGGGTTTCAAAATCTCTCTTTCTCTCACTATCATGATCTATCTCTGTGTTTTTCCTATCAACGTCCAAACGATATGACAGGTGCTTTCTCCAAGAAAACTTTGGCAATACACAATTAAATCATCCTTTTATTGTACATTATTTACATTTTCATTGTAGAACATACCACTGTGGTACAATGCCATTACCTTCCTTGTAAGATAACCAATCACCGAGATCTTCTGTGCATTGGCATTCATAGAAATGATGTCAACGAGCCACTAAATCATTCTTTAACTGCTTGATTTCCAAGCCCACTTTGTCCAAGATGCAGGCATTAACAGGCTCCATAGCTTTCGCAATGCATTAGGAGTAAGCGATCAAAGCCAAAAATTACAGCAACTAGCTGAAGCCTTGTTACACATTTGGAACAAATATTGCCTTTTTTTATTTTCCTCCACTCAGGAAGTTAAAGTGAAACTATGGAAGTCTCTTCCAAGGGTGTAAAATAACTGATAAATTGAATTGAATGTCGTCAGGGCGAAAGTTTTTACCATGGAGGTCAAATCGCCATAACCTTTTGATGAAGAATAGCATGACACCAACCTATATGCGGGATTGGTTTTCCCCGTTGCTGGCTTCATTATCTCCTCGGTTTAATCAAGACTACATAGGTTATGACAGGCACTCCTCAATGGTATGTCGCTTTTTTTTTTTTGGCTTTTTCAGGTCTTAGATATAGGGTGAAAAGCAAATTCATCAAAGTCTAAACCCCAAAAGGACTTTGTTTTTGAACCAATTTGGAAATAAGTCCTCTTCTACACAAAGCTCAAACAAAACGTAAGAGAATGTCAATAGACTCGTTAAAAACCAATAAAACCTCAACTATTGGTATGTATTAGAAAGTAATATTCATGTATAAAAGAAGGAAAAATGTCTGTTTGCCAGAAATCCTTTGACTTTGTTCATCCCAATGGTCAAATTTGTCTGCAAAATGACACCTTTACGTTTGACTTTCCCTTTTTAGATCTATAAGGGGATCTCAGTGGGGTGATGGCTTTTACGGCCGATGGTTAAAATTTTGGCAAATTTTCAGCTAAAGATTAACATCTTTCCATTTTGTCACCAGAACTTTTATTTACGTTTAACTTTTTGTACGACTAACTGTTAAAATTTGCCAATTTTTACACCTAACGGCTAAATTGTTTAGCCGTTTTACGGCTAGCAGTTAACCCCAATGAGACCATCCTATGATTACAAAGAAAAAGATGTTGCTGATCCGATGTGATGTTGGTCCGAGAGATCGAATCGGGTTGGTAAATTTTATACGTCTTCCCAGAGGCTAGGTCGTACAGGTAAATTTAATAGTTTAAGTTGCGATAAAATATATATTTCTTAACAGGAACACTAAGAATAAAACAGATCTAAGAAAGATCGAGGTACGATATTTCAAATAATGTGCCAATTACTTTGCCAAGCATGACTGAATCATACATGCACTGTTAAATGCCCAATCTCAATGGTTGAGGAGTGCCTGACATTTTCGTAAAGTCGTCAATCACAGAGACACGTGACTCTTCTCAAGTACAGTTCTGTCTGTCAGTAGTCAGTATCTTTGTCAGTTGCATCGTGTCACAGTACACCCATCTGCCAGTCAGTTCCATTCTGTTACAGTGCACCCATCTGTAAGTCAGTTATTATGATGTAACAGTGCACATTTTCCATCTGTGAGTCAAAATGAAATAAAGAACATTTAAGGAATAAAATGGGCCTGCATTGGACTGTCGTTCGTAGCTACGCTGTAAGTTAAGGAATGAATACAATTTGATTCTTTGTGCTTTTAAAATTTGTCGACTGTAACCACAAACATTGTTTAGTACTCTTGACCCATTATAACACGAACTTTAAAGAGAAATCAAGATGGGTTCCCATTGCTCGAAGTTCGAACTTAAAATGACTCAAGCGTAAAAAAAACATACAGAATCAACTGTTTCGGTCTATCTAGAGTCAACTGATATTACTCTAATTAAAGAAAACCAAACAACACAGGCTTTTTTCTATCGGCCTTGTTTACTTAGCACATAAGACTGTCAATTTTTATTACAAAAAATTCTTTAAAATCAACATCAAACTCGTGCGTCAACACGGGAACTGTGCTCTTTAAATACCAGTTATATGAGTTCGATAACTTTTATCTCAGCTAAAATCCTACTTCTCACGTTAGAAATTGTTTCGTATTCCATCCATTTTTTGTACAAAATTAGCTAAGTAATGAGGACATTTAGCTCAATCATCTTAAGTCTACCGAATAGTAATTTCATAAAGTCTAAAGGAGGAAAACAGTACAAGAATGAAAATTTTAATTCCAAAATGTTACATTAAGTAAAACGTGTCTAAGTATATCGAAATACCATCACGAATTTTCTTAGAAATTAAGGAGTGTCTTTGAAGTCTTGCAATAAATCAAAAGGGAGGGTCTGTGAAATGTGGCCAGACAAATAGTGGACCTTTTTTTATGTTTTTTAACCACTTGGCATTCGACTTTTTTTTACTAAAAAAGATAGTACATTTCAAACAAACAACAAACTTATTTAAATACAATTCAAGTTTCGAAAGAATTTTTTCGGAATTTTTCGTTTTCAAGGTTCCATTCAGTAATTTGGTTCGAGTTGTCAGTAAACTGGTCGTTTAACGGTCTTGAAAAAGTTGTCGAACATTTCATCGAAGTCCTGAAACGTTTAACTCGTGAAGTTACGTGTCTTGGAATTCAGCGAAGTTATCCATACTGCAATTTACCTAACCTGTTATAACAAAGGTAAGTTCCTCAAACTATTGAATTGCATAATTATGCAACGTCTTAGCACTAGTGAAGGTCACGTTGAAACACGTGACCTGTCGTTACCTTTGAAGCATGCGCAATAGGCACTATGAGTGCTGTAGTCTCAAAAGACGTTCTGTTTTGCCGCCTCCCTGTGTTTCACTCAGCCATTCCTTGCAAGGAAACTCGTATACACGACCGTTCTCGTCTTTGACTGTCACCTACGAAAACAGAAAAAAAAAACTCAGGAGTTGAATAAACAACGAAAAGCAATTTTAAATTCTGGGTTAAAAGAGTAATGCATGGATTGCACTGATTTTGCTTCACTATTTTTTGTTACTGGTGTACTTAATTTGAGTCACTCTTTTGATAAAACAAATGCAAAACTTAAACCAATCTAGAATAAGTCACGCGTGTATTCTCTCACCTGAAGATATTACTTTACTTCTGATCGATCTATTTTGGGTTTTTTTTATGCCCAAAACAATCGAAAAGCGCACCGAAGTAAATTTATAAACCTCGTTTTTTAAAATCCTTAGAGTAAATGAAGCTAAATTCTATGGACCAATGATAATTAACCCTAATAAATAGTTATTGGGGAGAACTTCATAAAAACGAATATCTTTCGCGATTCACCTTGCACTTCTTTGATAGCAGATTTCCAAACTTTTATCGTGTTTTTACTATATGCCGAGTGGATCATTATGCCGTGGAACTGATGGAAAATTGTGATCCTTTCCTCGTCGTTACATGAAACTAGTATAAATACCGCACGGCCGTGGTGATTAAAGGAGACTAGCGACTATTTCTTTCGATGATTGCCAGTGTTAAGACCACACTTTTTCTCATTGCTATTGTCACTGCATAGTTTGTTTGATTAGAATTAGCAAGACTGAATTAAATTCAGGGACAACGCAATTAAAGAGATGTTAAAACAACGTAATGGTTCTCGCACCTTCTGTAAAAACCAGCTGGGAGTTGATCCTGAGTTATCGTGAAGAATTCTAACTTGCCTCAGCTTACCAAGATCAGGTAAAACCAGAGTATTTGTATCATTCCTGAGAAAGAAGAAATTTAATCGTTATCGATTCAAATGAAATGTTTTTTTCACCCTATGTCATTAAGATTCTGACTCACTTTCCCCTTGAAAAATGTGTGGTGTCCAGTTTCCTGAATCCGGAGTCCCCCTTCTCTCCATATAAAGTGATGTACACCTTAGCGTCCGTGTCGGCGCCTTCGACATCTCCAGTTAACGTAGTTACAGTATAGTTGGTACCTGGGAAGAGTCAGATACGATTACTCGACCCAAGTTAATAGAGTGAGGTTTCAAAACTTAAACATTCGAAAAAAACGTGGATAAGACTTTGTGTAAAGAAATGTGGATTAGTAACGATTTCCTTCGACTGAGCTTCAATCTAATCTGTAAAGTAAGTTACGAAAATTTGCAAAGTAGTTTTTAACTGATCCACCTTATCTATATCTACTTAAAAGTCCATCTCATCATTACCTTCTAATTTTTCCTTTCAATTAAGTTGTGAAATTATTTCGAATATTATTCATTCATTCATTTCCTACCTAAACCAAAGAAGTAGACCATGTTTGTGGCATTGCCACCACAGTTCTCTTTGTCATTTCCTTTACACGGCATGTTACACTGAGCATCATCTGCTTTACCGTACTTTCCATAGCGGTGCCCGCAAAAACATTTGTCAGCGTCCTGAAGTCCAAAGTAAGAGTAACCCTTTTCTTCAAGAGCGCATGCTCGTACACAGTCCTCCTGTGTAACAGATTTGACTGTAGCTTTGTCAGGTAGATCGTGCTTGACATTTTCATCTTTATAGCAGCCGACCTTTTGGAAGAGTAACAGCACGTCTTCCTTCTTTTCGTCTGGAAGATTTTCGACTGTTTTGGATTCAAACGATAAAACAGGTTAGCTTCTTCAAGGCTCTGTATTTCTTTTCGTCTATTTAACAAATTGACAATGGTTCAGTGCGGTCAATATTCCCATCGACAACGACATTCGTTATCACAATGGTCAAAATGATGCGCCGTCGGGTTTTCCATTTTTAGACTACGCAGATTCTGGCGATTTCACGTTGCTGTTTTGCAGAGGACGGCTGAGAAATTTCCGAAGTCTTAATACACGCATGCTTAGCTCTTGTTCTGGCCATTAAATCTTTTTTTCCAGCGTTCCTGTTGCCGTCGCCATCGTGGTTTGCTTAAGGTCCCCATAGCTGTCTAGAAACACCACCCACCTCTCACCTTCCCGTAAAATTTGGGGTATTGATCCACCCCTAATAACCTGCATCCGCAAAGTTTTCTGTGTTCAAACTAATTAATCAAATGAATTCGATCACGTTTAAAAGATCTTGCGGCGCCTAATATATACTTGTTAAGAAAAATACCAAGTTTCAGTTGGCTTTACCAGTAAGAACTTCACTTACGAATGAGATTTAGAGAACTAGAATTCTTTTGATAATCCTCAGTGCCAGTCTTGAGTTCGGGTTTGGGAATCTTGGCTTTCTTCACGATGGGATTCTCAGCATCTGGTTTGGAAACTAGGGGCAAAATCGCGGATATAAAGATCATTAGTACTAATTGCAGACAGACTACTGAAGCAACAAATTCATTGTAGTCAAAACTCCTTCACGCTTTGTTTTAGAGAGCTTTGCTTTTTTATAACTGGTGTCGTGTACACGATGCATGGACTCCCAATTTGCGGTGGACGCTGCTTCTATTTGTAAAAGAAAGTGGTTGTTACTTCATTGGAGGTTTAAAATGTCTACGTAACAAAAGAAGTCAGTAAGTCAGCCGGTCAAAACATTTTGGTTACCCTGACAGTTTCTCCCAGTGAAATCAGATGTGCATTTGCATCGGTAACCATCCATTCTTTTATTATCCCGGATGCACTTGGCACCATTTTCACATGGCTCTGGGTCACATTTGTTTCCTTAAAAATAAATTTAAAAAAAAAAACATCAAAGAAAATTGCATCCATGAGATGCTTGTAAAAAAATCGATAGTCTAAAGCCCAGCAAATTCTATTATCTAGGTGATGTATTTCGCGCTGTTGATACGTCACAGATGACAGTCTTTCTCTATGCTGGTGACAATTTTTTTCTAGGATTACAATTCTACCATTGTCTAACACTTCAACTTCTTGGAGTGATTTGCGTCGTGATCTAATATATTATCCTGCTGACAGGTTGTGAGAGCAGAAAAGTTTATGCGCCACAGGATCCTAACTTGATATGATACGGCGTTTCTTTTCCACATTTATAGGAAAATGCACGGCAGTCAGAGGAGAGAAATACCCCACGGAACTTGAGAGTTTAGGGGAACAAAGTTATCTGACCACTTCACCCCTAGAATCCCAAAATCAGTTATCTTCACTATCTTTCCTGCATTTCTAGTAAATGTGACTCTAAATGTTTGATAACAAACCAAACGACATCTTTCAGAATGTCAATATTTTGTAAGTGTAAGAAAAACTTGGCAACTGGTCACCCTTGTGCGTAAGATAGCAAAGATAAGCACGGATTGTAAACAAAAGAAGTTGAAATGTTACCTGACGTAGACTCAGATCCTACAAAAATTAAGAAAAAAAAAGAGAATTCACTGATCAGGCCCAAAGACTACATTCACTATTTTCTTTTCAATAAGGTATGACAAACGCTCTATTGTAAGTGACGTTGTGGCCTCAATATACCAGTGATATCAATTTTTGTTCCACAAGTAAATCCTCATTTTTGTTCTATACTTAACAGCTATTACGTTTTACCTCTGCATCGTTATCACAACGTACATAATAAGTAATGTAGAGTAGTAACCATGTAAACTGAAATAAAAATTAGATTAGTTGCAATTGGTACCAAAAGACTGCTTAAAAAAGGCCAGACACCGCTTCTTGTGTCATTTTCTAATAAACGTGTAATTACTCCTCCTCTACTAAAACAATTCTAAAGAAAATTGTAAGGAATTTAGGGATTCCAACCCTTGATCTCTGAGGTCTCAATAGCCCTAGTCTTTTTTTTTTTTTTACGTACCCTGAATCTCGTCGTCAGCCTCTTCGTCTTTGTCATATTTTCCAGCATTGTGTGAAATAGATACGGCGCTTGCTGAAATAAAGAAAGTTCAGGATACTTACATGTTGGAATATGACCATGATTGATTCCGGTAGCAAATAAAGTAAAGAAAAGTATCTGAAGTAAACTAGTTAACAGAACATTTTGACAAAAACACTTACCAATTAAATGAACAATTAATTAATCAGTCAACTGATCTATTAATTTAAAAGGGAAGTAAAGTTTACGGGAGTTTTCTTACAAATAAAATACATCCGATCGTTTCGAGAAAACGTTACAACACACAAAATAAACTTTACAATCAAAGTCATGCTCGTCCCAGTCTCCTGAACCTGACCCGTCACCAGATTCCAACGCGTTATCTCCTAAAGGTTTTGCTGTGTGATAAAAATAAAAGTGGATAGTTAGTCACTCTGAGGTAATCAAAGAATAAGAAATTGAAGGATGAGAGCATTTTTCAATTTGTTGTCAAAAGTAATCCAGAATTGCTTTGGTTTCAAGGACAAAACTCGTTCCACCTTAACACTGGCTAATCAGCTGCAAAACTTAGACTAATGGCGAAATTGGTGTCCGCGTTTTACTTTAAACGAGGCCGGCGTCAAGGATCTACGTTGTCTCCTCGTTGGTTCTTTGTCTTGGTCATCTTTGCTCTCATTGGACGACCTGATACTTGTTGCTCCTCTCTCAGTTTTGGTTTTACGAAGCTTAAATAAGAAGCAATTTTTACAGTTCTTGAAAAACAACTCAACATCTTTAAAAAGATTCATTCCATACCCTTAACAGGACAACTCTTGAGGTTTCCAATCTGTTGTTCGTCCAAAGCTTTGTCGTAAATCTGTAAACAGGAAATCTTTCCAGCGAACCTTCTTTCGTCGCCATCTCTGGCCCCAATCCTAATAGGATACTGTGTGGCAAGTTTAATCTGACCAATATTCCGACTCTTTACCATCTTGCCATTATGCCAAAGTTGCGCTACACCTGTAGTGTTGTCGTATGTTGCACCGACCTGATTCCATTCGTTCAGCTGGAAAATTACGAAGATTTAGTGTTACTTTGCATCCCAAACATAAAGGAAAACCCACAAGTGATAAACGGATAAAGTTATTTCTTCACTGCGTTTGCGTGATTTTCCCTATATCCGAAAAATTGAACGGCCCATCAAGTCAACATTAATTGTTCTTCTGGGTGGGGTGGGAAATTTAGTCTTCATTGCATAAAAAGTATACAGAATTATGTTTCTTTATTGATTACTCATGGTCGTTGATGTTAAAAGAAAGATTTACTCGCAAGCACTTTTAATCTCAAATGATAATCCCATAGTAACCAACAGAAATTTTAGGCCAAATAAATTCATTGTGGGCTAGAGGAGTAAATTTTCGGCTTTGTTAACCCGGTCACTTATCGTGAACCCAATTAAGATGAAAATTTTGGATATTTGGATTTAAATCGAGATTTAAAATGAGGTACAAGATGAGCAATGAAACACATACGAAATTAACGATGAAAAGAAATTACAAACCAGTAACACTCTTGAAGCAATTGGCTTGTGGAAAACTCCATTACGGTGCACAAATCTGACAAAAAGCTCGGTGGATTCAAACTGCCACAGATGGACTCCCCAGCCATCCGTTTTGTAGTTCAAGATGGGTCCCCCACTCCCTGTGGGATAGATGTTTGCCAGGATTGTCATTGAGTCCTGTGTATCCATCTTGCCGTCATTAGGAATCTCCACAAAGGAATCCGCTGTGCCTTTGAACTCATAGGCTCCATCTTCGAGGCCTATTCAAAATAAGACAGGTTTTTTTTGGTTAAAAAGCTACTTATTCATATTCAACAATTTTAAACAGCTAAATATTTTGCGTGAAGAGCCAAACCAACTGCCACGGGGGAGGGTACTATCGTAGGTAAGCCCGTCCCAAAGGGGTTAAGAAACGTTTAAACTCTTTATTACATCCATTTTTAAATCAACAGTTATCTTTTAAATCGGACTAGCTCTCTGCAGTGTGATTTATTTATGATTCGCACTATTTTGTTTTCCAGACCGTTTCTTTTTCCAAGCCAATACGAATGCATCACTAAAACAAACCAACCAATCAGATTTCAAGGCTTGTTTAAATGAACCAGTCTAATTGCATGTAAAATAAAATACAAAGAAGCCATTGTGAGGTGGATTTTGCAATTTTTTACCCCATCTTTTTTTTATTGTAAAATGGATGAAATAAAATGTTAATTAAACTACGTGTCGTGTCCGTTTGGCGTAAAATCATATTAGTGATTTGAAAGCGTGCTCGTTCGCTTTTAAGATCACTAGTATGATTTCCGACAAAATTACACTCCGTTGCGTTCAGTTATCATTACTTATGCGTAACTTTTTTCAGTTGGATGACATTCAGATTGGAAAAAGAAAACATGAAATTTCCCAATGTAAGATGCCTTTGTTTAAGACCAGAGAGAATATAAGTTCGAAGCAAGGCCAGCAAAACATTTTTAAGATCCAGCTAAAGAACATCAAAGAAATTGTGAGACGATAAACATAGAATCCATACATCATTATCATAAACTGAGCAATCAGTGCACTCTTACCATCAGGTCCACTAGCGAGTTCTACATTACTAAGGACGCCATTTTCATGGTTAGGTCCCGCATCCTTTGAACCAAATGCTTTATTGAGTGGATACAAACCAACTGGCTTGGGGATAGCTGGAAATATATTAGTAAGAATATCGTGAGATCATCACTGATAAACACGCGCGAAATGAAGTGAAGACTCGAAAGGCATGTGTCTTCTCACTTGCGCGCGTTTAAGGTGCCCGGTTAGAGTGCTAACAAAGTACTGCATAAAATTGAAACGTTCGTATCGATTTTGGAACGCTTTATACTAAGCCCTCTGTTCGAGATTATTGACTTGAAAAGATAGCAAACGTTTGAGTCAGAAACTGCTTCAAAAAATAACTTAGCTTTTGGATAAAATCACAGTATAATAACTCTATCCAGTTAACAAGAGCTGGGGATATTCCTTGTTCATCCACTTATTCTTTTTTCGACAATAATCGTAATCAGTCCTACCTCGATCAGAATGCGCCCTTTCCCCCAAAACCACTCATAAATTAAACTGGTATACTCCGTCTAAAATTGATACCAGGCAATACCCAAATGCTACGCCTGTATAGAGATATCTGTTCAAACTCATTTTCACAGCTACAAACCTTCCTCCTCCGATGATGGTCCCGGGCCAGTTCTTCCGTCTAAAAGAGAAAACATACCATTAAATCAGTTTATTATGGTGTTATTATGGTGATATTATACAAAATCTGTCACAGATAATTTACTTTAAAAAGGTATTCCGCTTTCTCTTCCTAATGTTTAAAGCAACACTATCGCAATACAGCTTTGTCTCCTATCTATGTGTAATCTGAAGTTATTAACCACTTTTCACCATTAACACTTTATAACTTTTTATTGTCAAACGAGCACCTGCAAAGGTTTCATCTCAGCACCTACAAACTTGAGAAAAACCTTTCGTTTTTTAAATAATGAACAAATACTTTAAATGGAACTTGAATTGAATTAAGGTTTTAAATTCAATCCTCTCAGCACAGTCAAATATCTGTTCCTTGATATCATACGCCACCTACTTCAAAGTACCTTTTTCTGACTCGTCTTACATCTCCTGTCATCTCACTGTGTTGATGCTTGTTCTTAATTAGAATAATATTAATGAAAAATGATGTCCTTTACCGGGCAATCGCCAACTCAAATGTACTCTTTTGATTGGTCCCTCGAAGTGACCACTGGGAAGCTCCACAGCCACAGAAACACAGTCAGCCAGCTTATCAGACTTCTGATACGCCTCCAGGTAATAGTATTTACCTTTCTTGAGGTGAATACGTTCGGACTTTTGCTCTGGAAATCTAGAAAAAAAAAAAACAACAATTCGTGTTACTGTTGCTTTTTGACACCTTCACTCTATAGGCTGCTGTAGACAGCGTGATAATTGATACGCCATTAACGTCATAAAAGTGAATGTGAGGTCATATAGTAAAACGTCGTATCAATCATGCTCCTTCCACTTCTCATATTTGACAAATAAAGCCCAAGGTAAGAAACTGCATAAATCGAGAAAGTGTCATTTCTGGCCCAAACGGTTGCTACAACCGACAAAAATGTCTAAATAGTAGCATTAAACTATCCATTTTTTTTGTTTTCAATAGGTGTAAAATATTTGACAATTATTGCATGTACGACAAGGAGAAAATATATCAATTACTTAAACAAGCTTTTTAAAAAACCCATAAAGCTTTTAGATTGACAGGGCTATTTTTGCCTTCAAAGAATTCTTTTTAAAACATCGTGAGCCCTTTTAAATAGTAACTATTCCAAAAGGGCTCAAATTGTGTTGAAGTTTCTTTGACTTCTCCTAAATTCACCATTAGCTCTTGCCTTCTGTCCGTAAGAAACGAATTTCACCGATACATCTGAAGCTTCATTAGCTGGTGATAAGCGTCAGATTATCAACAGAAATGATTTTGTTGATTTACGCTTAACCAAAGCCTAAAAATGTCATGGATTGAGAAACTTTTTTAATTGAATAAATCTTTGCTTAAAGTTGATTCCGTCAAATTTTAAGATTACCTGTTAAAGCTTGTTCGTTTGAAATTTATGCTGACTTTGGGTTAAGAGTTTGGTGGTCGTATTGTAGTTTCTAAGTAACAAAAGATATCTGAAAAAAATTTTCAATGCGAAATAAATTCGCAAATCCACTTCCTAAACATAGTTAAGCATCTCATTAACCATTGTGGCTTTTATCATCGTTTTTCATCGTGTGAAGAGATAACGAATGGCGTTTCAGGTCTGTTAGCAGTATTTATCTTAGAGAACAAATAGAAAATGATAAAGTAAACAATACATGTCAACAAAATATGATCACAGCAGGCCTGGCTCTGCACGAAAATTAACTCGCATTCAATTTGAAATTTCCAATGAAATGTTGTTGATTTATACCGGCTTCAGTGGTCGAGCTATCACAAATGGCTATGAATGTTAGAAAATTTAATTCGTCACATTACGACAAAGAGAAGAAACTCTACGCACCAGAGATGGCCCAAAGAGAGGAGAAATGCTTTCCAATTATAACAAAAAGTTATTCGTATGGACAACAGAGGAAAACTATCACAAAATCCCTAAATCTACCGAGTCGACAAGAAAGCAAATGTACTTCGAATCTACAGAAGAAAGCATTTCGCCTGCCCCAGATCAATGTGAAACGCGAATCATTCAGTGTTTGCCAGAGATACCATTCCCGCGATAACCTTTGCAAAACCAACAAATTTGATAACAACTCGTCTTCATTTAACTCATTTGCGGCGAAAAAGGTCACCTTTCAAGACACGGCGAAGTTACCCGGAGATGGGCCTGACTTATATTCCTCTAAAAGGCTCTTACAGTCCCTACGAATTCTTGATCTTGACATATCGAGAAAGAAACCAAGGTTTCAGCGAGATAACAGTTTAAGGATTTGTCCCGTGGAGCTATCACCAAGACCCACAAGAAATATCATTAGAAAGGACACAATAACTTTGTCAAAGCCTAGGATCAAAGCGACATATCCCACACTACGACTGACAACTATCGATAAAAACGCAATTTTCGCTTTTTCGCCGTCTCCATCGGTGAGCTTCGAGTCTTTAGATTCTATAATCGGAGGGCCGCCCACCCTGACACATCCACCACCAGACATTCTCTCCTCTCGTTCACCCTCAGAACTTGAGCTTACACCTCCACCAACGCCTTAGTGCTTCAACGATTGGAAAAAGAGGAATGTCTTAACTAGTGACGATACAACGATATGGTACGGAAATTAAGTGCCACTTATTCTGGAATTGCAAGTTATACTGAAAAAAAATTAATTTAAGAACTTAAGTGTCCTTGTTCCTTTTTTTTTTGTGTGGTAAATTAGAATCTTCCTCAAAGAGAGACTGTAAATACTAGCAAACCTTCAGATTTTGCGGTTGAATGCTGAACCAATTAAACAAGAAAGGACTCGCTTTTAGAATCTACCCTGTTCTGATGCTTACATTAGTTTTAGTTTTATTTAGAAAATGAGTATGATTGCAGAAACTATCACTTATGGAAATTTGAAATGTGCAGTGCAGTGAAGTAAACGAAGATGCTAAAATTTGAGACTGTTATGAGGGAGTAATTCAACACGCATATCTTGTCGTTGAATCAAACTAGAGCTGTGCTTTTCATCTAAAACAAAAAGCTGTATAAACAAAGTCAAGTGAAAAACAGAAAGAGTCTGAAAAACAAAGAAAGATTTGCTTGCTATTTGTTATGCAAATTTTAAACCTGCCACCGCAGGTGAGCGTCCTTCGTGATAGGGAAGACATACAAAATTGAAATTCAATATTATGCAAATGTAAGTTTAATGCAGCTTTCCTCTTTTACTCGAACTGATACTCGACCAATTAAATGCCTTGACGAGTGAGTGAAAAGATGTAGGTATCGCGAGTTGGAAGAATCAGGTTAAAACCATACAAACGACTCCGTAAATTTTTCCATCTCGCCCCTGTAACATCGGAAATAACAATCTACATGTTGTTCTCTTTTTGGTGCCTTTCACTGAAAAATTTAAATTTTTCTATATCATTCTGCAGAAACGGAAAATTATATACTAGAAAAAAGAACAAAGCCCAACGGATTCCGCTAAAAGCCTTTGACGTTATTAAATTCATTTTCTTTATCATATGGGCTAAACAATATTACGATACTTAGACATTTTCCTATGAAAACAAAAGCAGAATTAACTAACATTTACAAGCTATTAAAGCCTTAGCTTGCAGTTTAAATAATGATTTTCAAAATGCAGAATATCTCTCATGTTGATCCACCTGTCAATATTTGCTGCATGTTTCTAAACTCATTTGATAAGATGTTTTTTTTCCTTTAGCCCTGTTCAAATTGAATGCCTGTTATTTTGTTCGTGGGCGTTGAAAAGATGGTTGCTCGAGTCTTGGTGCTTGAAGTGATTTCCTAATGCTTGTGTTCTCGTCTTACTTGCAAGAAAACTGACCAGTGCGACTGTAAAATGCATGAACAACAAACCTTTTGATAATTAATGTTTTGGTATTATGGTGTTTCCTTGACAATTGCCATATACAGTTCGTATGAAGTCTTATGATATGATGAATTTGAACATATGGTAGATGCCTTTCATTTCGGCCGACCTTCCTGTTTTTTCTTTTTCTAAGCGGCAAAACGCCTCATGAATCTGTAAATTTTTTGTGTCCGGTTTTGCTTCTAAAACAAATTTACAAGTTCATTAGTAAAGAGTCTAATAGTAATCATAAAGATTTATTATTTCAGAGCAAGTGAGATTTGAAATATTTCCTGCGATCATTAGTTACTTTGTTGAGATAACTTTGGTAACAAATAGTGTTAAGCCAAGTTGCATCAGTAGTTGTATGGTAATGTGTGCGCTAAGTTAGAAATTCAGTTTGATCTTAATGATAACAATACAGACGTTGCTTTGCCGGAAAGGTAATATATCTGGTAAAAGCTGCTTAATAAGGTAACAAAAGGCGTAAAATATAAAAGGAAAAAAACCCAATTTGGTCTTCAATGGAAAAAAAGCCTGACGCTAGATTTAAAAAACTGAATGATACTTCCTGCATTTGTCGTGGAAGAATCAAAGGTTGGCCTTCTGTATTATGAAGATAATAGGCGTGTCTATTTCTATTTATAATCACCAAGTCTCTTGAGGATTCTGAAAAGTTAGCATCGGAGAACGTGCGAACATGGCTACTTCTCGGGAACACAGGGAGGACTCAAAAGTTTTAAATTCAGCTTTAAGGCTAACCAAAGCAATGTGACCATTTATTTGAATATAATGGAAATACATGAAATGTGGCTTAGGCAAGCGACCGTTGCCGTATAAACTGATTTCAAATAATTGCAGGTACGAAATCGAGAAAATTCCTCGCAAATTCGCACGCTAACATGAGGCTTTCGACGTTTTCATACATGTTCTCGAGATTCAAACATAGAAACGGTCACATCGTTTTTGTGGGCCCCTTGCGCTTCGAACATAACATATGACGCGTACAAGGCTCTTTCGCTATTGATTCCTTTCAGAAGAGATCATGCTAAGAGACGATGCTATGAAGCGGTCTCTCATAGGTTATTTTTAGACCTCTCTAGATCCAATGACCAATCTTGCGTGCCCTCATAGACATCTCATGTGGTATTGATTCGTTGTACTTCAGAATATTCAACCTATACCCAGAGGACGAGGTGTTCCAGTCCAAAAATATTTTTGGACGAATTTCCTCTGAAATGACACTTATGTCCAGGATTGAAAACGTATATTATTTGACGTGATACTCGTGTAACCTCATATCCGACTGAATTTATTACCTCATATTACACTTGATTATGAGTGTTTTGATAGAATTTGGCGATAAAAACACTTTGCGGCGTCTAGCCTATTCCCATAGCACTTACTTGAGCCACTCGTTGTGTGCTGTCCAACCATTTATAGCTACAATCTTTTTCAAGTTTTTCTCTGACTCGTCGAAACTCAGCCACAATTCTCCTGTAGTGTCCGCCGCCAAGAAGAACCTTAAAACAGTTCAAATGTCTCAAAAATAGCTTTCTCTTTGGAAATATTTTATGAATTACCTCTAAGTGAAAAGGCTAACACCGAGTCGTCTAACTTGAAACAAGATTTAAAAAAACGGTACACGTATGTAGTACAAGGAGTAACTGCACTAGTTTGGAAATTATCCCAGGTCCCGCTTAATTCTGTTACTTTTTCTGACTTTGAAAGTTACAGTGTTTGATCTGGTTAACACAGGCTAATATCTTTGAAGGGGTGGGAGGGGAGGGGGGAGGGAGTGAAGGACTCGCAAGTGAAATAAAGACTTTAAGAACTATCCAAGGTAGAACCTAACGATCGAAGAGGAAATTCATTTCTTCATAGAATGTGTGCACCCATTCAAATTAGTTATCTAAAGAAAACGTCAATTATAGATATAACTCATATTTGACTACAAATGTCGAGAATGCTTAAAAAGGTTAACCTGCTTTAAGTCTGAAGCCTTAAAAAATTTCCTGAGCTAAACACCTAAGAATGGCAACCCAATTATTATTTACCGATACAAGCCGTTTTCTGGTGCTTTGAAGAAACCGCGTATCCTTGAACCGTAATTATCATCGACGTTGTGTGGTGCGTCAAACTTGTCCAGCACCTCAATACTGGAGGGATTGTTTGGAAAGTTCGGATTGGAAGTGAGGTCCATTATTCTATAGCCTGGGATATCTTGCCACACCTCACGAATAACACCGGCGAACGGATCACCTGAAAATAAAGTAAAGGTAGCTACACAGGTAGTTCACTTAACGCGCGCATGTTTGATAAAAATTAGGCATAAAAAATGGTTGCGTTAGACGCGATATCCACTACAGCCAATCAGAATATGTAATCTTTACCGAATTAGGACACAAGTTGTTCTGTCCTTTTTGGGTTGAATTTGCAAAATAATCAGTGTTAATGTGTTTCTCCAAAGATTGCAAACTAATCTCAAATAATTTAAGAATATCATATCATACAGTTCTTTACGGTTTTCCTATTTTGCAACATTGTCATTCGAGCGTCTACAACGGCAATAAAACCGGTAAAAACAAAAATTGTCATCTTGGCCAGAAAACTCGTCATCGTAAAACCTCCACCTTTTGGTCTTTCCTGAGGTCTTCCTAAAATAAATAGTTATAGTTTTTTTGTTAGTTGATGTTTTTTTGTTTTTCTTACCAGGCATTCTCCATTGAAGTATTTCTTTGGTAATAGGTCTCATGAATCGACCACTGGGCAAACGTACTCCGGCGGAGAGTGAGTCAGTTGACTCTGTGCCTTTCTGTAGTCCAACAATGTAGTAATATTTTCCAGCCTCTAGAGTCACAGACTTCGAGCTTTGACCAGCATATCTAAAATAAAACAAGTGATTCCAGAAGAAGGGTGAATCGATGGAACAGGTTATTTAGGTTTACGTATTTTGTTTCAGTCTGTTAGAGACATCTCGGCAAGTAAGACAATCTATTGTATAGACATCGACGAAATACCAGTGTTTCTCCTGTTTCGAAAACATGACATCTTCACACGTGATAAAAAAAAAACAATAATGTCATATTCCACTTTAAGTTGAGCGGAGGACATTTTCATAATAAAAACTTGTAAGTTTAACGTGAAGATGATTTCTACATTCGGTGCTGCTAAAGTGAAGTTTACAATTGTCTTTGATTTAAATATGTTATAATATCTATATTATTCAATTTTATAAACAGAACATTTCATTCCCGCCTGTGGATAACAGTTTATCATCACGCGAAGATAAAACTCGCTTATATTGATATGTTATCCGTCGTTAGATGACAAATTAGCGCAACTGCATTTTCGTTCTACCCTTGTATATCTAATAAGTGGAATATCAGATGACCATCTTCTTTCCAAAGTCGCTTTCTCTACATTTCACTCATTCAAAACCGTAAGGTCAAAGTTGCTTCAGTGCGCTGATATTCCACATTTTTTCTCAATTAAGGCTAAAGTTCTTTTGATTGAGTATAAGGAAAACACGTACTTGTTCCACTGGTTGTGACCAGTTGCCTGATCCAGCGAAACCATTTTTGTCAAGTTTTGTTGACTTTCTGTGCTGCTCATCCACAGTTCGCCGCTCTGTGACCCAGACATGTAGAAAGTGTAGTTCCCAGTCTCAGGTGCCACGAAGTATCCTTTCACCCTGCTACCATAGTCTTTGTCAATGTCAAATGGAGAGTCAAAGTTTTCGATGATCTCAATAAGTGAGGGGTCGTTAGGATAGTAGGGATCGTCTTTCAGCTTGCTGATGGATTTTCCAGGCAGTTCTTTCCACACCTCGCGGATAAGGCCAGGATATGGCATTTCTGTGTAAACAAATAAGAAATGATAATGTCACGAACTTTCTCTCTCTCTTTTAATTACTGAAATCGGCGAAGAACCAAAGAAAAATTAAAAGATCTGCGGGAGATGAAAATAACATTGGATATTGAAAGGGCAGGAGAAGTAGAACTTATAACCATGGATATATGCGATCCCCGCCGGTCGAAGTAGGTGTGTACTGTAGTTTTTTTCTTGATATTTGAGCTAACTGTGCTATTAATGCAAACAGTATAACTAATGGCATATAATCGTGGGCCTAAGCGTTTTTCTAATGTATATATTTCATAGTAGATGATTTGAAGTCAACAGAAAGCTGAGTAACCTTTGAGCTCACAACAACTTAAACTAAAACCAAATATGCCTTATGTACACCAAGAGTTTGACATGTTTGCATTGAAAGTAGACCTTTTCACATGAGTCTTACTTCAAACTGAACCAATAACTTGAAACTGAACTCGTAACTTTCAAACTGAACCAATTGACGGAAGGTACTCAGTCGAAAAGGAACAGGGTTTAAAAGGAAAACGGATAATTCCGGCTTAAAATCATGCGGTGTCACCTATTTCAGTGTCCAGGGAAAGACTCAACGATTGTTTGGGAAGTCATGATTCAAAATAAACTATTTTTAGCATTTTGGACAACGATACTCACTCTTTCCACCGTATATTTTTTCCACGTCTTTCTTCTCAAGAAATCTTGGGAAGATAGCAAGGGAGCCGATTGAAAATTCTGCAGGGGTATACTCGGGTCCGACATTTTTACGACCGACAATAAAGTCGGCACTCTCGGACACCACGTCACGGGGCACACTCTTAGGAGTCTTAGTCCAGCCTCGGAACTGACTGTCAGTGTAAAGCCACAAGCCGTCAGACAGACTCCAACTCAATACTACTCGCTGCCATCTGCAGACAAATGAAATGCATTATCTCAATGCGGATTTTCTCTGGTTTCTCTGCATGCCCCCCCCCCCCTCTTCAGACAACCAATACTTAAGAAAAGAACGCCATCACATTTGTGAGTTGTATTATATTTTTTTTAACATACTCTCCCAAGAAGCACGGGGTGTGATACTTTTGAAAAGCAAACTAATGACAAAAAGGCGGAAAATAAACGTGTTATGGTCGAGTTGGAGGGCTCCTTCAAGTTTATAAGGTGATTTATAAACATCATGTAGATTGTACTAAAAATGATCATAACATATTTACATTACAGTATGGATAAGTGTTACTGTGTGGTAGCTAATCTGTAAACCAGAAGATACACTGAAGGATTTTTAGTTCATATTAAATGTATGCGACCTAATCACGGTTCTCACAAAGATATATCTAGGTAAACCTACCTCACAGTGAAGATAGACGTTCTAACTGTCCAAGTCAGAGTGTCTTCGTCCGTGCTCATGGCAACACTAAAGTACAAGTTGTTGTTGAGGAGGTATGCAGACAGGCCTTTGGTACCTTTTTGGTGACCGCCAGAATCCAGAATGTAATGAGGTTCTTTGTACGTGCGAACGATCTGCAAGGAAGTGAAGCCAGTTTAAAGAAATATAAATAAGGTATAAAAAAATATTAGTTGTAAAAGCCAAATCTTAAGCGGAGAAAGATTACACTTGCCTTGCCATAGGTAATGAATTTCGAATGACAATATCGATTTGTTTTACCGCATTAACTCTTACCCGGTTAAATTTAAGCTTGCAGCTCAAGCTGAGTCCATTGGGACACTTGGAAGGATCATGGAGACATTTTCCATCGAAGGTTCCAACTTTAAGGAAGGATTCCTTCCCATCAAGATGCACTCCTCCATCCACGGCTCTGACTGGTCCATGCACCTCGATGTCTGGGCTGCCGGTTATCTTTTTGTCTTGAAGCTTTGGCAGCAGCCACATGTACCGTGGAACAACTGTAGAAATGACAATAAAGAAGTAAGTTACACAAAACTGGCCAGTTGTTCTCATTCGTTACCAGACTGGTACAAACTTTGTACGACTATCATCAAGAGAATATCAACAGTTGATATTCTCTCGCTGGCATATACAGACACTTAGCCGCATTAGATTAATGAGCATGACCAATTCCTAAGAAAACTGATTTTTTTGTAACTTATTTTTCCGCTCGATGTTTAAAAAAATTTGTGAGTGCCAATATGTAGGTAGCATTGTTTAACAACATTGTCGTAAACTACTTAATAGGAATTTTTAAATTGCAGCACTTACCTGTATTATCAAATGTAAATACATAAGGAACATCCTCAGGAGCGAGGAAACGCGTAAAGGCGTACAGTGAGCTTATGTACATCCTAATGAAGAAACAAAGTCATTCTAAGCAACTGCGGTTATGTACGATAAAGATTTTTTTCTGAGTATTAAGCTGAGATGATAAAGCGCGGAGAGTTAACTAAAAGCAAGAGGACAAGTGGCATAGCGTCTCAAGCGCCTTATCTCACACACCCTTAGTTTTCAATTCTGGCGAGCTTATCAGAGCGATTGGTTGTTTTATTAATGGCTATAGTTGATATGTTTTTTCCCTTTTGATTGATAATATTATCAAATTATGTGCAGCTTGCACCTAAGAATCCCTTGTTTGGCTCCTGCTCAGATGTCTCATTGCTAGGGATTCCTCGTTGATGCCATAAGTCACATTATTCGTATGATAGGAGCAACGGCTCGTTATCGGTGGACCATGCAGCCATCTTTGGTCATTCCATCAAACAAATGGAATTACCTGGTGTACTTGAAGGGTGGGTTTCCACTCTTTCTACCAATAGTAAGTCGAGCCTGTTTATTTGGTATTAGGCTGGTTTCTGTTCCGTCCTTCAGCGAGTCTCTGAACGCTCCGTTAACATAAAGCATCAGCCCTTCTTCTTTCTTCCAAGTCAACACTATATCCTGCCACTCATTGGTCACAAGCTCCATTGACAGCTGCCATTCTTTGGTTGACGTCACAACCTGCAAAAAAGATCAGTTTGTTTTTAAGAGGACAAATCATCCAAAAGAAGTAAGGAAAGTAGCCTTGTAAATCGCACAAAAGATACCAGAGGTGAACATAGATATAATCACTTCAATGATGTGTTGCGATAGTCTCGGTTAGGGTAGTTGTGGAAAAAACTTTTGACAGAGCCAATTACCGACTTTTCGACATCCTGAGCGATCGAAATACATGATACGATCGTTTCCTCATATGGAGCCCAAACGACTTACTGCAGTATCTGCAACCGTCTCGCTTGAAATCTCATAATATCTCTGGGTTAATTTTGATAACTTAATACGAAGATGATAAATGCATCGAATTTGCTGTTGGCATTGTTTTTTCGCTGAGTGAAAATTAACTGAGTTCATATGTAATAAAACCTGGGCTACTTCCCTACCAGGAAAAAAGGCTAAGGTTTAATTTTAACCCTTTAACCCCTAAAAGTGACCAGCATCTAATTTTTCCATCCACTCTCATCCCTGAATCAAACATTTAGTTCATTAGAATAAAAGAAATGACCACCAACCAAAGAAGCTTTTGATTTTTAAACAAATTTTCCTCCTCAACAACTCAAGAAATGTATAAAGAACAGTAGGAAGAATATGCCTACTGATGTTAGGGTGTTAAGGACTAATTGAAGTAATCTCACCTTATAGTATAAAGAGCCATTATGAATGTAGATTGAAACGCCGCGCGAGTTGCCGCTGGAGTCTAGAACATATCGTTTGTCGTTGTAAGACAAAGCGTCGTCGTCGAAATTGAGCTGTGAAAAATGAATCCATGGAAATCAATCATCAAGTCAGAAATTAAAATGGAGGTGATCGAAGACTTCATTTTAGGAGACAAACAAGAACTATAACAATAACGAATAGGCAAAGGGTCTTTTAAAAACTTTAAATTTACTTTGTAAGTTTTTTCGAGTCATTAAATTCTTTATCCTTCATCGTAACTTATGAGCGATCAGCGAACTCCTCCCTCTCGATGATATGCTTTGAAAAGAAGTTTGGGCTTTCTTGAAATATAGTCTAAAAGTACATATATGATTCTGAGAGAATTATCGCACAGTTCCAGTACAAGAATAGCACGGAAAAGTCCTTAAGATTTAAGCCCTCTTCGTCCTTGATGTAGAAAGACCTGAACAATATTTCGTTATCTCATATTCTAGTCCTCATTAGAGTTTATACCTGTAACGCATAGGAGAAGCCCTTGATACAGAGATCAGGATCACCCAAGCACTGTCCATAAAAATCCCCTGCGTCTAGCCATGAGTCCACTCCGTTGAGCTGAAGACCACCGTCCACTGATTTAACATTACCATGGGAGGCAATGCGGTTGGATCCGTGAATACGGCTGTTGGATATTTTTTGTACAGTCCACAAATACTGAGGAGTTACTGCAAAAATAGAAGGAGTGCAATTTGTGAAATCAGTTAGCTTCAAGGCTGCCTCTATCAATTCAAATTGGCTGGTTGAACCGTTCTATCGGCAAATAGAGCGAGTTAGCTATAAAAACTGACATAACTGGTTCTGTCGGCACTCCCCTTGTCTCTTGACTCGGCCAGCCACTATTCATGCTTTTGCTTGGACCTCACGCGAATTGCATCGCATTCCCTCTAAGGTCCACCAATACAGACAATGACACAGAATAATTCGAACTTAAGCATGAAAAACACGTGGAGGTGAAGATCTCGACCTTCACCTTTCATTTTGTACTAAACAAACCCAGTTCTTTCCGCTCGAACAGATCCATTGAATGGAAAAGAGTCTTAGGACTAATGCTTGTCACTTCCTTGAGCCACTCTTATTCTCGGCTTGACGATTCGGGCATACTATGTCAAGTAAGGTACTTTTAACCGTTATTTTCATTAAGAGAGGCCTATCTGTAGATGTTGATGTTATAGTTATCAAAACTGGCGTCAGAAATTACAAAAGAAATAGCTTCTCTCACCGGAATGGCTTCCAAATATCGTAACGCTTGTGTCAATGTCAGGATTCAATAATGACTTGTTGGAGACAAATTTCTCAACCTCTTGAGTTAAAGTTGCGTCTGTTTGGAAATAAAAAACATCAGAAAAAGAGATCGTGAGAAAAAGAATAACGAGTCTCAAGGGTGTTCACAGGAAACAGCCTCTTGGAAAAGAGAATGGTTTGAATCGAGTGAATATATGATCTATCTTTTAAACTCATGGAATTTGGAAATGTTCAAGAGCCAGCATCACTTACCATTTAGTGGATGATGTGGGCCCTTAGGACCTTTAAGAGAAAGCAAAGCCAACGTATCAGCCAAAGACAATCTAGTAAGTTATGTTTCTCTACAAGTTGTCTAAACTGTTTAGTTTTCTGCAACTGTCTTACTCTTTGGCTGTATATGCCTACTTTCGCTTGATAAATGCGGGTAATGTTCATCTTACTGTTGAAATTTCCAAGTATCAATCCTTTGTACTTGAACATTAACATTTATATTCTCCGCATGTTTCTCTTTACGATTCCTATTTTACTTACAAGGAGAATTTGTTTGACAATCAGGAGCTCCTTAAATTAGCGATCATTTCCTTTATTCTCATGACCTTTACATTTGATTCAAGGGTGATATTGTAAGGAGAAATTAGAATCAGTCACTCTCAGGCGATGATAGATCTCTGGTTAAAATAAACTATAACTGAAAATACCTACCTTAAACAGCAGCTGAGACAATTGTGTCCCAACAGGTTATCAAGAAATTAAAAATTGTTTAAATTAGAATAAGAATGTTTAAAGACTCGTTTATCATTGCAGCCAGTTTACTTACTCGGCTTCTTACAAATAAAACTAAACTGGCTCTGACATGGCTCGTCGTGCCATTTTCCAGTGCTCGTCACTATTGCACATGACACCCCTCCATTGTTGGGTGACTTATCGTCCCAGTTGGTGTACGAGGACGTCATTCGGTCAGACCACACCCAGTCTCCCTCGTTATCAATGTCGTTGTAACCAATCCAGAAGTCCGATTTCGAATACACCTGAAAGGGTTTATTTCTCGTTAGTTTACCTTTCAAAATGTATATTTTGAAATCTTTAGAGCCCGCGCAGTTTGGCTATAGCTGATAAACCGAAGTTACCTCATTTGGTTTTAAAGGTGGCAAATCAAAGTTTTGGGGTCATTAATAAAAAGCGTATTTATTCCTGAGACTTGATAAGTGGCCATGAACCAGCAAACACTCTTAATCTCCTTCTATATTCAAAAAAATATATATCCTAGATATTTTTACGCATTGCAAACACAGGAAAATTCAAGTTTCACATAAGGAATAAATCATTTAGAAACTGAAAAGATACAATATTTCCTTAATAAATAGACACCTTTTGTATAAGTGACAAACCTGTGATATCATAGTCTCCTCATCATCACTAAGTATACTTGCTAACGACGCCTGTTCGTCCATACATGATACCAGCGAATTTTCCCATGTTTTAGGTTCTTCGAATAGTTTGTAGCATCCACGAACTGAGTTTAAGGTTAGCTTCTTCCAGCCCTTGCCACAATCTTAAATCACAAAAAATCCTTAGATGTAGTTGGTTTGATTACTTTTTCATCAAAAGCATATAAGAAAATTTTCACAATAAATTTCATTGACCAAATGTGACCTAAAAAGGTCACTCCTCGACAAAGTGAACCTTAAAAAACAGCTATATCAATGGGCACTTTAAAATACAAACAATCTTTGAATACCCTCGACATTCACGAACATTGTGCTATATTTTAAACTGATAACCAACCAAAGCCGTCCAGGCTATGTGTGCAGGAAGATAAACTGATAGCCAACCAAAGCAGTCCAGACTACGCGTGCTGGACGAAGATCTAATTAGAGTTTCCTTACCCTTTGGTTTCTTCTTGCAGAGGTACTCATGAGTCTGTGAGCACGATGCATCTTTCCATTTCCCTTCTTTAGAACTTAACAGAACACAGTCTCTCCCTTTGCCGTGGTCGTCCTTAGCGCTGCTATCCCAGTTCGTAAAAACAGACAAACTTGAATCACTCCAAGTCCATGTGCCGTCTCTGGATTTGTCCCGGTATCCTAACCAAGATTCAATGTTTGTAAAGTTTTCAATGAAACGTTGTTCATAGGCGTTGGTCACGCTGAAAAGCTCGCCGCCAAGGCCCTTGCACGTTTGATGTGCGTTGTCCCATGATTTACGTTCGAAGATCTCTTTGTAACAAAATGAACCAAAATCACCGAGAGCTCCGGTCCAACCAGCGCCGCATTGAAGATCTGAAAGTTAATTTGTAAAGTGCGTCACGACAGCTCCCGACCTTTTTCCTGAGATTTGAATTCTGAAGAATGCATCGTTCGCGTGCCCGAAGGCATTGCGCTGAATTAAAGACCGCTAATTAGTTAGGAGAGACCGAAAAAACAGAGTTTTTCTGTGGTCCTTTTTTATTCAAGCTTTTAGCTTGGAGAAATAACTGCTAACTAAAGAGTCAATTTGATGAATGTAGTTAGCAGGTTAATTTGCGTTTTTGAAGGCATTTATCATTTTCACAAAACAATTTGGGGTAAATCATGTGAGGTTGTTGTATTGGGGCTCACTGTAATTTCACGGACACCTCTTGTCAAACAGATTTTTAATCAGTAAGCAGGCGTTTTGTTCATCATCAGCAACAAAGGTAGTCTTCTTACCTGGCTTTGGTCGAATCAAATTCTTTTTTCCGATATTACCATTTGAATTTGGGTTTGCGTTTGAGTTTGTGTTTGGTTGGTGTGTTTGATCACTCTGCTGTCCTTCTGGTGGCAAAGGAACTGGGTAGAATGGATAAGGACAAAACTCGTCACCTTCACACGGTTTGCGCTGTGATAGAAATCAATGGAAAGAAAGAAAATGAATCAGTAATCAGTTAAATCATGACTTGTATAGTAACGGAAAACAGCAAAAACCGTTTATTAATTTTGCGCACTTAAGTAACGTTGGCTAAAAGTCGAAAAACATTTTTGTTCTAGGAATTTCCCAGCCTAATTCGTGTTTTGTGTAGCAACGGAAAACAGGAAAAACCGTTTATTCATTTTGCGCACTTAAGTAACGTGGAATAGAAATCGAAAAACGTTTTTGTTCAAAGGCAGTTTTCCTAGCAGAAAGCGAACGGCAGAAAATGCAATTTTAACTGTCTTCCATTTTCCAGAAAAGTTTTTCTCACACTCTTTGTTCGCACGATGGAATGGCAATGAAGACGTTGTAAGTTCTAACATGATTGGATATCAGATTGTAAGGAAATTCAAATATTAGTTCAGGAAAAATGAGACTGCTGACTTAAGGGAACGACCTTTCCCGGAACAAATGCTGTTCGAGAATAACGTGAGAAATGAAACAATAGATGAACTGAGCGCACACCAGTACTTGCAGTGGTAGAAGTAGTAGTAGAATAAACAGGAAAATCAAATACTTTCGAGGCATACCTGAGTTCAACATGAATAATCTGAGCGCATTTGTTTAGTTGCTCTTCAACAATGAACAAAAAGTTATAGTACAAAATTTGAACTATGCAAAAAGTAATAATTTTCCTCTGCATCTTACAGGTTTATTGTCTTTCCCATCATTGTCCTTTTTTCCATCCTGCTGACAGCTGAGGAGACACAAACTGACTTGGTTCACTGAACAACTGACTGTCAAACATTCCTTGCTGCAATAAAATGAAACAAGACGACAGATGAGCCAAAGCAAACGTAAAGTTCTGCGGACGAATGATGGTTTGGTTATTAAAGAAAATCAGCCTGGCTACATAACACTGGTAAAAAAGCTATTGCCTTCATGAACCCCAAATGGTCGTTAATATTTAACTGTTGTAAGATATGGTGAGCAATCAATGTAAATTTATTGAACCGAAGTATTCTTCTGATTTAGCAGCCACGAAAAAGAAAAACCATCACTGTTCTCTATTGAGTAGCAGAGAAGAATTGTGGCAGGCAGATCCCAAGTTATAAGGGATTTCTGTTCGTGAAATTTTAGTTTAAATTGCGACTCAAAATTTAAACCTTTGTCAAACTTAATTTTTATCAATAAAATAATTTCAATTACGATTACAGCAATTCTGAATGTGATGCCATACGCAAGCGTTGACAATTTTAATTTTCATGTCTATTTTTCCAGTTAATTCAGTCTCCTTGACTAATTCTATCGAAGGCCTAAAAACTTATTGCGTGCGAGCTTGGAAATATTTTAAAAATAATACAGAAGGTTTAAGGAAAGAGAGAAGAAATTTAAAAAATCTTTTCGCCGCCAATAGATATTTGGTTCTCTCCGAACTGAGTTCAAACTAATCCGTAAGTTTAGAGATTTTAAACGTGCATACTTTAAGTGAGTTTTGATTTATGGGAAACTGACTGATTCGTTCATCTTGTCACAATCGTAACATCTTTGAACAGCAAAATAGTTTCATAATATTATTGTCAGTCTAAATAACATGCTATGTCTACAGTATGTTTTAGTCATAAGTTTTCACTCACAACCAATAACTTTGGTTTTCAATTACATTTAGTCTCATGAGAAATGGACCACAGTGAAATTTTTCAGTGTAACCCTCTTTCTAGTTCAGGGAGAAAATAATTTTTGTTATGACTGGCAAATGGATACCAACGGTCTTGGATTTATGAATTATGAAACTGGAGGTGAATTTCATGTGGAAGACTGGGCCAATAATTCGTTTCATTTAAACGCAGAGCGTTTATTAAGAATACGTTTATTGCCGCCTGATTAGCTCATGTTGTAGAGCGCCGGACTATAGTGCCGAAAGTTAGAGTTGAAGCCCCAGACCGGACCAACACTCAGGGTCTTAAAATAAATAGGAGATTGTGCTGCTGTTGCTATGACACCTGCGTTAGACATTTTAGTCTTCTCGGATAAGGTCGAAAAACAGTAAGGCCCCGTCTCCTGCATCTTCTCTGTACTGGTTAGTTGAGGACGTTAAAGAACCCACACACTAAGGTGGAATGTAGCTTCCAATGTTGTGATTCTAAAATTGAGGATATCTGAAAAAATTTCCTTCAAAAATTGTAAACTGCTCGATGCAGTCTGGTCAAAGTCCCCCGCAAAGTGTTATAAAGCACCATGAGCTAATGGATATGGCGCTAAACAAATCCTTCATCATTATTATTGTCATTAATATCATCTCTGTTATACGAGAATTAGGACTTATGTGTCAAAACAATAGAATGACCAAAACACAACAGCTATTCAGCGCTTTCATCCAAGGAACCTCCTAGTAATGCACATATTTGATCTTAATTTTAACATATCTGTCTATCAAAGTTTCTTACAGTGTTCCCTGTGTTTAATTGATCATTTTGACTTCCTTCAGGTGGTAATGGTATTGGATAAGGATTTCCGCCTTCTGGAAACCATTGACGACCGACCGCTGGCTGTTGACATCGCAGTCATTTGATAACAATCAAAAGATGGTTCAGAACATTCAAATTGTATTAGTATCCACGATCATGTTTGTTACTCACGAGTAAATAACGAGTGCTTACACTCTTTCCGATGTTAGTCAACGCCTGTCTAGTAAATTTTAGCTCAATATCAGCTAAAGCGGTCTCTTTGATCAAGAAGCATATTACTTATAGCGATTTGAGGAAAACAACGAATGTTAGCACGCCAAATTGTCTCTTGACGTTATCTGATGTTAGTCTGTTAGTACATGTTAGTTGGATAACCGCTGAAGTGTTCCTATTAATCACGAAGCCAATTGCTCAGGAAGATATGGCGTTTATCTCTAAGCACGAAAAGTTAAACATGAGTTTGTTACATCATACCGTGTTAAGCGACGTGTCTACGTTGGTGAAATAATCCTCAGATACAAGACTAAGCTCGTTTGAATCTTACAGTTAAAAATTACAGCAAACATAGGCTAGACTACTTAGCACATAGAAAATTTACTCTAGTTAAGTACTGTCAATTTTGTTTGTATTAGACCATTACAGCAAGTCAGCTTGTACCATAAACAACCGATGTTAATGTTATGCTATGATGTAATAGTAAATATATTTACGATTGCAGTAGTAGTATTGATAGGGGATAAGATTTGCTTCAAAATTAGATGATTATTTTAATGCGCTATGTTAAAGTTAGAGGCGTTGCAGTCTCACTAAATCATCTCAACAGAGTTAAAAATGTCACATAAAACCCCAAAAAATGTTATGACATTTAGGAGTAACCTGAAACATGTATATACATATATAATTTGTCTTCTCGTTTCTTTTAGGGACAAAAAGTATCATCCCTTCGTAGGAAAACAAACAAACTAACAAAAGAGTGATTACTCTAGAACCCTTGATGTAATAAGCTGCGTTAGTGTAAGAGGTATTTTGGACCCGTCAATGTGAAGAGTGCGCTTTAAAATTCCGTCTTAGGGAACGTTAGGATAAACACCTGACATGACGACCATGTCAGCTTAGGGAATCGTTTGTTATATTTGGCTCCACTGTCTATTGAATGAAAAACAATAAAAGCTCAAGTGGCAACAAGAAAAGTTAAGCTCAAGGAGGAATACAACGTCCATCGGTCAGTACAAGGCAGCCATTTAACCAAATATGATAACCTTTTCTTTTCTCCCATTTTTCGTAATTTAATCCTTATTACTTCCCTCCTCTTTTTACATACCTCTGGGTTGGTGTTTGCTTGGCTGAATGGATAATAAGGAGACTGGGACGGCAGTGACCCACGAGCAGAAGCCTGGGAAGAAGTCTTGATAAAAATACAAGAAGTTTCAAGTTAAAGTACTTAAAAACAAAGGGGCAATGTAGCCACTTATTTATGATCAATCTTTACTTCCCCGTTAGTATAGCTCCCTAAGAAAACCCGCCTGTAAGAAAATGCCCTAGAAAAGATCCGCGTTCCAAATTTGCGATACAAAGGTAACAAAGACGGCAATTTCATCTGGAATATCACATTTGAGAGTAGTTTAAGAGCCATCGTACAAAAAATTGTGCAAAAAAAGATAATGTATCTTTGAATTAAACGTAAATATCCTTGTTATTCCAGTTTTCACCCTAGACAGAGCAGTCTGGATCTTTTCCAAACTTTAAATAGCCACACCATTAAGAATAGCTGAAATTGGACGCAAAACGCGCAGAAGTATAAAGTAGTACAAGCTACCTTAACCCTTTACTGTCTGCCATACAGTTCTTATGATGTTACTTTGGGGAATTTGGTATTGGATCAACTAATAATCCTCCAATTTATTTTTTTTCTTGATTCTTATCTTTTGTCTAGTTGATATTGTAAGGAGAAATTCCCTCTGGGTCACTTCTGGGAGTTAAAAGGCTAAAAGGTAACTCCGCATTTAAAAATGGCGCTATACCTTTAATGCATCTTGGTTATTTTCGGTTTCTTGGTAGCCATGGTAACCATGATTTCCTTGTCCTCCCTCAGGGGGTATGGTGAAGGGATATATGGGTGGTGCCGGGCTGGACCTTCCTTGACCTGTTTTACATAGGTTTTTAAAGTTAATAAACGGCCTATTAAGATTACATTCGTATGTCTGTGAACACGTTAGTTGGTGGTAATTCTGGTGTCATGTCATGCCAGGTGCTTGTTAATAGGTTTGGTTCTTTAATGATTTGCTGTACATAGGTTTTGATACTTAATTAGATTAGTTTTAATACTAAATTTACAACATATTAAGGTTATCGTTCGTACCTATGTGAACATGTTGGTTGTAGGGTACTCTGTATTACATTTCAAGGAGCTTGTTAAGGATTTGTACGATTTTGTTTTTCTTAATTTAATATTAGCTTTGTCTTAGTGTTAAATGATCAGACCATCGGAGGCAGCAAAATTCAGCTTCATTGAATTAATTTTCGAGTTAAGTTTGACTTGAACCCAAGTTCTCCTTTCAATTATGTTCAATCAATGTGTCAAAACACTAAACATTAGAACATGATGAATCAGTTCATCAGTTACGTCAACATTATCTCTACAGTATCACTAAGGGTTGCCGATTTCTTCTAAGTTCTTTGTTAAGAAAATAATAATTTCCTTACCTGGGCTTGAAAATGAATTAACATCACTTCCGGTATAACTGGAGGTCTCCGTTGATACCAGGTCGTTGTGGTTGAGAGGCGGAAGTTGTTGATGATTCAATGGCGGAAGAAGAGCCTCATTGTCATGACTCAAAGGGTATGCATGCTCTAGAGGGGGAGACTGGGGAGGTTTACCAACGTAGCTCTGTATCATTTCACCTGAGTTAAGATATGGGTTAACATATTGTTGGTTAGGTAAGTTAAAGTCATTGTTGTAGGGAGGTTGGCTAGTTGAAGGGTAACCGTCATCAAATTCGGTACTGTTTCTTGGTTGATTATTAAAAGGCACAGTCTGAGGCTTGGAAAGCTCATTATTAATCGGTTTACTTACTACTTGATTAAACCTTAGGCTCTGAGTTTGCAGATTTATATTTGATTTCAACTCGTTAGCTATTTGATTAGGCAACAGGCGCTGTCTCTGGAACTCGTCATTAGCTTTACGCTGAATTACATTTGGTACAAAGGGTTTGAACAGTCTCTGAGGTGTGACCGAACCTGCGTTATAACTATTAATCAATTGATTACTTCCCATAGTAGGAGTCTGGGAAATGTCGGTTTTTTTAAGTGTATCCTTATGGGAATTTCTACCGTCAGTTAGTTTGTTTGACATAAAGTCATCGTACTGGGCCGTAAGAGGGTTATAGTGTCGTCCATTTTCGACCACATGAAAGTTGGAAGGACCAGGTCTGAAAGCCCTCCTTGGAACGGTTGGCGGTTCCCGAAGTTGTACCCGTATGGTGGTGGTTGCGGTGTCGGGACGTTTTCTCTGGTCTGAGCGAGAGCATCCTCTAAGCCCTTCTCTAGTCTTCCTAAGGAATCCACAATTTCGGCCTTTTCTTTCTGTATTTCTTGCCTTAGTCGTGTTTTGTTCCGATTGCTTCCCGAAACATCTTTATTTCTTATATTGAGCGTTGTAGCATTGTTTATTCCTGGTAGCAAATTCCTCGTGTTCGCGGTATTAAGCCAGTTTATCGGTACATTTGAGCCCGAATCTTGTGTGGCATTCGTCTGCCATATTCGAAGAAAACTTGCAAGAGGGTCTCTCCTTGCTCCTATTACCAACGACAAAGCTCTATGCTTAACTTCATTTCTCATTCCAAAAATTGACTTTTTTCCTTATCAGTGATTTTAGCAGAACCTGTTTTTTAATTACTAAATTCCGAATTTTTTTTACTCTTATGCCCATTCTCTTATGGAATCTGATGGTTACTACATGAGGAGCAAAATTTCGCCCGAGTTTTGAAAGGTAATAGAGGGAATTATGAATCAAGCTCGACTTCTGGAGAGGACAAAGCTAAAATCGCAAGAATTAAAATGACGACAACCTACAGATGAACTGCAATAAACCAGAAGGCAAATCACAGGCAGAAAAGACGTTGATACCTGATGATACCGGGATTCCAAACTTTGGTGCAGTAGTCGAAGTGGCTGTACGTTGAGACATGAGATCCGCACGTAAAAGGCTTTGAAGCTCCTTTGGATCGTCGTACGTAGATGGAACCCAACCTTTAGACTGAGCACTTTCTTGCCATGTGGAAAAAGGCAGTCCGTTTATGTTAACTGGTTCGCCAACAGATCGGTTCTTAAAGTCAAGAGGAGCTTGATCTATAGTCTCCTTCCCTTGAACAACAGGCTCCATTATGTTGTTGTAATTCTTGATTAAATCTGCTTCTCTGCTTTTTGATATTAATTGGTTCGAAGGTTTTTGAGAAACGGAATAGGTCCCAGCATCGGCGTTATACGTTTTTGGCATTAAAGAACCTCTTCCCTCCCCTTTTAAGTCTACAGGAAACGTTTGATAACTTAGCTTACCATTGTCACTCGAAGGTGCTGCGTTTTCGACCTGCGATGTGAAGGCTGATAAAGCGTCAACATTTTGAGAAGACTGTTTTTCGAAACTAGCACTTGGAGTGTGTTTAGCCTGCTCTATGCCATGCATCAGAGGTGGCAATACGGCAGCCTCATTATCACCATGATTCAATGGTGGTAGACTGCTGAAACTCTGTAAAGCGTCACTTCCGTGATTGAGTGGTGGGAGGTTGCCCGCTTGTTCAACACCGTGCAAAAGGGGTGGTAAATTCGCAGCATGTTCTTCTGCATGGTTCAGTGGGGGTAGACTTGAAGCTATTTCCACGTTATGATTGAGGGGAGGTGAGGCGGGTGCCATTCCATTTCCATGATTCAAAGGGGGTAGGTTTGCCGGACTTGGAGCAGAAATCTTCCCTTTGGTAGTTCCCTTTTCCGTGCCTGGAGAAATGTCTGCAAAATAAATAATTGAAGTGAAGAAGCAACTTTTTTAGGCAAGGTTCCCTTTACCATAATTCCTATCTTTGTTTTTTACGGGGTAATTTAGCATTATCAACTGAGTTGATCACGTAAATTAGCCACCGTAAAGAGTTTCACAGCTGACGATTCGAGCGTTAGCCCTTCGTCTGTTTGCAGTCGCACAAGATAGTTGCATTAACGTAATAGCCTAGAATTTCTTAACTGGAACAAAAACGCAATGTAGGGGGGATGCATTGTAACCTTTAATATGTCCTTACCAGTCGTTTTGGAAACCTGATCTCTAGACGCCCCTGGATCAGCAATCCCATCGTCTGCGTTATCAGATTCGGGAATTTTTCCCGAAATTTGTACTTCTGGATTGAAGAACTTGTCCATTGGATCATCACTTGGGGTTTCATCGGAATTATCCAAAGACGTGGTGATTTTTGAATTGAGTGATCCAAAGAGAGGATCTGCGGAATGCTGATCTTGGTTAAATATCGATGGACCTGTGAAAGCCTCGTTGATGGAAGCTGCTGCATTTTCAGTGCTGTCCACAGATTTTTCATTGTTATCGTCAGTTGGTAAGCTGTTGGCTGCTTAAAAATAACGGTCAATTAAGGTTTAAAGAATAGGTGTCAAGGAATAATTCAAGGGTAATTAAAAAGGCTATATTTTGTCATTGATAAGCTCACGTTTGACTCTTTCCGGGTAATAGATTCAGTAAAAGTTTCTAAACCGAGTGATGGAACCATAAAAAAATTTCTAGGAGATTTTTTATTACCTTGTGACAGATCCGACCGGGATGCACCAGGAGTTACGGTAACCTGTGCAGGTTCAGGGAGTGGCTTATTAGTCGGAGCATTCTGACGGTTGGCTTCTGAAAAATAGAAGCACACGATTAATATCGTCATTGGGTGCGAAAGCCTCCTGTGTAAAGTACAATTACCTGAGGAAAGCTACCAAAATAGCACGTAATGGTTATTGAAGTCAAATATTTAAACAGATCAATTTAGACGATAACAAATTCATTTAGAGGAGATGTTGTTTCAAATTTTTATAGGAGAGACCATTTTCGCTAACCGCATCCTTTATTTAAATAAATTTGGTGTCCCTGTGATCGTTAGTCAACAAGAAAGTAGTCATTTACGTACATCATTGAAAGATTGGTTTCTTTGCGGAATTGTTACCTGACAAAAGGTCAGAGCGCGACACTCCTTGAGACATCTGTGCGGGTTGTGGGACCGCGGGATTATTGGCGACCTGACTAGCAAACATGTCCACAGCACCAGCTGAGGGAACACTGTTCTTGTTTATTTCTAGATTACATAAGATACAAAATGTAACACGCGTGAGACTTACTAGAACTACATAAGTTAATTCCATAGGACTGCTGTCAAACACTACTGCAACGAGTTTTTTTATGGGATGGGCGTACATTTGATACCTGCGTGTGTGGGTGAGAAATTGAATGAAAGTGACCAGGAAATGGCCAAGTGAGAAAGTTTCAACCACTTGTCGCTGCCATCTTCTTACCTATGAAGGCTGAATTGCTCATGAACGAATAAGTGGCTGGAAGACTATCTAATTAGCTAATAGACCAACTGACTGACTAGCTAGGCGAGCAATTGCCTGCTGGATGGCTGGTGAATAACTATCGACTGCATGAAGAGTTTATCAAATAACTAAAGGACTGACGAGCTGAATACCTGATTAACAGGTTTTCGTTAGCTTGACTGACTTAATGACAAATATAATGACTCACCGGCGGCCTAAATGACTTATGGATAACCTGGAGCACTGGCTACATTACTTTCACTCTTCACTTCTTAACCAAAATACTAACTGCCCACCGGGCCAACTGGCTGACTGAACGACGGACTGATTGACAGAATAACTCATCGATTGACTTACTCGCCAAAAACTGACTGACTGAATAACAAACTATCCGTCTTACTGTCGAACGAAATATATAACTGGCCAAAGTAACTGACTGTCCACAAGCTGAATGACTAGATGACTAACTGCCTGAACTGATGCCTGTAAATGAGTATAACTTCACTAGTGCAAGTTTGTGAATGACCAGAGTGAATGAATCAGTGGTTTGACACTGGTAACCAAGGACGTGTTTCATTTGAGAATGGCAAATAAACACGATTAATTTCAATGTTAGTGCTGATGGAAAAATATGACATCAAGACGCGATCAGTGCAAGCAAGAGATGTGGCAAAGTGAGGTCCGTATATCTATTCTCTACAGAAAAAAACTGGAGTTCGATATGAGCGTCCATGGTAAATAACTGACTAGGGGTTTCATGAGCTGTCATGGTATTGCAAGTCGTCATTGTATCCTAGATCGTCATACTAAGATTAGTTTGTCATGTTCAAACAGGATTATGACTTATTTTAAAACATCATGAACAAAAATAAGTTAGTGAACCTGAATAAGTAAGTGGAAATTCTAATTGCTTGTCTTCTAAACAAGTTTTTATTAAATGTATTGTCGGTGTGTGGAAACGTCACGGTCTTTTCCAGCAAATCGGAGAGAATTTTCGCTTCTGTTGTGGTATGAAAAATCAATTTAAAAATTTCGATGTCAGGAATGACATTTGGGCTATTGTGTAATTGCACATGTGTAATTGCGATTTTAAAAATGTTCGAAACCATCGTCACAGTTTAGGTAATGCCCTGTGGAAAAAGAAGTGAAAATTCTCTTCTAGTGCTGTTCTGTCTGTGCGTTGGCATGCCCTAACCTTCTTGCACCTGTTTATACAGTTCATCCTTCTTCTGAACCATGCCTGGAACAATCTTGCGTAGAGTCAATGGAAAAGAACCTGGGACGGGTGCGTGATGAGAAACCACCACCCCTAGACTATTTCCCGAACGGCCTTGCGGGATGAGGTTTTTAAAATCAGCGGAAGTAGTGTTGGCTTGCTGTGGTATGAGGCGTGCAAGCAAACCTAATCCAGAGGGTAAGTCAGGAGCATTGTGCATCAAACATTAAACAGCGTTATCAAAATAAACCTCCATTATAATATTATATGTTATTTATATCAGTTAAAAATTAATCGATTAGTCCTTACAATTATTTCCGGAAAAGTTTAATAAGTAAGAGGAAAGGAAGGGGACACCTCTGCTACAGCATTCCAGTTTTCATGACAATCGGTCAAATTTGGTCATAGTCGTCCAATTTTTCCCTAATCTCGAGGTTGAAATAGTTGTATATTTAAGCGTTACTCAAAGTAACCTTGGTTCAATGAACGATTTGCAAAATAATAAAATACTATATTTACCGATGACGTTCGCTTTCTTTACTTATATCCGTTTAGCTAATGTTTCAGATTTAAGGAAAAATGGAAAGTAAGAGGTGGTTCGTTTTAACCAGGTCGATAGATTCTCCTCATCCATTCACGAATGATCTCTTTAGGCATTTTTGGTTTGGTTTTGACTTTTACATTCCTCACATTTTTTTTCAAATGAAGGCGAACTATACTCCAGAACCGAACTTATTCAATCACTGCCATTAAAAAGCATGCATAAAATTTTGACAATGGCCACGTTTTAAGATTCCAAACAATAATTTAACGCTTCGAAAATTGTCTTTGAAGGTGCGAATTGTCAACCACGGACGCCGCCATTTTTAATTTGGCCAAGCACCCTGGCCCCGGTTGTGCGAAGGGCGGATAACTTTATCGCTATAAAGTGAATATAGCGGTGATTTTTGTTACAGTTATCCACTGGATAGTGATATATCTGCTGCATAGTGTTATCTGCCCTTTGAACAACCCAGACCTGGCTGCTTACCTGTCACTTAACGAACCCACGCTCCCCCATTATCTTCTCTTGGTAACTTCTTTCAGTTATGGTCATTCGTGACTCAAATCATGATCTTTCTGCGGGAACCATACCGGGGGCTGTTTTTCAATCAGGTTAATCAATCTTTTTCAGACTGTCCTGTCCATGGTCGAATTTTAGCACATTTGAAAACAATTTTCGAATAGCTAAGTTACAATTTGGAATCTGAAACGCAGTAACTATTGTATATTTTTCTGCACATGTTTTAATGACAAGGATATAAATTATGATTCTGGAGCATACTTCCCCTTAAGCTCTAAAAACACGTCTCCACTCTGCTGGGACTAAGCTGGCCTTAACAGCCACGTTATGATTGATGGCGACTATCTCTCTAAGTAAGTTCGAATCAAAATTTGAGGATCTGGTCAAACCGTCCTTCATTTGTGTCAAGGATAAACAAGCATCAAGCCATAATTTTCACAACAACAGCTCCAAAGCTAAATATTAACCAGCTTATTACGAGATGTGTGAGCAGTGATGGACTGAGACAAAAATGGACTATTACTCTCTTTAAGAAAAAAAAAACAATAACGCTTAATTAACGTGGTTAGGGTGTAATTGCCTCTGAAGCGGTTGTCTGTTGTACTCTCATTAAAGCAATGCCACGTTCAAGAGTAATAGAATGTGACGTGTGCATTACCATGGTTACTGATGAGTGGTTTCCCAGATTAACGTGATTTGTGTTTTAAAGAAGAGAACATACATGTGCTGCTTACTAAAGATTCGACAGTCTCTTTCTTCTCAGTGTTGTTTTCTTTTTAATAAATCATTTTTGTAATAAGTAATTGTCCTTAGCAGATCACACAATAAAAATTTCCCCATTTCATAACACAAAACCTACCGCTTTATTTCAACCAAATACCTATAAGAGTTGGTGTTGAACAACAACAAGAGTACAATTGTCTGTACATAAGTAAAAATGAGACCAAAATATTGGCAACTGAAAACGTCTTCCCATTGGATAGTTAAAATAAATTAAAATATCGCGGTACAGGAAAATCGATTCCATCCGCCGCACAGCGCGCAATGTTTTTTTGTTCACTTACATTGTATGACATCGAGAGATATTTACAATTAATGCGTGCCTTTTTACAAATCTACATGCTTTCCATGGTGTGCAAAACCAACCTTGAGATGCCAAAACTGAATCATGCAACATTTCTAGCTTCGTTTTAGTATAAAAACAAGCAGCAAAAACATTGAGTGGAGGATTTTAACCTTTAAATTGATTTTGTCCGAGCTGAGAATCAACGAAAACTACAAATGAAGAAAGAGTGGTTCTCAAAGAGGTCAAAAAGGTTTCTACGTTCACAGTCAACTCGAATTAGTGTAAGGAAAGACCACAGTTTAGGGATTTCCTAGGCCATTTCATTTTACGTCATTCTATTCCATTCTATTCCATTCACCCTACCATTTTATTTTCCTTTTGAATTTCAATTTTTCACCAGTAAGGACTCTTTTTCATTCCAGAGGGTACATGTAACAGTTCCGTAGTAGATGACTGTAAACGTAGAGAGTAGAATCTTTTCAAAGACCACTGGTCTACTCTGAATTTGTTCTTTGACAACTTGTAAACAATCAAGATTTAATTTTTTCTTCCTCAAAAGAATTCTGACACCTTTCCTTCACAAATCAAAAGCATAACATTCGCAAAAGGCCGAATTGTCAGTAGGCCTTGCTTCATGACAATTTAGTCAGCATTAACAAATGTCTCACTTGTTCTAGGAAAGCTAAAAAAGGGAATGGGAAAGCTGTCTCCTGCTGAACAACATTCTCTAACGCTAGATCCTACACATCATTTAAAATGACGAAACCATGAAGTTTTTTTACCTCTTTGTTGACAGAATCAATTTAAGTATGTCCCACCTCAAGAAAAAGGGTATTTGAAAACATTACTCCCTTTATTGAAAGGAAGAATTAACATTGTTAAATTATAATAGACAGTTAAGTGACATTATCATCATTAAAGGAAATTGATTTTCCCTTTGTTGTAATCTTTCTCTGCACAAATTTGATCTGTATGGTTAATTTTAAAGTTAGAATCAGTTGATGTCGTCATGTAATGTTGTCCGTCGTATACTGTATCGCTGACGGCGGGATTGCTAGCTTAGCTTGGTTATATTCTCGACCATGTCAGAATTAAGGCTGACTCCATTTTGACCCATAGTTACTCGTCCTCGGGAAAGTAACTTCTTAACTCTCTCAGGCTGCTTTCTTGCTCGCCTGTTGGTTGTCAGAAAAATGAAGACCTAATGTTAGAAGCGGTCTTGCGTAACAAACAAAACTCGACATTCAAACGTTTTTACTCTTTTTCTGTTGATAAGAAGGATAACGAACTTCTCTGAATTTACACTTTTGGCGCATCATCGTTTTACGGTTATCTCCGAGTATAGCAGCAATTTCTACTGTTTTCTTCTGTAATCACTCATCTTAGATTTTCCGGCTCCAATTCACCGATGTGGCTAAAGAAAATGAAGACTTAATCCTGAATATGCGAGCGTTCCTTTCGCCAAGCTTACAGTATACGAGGCGAACATAAACGATGTCGTGAGTCACTGTGTGAGAAATTTCATGGTCATTCTTTAAGTAAATGTAATAAATTCTAATACGCTTTCATTCAATGGTAAGAAGGTCCTCGACGTCAATATGATTAAAATGTTTGCACATGAGGAAGGAAGAAAAATTTTGATGATCGAATGATGTAGCAGAGGAGAACAAAGTTTACACCGTAAAGCGACTAAAGGTAGGACTTTGAAATTGGTAAAAGTTCCGTCGTGAGATGTCATGTCCTGGTAAAGCAGGCATGAGTAAGCTTCATATTTTAAGGTAACAGGCACAATGCTCGTTAGCATTTACAGAGTAATTGCGAGATAAACCACAAACGGCGTGAGTGGTTAGAATACGTTGTTATTGTTGATGTTGTTACGGTGTTAGTGGTTCAGTTCCTTGTGTAGTAATGCTGGTGATGTTAAAAACTACTTATTTGTAAATGAGATTATGTTCATACACTCGTATGCTTGGAATGCTTCAGTTACTGAGCAACTAGCAGCTGAGCCTGAGCAATCAGCGAGGAAATAGCTGAAATATTTATGCTAAAGTTACCTTGTTAAGCTTCATTCACTAGGCAAAGCTTCAGAACAGAGTAAGAAAATCAAGCAAAGGAGAGTGATTACATTTTAAGAGCGGAGCCGCGCGTGAGTCATGACTTGATGTTGTTTTCGATAAACACGAGTTCACTGTCGATCAAAGAAGTCGCTTTATCCTACTTATCAACAGTTGATAACATTTTATTTCATGTTCAGTTGACAAATTGGTATCAGTTACAGTCAGTCGTAAATTAGATAATTAAAAACTGTGATTTTTTTTCAGAGGTTTTGGGTGTTTGGAGTATTGATTCTTGAAAATCTGGAGACTATCAACTAAAAGGTATAAAATTTGGCACATAGAAACAAAAAGAAACCCATTGGACGCTCCTGAACGACATCAATTCACTTACCTTGTTGTTGCGGTTGTTCGAGAGATGGCAGAGCCTGTCCTTGAAGGATCTGACTTCCTGTTAATATAAGAAGAGAAATACACTTAGTTAAAATCCATAGGATTTTGGGGATGAGTCTTTAGCATAGTTGTCATTTGGTATCAATTTATCGTCGATATAATTTTTCTTTTATTTACAGGAAGTGTGTTTCATTTTATAACCGTATTAGGAAAGTTTAGCTGGTAGATAATATCAAGGGGGAGGGGTGGGAAAGGTGTGAGGTTGTGGAACAGCGACATACCAGAGTTTTTTCTCAATATACCTGAAACTTGTAAAAAACTAATTAAATAATACATAAAACTGCCCAGAGTATTGTTTTTTTTTTCAACTTATGTTTTAATACTAGTTAGAAAACATTAATTAAGAACGAGATCAATTAGACTCGTATACGAAACTTGCGTATACCTGAGTTGAAAAGACCCCGGATACCTGAATACCCAAAACCATTGGCCGGGCCTGAATATCACATGATTTCAGAATTTAAAGAGATGCGCGCAGTTTTATCTGCTACATCATCAACTCTGTGTAATTTTTTTAACCCATTATTTTCTGCATTTATACTCACTTGCTGCAAGCTCGTCCGCGGGACTTTGTGGTAAAACTTCACTCTGAGGTATGCTCTGTGGGAAGACAGAAGCCGTTTGTCCCGACATGTCTGGTAGACTACCCATTGTGATATTTTGCTCAGGAATGTCCGATCTGAACTGCTGCTCAGGAGACTGTAGAACTTCCTGCTCAAACTGCAAGTCACTGACTGCAGGCATCAAAGTTTGACTTCCTGAAGGAATAATATGCCATTGAAGCTTTCAATACTGAGCTCAAAAAATGCATAAGAACTCTACTACAGTCTATCAGGTTCTATATACAGGCCAGAATGGTAGCCTAACTCTGGTTTGTTTCTAAAGGGACTTGAGATCGTATTGCTTATTCTCCTAACAAATAAGTGGGCATTAGATGGAGTTTTATCATGTTTCCAGGAACCATGCATTCGGCAGTAAAGGGAGGGCAATGTCAAAGCAAGGACATCACATAGTGACCCAGGAAAGTAAAACTCGAATCTCTCAAGAAAGGAGGCCATCAATGTCAGCAATAGGTCACTTTGCTTCTTATTAGACGACCTTCACCCCTTTTTAAAATTCATTTTAATCCCTCCCAGAGAAAAAGTTTATAGAAAAGGCTGCAATTGGCGTGAGGAGGGGAAGTTCAGTCAGTGTTTGAAATATCAGCAAAGCAATGCTACTACATTATGATTATTTGTATAAGTGCGTTATTTTTTTCTTACCTGGCTGTGGTATTTCACTCTTCTTTTTCGCTAAAGCGGCGAGCTTTTGGATTTGAGAACTTTTCCATAAGATGAGTGGGTCTGAATGAGATGCAGAAATCAAACCAGAGGCAGCCTTAGAGCGAATAGGCTCCATAGAAGCTCCTTTGCCCATATTTCGCACGTATTCAAAAGGATCTACAATCTTATCTTTTTTATCCTTTTCATCGGTGTTATTTTTCGGCGTTTCGGGCTTATCCTATCAAAAGAAAAGAAAGGGAAAATATTATAGGTAGTACCCAAGTTTAAGAACCGTGAATGATGATGAACATGCGGAATGCTTTCCAATTGAGTGTCCTAAACTAAATCTGAGGTTATTATAACGCTAAGCAAGAACGAAGGTTAAGATTACTAACTTTCAATGAGAACTGAAAGTGAACACTAATCTGCACTGGCTTTAAGCACGGTATTAACCAAGTCGACATTGGTTTCCATTTTCTGGACCAATGACAAACCCTAATTAATTTGGACTAGTTTCGACACTTTTACTCTATCATTATCTGGCTAATATCAACTTGTTCTTTATAAAGACAACTGCCATAATCTTTTTATATTGCCTTATTGTACTTAAAGGAGTTAGGGCGCGATGTTTTTTTGGTTGTTTCTCCGGCCCTGGTGTGTATATCAATAGATATCAAAGGATGACGAGCAGTCAAAAAGGAACGCGAACGGCGGAGTTAAGGAGAGTGAAGAATAAAACGAAAGGGAGAGACAACCTTAAATTAAGGTTGAACCATCAAATTACTTCAATAGCTTTTTCGTTGGACTAAACGACAAATCAAAAGTAATTGGTCTATATTTCTACCTGCACCTCTGCCCCGGTGGTATTCTCCTGCTGCTGATCATTCTCTGGTTGTATGGCCTCAGACTGGTCGGCCTGAGCGGCCCCTTCGTCTTCACTTTGTTGCTCTTCCGCTTGCTCTTCAGGGGAAGCCATGATGCCCGACCTTGCGAAGTTTGGTTGCTGTTGGTACTGGGCATAAAAATCGGCCAGAGGCTCATTTCCGACTTGCTGAGGGAAATTGTAAGCATATCCGTTGTTACCGTATCCCATCATTCCATAATTGGGAGCCATCATCATATTGGTATCTTGCATTGGGTTTGGAACCATGTTCCTTTTGGAGCTTTCATCATACCCTATTGGAAATCCCATCCGCTGCAGGATGTCGGTAGCAGGCGGAAGTGGAATGTGCGACTTCTTAGATAGCTCTTCCTCTTTTTGCTCCGCAGCACCCTCTAGGGCCTCTCCAAGCATCTTCAGCGCTACACCTCGATACATATTAACAGCCTTTGCGATTTCTTTGAGGTCAATCTTTGGATAGACTGAAACTTGTGGGGCTGGGGGTCGTGGAATCGAGCTGTGTTTTTCGTTAGCTCTGCTTACAGTGCCAGTGGCAAGATCTGTTGTTGAAAATTAAAGAAAAATGACCTGCTATTGCGACAAGTCTAACGAAAGATATGAGAAAACCGAAAAGCAGCACAGGAAAAGAGACGTTAGTTCAACTTCGGAAAGTAAATGTTTCTTTTTTTGCAATATGGCGCACGATTTCTAACATATTCTATCATTACTGTTTGTTTAACTTTCTCCGGGTTAAATTTGAAGAGCTTTTTGGGTCAATCCTCCGGTAAGATTGTGCAAGTGCAAACGTATCCTCTCGTTAATAAGTCAAACTATATTCTGGGTTGTTTGATGACAAGAAGTAATACTTATGATTTCAACGTGGCATAAATACCAAAGAAGTGGAATGGATGAACAAACATAAATGCATACCTTCAGCTAGACTTCCAGAACCCGAGCCAATTTCAGCTGTCCCGGGAGTGGGTGATGCTACTGTAACAGGAAGTGCTTCACCAGATCCTGATGCAGCTTCACTGACCTCATCTTTCTTCTGGGAGCCTGAACCGGCCTCACCGCTACCAGATGTCTGTATGATGTCTTCATCTGAAACTGAAGATTCGCCCATTCCGGAAGCACCAGAGGCAGAGCCAGAGTCAGCTGCAAATTTTGCCATTAACACTTTGTGGATTGGTGCAGGAATCCCCGACTTTTTATATCCTGGATCTTCGTCTAATGAAGATTAATATTTTATCATTACTTGGAAATTCAATACAATGTCAAAATTTTTTTTGAAATAACCAGTTCTGTACACTTTAAGCCGAATTAGGCTGTGGAGTTCATCATATTTTCATTGTTGTGCTTTTTTTTTTCAATTCAAAATCACGGTAGCCTAAAGTACGAATGAAACATAATCACGAAATCCCGTGATAATGACTTCACCGCCTTCCCTTCATTGACGATCTTCATTACTCATGCAATGTGTCAGTCTAAAACGGAAGATTTTTCCCTTAAATTTGGCCCTTCAAGGCCATCTAAGGAGTTACTTTAGTAAGATAATGTTTGAAAGCTGTGAACTAACCATCGTCGCTGTCGTCATCCCAGTCGCTCGAACCGGAGCCGGAATTGACTTCATCAGCGTAATATAAACTTGCTGATCCTGAATCGTATTCGTCGTATCCCGACCCAGACTCTTCATTGTTATGTTTGATCTCTGCACAAAACAAGGTTAAATAAAACATTAACAGAGGCTTTTTAGTAAAGTACGCGTAATCTCAGAGGGTGCCAATTTGACTCTTCATTAACCAAACACCAAACAGAGTTCTGTAAGCATCCAACCGGTACCCGGAAGGTATGGGTTAAAGCTCCTTCGAAGACTAAATTCCTCTGAAATTACTTAGCTTTATCCCCAGTTTACTTGTGAAGATAAACTCGTGGGAATCATTGTTATATCGCAAACACGTATCACCTACCACAGAAATGGCAAGACTTTTTGCACTGAATCTTCATAAGGTCTGGGTACTTTGTGCAGTAATCATTCTTAGCCATCTCTGGACAAGTGTCAAACTGATCGTCACAGTCTTCTATTGAGAAAAAAAAATGGAAAATACTGTTAAGGTTACCAGTATTTTTATTGACGATTTTAGGGGGGAACTCCAACAAATTAAATAAACATAAAACACTGGAGCTATACAATGCCGCAGACCCAACTAATGATAAATAATGGGCTCTTAGAAAGCTTATTTTCCTCCCAATGTCTGGGTCTTGAGTAATTCTGTTGTCTTAATTCTCTTAATGAGAGTCGTTTTTCAGTCTATTCTAACGTGTAATTGTCCGAGTATCGATTTTCCCCTGTAAACGAATGCTGTAGGTGATACTGAACGGTAAACCGCAATGTCACACTGTGGGTTCTACTGTTTTTCCCGGGTTCAGACCATATACTGTATGAGTGAGTAATTGCGACAAGCTAAGAGTAAAAAATGAGTAATCATGAAATCCCTGATTCATTAAGGCTCGGGATCTTTGAAATAAGTACAAGAAAATTCAATTCACCCTTTAAGAACTAACAGCCCTTTTACAAATTTTGCTGAACTGACAAAAATTTCATGAAAATCACTACGAGTTTGATTAATCTTCTGATTCTATTAACATTATCTGCATTTATCTCTCTTCGCAAAATTACCCTCTTCTATTACTGGCTTCTTGGGTTGAAGTCCCTGGTATACTGGTACAGCTTGGACACCCTGGGCTGGAATTCCAGGAGTTTGCTGAGGAAGAGCGCCAACCATTGTGTCGGGCATTGTGGTATCTATGCAAGGAAGGCAGCATTTAGAGCTTTAAAGAAGAGCTTAAACTAAACCGCAACATAAACAACTTGAATGCAAGGCATTTGAAAGACGTTGTAAATGTTAACTTATTGTCAAGTTCTTCATCTGACTGCGTGCTGTAGCTTTAAGTCTCAGTAGATGGTCGACGCCATTGAACAAAGTGTGCCAAACATGTCTTTACCAAACAAATTAGGCCTATTTGTTCCCCTATATGTTCCCGTTATGATGATTTTAAGATTAGGTACCGATACTAATGCTGACTACGGAAGGTCAAAAGGTGTCTTACTTATTGGAAACGCAGCAGCAACGTTTTCTGGACTTTGCATTTGCATATTAGATGGATCTGCCACCTGAGGGGCAAAGGCTTGTTCCGGGGCCTGAGGGGCAAAGGCTTGTTCCGGGGCCTGAGGAACACCCCCTTGAGCCTGGTCGAGAACTTGCTGGGGGTTCTGAAGCGGACCTTCAGCTGGGGCCTGGTCTGCCAATGGTTGAACTTTGCTAGGCACTGGGGCAAAAGGCTGTGCTGTTGGAGAGGCTTGTGGTTGGTCTCCAAACGTCATTTGCGCTGGATTAACATCCATCGCTGGACCTTGCATCTGAGGCTGAGGATAACCTTGAGTGTTTGTTGCATCTTGTTGCTGTTGCCCTTGAGGAAGGTTTATTGACAAAGGACGCAGACCACCAGCCTCAGTAAGGCCGGGTATAACCGACTTCCTTCCAGCGTTCTGGTTTAAGCCTGGTTCAAGAAACAGTTACAACCATTTTAGGTCACAAAAATGATCAAAGAGACATTTAGATAAACTACATGTAGCTCTTCCTGAAAAGGTAACCAACATGAATATATCCAACTTTGAATCTGGCGCTGATGCTAACTAAAAAGAAATTTGCAGTTTTACATCGCGCTAGAAGGAAATTTCTTATAAGCAAAACAAATTTAGCCTCTAAATTTGAATGAAAACAAATGATAATGACATGTCAGACAAATATTAGACCTTTCAGGACCCCCCTTCACTGACTATGATGTTCCTGGAAAAACTTTAATTCTAAAACTAAAATATTCTTTCCTCTAGTTTTGTCACCGGCAAACATCTGCCGATTAATTTAGTCGCTCCTGTACTAACCTGCTTTTGCCTTTTCAATCATGTTTTTTTTCATCAGCTTCGAATACGGTGAATACTTGTGAAGCTGAAGTGGAAAAGAACCTCTAAACGGCACTGCTGACTTACGAACGGCTGGAGCCTGGGGAGCAGGCACAGGTGCTTGTGGGATGGCCGACCGTAGTGTTCCTTGAAGGTCTGCTGTATTGTTAACTGTGAAAGAACAGTTACAGCCCAAGTAAACGCAGAGTGATAACTCAATCCATCTCCGATAGAGGAAAGGTTAACCTGGGATTTCCACTGAAGAGCTGTTTACAATTATTTTGCTCCGATAAAAAGTTAGCACTCGAAAATTCACTTTTTCAAAATTTCCTATGGCGTTCTATTTACCCTTATTGACATTGAGTTTATAAAAAAATACTGAGCTGTGGAATTGTTTCAGCCTAGGTTTTCCTTGCTCTCTTGTGAATTATAGCAAGTTTTTAATGGTCTTTAAGTTATACTTTTAGTTTGATACCGCTTATCACAATCGGTACACGCTATATAAAGAATATTTAAGGTGCAACTTGATATTAAGCTGTACTTCTATCCTACCTAAGGGGTTAGAAAACATATCCGGACCAACAGGAACATCGGTTTTCTTCACTATCGTAGGGTCATATAGCGAATTGTCATCGAAGCCGGGTGACTGTTGCCCAACCAAGGCAGCAGGTGAGTAATCAGGAACAGTTTCCAAAGTACTTTGAGTTTGTGCTGGTAAAAATGCAGTGTTTGACTTGTCATTGGACGTTTTGTCATTCTCCTCTGTCTGGACTACTGTATTTTGACTCTGATCCTCAGTAGAAGGTAACTTTGCGTCTGCACCCTGTGACGTCACATTCGGTGATGTCAAGGATGCGTCCGTCGAACTTTGTGTAGGAGCAGTTTGTGCTGCGGTAGAAGGATTCACTGTGTTAGTATCGTCAGAATCGTCAGAAGTAGCAGTTGAGGTGTCTGTACTGTTGTTATTGTCTTTTATATCAGGGGTGTCATTAGAGTTGTTAGACTTTTCGGTGCCTGTCGCATCAGATGTCGCGAGTGTTTGCGACAGAGTCTCAGTCGCTTGCTCGCGTTGGCTGTCTGTTTGATTCAATGTAGTTGTGTCTCCGGAAGGCTTCGGCAACTCACCCGAACCCGACCACAGTTCCGAACCCGAACCGGAAAAGTCGTCATTGTCATTGTCACTATCTTCAAGGTTGAGTTTTGTTAAACTCGTCGCACTTGGATCGTTAAAGATCTCGCCGAGAAGAGCATCAGGAGCGCTTCGACGGTCAACAGCCTGAGACGCCGGCGGCCGTAGGTCTGAAAGTTAGTTTATCAGTGTGACTGTTAGTAAACCCTAATTAACAAGCGTTATAGCCCACGCTGACAGGAATCAGGATGTTAGGGTTGCCTCAAGTTATATCATATAAAGTATTAAGCAAAGCATGCAGCTACTATTAAGGTATCTTTTTTCTTAAATGGAAAGGAAGAAAAGGGATTAAAAATTCTTAAATTAATGATTTGATGATTTTTTTACTTCTCAAGTTTACCACGTGGGTGTCAAACTAGGTAGAGTGATCCTTACGTGGCTTATGTAAATTAATCGCTCGTTCTTGAACAATATAGATCTTGAAAAAACTGCTGCAAATTTCATTTAGGGATCAATACTATTTGAGGATATTGGCATTTTTCGCCGGCGAGAACGTTAGGCCAAGCGCAAACATACGTTGCTCATGCGTTACAGCATAATTTTATACATTTCTTTTGTTCACTGAAAACTATAGTATCACGGATAAACGTGATACGAAATATCTGGGGTCTAAAGTCTGAAACTAAGGTTCTGTAAAGAACTTGAGCGTGCTCTCGAAATAAAATCAGCTAGATGACTTTCAGCTCCGAGAAAGGGAAGATATGTATCCATTCCTCTTGATTATTGTACCTTGCAATCTAGTCCCGATAGAAGCTGATCGACTAACAAAGTCGTTAATCGTCGGTTTAAAATACCCATTACTCGAGGTGTTTCATCGTTATCCTTTACTTAAGTAGTTAACCATTAGTCAGAGGGAGGCGACTGACAAGATCAATTCAAATGATATAGGTATACTTGGGTCATTCTTTTTTTACTCTAGTTGCCAAAACATTCAATCTGAATAGTAATATTTAAGAATTAACCGATCTGTTTCGACAGTTTTGTTTTAATTTTTCGACCCGGACGCCGAGGTCAGCAAATTCTAACAGAATGTGAGAGTTCTTAAAGACCAGTAACACAAGAAGGTAAATGAGGTGTGCTCGAAAGATGCATGGGCCCATAGTTTTTCTTCCGGCCTAAAAAGCAACCTGTTAGACGTACAAGTGTCGAGGCAAACAATCGCTACAAAGCTACAGGGTTTAAAATACTCCTCCAAGGAGTAGTTATTAGTAATATTCAACATGTAAGAGAACAGACTGGTTATGCTTTTGCTTACCTTTCGCTCTTGATAAAGTTACTAATGATATAATTAATAATAAGAAACGAAAACCCATAACTGAGTTGGTGGCGACCTGAGGAAATAAATATAGACATAAATTAGACTGGTCAAAAAGTCGTTCACAGTAGGCCAACTGTTGTAACAGAGTGTAGCGAAAATTTGTCAAAAACATCCCTAGAAGATGCGAAATTTCTGAAATTCTGGACTCAACTAATGAGTCTCTCAGAACCTTTATGATTATCAGGAGGAGAAATTGAAAATCATTTGTAGTCCATAAAAAGACAAATCTGTTATTGGTAGATCAAATTGTTTAATCTCATATTGACCATAATGTTTGCTGTAATGGTTCAAGGGAGCTTCGTTCATTTCCTTTTACCTGCATCTGATAAAAGACATTTAAAAAAACGCCGCTTGAGACACTCTTTTACTACCAGCCTCTCGCCACAAATTGATCGAGCAGATCACAGAAACTGGCATTAAAATGCCATTTAATTTTGTTAAGCAGAGATTTATCACCCGCTCTGTCGTAATGCTCGCAAAAAGAAATAGCCTCGACGAAAAAAGGTGCTAATAATTGCAACCAGTATGATCTCAACCTGGCCTTTGCCCGAACGTCCTCCTTCTAAAATGCATAACACTTCTAGAGCGCATTGAAAAAGAAAAAAAAAGACAAAAAAGACAAAAGGAAAGAAAAGGAAACGGAAAGTGGAACAAAAGGGAATTTATATTTGAAAAACAGAAGAAATTTGTTCAGAGTGTATTTTATTTGACTTGATGCGATGATGAAACGACTATACTTGAAGATGATTTAAAGTGTCCGCCTTGACGTTGACCTTATAAAGAGTCTATATAGAGTATTGTAGTTATCTGCTCGTCAATTAGTACATAAAATTGAAAATATTATAGAGATAATATTCACTGCCAATACGTTGCCTAGACTGAAGATAAAATAATTGAAATTCAAAATATTTGTAGGAATACTGTTTCTAAGAGCTAGCTAATGGCCTTAGTTTTTCAAAGGTCAACAAAATTTTAAAAAAGAATGGTCTCAGTTAATTGTTTTTCTATGTTTTTCAACTTTCATCTACATAGAAACTGACCATCGATAACATGACTCTCTATGTGCACTGTCAAATGCAGTCGATATATGTTGATCATGAAAAAATTTTGGGCAAACGTGAACTACGTTGTGCTTTGGAACTTTAAGTCAAATGACAGTATAACTAAGGATAGATAATATCTGTGAAGAAATACGAAAGCCGTAAAACCAACGCACTGAAGGCTGGTGTGTCAGTACACACTGTGGATATCAGTTAAGTAAGTTCCTGATTTTGTTCCAAACTTTATAATAAAAGATTAGAGCAAAATCAAAATACTCCGCGGGTATCTTGACTAACAACTGAAGTGAAGATCTAAATATACTTCCAAACAAGTGCAAAATCAGCTTAAATGCAAAGACTTCATCACTGAATACAACTTATAAGGAGTTCATTCTACACCCTTAAAACTGAAAATCGATACTTTGTCCGCCATTATGCAAGACCAACTACACACAAAGTTAATTGACCTTACCTAACTTTTAAATTTGAATTTTTGCATCCTGAAATCTCCAGCAAAATGCAAGCATAAAATAACCAAAATATAAAAACGATTTAAAGCGTCAAATGGAACTTTTGTTCTGTCTTAGTTAAGTTATATGATATCCACTTTCTAGGAGACACGCTGTACACCAAGAGGTATATAAGAAAATTTGCTGTCGACACTTACCCGTCTGACAATCAAAGCTTGATACGGGTTTTAATTCCTGAGGCACACCTCGTGCTTGAAACAAATTTGATTTTCCCTTTTTACCACATGAGCAAATTTTTTCTTTCCGCTTTTCTTAGGAAATTCGGCGAGTAATTCGACTTAGTTTTGTAATCACAAGCGATTTTGGAATAGATTGCAGATTTCCTAGGTCAGTCGTCATTACAACATCACATTTGCATTTGATTATGTCATTTTGTTTCCCAAAACCACAGGTCGTGTGAATAATTTACCGACCGTGAAAATTCGATTGTGTTCTTGACACCTCTAGGAGATTTCCATCAAGATTGGATGTCCCGGGACCAAACATTTTACAGTTCGAAAAAAGGTAAAAAAAAAAGGTGCAAATCATGATCACACATTAACATGGAAACCTTTGGTTATTCAACTTCTCATGGTTTAGGGTCATTTTTCCCTTAAAAGAAACAAGCAAAACAAAAAAGATAAACATGTGATAGCTTTAGACGCCTAATTCTGCTCCAACAAAAAATGTTCCATTCCCTCGTTTCCATCTTTAACCAAATTTGCAAAGTTTTCAACAGCTACTAACCTTAGAACGTTGTCATTGTAGATTTCTCCTTCGCAGGAAAACACCTCTCCCTCTCCCTCTCTCCAACGTCTTGTTTTCAAACCTGTTAATTATGCAAAGGTTACCTAAACATCGCAGAATGTCCCAACAAACGACCACATGCTTGTGAGTGAACAATATAATCACAACAGAAAAAGGCGGGAAAACGCTAACCTATCGTTCGCGCCAAAGATGACGGCCTCCTGCAGACTGTTCATCGCTGATTGGCACTATCCTTGCACTGTATTTATCAACGTATAGCAAATAAACAAAGATTGTCTAGGGATAATAGCAAACAAATTTATGTAGATTAAAAAGCTTATATCGTAAACAAGCAATTGATTCAATTTCCGTTAGTTGACGTTATAGCTAACGAGAAAGCATTAGTACGTACGTCTTGTAAGAAAAAAGTGTCTAAAGATGGGAATAGGTAACTATCATGTTTTTGCTTTACTTACAAACGCTTTGATATTTTTAAAGTCACATTTAAAACAATACGGCAATTTTCTGCCCTTTAATTTTACTGGTGACATAAGAGAAGTAAAACAGTATATGAGGGGAGGGACTTGAGCATTTTGATGCGATGAGTTAGGTAACGACTAGATTGGTGAATCAAATGGTTCAAAATCTTATAGAGGCCGTGTTCTGAACCGTTAATTGAATTTGGAGCAGTGTAACTCTATTGAAGTTGTTTGATCACACGGTTGTTAGTGTGTGTCAACACATTCCGCTCAGAGCAGGTCTTTCGATTGTTGTGAAGACTTGGAACACACATGAACTGTTAAAACACATGATGTCATGTAATAAATAAACGGGCTGTTTAAGGTACTTGATAAGGAAAAACTGGATATCAGTATTTAATAAAAACGAGCAGTATTCAAAAAATCCTTTGAGATTATTTTTTATTAGTGATACTGAGCTCAAATTGCCTACGTTTCACTGAGTAATTAACGGATCCAAGTAAGCGACTTTAAACGTCCACAAATTGATTTCTGGTTGGAAACGGATTTCACGAAGTTTTTCTGGTAGGTAGCAAAGTTCAATTTGCAATGAATCGCCATTTTAAGAGAATTTTAAACCCCAAGACTGATTATTGTAACTATATCACCTTAGTTTTCTTCTTTGAATCTTCATTCATTTGTTTTCTTAACAACTTATTAGCTTAATCGTATGATGTGTTTATCCGATTTAAGGGCTGAAATGTCTATTTGTTCAGATATCTTCAGACCACTTACTATCATCAAGGCTTAGGATTTACAGCAAAGTGAATGGGCACAAGACGTGACATAGGGACTGATGTTTTAGGGAGATTGGGGGTGTGTCGTATTCATATAACTAGAGCAGCTTTATTACCTAGCGCACTCAAGCAACAAAACAAGCGGAGTTCAAGCAAATCGGAAGTATGTGTCAGCTATATATATTATGTTTCGGCACATATTGAAGCTGTTTTTGAACTTCTAGAGGGATTTTTCAAAATATGGTCTAAAGACAGGTGGATCGTGAAGAAAGAGTTTTACCGTTTCTTTACGAGCGCTGGACTGAAAAAATAGTGAGTCCCATATATGAGGAATCAAACCTCAGACCTTCGGCTTCCCCGCTACAATGCTCTACCACTGAGTCATAGAGACTTAACAGTGAGCAGGAATTTATTAAATCCACATACGAATCTTATTTTCAACTCAGTAGTTTATTATCTGATCACAACATCAAATTTACGTCTAGCTTTTAAGAAAATTGCTAGCCTTACCTTACAAACACACCTTTCATCCTTTGAGCTTTTCTTTAGTTGTTCTGTTCCTTAACAAGATCTTTGCGTGAATTATCCTCGAGTGGATGGTGCTCATCGACTTTTGTCGTGTAGGCTGCCTTCCTTCCAGGCTTAGTGGGTTTTCAACCCTGCGAAAGGAATATCTTTCCGTTGAAGGGAAGTTAATAACTCCTCAGGAATGAACAGTAAATTTTTATAAATACTGTCGTTTCGTCCTAAGTTATCAGTCATTAGTTACCACCTCGAGGGTTGTAAAATCGCATAAAGGGAAAAAAAAAAAAAGGAGAATCAGTCTTCGTCAATAGAGTATAAAGCCGGGGGACTACTGAAAGCTCAATTAATTGCCAATAAGGGAAGGGGTGGGGTCAAATGAAAGTTACAAAACCTTATGGGGGAGATCAGGTAAAGAACAATTGGAAGTTGGAGTGGTAAGCACCTTGTGCAGATTAATGACACAAGCAGCTTGTGACAAACACTGGAGATATGTATGAGCTTTAAAGTGAACTAACTCTGGCTATGCATAGCAGTGGTTGCGAATAATGTAGTCAACACTCACCTTCTCAGATAAGTAACGCAAAAATGTTTATTTACATAATTAGTAAACCGTTTATTCTAATTACACTTATGAAGTTACAATCAAAGCTGTTACATAAGAACATTTAAAATCTCCCTGATCCTGTTTATGCTCCTTGTACATAAAGAATGTTTAAGTATTACGTTTTTGTTTCCATTAGTTTGCAAAATGACAGAGGAACGTTTCGACAGCTTAACGAAGACGAGGCCTGGTGACTTGTAGCTGAAAATTTCTGCCTCCACCGCTTCCTAACACTTTAAAGCATTCGTAAATAGAGCAATTTTCGATTGAGTGTCGAACGTTATTCAAGATTGCCTTTTTTTTTTTTGCTTTATTTCGCTCTGCGATTGGTCCAGAAAACTGGCGTCACTTTTCATCCAATCAGATATAAAACTAAAATCAATCACGACTTGGTCGCCCGCGTTTTCCCGCGCTTTAGGCAATTTGGTCGTATTTACTTTGAGTTCTCAAGGTTTCTTAAAGGCGTTTTCCTTTATCTGATCGGCCATTGTGATTACTTTGGTTTCGATTTTACAACACTCAGTAGGAAAGCGCTCTAATGAAACTCTATGATCAAACAGAATCATTGCTTAAACGATCAGCGTATGAGGTACATGTTATACAAGTTCGGAATAACAATTTCCGTGACTGCATGTTGAGATCGAGCTGCGAACTCTTTCAACTCTATTACTTGTGTACAGTATGCAGCCTTTTATTGGATCCCGCAATAACTAATCTATCCATTTTTTTGCTTGTCATTTCTCTACCTCTATCTTCTATATTTACCATTTCTAATGAATACCAGTTTGAGTACCAACTATTTCGCTTAGTGTCAAAAAGACGTCTCAGTGTGGTAAAACGCCTATGGCTAGTCCAGTATGATATATGAATACATTTGGCGGAGTACGAGGGTTTACCAAAAGCACTGCTTTTACTTCCAACCAAACTGCACATTTATCCAGGATGCTATCCCAACATGATGGTTCACAATTATCATTTGATAGCTGGACAAGAAAAAAAAGAGAAAAAGTAATATCAAATTAACCAATTTGAAACGTATAACATCAATGATGACACAAAACGATCGCAGCAGAAATTCCAGCCTGCATTGCTAGCGGTTTTATGTGTGCTTAAAAGCGATGAGAGGCGAAGCAGAGAGAGGTTTGGGACGTATAATGAACTTAAAGTGCGCGAAAAACTGCCAGCCACGCAGGATACATACAATCAAGTTAGGGTTGAGTGTGTTGCTAGGTTAAGGTAGGATCCCTGTGGCATACTGGGACCTCAGCGCCATATTTGGAACGATCCCGATTATTTAGGAGAAATACATGGCCGTGTTTCTTTCACGAGTTGCCACCCTTCACTTAAAAAGTCAGTTTGGAAGGAACCGCTGTAACAAAATGGAAAGCCAAACAAAATAAATCAGCGGAGGGAAGCGGAAGCTTTTTTTTTTAATTTTCCAAGGGAAATTTATCAGAACACCTCAAATTGTTCCACTAGAACGAGATTCCTGGCTCACCCTCAAACATATCGAATGTAGGTTATTTAAGACACCAACAAAGACATATTGTTCACATTTCTCTAGTTATCTCAGGAGATGGAGTTCGACTAGTTATAAAAATCTCTTGTAAAAGCTAATATTAGTAGGATTCTTATTAGAGTTGCCAGTGGGAAACTGAAGTTACAGTTACCTCCGTTTTTTCTAGACAAAAAGAATCTCTTTTGAGTCTGTTAATTTTTACGTTATCTTACGTAACTTACGTTGCAGTTCAAGAAATCGCCTTCTGGCCTTGGCCTGTTCGCTCGCCACTTGTTTGAGATTTCGTTTCATTTTGAAGTAGGGTGAAAACTTGTGCAACATAAGAGGAAACGAACCCTTATAAGGAACCTTGTTATTTTGCGGAACAAACGACTTCTTCTCAATGCGTGAAGGGGATTGTGGGATGTTATGTCTTCGATCATATCGGAAGGCTGGGAAAGTAGGTATCATCTTGTCAACTTGAGCGCGGGGACCCTGCTGTGGCTGCAGAAATTGAGCAGAATTTGAAGGGACAACAGGATTTGTGCCAAAAGCTTGATTTTTCGATACAGCAGGCGGTGGAAATAGAAGGTTCTTCAGAGCCAACTCTTTGTCTAATTGTGTTTGCGGGTCATGATTAAAACCTCCTGGTAAGTCATTTCTGGAGAAGGAGTTTTTGCCGTTTGGTGCAATTCTTGGACGAGGCGGTTGTGTGACCAGTGCCTGAGATGGCGGTCTGGAAGGTGAGGCGAACACGAGACCAGCCTTAAGCTCTTGAGCAGTAGATTTATCAACATTAGCAGAATTTGAAGCGGGGCTTGTTGAAACTTGAACATTTTTAATCTCCTGAGTCGTCAACGATGCTTGACTTCCTCCTTGCACGGGTTTATCCGAAATACTCGTTTGAAGTAAAGGATGCGAGTTGTCTTGGGTTATTGAAGGTGAATTTCCTAACAGATTTTCAGAACCTTTGTTAATCAGTTGATTCTGATCTTTTCCAGTGGGAGCATTCCTTTGTTCTCCTTGCGTCAAAGTATTATCATTAGCTGGGAACCCATTATTTAAACTGATTCCTGAGCCAAGAGAAATGTGGCTCATGTTAGGCTGTTTATTCTCATCGGCGTGGAAATGTGGCAGGTTGCCGCTTTGGCTTAACCGCAGAGCGGGAGTCGGTTGAAGTAATGAATGCGCTTTCGGTCCCAAAGCAGCACCTTCGAACTTATCACTCAAAATTGCACCATTTGAATTGGTGCTGGACCCCTTGTTGAAGGAGGGGACAAGTCTTTGTTGCGACTGAAGATTAGCGTTTATATCATTTCCAACTGCCATCCCTACTGACAACGGTCGAGGAGACATTTCATTAGAACTCGTTTTCGTCTCTGCTTTTTGATCTTGGAAAGGTGGACTTGCTGGAATCTCTGGATGACTGGCAACAAAAGCAGGTCCACTTTTCGGTTTGTTGTTCATATTTGTAACAGTTGCTGTTGAAGGACTCTGCTGAATGGGTCGTGTCGCGCCGGAAAGTTGACTATTTGGAATATTTTCAGCAAGGTTTTGTTTTAAGGGTTTATTAGAAACAATATTTCCGTTTGTGTTTTGAACTTTCCCTTGAGTAGCCAACTGTTGCAGGACTTTTCCATTTGGATTTACACCAGCAACAAAAAACTTGATCCCTGCACCACTCGGATCCGTTCTCTGTTTCTGTCGCAGGAGGGTTTGCTTTCTACTTTCCTGTAGCTTTCGCGCAAACGCACTCGCTTCAAGAAGCTTCCGAGACCAGTCCCTGTAGTGGGTCCGATGAGGATAATAATAAGATACGTACTGTCTCTGAGGCTGAGCTTTAAATATTTTTGAATACTGTGAGCCTGGAAGTCCCGTTTGCGGCTGCTTCGCTCGTGCAATATGTGCAGTATTTTTATATGCTGTATTGTACTGGTAAATTGGAGGCTGCATATAACGTCTTCTTGGCGGAAGTCCGTACAGAGATGTTATCTGAGGGCGCTGATATGGTAACAAGGTAGAGATCTGGCGTTTATCATGGTACGTCTTTACCTTAGCGGCATTTGATTCTAAAATAGAGCAAAAACGTAGTTTGCAAACGTCACTATAGTTACATAGTAAAAATGACAATAGGTGGAGAAGACGTTCGGGTGGGCGAGTTCCCCTTCCTCATTGCTTGAATGGGAAAGGGGCAGCGGCCCTATCAATCTCCTCCGGGTTTCACCGACCTGTTCAAGTGAGAAAAGTAATACTTGAGCGTGAAGAAATCATATGATTAAAGCATGCACGGCTGCAGAATTTACCAAGGACTTCAAGTTACAAACCCTTTCTGATAAACTTGGGAGTTTAGTATAAATTCCTATTCAAAGCAACGTACCTGTTACCGATAGCAGAGCTAGTGATGTTAAGAACATCACCACAGACATACTGAACTTTGAGAGAGATGTCCAATGAGATTCCTTTGCCATCTGTTTCTTAGATGAAATAAAAACACTGCAAGTCAAACAGATTTTGGGTAAGTTTATATCGGGAAGCACGCTTGCCCCTTATCAACAGAAAACGTTAGCTCGCAGTTTTTTGGCCATACTTGAATTGCAGTTATTTTCTCCCCCGAATCGTTTATTCATAGTGACAGCTAGGACCAACAGAGGCTAATTTGATATCTCAGGTTGTTTTGCAAAGTATAAAATTAATTCCACCGAGCTGGTGTTCTCTTGGCATTACAAAATTAGCTGTCGAAACAACGGAAACAAATGTTTGCATTGCCAAAACGTGTAGCTGCTTTTGTATCATTTAAAATGCGCCAGGAAAATTGTAGTTACATACGAAATAATCAGAAACACTTGTCAAAAGGGTGAATTGGAATCTCTGAAGACTGCTTGTTATGGCAAGAACAACACCAAATGGGTGTGTAGTTGGTCTTTTTCGCGATTCTTAACTTCCTTATCTGCTTAAAACAAAAAAGAATTTCGAAATGCTCTCTCAAGTTTAACATTCTGAAAAAGATCAACCTCACGTCGACGAAACTGTGAGAGTTTGACAGAGATCAAACCCTTTCATGATGTCGTTGATTACGCCTGTAAAGGGTTGGGAATAGTTGGCGATAATTTAGCAATATATTCAAGCTCATTCTAGTTACTTTGCAATCATCGAACAGTATTTCTGTTACGATTATGTATGCTGTTGAGATTTTATAGGATTGTTTTCAATTTTATCGCGAACGTGATTCAATAAGGCGGTTTATCTGCAATCGACTGAAGGGCTATTGTTAACAAGAGTTGGATTACTAAACAGTGAAGTACTCACCAGATTTCCGTTTAATTTGACGACATCCTGATTTCTTTATTTCCCTTTCTTAGAATAAATCAATGATCCATTTTCTAGTCTGTGGTAAATAAAGTTACGTTTCTTGAGGAATAGGATCTGAAATTTATGTGTATTAGCCTGTATTCCAAGGCGCTATATTAGGGGATCAACAGCTGGTTGCTAGTGACCTGTCGCGTAACATGGTGCCCTATTCACTGCAATTCACGCTTATTACACAAAATGACTTGCCTTTCCGGCAAACTATCAACAACGAAATTCTCCTTGTACTTCAGTAAGTTTGTGCGAAACTTAAAGGGAGAATCCGGTTTTCAAGCGAAACCCTCAGTACTAATCCATTATCTTCATTAGGTTCATGACCCACTGGTGTGTCACAAAGAAGAAACTACACCTAGTCTCTAATGTTTAATGGCTTTAATCTAGAAGATGCGCTTCTTACCTGACTTCTAATTGGTTTTTTTTAAATTTTCGTTTCTCGTTATTGGCTACTGTTAAACGACACTTCCGAAAATAACTCAAGAGTTTTTAGTTTCTGGCTAAAACGGTCAGCGGAAGTATTCAAAAGATAACTATTGTACGTGGAGTAGATTAAGTAGATCAATCACTGTAGTGAATTTTTTTCTAATGTTTCGATAATATCTAGAGCATTTCATTTACTTTAGTCATCAACATCAAGTTTATAATCAACTTTGTTGAAAGAAAAGTAAAAAAAGAAATGAACAATATCAAACCAAAAAGGAAAATCGGCATGGTTTACTCATCATGATGGAGAGTTGTTCAGCCAGCCCGTTCAATCAACGCTGAGGAAGACTTTAAATTCTGGTCTTTAAATACAACCATTCCATTAAAATTATTACTCTGTCGTACATTCGAGGTGCAAAAGATGATGCAACAGCGGTAACGAAAAACAAAAAAATCCGTGACAAGTCACATGATCATGTTTTTGAAGGGAAGGGCCGCCTGTGTGACTATTAGAAACTAGCGAAATCGTAAAACATTTTTTTGCAGTTAAATTAACCAGGTTATCGTCAATTTACGTTGACAAAGGTTTGCAAACCTGTAAAGGGATTTTTTTTCCTATCTGCAGTACCACTTTTCGTCAGTAACACTGGGAAAACCGACGTGCTTAAGATATTTCAACTGTACTCGAAAAAACGATACTTGTTGACAAATCCAGGTTTATTGACTCAACTTTTGTAAAATTTCCATTACATTAATTATTTCCCATTCAAAAAACAATTAGTTTAACAGATGTATGATTAATAAACAATACTCCAAGTTTATTTTAAGCAGCACATACGGAATTAATTGAAGGAACATAATCACGCTCAAATTATAATCATACGCTTGGCAGCATGAAAAAGGCTTCCACACGATGCTCATAATCTTCTTAATTTGGTTTTCAGCGTATAGATATTGAGCGAGGGGATTCCTCAGACTTCTAGGGATTTCATTATAAACTATTAGCTTTGTTACCAGTTTAAGATTCTGCCTCACTGTAAAACTGATTTACAGATGTCATTTCGGTAAAGTTAAGAATCATCAGTACAGTTTCAAATGTTCCTTTGTCCCAAACCGATTCCCTTATTACTGATAAGTGTTGGACATTATCTCATGATTTGGTAATCCCAACTTGCACGTCACTCCACTCTTCTTTCAACTTTGGTTTCAAAGGCTGGCCTGAACTGTGGCTCCCTTGGGCTACAAGAAAAATCAGACAAGGAAAATGTTGTCTGTCTGTCGTTTACTTGGAAAACCAAAATATCTAGTGGTAAAAAGGCACTCGAAGGTATTTAATACGATTTCAATTCTTCGAACGCACACTTTTCCTTAGCTACATGTAAATGATAGCTCTCTAAAATAGAGTCAGAGGTGTCCATTTAAAAGAAAATTAGGACACGTCGCACCTTTACCACATATCGAGTATTTCTTCACTGCACGCGAAAAGGGCGTTGATTTTGGTGTTCTAAATACTGAACATTATACATCAGGCAATAACTTTATTTATATAAGCCCTTTGACCCCCAAGATTGACTTACATCTCATTTCTCCTTACAATATCACCCTGAATCAAACATTTAGGCCACAAGAATAAAGGAAATTATCATGAACTAAAGAAAGCTCTTGATTATTAAAGAAATTCTCCCTTTCAGCACCTTAGAAATGTGTAGAGAACAGTAGGCAGAGTATGCAAATTATTATTAGGCTTAAACAGACACTTACCATGTGATACTCGGCTAATGCTTCAGTCAGTCGACGACCAAACTCAGGAGAAACTTGCGTGAAATTACTCACCTAACAAAATGAAAGAAAAATAACATCATGTTAGCTATTAGTAAAGCATTCCATGATCATTAAATTTTACCATCACATTTTGATTTAAATAATTCTTCAAACAATCAATGCATTCTCCACTGTACTTACAGCTCGTTTCTGAAGAAATTGTTTAGCATCTTTCAGGTGACCAGCAATATTATTCACCAGCCTGGTTCTCTCTGCTTCATTCAAAACCTTGTTCCAGAAATCTGTGACCTGTAGTGAGGCCAAAAACATAAAATGTCCTGACATATGAAGTAAATTACTGCTAACGCACATTGTATGCCTTTTCAATTAAGATACTGTATTTCCACTACATCATCAATGCACATCCATTTCTCTAGATATTGATGAGAATATGTCTGCTTATCTCTTAGTGTGAGCCTGTACAATTTCATCAGGTCTTATGTGCAATTTCTCAAACACTAAGCCCATCCCCTCAAGATGTACAAGTAGTTGCTTGGCCTTTATCATGTTGGCACACTACAGCTTGTAATTATTGTCCATGAACTTAGCAATATGTTGAGATTTCACTGCACTTGATCTAAATCTCATGCACCTAAATGTACATCATCTTTTAAAACAAGGCAATTTTAGAAGCATTTGGCTTTCTTAACCCTGTAAAACCACTTTTCTCTCTGTTTCTCAAAACCTCAGATCAATCACTAAGGGCTGGTTATTTATACTGTAAGTTGTCTAAAATGGCCGTTTCACACAAGAAGTGGGCCTTCTGTACTCTCTATAAGAGGTTTGTTTTCATTACATAAATGTCCTTCTACAGCTAGCTTTTTGCCCTCTTGACACTGTTCACAAAAATAAATCTTCAGATAAAAGATTTAGCTAAATTCAAGACAGTTTAGAAATAATGTAGTTTTGTTCAACAATGGCAAACTCGGTTTAAGTGAACAGCCCTCACTGTTCAAGAATGAATGAGCTATATAAACAAACATATCTGCCATTACTTAAAAAAATATTCAACCTGTGAAAAGTTATCATCGTCTGCAGAGTTGTATCGGGCCACATCACCAGTGATCTAAAATAAAACAAAAACATTGTCTATCAACTTCATGAATTGAGCCTAGAGACTATGAATTAAAAAAATAACTTCCCAACTTAAAAAAAAAACATTAAAATGGACTTCTGACTATCTACACTTACCTTGACTGTGTGTGGTGAATGCCTCAAGTCATCCAAAGGCCCTGTGAAGCTGTTTGGAAAATAGTTTGGAGCACCCTCTGGATGAAGAAATGATCAAAAACAAGGATTACATCAATACCAACAAATACCAACAAGTACCAACAAATGCAAGACTTCTGAATTGGCAGACTGCTAGATACTCTAGCTCATAATTAACTAATTCTTGAATTCTTTGAAATTTCATCCTGCTAATGTCAGTAACTTACTGACCTTTGTTCAAAAACTTAAGTAATAAATTTAATAAGGGATACACAAGAAGCAAATTTTAATAGTTTTAAGTCCAGATTGAAGTGGCCCCTGAGACATTTATCTCAATGCAGGCTTTCAGCTTGTCATATTACCTTGGTTATCAAAGGTCTGTGGTCCATCCCTCTGGTAATTTGTAACCCTGGTCCTGTATGGACAGTTCACTGGAAGCTGTAAGTAGTTAGTTCCCAAACGATGCAGGTGAGTGTCATGATAGGAGAACAGGCGGCCCTAAGAAAAGCAAAAAAAAAAAAACCTGTACACATACTGCATGTGAGACATATGAACATACTTGTACATCTGCAAAAAGTGTTCAAGTGCAGTACACAAAAACAAATTACCAGGTATGGCACCTTTTAGTAACTGGCTTCTTACAAATCCCTGGTAAGAACTAATAGAGCTGTGACATGAATTGTATCCTTGCTCAGGACTCCACAGTGTCCCCTATAATTAGTTTGGGGGTCACTGAACTTTTAACAGAAATGAATGAACTTTTTCCAGTATCAAACAAACTATACAGTTGAAGACACATCAGTGAATATGTGTTATACAATACAGTATGCAGCTAATCATCCTGTTGCAAACCTTAGGAGGGATCAAAGGGGCATGTTCCTGGATTATGATTGTAGGATGTCCATCCCTAGTTTTTAGTTTTGTTTTAGGATGTCCTATGCAACAGAAAATGAGTGGAGCATGATATAAAGTGTTTTCTTCCTGAACTTCTTATCCCCTTTGATATGAAGCAAAGCTCAGCAAACCACATGTTTTACTGCTTCTTTAGAATTATGAACGCTTTTGTACAACCATAGAGCATTTTATAATCCTGCATGTAAAGCTAATGTATCAAGCTATGATCTGTTACATGTAATTCATACCTGAAGCATCTTATCAGGGGAAGGCTCAATACCAGGAACCATACTGGCTGGATTAAAAGCACTCTGCTCTATCTCTGCAAAGTAGTTTTTTGCATTACGATTCAGCACCATTTTGCCAACTGGGATGAGAGGGAACTCAGAATGTGGCCAGATCTAACAATCAAGAACAGGATAGAATGTGAAAATGTAACAAGTATTTCGTAACAATTGGTAAGCAACGGAAGTTCTGTTAGAGCTATCAAACCTTAGTAAGATCAAATGGATTCCAGCAGAACTTTTCAGCTTCCTCAAAGGTCATAACTTGAATATACATGGTCCATGATGGCTAAAACAAAAGTTTATACATATTACTTTGGGCAAAAAAAAAATCATTAAAGATGCTCTCATCAACTTAGTTAGTTTAATTTTATGAATATATAATAACTTCATCTTTTACCAGATTACCAACTATTAGACAATGACCCACATCCCCAAAAAGTAATTTAATTTGGATTTTATACATTTAACAGTTACATACATTCATATGTACACGTATCACACATGCTTGGTCTCAAAATGTAACTTTATTTGGAGTTAAGTTTATCAGTTACATACATACACATGTACATGTATCTCACATGTTTGGTCTAAAACATGTACATATTTTCATGAAACTTGTCCTACTTACTGTAGAGAGGACTGTATAAATGAGCACAATGATAGCTTACTCAACAAAAGTTGGGTCTCTGGGTGACAGAGACCCAAAGCAGCATACTTACTGGGTCTCCACCGGCAATGGCATTAAAAAGAAGTCTGTTGTTGTAGTCTGGGTCAGAACCTGCTAACTGCTCTGCTTTGTCTGCAGGCACACATTTTATCCCCTGATCAGTCTGTCATAATAAATAAATAGATCAAATGTAGTGTCACATTTAAACCGAGCTGAATTTAGGAATACTATAAAATCATAAATAACCCAAGAAACATGTGACTCAAGAGGATATGGACATGCCAAACAATGCAACAGGCTTAGAAATAAATTATACTAGACAGTATTTTGCAGCAGGAAAAAGTACAACTGCTTTTGTAGCTGTACCTTGACATGGAACTTGCAGTAAACAGCTTCCTCCTTCTCATTAACCATTTTGAAAGTATGACTTCCATAGCCATTCATGTGCTGGTAGCCATTAGGAATGCCACGATCACTGAACAGGAAACACACCTGATGGGTAGTCTCAGGACGCAGGGTGATGAAATCCCAGAACATGTCAGGGTCCTAATAAAAACAAACAAAAATAATAAATTTAGAAATAAAATCAAGAATCAAAGAACAACTTGACATTTCATTAATTAAAAGCACAATGTACACAAAATCAAAATATATTTTTGACATCACTTAACAACACATAATACATTAACACTTTTTTTACCTTTAGGTGAGTGGTGGGGTTCCTTTTCTGGGTATGAATAAAACTGGGAAACTGTATAATGAAATAAAAACAAAACTAAGAAATGAATAAGAGAATTACAGTTCTAGAAAAGCATGCACAGCAACAAAATAGCAGACTTAATTTACCAGAACGAATTCCTTTATTTATCAATAAATAGAATTCCTTTACCAAATTTAGAAGCAAAACAACCACAGGAATCTTGCACTTGATTCAACCAGGTTTAGCTGTGCTTATTCTTAACTAAAATTGTACACTACAATATTCTCTCTTGCTACCTGTTCTGGATTGTTACCTGAACACTAATACTTGATATTTAGTATAACAACAAAAATGTATACCAGGATTGGATCTCTGATAAAAAAGATAGGAGTATTGTTTCCAACAAGATCCCAGTTTCCCTCCTCAGTGTAAAACTTCATGGCAAAGCCACGAGGGTCACGAGCTGTGTCAGCACTGCCAGACTCTCCACCTAAGGGTACAGTAAAGTAATGAAACATACAACTTTAGAGAGAAATAAGTCCACTAATAAATCTAAATACCAGAAATCTAAATAAATCTATTTAAATTTATAAAACCCTTTAACTCCCAATATCTCATTAGTAATTCTCTTTACTGTGTGCCATAAAATCCTAATGATGTTACCGTGAAGAAATTGGTATAAGATCCTCTAATAATCACCCAAATGATGTTTTTCTTTATTCTTACCACTTTCACACTTCATATCATATTGATATTGTTAGAAGAAATTATGTCTAGGTCACCTATGGGAATTCAAGGATTAAGAGCAGGAAAAACTTTTAGATTAAACAGTCCACGATATAAAATTCAAAATATGTGGTTGATAAGTCAGTTTTCACAGCTTTTACTTTAATAGTATTGCCAAAATTTCAGTTCTGTTTAAAGGACAGTGTAGCTGTCAAGTTTTAACTCCAGGAGCAACCTTAACTTTATGCAGTTGATTGTACAGTGGAGCCTGCTAGTGAATATTCAGGACTGTATCCTGTAATACTAATGTATATATTTTAATCAAAATCTGCACAAGTATAAAGAGAAATGACAATAAAATGTTGAATCACTGAATTTGTTTTACAAAAATAGATGAATAAATTAGAAAGGGTTATCTTCTGTTTCCAGTCTAGTTTGAGATCCCTTTAGCTATCAACTTCCCTCCACATACATGTACATGAATGCAATCAAATATAAAGACAAACATATGCAATAGCTGTTCCAAACAAAATTTTCCACAGAGAGGTTCTTAAATGGTACAATTTAATTAGCACACATGCTTTACAAACCTACTGTTGAAAATCGGGTAACACAAGGTGTCCTCTTTCCAATTCTGTTAAAGATTGCAGCCTTGCAGTATTTGGTAATGTCATGAGTGACCTCAAAATATCCAAATGCACCTCCTCCCTTGGCATGTACCACTCTCTCTGGGATCCTCTCTCGGTCAAAGTGGCTCATCTCATCCAGAAACTGTACATCCTGCAACAGAATGGGTCCCCTGGGTCCAACTGTCATGGTAGATGTCTTTGTGTCAATTGGACACCCAGTTCCAGTAGTGAGAACATCTGGAGACTTGTCAATAATACAAGGGACTTTTCAAAATCATAATTAAACCTTTTTAAGCCATGTTTAATCCTTTACACCATAACATCAAAATACATAATTCACCATAACATCAAAATACATATTCTCCATACATTTCCTTCTAAAGGTGCTAACAAATTGAATTTGTCTAGCATTCAAGAGGTTCTTTATAATTATTTAGTGGATGATAATTTCCTTAATTCTCCAGACCTCAATGTGTGTTTGGGGGCAATGCTGTAGGGAGAAATGAGATAATAGTCACTCTTAGGGGTCAGAGGGTTAAGTATAACTTCTGTCAGAATGATGCCTGCATGCATGGTTTTTGTTTGAGCTTCTTATACACATCTGTATCTAGCATGTGGAAACTTGCTTGTTACAGTCAAGAGACAAACAATCAAAACATTTCTTTCACTGTAAGTAAAAAAGGCTCAGCTGTGCTCTATTCTTTGCTAAGTATACAAGATGAGTCACGAAATGATGCATGCACGATGTCACACGCTCAATGGCTTATGTTTCCCTTTCTTACAGCTAACAATAGCCAAGAACGTCACACATTGTGTAATACGTACGTGGAAATTACTTCCTAAGATGTACGTGCTCCTAGAAAGGAGTTTACTGACGTGAAAGAAGTAGTGATACTGCAAAATATCACTTAAGTGAAGGAACATAGGTGTGAAAATCGTCATAAAACTGACAAATGAAACTCTAATTTCTGGCTGACAAAGTAATCAATAGAAAAATTAACGTAACTTGAAAACTTCTGCAAAAACACAAAATAAAAATCACGGTTGTGTCAGGAAAATAATTGATAAGTAGAGGATTTTACGGTCCTATCAAGCCAAACACGAATGCATATCATGACCTCAATTGATTCCTAGCCGAGCTTCTTGCCGGAAATTTTGTCATTACGTGCGATTACACAGTAAATGGAAGGGGACACCCGCCAAGGAGCAAACATGATTCGATTCGGTAGATCACACAAACAGAATCACTTACAGCCTAGACTGATTGGAAAATATCTGCTTACAAAAAAAATCCTGAAATAGTTAGATTAGACCTAATTTCCACAAATAAATGGTTGGAAAATTGTAACCATACCCACATTTGACTAAAATAATTAATACACTCTGTAAGTTAATGAATTTGAAGAAGACACGTTTGCAATTACTAAGCAAGGACTAGCGCAGAGGGTAAATAACACTGGAAGCTTCTTACCTTTTTGGCCCTGGAGAAATCACTGAGCTGCTCAGAAGCTTTAGACCGATTCGCCATTTTCGATGCTGTACTAAACTAGCCAGCCCTTCTTTAGTGATCTCTATACGTGAAAACACGGAGAACTATCTTTTATCACGTGACACAGTGTACCCCATATTTGGCACGTAAAAACTAACATATTTGAGGGTGGGATAGGGGGGGGAGGAGGGTATATCAAGAGACGGGACAAAGGCGCGCAACGCGTAATAAAATTATTTCTTGAGGCGTCACTGAAGACAACTATCTATTTAAAAATGGAAGACCCCTTAATGCAAGAAGGAACCAGCCAAAATACGAAAACGAAGAAACGCTGAAAGATTTTTAGAAATTTTGCATTTTTTTTAAAGTTGCAGTCTGTTTTACTACGGTTTTTTTAAACAGGGAACATCAAACTTGACGGAGAGCCTAAAAAGACAAAAGCTAGAAGAATTGGGGTTAATTTCTTTTTGCTTCAGGAGAAGAACTCGTAAAGGTTGAGGGCGAACTTGCAATGGGGTGAAACCTTCATAAACCTGTCAGACCGGTCACTGTGCGAGACGTCATCATGGCGTGGTACCCTCTTGCGTCGAAGGCTCATAGGGACCGTATACTACCGGCCGCTCAACAGGTTACAGGAGAAGGGTAGACAGAAGCGTTAAAAAATAGTAACGACGATGATAAAAATAGATTGAGTCTAGTGGTTTTGTGTGCGCTACAGCAATATACAACGAAGCCGCGGAAGGCTTAGGAGGAAAAAAATTTTAAACTTGGCTTTGACACTCACTTGGCGTACAAAAAATCGAAAGTAAAGCCTAAAGAAAACCACGGTATAGCAGGTTTTTTCTATTCGCCTCTAACTGGCGCACACAAACCGAACAGCACTCACAAACACGCCAGCTACACAGGCTACAAAAATTAAATTTGAAAAATAATTATGTTAATTATAATTACAACATTAATAATAAAAGTAATAAAAATGATAATAAAAATAATGATGGTGATAATAATAATAATAACAATGATAACAATTATAATAACCTCAATAACAACAACAATGATAAAATAAAAGTCTCCGCGTGCTTCTGGGAACGCGCGAGCGCTCCGTCAAAATGGCGGCAAGCGACTCTTATCGCCCAAATCCCTCACAGTCATTATTTCACTGGTGCAAATCGCAATTTTTCTCTCGCAGCGTTTCTTTCCTTAGAATTGCGATTCTTCAAAAGTTATTTCAAAAAGGGGACAAATACAGCTGAATCAGAGCCATGCCAGGGAGCCGTAAACATGTAAGGCTGACGCATAGTAGTAGGTGCGCTTCAAAGTAACCTACACGTTTCTAATTTGTGTCGTTCTTGTTGATGTTTTCTTTTTTTTAGGTGGAATAAATGAGAGGGGGAGAGTCTCAAATCGCTTTGTTGCGAAACTCGGCGCTACTTAACTCTTCCGCTCCGTTAAATGAACGTCCGAATTTTAGGATTTCCGAGAAACGTATTAGGAGATGCAAAAATGTTGGTCCCCTCCCCCTCACTTTATATCGATCCGATGGTTCTTTGATTATTTGAAAATTGAGTTTCTTGCCTCCCCTGATGCTCACTCTAAAGACCATTTCCCTCCCTTTTAAGGATCTGAATGGATTTGTTTTAACAAAGAGATGGTACTTATCTCTTTCATTGCATTCAGGGTGGGTAGTTTCTCTGGTATTCATGTCCGCACTTAATGGGTTCTAAAGCCATATTGCCCTTAGGCCAAGTGACTTTTACTTTAACTGTAGTCTTGGCAGCTACTGTTGTTCATTATGGATTTATTAGCACTATTGATGTGCAAAAAAAAAAACAACAACAACAATTATAACATAGCTAGTAAATTTGTGTAATCAAATTCAAATGCGCAAAAAAAAAAATTAGAATTTGTCACGCTCATTTACGTCATTAAACAAATCCCTCGAGAAAAAAAAATTCCATTGGGTTAGATATGCTATTTTCATCTGTTTTGAGTGACAACAGTTGGGGCTTTCGTTGTTGTTAACCTCCCCATTGTATCTTGATGAAAGATGCAACATATGAACTAATTGTTAAATAAACAAACTAACCAAAAAGCAGCCAAAAAAAATGGTCAGAATTCTGTCAGCTAACTTCCTGATTGGCTAGTAAATTTAACCAATTCAATAGCGTGAGCATATTCCTAAACACGGTTTTCAGTTCCTCTTTCAAGGAAAATAAATTTTCCATTGGGTTGAGAATGTTATAAAATGATTGGTTCATACGTCAGCTGTGCGTTCATCGAGATATGAAGCACTTGGGAAGTTTGGAGAGCACTCAAGAAGCTAGAGTTGCTATGCCTCGAGCAACTCTTATGCATCTTTCATGTATCCAAACCTCCCATGTGCTTCATATCTCGATGAACGCAAGTTGATGTATGAACCAATTGTTAATTAGTCCATCTTCACAAGTTTAGATATGCTGTTTTCATCGGTTTTGGTGATAACAATAGGTGCTTATTGTTGTTATGACTGTACTTGTACCAAGATCAGTCAAATGGTGGCCAACACACTTTGAGGTATGATATTTATTTTGAAGTTTGAGGGAACAAGTGCTTTGAGGAAAATACACATTGTTTTCTTTGACAGGGTTTAAACTGGGATGGAGACATGAACCTTGCAACTATGATCAGAGATAATGGACAATTGAATCACAGAAGTCACAAAAGGCTTCAAAGCTGTATTTCTAATGAAGAGATGATGATTTTTGCGATAAACACTAGACCACTATTCATTTACTCATAGCAATACTTTATTATTAACATTATTTCTTATCAATTCCCTATTGATATTCCATATAACTAAACTACATAATACATTTATATGTAAACTATATTGGTAGACTTGAATCTTAAGAGTAAATATTTACTCCGTAACACCATTTTCATTTTGTATATTTAGATGCTTTCAGAACTGAAACATCCTGAACCCCCTCCTCGATTAGTTAATTGAATTAGTATTAGGTGCTTATTAAGGTTAAGAGTTAGTCTTAATTAAACATTTCCATTGAAGGGGGAGTCCATGATATGTCAAGTTTAAAATTTTGGTATAGAAATATTCTTATTTATAAGGCCAATAACTTGTTTCACCTTAAGGAGCAAATTAATTGAAAATTAAGTATAATCAATTTAAAAGGCTCAGATTGAACAACATACCTGTAGTTTTATGGTGCAAACTTAAGATTGTATCAAACCATTTTTATTTCCAGAACACTAAACTTCACATTTCAAAGATGTAGGCATGAGCATTAAATGAAATATTACCATACATTTTTAAGCTATTTTTTCAAAATAGCTTAATTTTTTAGCTTATTAAGCTATACCTTTAATTTTTTAAGCTAGTTTGTGTTTAACAACTAGCTTAATTTTAAGCTTATTAAGCTGTATCATCAACTCACATCAAAAGCTTTTATCTCAAAAGTGGTCGAACTCAACCAACTATTTTTGAAATAGATAGCTTTGAAGCAATTTTTTGATTTCAAGTCAATAATTGCTTTCCATAAAAAAGGAAATTTCATTTGATGCCCAAAACCTAGAGTCTACAAAATGTGACTAGAGAAGTATTCTGGAAATAAATCAAACAGCCAAACTCTGAATTAGAGAAAAAAAACAAAAAAAAACACTTTAACAAGGTACATGTATGTAGTTCTAATCTGAGCCCTACTTCTTACAACACCTTTTTTTTCACAATTATAGCTGTAGGTGCTGAGTAGCAGTTTTGTTGCTCTTTTGTTTAGATCTGGGTAGATGTGCTGGTAGCTTTTCCAGTAAAATGTAAAACTAACCTAGTGCACCAAAGCCGGACACGTAAACCCCTGAAAACCTCTCTCTGAGGGGAAAAATGGGGACTGTGTAACCCCAACCAGTGCTATGGTGCAACCTTGGGGTTTTAAGGTGTCTTATAAAACTAATATGTATGTTTAAACTAACTTTACAGAGTTCCATCTGCAGAGTGACTTTGAGGAAATGTCACAAAGTTTTCTATAGTTTTTCAGTCACGTATGGTACATTCTTCTAATAGGCAGTGAGCTTTATGTGATCAGGTACTCTAAACCTCTAAGTTGTTGTTCCATAGGCTGCAGCACAAAAATGAATACACAATCCAAGGCCATTCTCCATAACTTGAACTTAGTGAGTGATATCAATCAAATATCTTCCCTTCAATCATTAATAGAGGTTTTCACAATCCTAAAACACAAAATTACACTTTTAAATACTTGAGTTGTTACATTAATTGCAGTGCAAACTTGCAAAACTAAAGAGTGACCAAATTCAGAGATGAATTTGCACAAATTCATGTTTTTTAACTTGCTAAACAATAAAATAATACTAACAAACTTGGGTGAAAAATTGGAAGAAAAAAAAGTGACAAAGAGATTTTTAAGGATGGATTTTCTCTCAGTTTTGTTGCTTGCAAATTTGATATGAAAGGCTTACACTCTGGAGTAAAATTGCATTTGCCATAAAGATACCAGCTTGATGTCCTTTCTTTTAATGAGTTAGGTAACCCTTTCACTCAGAAGATGTCATTTGTAACTCTCCTTACTGTCTGCCATACAAATCTAATGATGTTAGTTCAGAGAATTTGGTATTGGATCAACTACCCATAATTGACATTTTTTGTTTTTCTTATCTCTTGTCTCCTTGCTATTGTAATGATATTGCAAGAATTTGTCTTTGTTGCTTATGGGAGTTAAAAGGTTAAATCATGTAGGTCATCATGAAATCTTGCTCTCATTCCTTATGCTTGAATTCATTATTATTGAATAAAAGATACTATTCACTTTTTTTTGCTAAACCATCACTTGTAGCATTACATTTAGATATTTTTCTTACCTTCATAAGTTCATAACCAGAAGTGTGTTATCATCCATGTACATGTAGGTTGTTTGTCAAGTAAGCATTTAAATCGTCACACAGCTCAGGTACATAGAAAACTAAGAACTAAACAAATGAAGTATGTTTATATGTATAAAAACATCCTGGACATAAATAGGATAATCACA